AGTCTCCTTATGACAGCATCTCTGCTCTGAATAAAGATTTAAAGGATCTCGTGATCAGACAGTATTCTTTCAGGTATTGCAAAGTCATTTAGATCTTACAAGATCTAAAAAATCAACTGGTCAAGTTTTACTTCATAATTACGAATGACAAATACAATAAACTTAATATTATTCTAGTATTTATGGAAAAATGTGGAGAATAAAACAATGCAATAAGTCAGAGATGAGTACAAGTCATTTTCTGCAACCCAAATCAAGTCGTTCATTTCACACCATGCTATATTTTAATATCAATTCAAACTATACACAATTTATATTATTAGTATTACAGTAGGGTTGCCACAAGGATCTATACTGGGGCCTTAACTCTTTATACTTTTTTTAACAGTCTATGTAATTCATCAAATATTCTTAATTATGTCATATTTTTCCCAGACAACACTGTTTTCTGTTCTGGGTACAACTGAAACAAACTTATGAGTTCTGTTTCTTTGGGAAATATCAAAGTAAAACACAAACAAACTTACCTTAAAGGTTTCAGGAGATGAAATATGGGGGGTCAACTTTTGATAGAGACATGTTGCAGAAAATGTCAATAAGGAAAATAGATTAAATATCATCAAGAGATCACACCAACAAATCATTTTTGAAATTTCACTTCAGGGTTTGATAGATTTGAAAACATCTCAAATCAGGTATCGAGCCAAATGTGATTCATTACCTAAGAACCTGAGGGGTTTTGTTTATCATTGGAGTAAACATAACCTTAATGTTGAATACTATAAACCAAGCTGAAACAAAGGGGTTTTATTTTATGAAATTTCATTGAACTTCAGAATTCACTTAAAAAATGTTGAAATGGTTCAAAAAAAAAAAAAAAGCTGCATGATTTAAATCTTGGTACTTCAAGAAAATGTTGGCACTCCAATAAAGTATGGAATTGGCGGGAAACTTAAAAAATATTGCAGTTTCAATCTTACTTTTTCTCATAGATGCAGCTTTCATTGCGATCCAAAAGAGTTCACTCTCAGAAATGAAACTTGAAGGTGAATTTTGCATTTTTGAAACAAAGGATTGCATGTTGATTTAGCTCCTGGTGGAGAGCTTAAACCGGTGACCCTTTATTATTCCTCGGCCTCCTTGAAGCTGAATTTCTCTGATTGTCTCTTGTGTTCAGGCTGCAGGGAGGAGGAAAAGCTAAGGGTGAGTTGAAGCCAACAATTATCAGCCTGGCTGGATCTTCCTGTCCGCGGGATGATAATTATTGGAGGCAGAGCGATGCCGAGCAGCTGATCAGCTGCCCTCTGTCATTACACAGAGAGGGAGCAGAGAGGAGAAAAGAAGAGGCTGTAAGGAAAGGAGAGAATTGGAAGAGACAGAGAAAGTGTCAGGGATTTCATAAAGGTGGAGATGTTAACCTCTTTATACTCGCCTTCTCTCTGCAAGGTTACGTAATTTACGAGATGTCAGGAGGCGCCAGTGAACGTGTCGGAGGTGAAACCTGGCATGCCAGCGCTCAGCCCTGCAGACTCTGCAGAGCTGTCCTCAGAGCTCAAACTGTTGAGTAAGAGGAGTCAGGCCAAGGTTTGGGTTTCCCTTGTCTGAAAATAGAACAAATATGTGAGGACCCCCCTCACTATATAAGTCCATACTGCTATAAATCAAAACAGAGGAGAATGAGAGACTGTGTTAGCGCTGTCCAGGAGTGAACTACACAGAGCTAAGGGAGAATATGAAGTCTGTCTTTGAGTAAACTTATTAATTCAGATACACAAAAACTTTATACTTTTTACTCGTGCAACACCATGTCTACAGATTAATACATGATCAAACTATCTACTCTTATTTCTGCTGTGACGTATATTTTAACATGGTGTTCTATGGGAATTGACTCACTTATGGAGACTGCCTCTAGTGGACACAAAAGGAACCACAGCTTTTTATGCACTTAGCTCCATGTTTCAACAGCACTCTTAAATGCACCAATTTTCCTGACCTGCCTGAGTGTTTGCTGTGGTTATTGGTGTGACCTCCTGTAGTGCGTCCTAGTTAAAGCAGGAAACCTGAAGTATTTGTCAGGTTGATGGAAAGATGTTGACGTTAAAATAAACAGTTTATCGCCAGCGAGCTCCTCACACAAACTGATGAGATCGAAGTGTGTCAGATCATGAACAGAGTGGATTTTGCTTTTAAATTAGCTGCTGATGATTGACAGCTGGCTCCGCCCCCCCTCTGTAGTCGTGCAGGACAGAGCTGACGGATGTGACAGCTGTGATCGATGGTTCATAATAAACTGTTTCCTGACAAACACTGAGGCTTTCTGTTTCTAATAAACAGGCTCAGAAATGAGACGAGGGAGGAGACGGCGCTGATGTGTTCAGGCATTTAATGTCGGGGAGGAAAGCCTGGTGTCATGGTGAAGAGGGGAGGAGAAGAGGGGAAGGGGGGCTCCATGTCCTTGTCAAAGACCTAATTACCTGCAGCAGGAGGTGGGAGGAGGGGGGACTAACACATGGACCTCATATTCTTATTCTCTGAATCAATTCAGTCTGACAGCTTGCTGCTCAGCTTTTTGATCCCTGTTCATTTCCATTTTTTTAATGGTCCTGTTTAACTTAGCGCAACACAGAAACTATTAAGACCAGAGCCGTCATTTACAAAACAAAGCTCCAAGTTTTCACCCTTTTGCATCACCTTTTTTCCAAGCATTCTGATGACACCAATGTGCCATCAAGACGTTAGGAAAACATGATCAGGCTGCAGAACAAAAATTTGTGTTTGGATGATTCTGAACTTAAAAAAAAGATAAAATTACAATCTTTAGGTCTCAGATTTAAAGAAATACATTTATGCTCTGCATTTCTTCCAATTCTAGTAAAAAACAAAACAGGACACTGGTCCAAACTCTATTTTTTAGTCTGGCTTTTAGTTAAATTTTGTTTTAATCTTTTAATCTGCATTGTGATTTTACCTTACTTTAGTCCTATTTTTGTTTTACTACCTCTTTTTTGAGTTACTCTCTTTTATTGTTTGATTTTAAGACTGTTTTATCTAACCAACTTTTCAGGCTTGATCACCTTAATTATATTTTATCATGGTTTATCGTTTTAGTCCTCCATCCAGTGTTTCCTCATTTCTTTAATTCAAGATAGCGTTTCCTCAGTCATATGTGGCAAGTTGAAGAGTCCTCACCTGGTGTATGCATCTGTGTGTGTGAGTGCTGTATGGGTTTGGTATTTGAATTTCTATTTATTTTATTTTATTGTTTTAATATCCTACTTAAATGGACAGCACTATGTGTATGAAAAGTGCTTAAAAGTAAAGTTTGATTGATAGATTGGTTGATTGATATACGTGTCAATCTGACATGTTTAAAAGCACCTTAAAGAAGGTCAAGGGTACCTCAAAACATACAGTGAAAACCTCTTTAAATCTACCACATAACACACACTATAAGGCCTTAAAAGTGGTGCATTAAAACATGCGTTAGGTTACCCTTTAGATAATGTTTAAAGGTACCTTGAAACAGACTGTTATTTTAAGAAGACACCAAAGTCCCTTAAAACTAACACTGACGAGGCGTTTTGTAAGCAATACTAAAGGGTAACTTGAAACAGGTTTTCACACAAAGACACCCCAAAAGTACCATGAACCTTAAAATCATTCATTAAAAGCACACAAAAGACTAACAAAGCCTCGTTTCTAATCATAAAACAGAGATTTAGGGTTCCTCAAAACTGTCAAATAAAGGCGTCTTGAACTTGTTTTGGAGTACCCTTGAAATGAAGCTTAAAACAGACTTTTTAAGGAGGTATTGTTGTTCTCATTTCTACAGAAAGATTCGCAAAAGCTAAAGGGTACTTTTTTGGTTCCCACAAAAAGTATGTACCTTTAACCTTGTTTCTTAACAGATACTGAAACCGTTTCTGTCCTTTACTGTCACTCTTTGGTGTTAGACTGTCACACATTTAAGGCATGAAGAGCCCCTCTGCTGCTGAGTTCAAAGACCAGCCGCTCGGCAGTAATTCACAGTTATATGATGTGATGAAGAGGACCCATCACACACACTCAGAGGGGGGAGCTAGCAGCAGATGTATGACACCATTAATGGAAGCCTTTTAGCACAACAATTATCCTGTAATTTCATCTCCTCACTGAGACCTTCACTGTCGGTTATTACCCCTCAGGCTGTGAGGAGTCGTCCTTAATACCAGAGTATTGATTATAGGAACGAGATGATTCCACCGCACTGATCCTCAGAAACATAGAAAAACAAAGAATCACCAATCAATACAAAAACCTTTTAGATTGTAAATCATCAGGAAATAAACAAACATTATTACGCACTTAACCCTGCCCATTCAGCACAAAGGTCTGCAGTTCCTTTAGTGTCCACTAGGGGCTGTCTCCTGCAGTCACTCAGTCCCCAAAGAGTCCCATATTAAAGAGTCCAATATTAGCCGACCAGCTATGAGAGACACACAGACTCTGATATTTTGTAGGTCATGGGGTCAAAGTGAACATGTTCTGAGGTTATACTAATATAGAAATGTAATATTAGTGAAAATCAGCTGATTTGCTGATTGCTGGCATTCACTATTGAAAATAAGCTTATCGTATCAGTCTGGGGAAAGAGAAAAATGGTGGTAAGCCTTAATGAAAGGGTTGTTAATTAAAATAGAAACATGCAGGTTGCATCTCTTACATGAAATTGTCAAAATAGTGTCAAATAGCGTTATTTGTTGTTTAAATTTTATATTAATCAAAAGTTATTGGGATTTCTCTTTCAAAACCTCTTTTTTTACTTTTTTTTGTTTTGATGCGTTGTTGATGAGCTCTAACGAAGATTTTTTAATAAGGTTAAATTTAACATAAATGTATAATTCAAAGCTTTGCCACATGCACAATAAAATGTCACTTCAATCAAGCTTGAGGACGTTTTCTTTAGAACAAAAGCAGTAAACGCACCAGTGATGTGAACGCATATGTTTCTGGTAAGTCGGGAAAGTTAAAATAAGTGAAATTACGCAGCAAGTCAAAAGGAAAAACTGCTCGAACTGAAGTTAACGGTTGAATGTTAATAAAAATTATAGATGGAGATATTCTGCGCTGATTCCTCTGTGTTACCTGGCTATAACATTGACCCAAATGTGAGTTACACTCTTTCACAGCTGAACATGCTGCTTCTATTATAATAAATATCATCCAGGAATGTAATCGTCAATAAACAGGCATGCACCACATTTTTATGACAAATGCAGCCTCGTCAGCAGCCATGTCCTCATCGCTCCATAACAGGATTTGTGGTTCCAGCCTCAGCAGTTTCTTTTTTTTTTCTCTTCTAGGCTGTGTGGTCCATTTGGGGCTTAATGGGAGGGGGACAGGTGCAGCTACAGTCAGTCCTCTAAGTATAGACCCCCCTTCACCCCCCCTGAACCTCCACCAGCGGCAGCCGATCATTCCTGTCGCTCCTCTCTCTGCAGGGACAACAATACAGCCGCTTGGATGACCGACGCTGAAAAGCCTCCCACTGTCACGCCGCCAAAATCTCCCCATCTCTCAGCCTCCTGCATCATGTGGCCCCCTTCCTCTGAAAAAAGATGATCACACTGTCAATGTCACACGATGTAAATACATAATATGAAGTACCTAAAAAAGTGGCTAAAAGTTGCCTCTTTGTGTCTCTATTTTATCCAAAGTAGATATCTTTGTGTCACTGACTTTGCTTCTGAATACATTTTATTTGAGCTTTAGGGAGTTGCTCAGTTGATCCATGGCACCGTTCAGTCGATAAACCCTGAACACTGCTGTCAAGTATTTACCTTATTAATAACTGTAACAAGAGCATCAGACAGTGTATTAAATTATTCATCATAACAAACTGATCTCTGCGTGCGATCAGACTCCTCCAGTCCCAGCTGATTATCTGCGGGACAGGACTGTCGCTCCTCTGCTGCTTTCAGACGTGATTTTATCTAAAGAGCGAGCGTGTCACTTCATCTTCTGTTATCAGAGCTGCTCATCACATCTCAGGATGCTCTGGGACTTAAACAGACAGACCTGAACTCTGCCTGCATACAAAACATTCTTAGTGACTGCTGCACACCTGAATCTTATGTTCAATCTCAGCAAGCAAATCGAACCAGATAGAGATCTAACTAAAACTGTGTAAGTTTTGTTTATTTCCCATTTCAACTTAAACTGAAAAACTCTTAGGAGATGTAGGGTTTCACTTAAAAAAGGCTTTCATTAATAAGATGGACAGGGTTCCTGAAAACAGACGCTAAATCATAAGTTAGGGTACCCCCAAGTCTGAGGAGACCTTAAAACACATCCGGATGATTTCTTATAATAGTTGCTATGGGAATCTTAGTAAAAATGCTTAAAAAGGCTTTGAAAAGCATCTTAAAATATATTTAAAGGTTACAATAATTAGTTCACCAGACTCCACTGAAGAATCTTGTATTATTTTGTAAGTTTTTTACTGTTTAGATTCCTGCATTTCCAGGTTTTAAAGGGGTATTTCAGTATTTCTTAATTGATGTCAGTTAAAAGTGTTTTAGCCCCAATGGATACTGAGGGGCTCGCAAGGTAAGCTACTGCTCATAAGAAAATGTTTTTAATACAAAGTAATTAAGAAAGTTAAAGTGTGTATAAAAACAATGTAAATTAGGGTGACCATATTCTGACTTCTGACTATTCTGACACGACTACACAGGGACAGAGTCACGGAGTCGCACTAAGTTAATTTTAAGAATTTTTTGGGTCGGATCGGGTATCTTTTACGCGCTTCCAACTCAGTAAGTCCACATGACATAAAGTTGAAACTTAAGTACAAAACCACAGACATTTGACGGATTTTATAAACTTTTAAAATAGAGGATATATCCGGGTAAAAGAGGACGTATGGTCACCGTAATGTAAACTGTATTTCAAAATAAAAATTCATGATTAATTGTATGAAGCAAAGTTCTGAACTGTTGTTAAAAATTATATTAACTACATGAAGATTTGGCATAAACTTGTATTAAACAGTTTTAAAATCACTTTAAAACAATATGGTGGCTGTTCTGTCATTTTCTTTTGTATTGTTCTTATTTCAAACATGATTAATTGGTCTCTCTAGTCACAAGTAAAAAAACATTGATGAGTAAAATCTTAGCCTCCATGAAATCTTCATTTGTTCAAGCGTGCTGTTGACACAATGTGCAGAAGTGTGACCGTTGGCAGACCCATAAATCAGTAAATTATTGACCACATTAACTGATCACTGTTGCATGCCATCACCACAACGATGAACCGGACATTCAGATGATTAACAGCAGTGAAGCGTCTCACTTCCTGCTCTCTGTTTGTTTTTCTAATTCCATTACAGCCCTCACAGTCAAATTTATGGACTTAATAGATAAGTATATTAACATTACCCATCATGCCTCTGTTAGAAACACAGACGCGCCTTTTATTGGCAGCTCGATTATGTAAAGTCTTTCAGATAACCGTCCTAAAAAAGACCAACGTGCCTGGGCAGTATTTCCCTGAAAAGTGAGTGTGGGCGTGTGTGAGCGGACCTCAGTGTTGTCTTAAGGAGGCAGTTTGTCCAACAGCTAAGAGTGAGAACAGTGTGTGTGAAAACAGACTTCAAGATACCAGCTGGTCCAACAGGCTGCAGTCCTTTAAAATACATCATCTCATTTTTATTTGACTCAGTTAAACAATTTTAAGTAATCTTTTAATTGAAGTTCTAAGTTTTTGAAGTCCACTATTTAATTTGAAATAGCAAAGACAAAACTGGAAGCAGAGTTGAAAAAAAAAACACATTTCATATATATACACTTATGGAATTTATCTGGGTTAAATGGTAAATCATATTGATAAAACTTTGATTTATTGTGAGAAATAACTTTCTGAAAACATCCAGTCTGTATCTAATGATACCCCCGATTTTCTCACATGCATGCGATAAAGTACTGTAGAGATGGTAGTCCATTGAAGAGAAACCTCAACTTTCACTACTTTTGTATGTCTTGGTGACTGTTTTTGTTGTTCCGCACTCAGAAAAATAAACACAGTTTATTTTTTGTATTTACATATATTTGACTTTATTTAAACTATTATTATTAGAATTAATTTGAATAAATTTTCTAAAATCAGCATAAATGTTATTCTGAAAACAATTCAATTAAATCAGTTGAAACGTGTGAATATAGGTTAAAATTTATGAAACAGAAACAAATTGGAGTTAGTGATGAATACATAAATCTTCATTTTTTTATTGTAAACTTATTGGGTTTATCTGTATTATTTGATAAATCTAAATTTTAAATGTTTCATTTACACTTAACTGACAAATATGCAGCATGTTAAGTTTATTGGCCTGTTTTTTTTTTTTTAATCTAAGTAATTCAGATAGGTAGAAATTTTGTAGGCCAAAAAAATACTTCTGGGAGTGCATTAAGTTTATCTATCAGTTAAGCCAACGGTAAAAAAAAGTCCTGCACTTTTGGTGTAAATGTAAAGAACACTGTAAAAAAAAATTGGTGGATCTGAGATCTAAATTCATCAAACTAGCAAATCAATCTGCTTACAAATATGTGATAGCTTTGCCAAAGTGTGTCCAAAGCATCAACAGACAACTTCAAAATAACTGTCTACATTCATACAACCAAAGCAGTCTGTAAGAGGACTGAGAATAGAGCCCTGAGGAACACCAACATCAAGTACACCATCAAGACTTCATTTGACACATTCAAACAACAGTCAAACAACAATCAAATGTACTGGAGAGAAAATTTAGACCCCAGCTCAGGTCAAGACGTTAAGTAAAAAAAGGTCAAATTGTCTCCTTGAATCCCTTTAAACACACCTGAATTTGCCCTTTGTTGACTCTGTGCATCATAAAACTTTGCTTAAAACTTTATTAAAAGCTGTCAACAGTTCAGAAACTCCTCTAAAATCCTCGCAAACAAACTAACAAACAGGACGGTGAACCAGCCGTCCAGCAGAGGTTATAACACTGAACAAACACGGTGAGAGCAAACAAGCCTGTTTGTGTATGGATTGTATTTTCATTCATAAACACCCCTGTGCGCAACATAATCAGCATTCTGAGAGCGCAAGCGTCTGCAGGTATCCATGCATTCAAAACGTCATCTGGAATGAGGCCAATTTATCTGAGATTTGCACAATTTGTTGTGAGCTCTTGTGGTAAATTGACTCTGACTGCTGCAGAGCCGTGCGGCGCCATTCTGTGCTGATGATCTCCTCCCTCCCTCAGACCGAGATCATGAAGTGAAAGGCTGCAGAAAACAAGGAGGACCCCCTCCTCAACGCTCCGCTGCCTACCTGCAATCACACTCAGCCTCAAAGTGTGTTCATGTGTGTGCTCATGAACATGTATGTATGCGCCCGGGGCGGTTCATGGTCTTGCTTTCAATCTAAATGGTCATTAATCATGTCACGAACCGCAGCATCACTCTGAAGCCCTTTACTGGTTGGTTACTGCGTTTTCTCCCTCAGAGGCTGTCAGATCAATAACACAACCCACTGAGGTACAAAACACACAACACACTGGGGAAAAACACATAAACAGGCTGCTGCTGTTCATAACCTGTTCAGGATTTGTAGTGCTAATACACAAAGAAGGTTCTTATTGGAGATTTTTCCTCTTAGTGCCGACATTGGTCTTCCACTTTAACAAATCATTAAGTAAACCATGAAACCTGCTGCAAACTCAGAATCTATCAACAGTTCAGGGTCTACTGCTGCAGGACTCTTCTACCACAGCGATGTGCTTTGTATGTCTAATATTTGCTTTCATTCAACAACAACAAAGAAAACCTGAAACCAGTTGGTAAAAATCGTGTAACAGCAGCAGCTATAAAACCTTTACTTTCTCTGTCACGGGCCTACGTCATTGTTGTTGACAAAGATGTTTTCCATGAGTCTGACTGGTTGTTAATTAAAAATGTACAACTTTGAGTACGAAAGAGTTTCTAAAGTTGAACTATTTTTGACGGGGAGTCAAGTGAGTTTGGTTGGCTGCGTTGGTTTGAATGGAAAATAGATGCTGCTAAAGCCAAAAAACCTAATTGACACAGTCCTTAAAACTGTACCTCCATCTAAATCTAAAGGTCTTTCTGTCTAATAGAGCTGGGAAATTAACTGATTTTAATTTCAACCACAACTATGGCTCCTCACAATCACAAAAATTCGACAATGCCACAAGTGGAGAAAGGAAAGTCTGAAAAGCAAAGGGACAGAGTGAGCTCAACGAGACAGAGGTTGCAGCGTGCACAAGTCAAAGCTAAGAATCCAGGCTAAACAGTGAAATGGGTCAGTATCATGATAAAGTCTTGACTTGATAAAAAAAACACAGACTTTAAATGACTAAAGTAAAGAGTTAGAACTACAGTTTGTGATAAATTGTTAATGGTGGAGGGGCCTTTAGTTTTAATAACTGTAAAATAGGCGGAAAGGTCGTCTTTTGTAGAAGAAAATACATGTGAAGCTTTTTTTTTAAAACTTGTTTTTAATTTTTTAAAAAGGTTAAAAGTTCAGCAAATGCCATGAGTAATCATGTTTAAAAACAATTAAACCAACAATCTGTGTTTGTTAGCAAGAGCTGAAGATGTTTTTTGACTTTGAATTGAATTGAAGCCATTACTGTCAGTTTCACTGCAGCGGGCCGAGGAAATCCACTGGAGCTAATCCAGGTCTTTTTGTACTCATTAGTCATTTGGACCTTTTAGCCTGTAAAAAAAAAAAACATGAAGAGGGATTTAAGATATAAGAAGCACCCTTTAATAAGATGCTCCATGGTTGCCCTTTTTATCCCCCTTGTGAGAACCCCCACCACTGGGAGCCTGCTGCACAAACAAAGCATGGAAACGTCCCGTTAGACACAGCGGGGTTAAATAAAGGTTTCCAAACACACACGCTCACACACACACTGCTCTGTGTGTCTGTATCAGATCTTTCTGTGTCACTGCTGCTTCTGATCTTGTTGGTACACCAGAGAGAAGGTCGTCTGACTCTTCTGTCTGACAGAGAAATCCTCATCAAAGCAGACAGAGAAAAGCTCCTCTGTCTGTCTGTTTGTCCTCCTCTTCTTCTTCTTCTCTTTGAGGTTTCAGAGGAGCAACACCAGCTCTCGAGGTAAATCTAAAGGCTGAACACGAGGAAACACATCTGGAGGTAATTAATGCCAAACTGAACCCCTTTCAGATGACTAAGATTTGTCTCAATATCCGGTGAACATGCACATTTTTTCAGTATTTTTTGCTTAAACAATGTTGATTAGCTTCTGATGGTCCGCTGAGAAATGTCCAGAAGGCAGAAACACACGGTTCTCAATCTTCAGCAGATATTTAGTTTTAAAACAAGTGGAAAATATCAGTCAGCTGCATGATATTCAACCTGAGTCCAACACAAATACTCTCAAATTTTCCCTCCAAGAAGAAGAAGTAGAAGTGGAGTTCTCCATTAGTCACAGATTATTGACCTGTGTTTTCTAGGTATTTGCTCCAAGCAACATTACAAAGTTCACCTTTTAAGTTTTCTGATTTCTAGGACAGAAAAGGAGAGTTTTAGTTTCACTTGGCTTTTTAAATGCACTCAGAAATAACCATAACGCTACCCTGACTGTGTTTGATGTGGTTAAGATGGAAATATTTAAACATAGTTGTCTTAGATGTCATAGATGTCTGTCATAAAAAGTTTAAAAGTTACAGCAAAGTTGCCAAAAAACTGAAGCAGGAGAAATGACTTGTCTACTTCACTTTAACCAGCCTCTTTTATATTTTGACTGAACTTTTCTGAAGCATACAATAAACCAAATGTGGGATGCAAAACACAAACAATCCCGCAAGCACAACAAACAGAAACCCGAGTTACAAAACCCAGTGATTATGAGCCAGGTAGACGTCCTCTAAATGTCAACCCTTTGGTCTTATTTTGTCCGTAGTATAAGAAGAAAGTATTTCTAGAAAACTGCTGATCACACATAAAAGCTAACAGGAGTCATGCGTGATTTATCTGCTTTTTAAAATCAGAGGAAACACGACAATGCTCTGTTTGTTAGAAAGCAACCCGCCCCTCCTGACAATGGGAATGCTGGTAACCATGCGACGCTCTCACAAACTGGAGGGCCGAGCAGGTGCTGAGGACTTCTGCTGGTGGGTGGCAGGCGACGGTTGGCACAAACACGCCTTTCATTGGTAAGTAAGGCTATTTTTATCCCGGTGCCCATCCCATGAAGAAAATATGTCCTGAAAAAAAAGTTCCACCCTGGTGACGACTGAGCTTGTTGTTGAAGAGGAGTCGATGCCTGAGGGTTTCAGTGCGTTTCAGAGGGCAGAACAGCCTGTTACAGACCGCCACTCTGTGTGTGAACGTGATAATGTGTGGGGATCGACACTCAGACAGCTGGAGAATAAAGAACATCAAAAATAAAAGTATACTGCAGCAGCATGAAAGCCGGTTACACCAGAGTATCCCGATGTGATCTGAAACATGAAAGTATGTAGGATCATCTGAGCCATGACGCGCTATCTTCAATGTCCTTTTGAGTCCAGCTCTAACTGTCTAGAAACTCACCACTCTGTGAGAAACTGCGAGAGTTAAGAGTGTCAAAGGTCAAAGAATGAGTGAATTTCATCATCTACAAAACATAAAGATTCAGTGAGTCTGGAAAAATCTCTGTACTAAAGGGACGAGAGCTAAAACCAAGACTAGATGGTCCTGATCTTCAGGCGGCAGTACCGTATTTATGTAAAACAGATAGGACTCTGGAGTGGAGATCCCCACATGGGATCAAAATCACAATGATTGTGAACCATAGACTTGGTTACGCCTTCTGCCAGTATATAGGTCTGAAGCCAAAAAGCTTTCGGTATTTCCAGGATTTTTCTCCACTTCCTGAAACCAACATTGCGCAGTAGCGTTGTACGCGTTTGGTGGGAGAGTTGCTGTGGCTCGGTGCTCAACACTTGGCTCAAACAGCATATCCCATATCTTTGTACGCCCATAGGCTGTATCAAGTGTCAATCATGGAAAACACGAACCTCTCATAACTTTTAAAAACAGCGCTGTACAGAAAAAAAGAGGACTTGAGCACAAACCGGTCTTACTGTAACTACATGTCCACATCTCAGGGGGGAGAAAAATTCATATTCGGTGTGATACACTTCTTAAGTTTGTCCACAGCTCCATAGGCATTGCTGGAGGAGGCGGGATTTATGACCTATACTGCAGCCCGTCACCAGAGGGTGCTGTTCTCAGGGAGGCTTCCCCCAGCAAGGAGGCAGACAGCGTGCATTATATATACAGTCTACATTGAGAACACAGTCCATCATGCATCCACAAGTTGAAAACTGTCCTGTCATTTTATAAATCCAAATTTGACATCTCTTTGGTGGGAAATCATGGATTTCACTCTGAAAAGGAAACCAGATATAAACAAAAATTACCAGATCCTGTATCCTCCTCGCTAATGAAGAGGAGGGACTATCTGGCTTGTTGAATCAAAATGTGATCTTCCTTTTGGAAATCCTGGATGCTGCATCCTCTGCTCGGGGACCACCCAGCTCACAGTTCAAAGCCAGCATCCCTGATGATTCATGTTGTCTTTGCTCTATTTTCAATTAAATGTAATGTTTGAAGAATTTGTTAACCACCTCCGTCTCCTCCGCTGTGACAGTGTTTGGATTATAGTTTTACTGTAACAGTGTGTGTGTGTACAGTATCTGGGCCTTCAAATGTCTGTTTTTCTCTGCTGCTGGGCAACTTTATGTCACTGTAAATGAGCGGTCACTGAGGTTGTGCCCTTTTAAATTACCAGGTGGAGGTTCAGAGTAAATATAGTTAAGCCAGAGAGCAAATGGAAAATAAAAACACCTTTTTCTCTGTGGTTTTCTAGAGTTATTTTAGGAGGGAATGACTCAAAGAGACCCGGAGAAATGAGACAAGATTAGTGCTGAGGTAATTGACTGGATTAAATTGTCTGCAAAAGGGAATTAAATCTAATTGAAACCTGCAAAATGATTTAAATCAGTGTTTGTAAGAGACAGAAAATCTATCTAGGTTTCCTTTTTTCAGAGAGTGTCTTAACAAATTATCGCCAACATCTCATGAAGGAGGCTGTTTGTCGTAAATGTAAATTGATGTTGCCTCTCAGGTCATCTCTAACACTGTACTGTAGCTCTTTGATGTGCTAATGTTATTTTCATGGCACACATGAATGTATTGTGCGGCAGATGAAAGGAGTTTCCGACCAGCTCAGAGCTTCAGAGGTTTAAAACATGACGGCGGAGACCTGCAGGGAACAACAAGAAAACACAGACGTGAGACAGTGAGGGGGTTTAAAGCTGCAGACACCAGGGCTGAGAAATAAAGCTATCATTAAAGACCCACTCTGATGAAAATCATGTTTTTCTTGTTGTCTACATGTTCATATGGCATTTTTCTGATGCTACAGGACATATGAGAAAACTAAGTGCGAAATTGTATTTCTGAGTATTTCTGCATCCAAATCGCTGTGAATCTCTGGCAGACCCAAATGGCAGGATCAGAAACAGTGAGATTTCCTACATCACAAATCCAAGCTCCGCCCCCTGAGCCCCGCTGTGCAGGCCAGACTCCGAAATGTAGAGAGGACAATCGCGAAACAAGCGTGTGCGTTAGCGGACTGCAATAAAAGCTAATTATAATATTAGCTTACATCATGTCCCTAAAGAAATTAGTGTCCAAGAGCTGAATAGCTACTATGTTGCCTGCCACTTCAGCTGCACAAGCAATGTCAGGCTGCAAGTTGGCGTGAAGGCAAGTGTGCAGAGCAGTGCTGTCTCCACCCACAACTCAGGTGAATTGCTAATGAGCAACTGGAGCTCTGCAGAAGAAAAAGCCCTTGAAAATGACACAGGTGATGCGATTTGGCCTAAAAACTTAAGACCACCGAGAACACTTTAAGTAGGAAAAAAAAGTTTGGAAAAAGGGACTTTAAAGTCCCAAAAACTGCAGTTCCTCGACTGCCCACTGGGGGTTGACTCCAAAGGTGAGTCACTTGACAGAGGGCAAAACACCTCAAGTAGGACCCTCTGCAGTGAATATGGCCCTCCTGTCTACAGTATGAATTTTTCACCATTACCTCTTTGCAGCTTCTCTCATCACAAGAGCTCTGCTGGTCGTTCACACTGAAGATCTTTGTGTAAATCAGCGTTTATTTCCTCACAGGTATGAACCGAAGCAGTGCTGTGCTGTCAGGCCTGACAGGTGCTCTGTGTACATTGGACTGCAGCCTGAGGAGCGCTGCCAACTGCAACTAGGGCACACATTTGGCAGGTGGTCAGCAGCTCTACAGCCTCCCTCAGACCGCAATGGAAAAACATAACGAGCATAAATAAGTTCCATGTACGCAGACACAGAGGGCAAACACGGACGTGTTTTTTTTTCCTTTAACAAGCAGGCCAGTGGTTGTTTGTAAAGAGCGTCCTTTCCTGAGAAAACTGGACACACCCAGCAGTTTGTTCCCCCTCAATTAGGTGAGTTCAAATTAAGGGTAATTAGGCGAAACTAAAAATGAACCAGGGACATTTCAGACATGCAGCTTTGTTTTCATACCCACTGAGGACACGTGGGTCATGTCCTTGGTCATGTTTCTGACATTTTAGGTGGTTTTACAAAGTTTATTAAACTCTTTCTACCTTTTTAAAGCTGATTCTAACATCATGAAGTACAAAAGTTGAGCTTTTTGGGATTGAGTGCATACTAAACCTGTCATTAAACCGTTAAAAAAAAAATTGGAAAATTATAAATATTCACAGAATTCATAATTATAAAGTAGCATAGTTGAAAATCAATTGTTTTGGAAACATCTGATCATCTACAACAAGTATATCAGCAAGAAAAACTGTCAGAAAGTGTCTAAATTTAGCATATCAGCAGTGCCTGGTTTAAATCGATATCTCCATAATTACTGACAAGTCCTAAAGCAAGAAAAGTTAGAAATCAGTTTGTTAACGAAACTTAACAAGACTTTCGTGGAGTCAGTCTGTCCTCGAGCCAGTCAGATGAAAACAGCATCTTTCTATATACAGAAAATAAATTGGTTTGCGCCTTTTTTATTTCAAATTTGGCAGTTTTATCAGTCTTAGTGCACACTTTAGCCTCAGACTGGAGCATGATCAAAGTCTGCAAAACAAATTTGGTTAATTAAAACTCTGCAACTATTAAAAGGAAAGATGTAGATGAGTATTGTGTAGAAAAAAATGTTTAATTTGTGCAAAAATGTTATAAAAAGGTATCCAAACTGCTTTTCTGTTCAACCTGGACTCTCGTGTCGCATCATTACATAAGAAATGGTCAGTGTTGAGTTACAGGAGGAGGTCTCAGGTATAAAAACTAAAATCGATCCAAGATGTGACACTTTATAGACAAACTGAAACCACAAAACCCTGAAGGAGGCAGAGAAGCTTCCAGATCTCAGGTTACTTTTTACCCATTAGCTTCCTCGGAACTGCTGTGCAGGTTTCTGATGTTCAGGGTTTTTACAGACTCTGCGAGGGACTGTGGGCTGTGGGCTCTGACAGACAGCTGTTTGTGTGGAGGATTAGCTTTTACTGGATGTGATGACGAGCTCGCTTTGAAGTTTGAGCCGCTGGTAAATGAAGTGAAACTCGAGGCTACAGCGCAGCGGGGCTAATGCTAACGCTCGAAAGACAACGCAAGCCGTTTACATGCAAACACCTGGTTAGTGCTGTCAAGAGGTCGGACCAGTCCGGGACTCAAGAATCAGACAGAGAAAGAAAACAATGACCCTCTAAATGGATTTTTATTGATAATTTTTATATTGTTTCATGTGATCTGCAGCAGGTGTAATTAAATCTGCAATAATATAACCATTCTTTGACCAAGTGGAGAACGTCAGATCAATATTTCTATACATGGTGAGCTGCGTCCTCACGCCTATTTAGCAGGTAACAGCTTATGCAAAGTAAGAGGGTCATCTGACAAAACATTACCTGTCAAAATAAAAGTATGTTTGTTTTTTAGACCAGGAAATAAAGAGAATAAAACACTAGGATCCACTATCTCCCTGTACCTTCATGCAAATATCCAAATAGGTCGATCAAATGTGTAGGATGTAAGTTGGCATAACCTTGCCATGCATGGAAATGAGCATCACATACTGTGCACATTTTGCATAACTGCTGATTAGTTAACAGAAGATATTAAAACGCTATGAGGAGCAGATAAGTATAACTGAAGCTGAAGAATAGACACACGCCTTTTCCACAGGGGTGCAAAATGAAAGGAGAGGGAAGGGGTGAAAAAAATGCAAAGAAGTCCAATTGCATTTAAATAATTGTTGGAGTTATTATAATAAAAAGGACAGTGAAATACAAAGCTACAAATCGAACCCTGTTGAAATTAGGTTGTTGAACACCTTTGGGACTCTAGTGAAACAATGCTTAATAAACCCGGCATTGTAAATCTTGTATTAGGCAACATCCCACTTGATAAATGTATCTTATTATTGATTGAATTTGCTGTTTGGTAGGATTAGTGAGAGTTTTAGTTCCTCAGGTGGCTCTAAAGTTAAAGAAAAGCCGCCTCTTCTTTGACAGTAGAGCAGATCTGTTTTAATCTGCACAGTCTGCAGCTGTTTTATCAAGAGTTGAATCTGTAACACAGCAGGAGAAGTCGATCCAGCTGTTTGAACATCAGCAGCTGTTAATGACCGAGTCGCTTCCCTCCTCTGAAGGAGTCAGTGTGTCACAGACGCTGTCACACAGAAAGAAAAGACTCCAGAGAGGAAATATGCAAATGCTGCTCCTCTTTGAAGTAAAAATGTCTTTCTTTGATGTTTTTCTGCACAGATTTGACTTCTCTTCATTTTCTCTCCGTCTCTGTCTGGAGGAGGTTTTATTAAAAATCCTCTGGATATTTGTTACAGTGAATTCAGGATTTTGCAGCATTATTATGGATGAATGTGACGCTGAAAAGTGGAGAATTACTCCGTTTGCAAATTCAAATCCATAAATGTGTCTCAGGATTCTCAGAAAATGGAAATGTATTTTTCCACATGGGAAGTCAGCTCAGTCAAATGTTTATGTATTAAGTATGAATTATGTATACAGTGTTTAAGGGCATATGGACTCTGCTGCTGCTGCTGCCTGGAGCTATTTGTTTTCTTGCTTTAAGAGTCATATCAGGGAGTTTTTGAAATGTGAGAAGTTACATTATTCTACAGGAAACTTTATCTAACCTGCAGGTTAAATAATAAAAAAACAAACTTCTTATTTACTTAACTTACACTATGAAAGCCCTCGTTTCAAGCATTTTGTTTTGGCTTCTCTCCCACTGAGAGAAACGTAGACACAGCTGTGGGTGTTACTTTTTACACAGCTTTGGCTAAGACTTTACCTCACAACCAAAAGAACCATTAGAGAAACTTCCAAAGACAGACCAAATCAACAAAAAGCAGAGAGGAGGAAAAAACCAAGGGTAGCTCATCCGCAAGATACGCTGTTTGAGCAGAGCCTCATCACAACAACTCTCCCGCCAAATGCGTACAACGCTACCAAAAAACCCGGAAATACCGAGAGCTTTTTGGCTTCAAATCCATATACTGGCGGAAGGTGGAACCAAGTTGTCCATAGTATATACAGTCTGTGGGTTTGACAGACACTCCAGGTGGGAGTGTGCTTGAAAGACCTGCTAGGTGGGCGTGTCCTACAACACTGTCATGTCCTTGTCAGAAGACAGTAGCTTCTACTTTCTCCAAAATTACTTTTTTTTTTTATAGAAATAAGACAAAAGAAACAATTATCAAATTTCAAGACCAGATATATTGATAAATGGAATTCGCTCACATTAAATGGATTAAAAGGTTAAATTTGTAGCCCTAATTGTCATGACTGAAAGTGTTCAATCTGCACAAACCAGTGTCTTGCAGTATGTTGGTCCTTGTGTGAGTGTGTCTGTGTTGTGTATACAGTCGTTGTGTATGTCCGGGCATCAATGGTTTCTGTGTCTGTTTTGTGTTTGTGTTTCATCACCTCAGATTTAAGCCTCTCAGCTCAGCAACAGTGCGGCACCTCTGAGGATTCATGAGCATAATCTCCATCTATAGTGAGAGTGTGTGTTTCTGTGTGTGTGGGGGAGAAGTTCTGCTCTTGTGAGATCCAGCTGAAGTCTTCAGACCTTCACATGCTGACAGATCTTCCACAGTGGTTAATGAAAGGAAACCGGCTGACATTTTTCTATTTTCAGGCCGGTTGTGTCTCCAGCGTGTGTTCGAGAGAAGCGTTTGGCACAGTGAGCTGCAAAACAGATCAACAATGAGGGTAGCGACCAGCTCAGCAGAGCCTGCTGGAGCGCTGCTACCAGTTATTTACTCACAAAAAAAACCTGACATTATAATTGATTTTAGCTGGAGGGATCCACTCTGAAGATGAATAGTTGGCTTCCATGATGGTTAAGGTGTTTAAAAGGTACCAGGATCTTCTGACCTAGTTCCCTAATTTTCGAGGTCCAGGATCTGAAATCGTGCAGCCGAAGCATTTTGATTTCCAAACACTGACATCTCACAATTTGCTGTTTGGATGAACATGGATGAGAAAGGACCAGATCTTTGATGGCTGCTTCAGACTGCAAGCGTGCTGGATCCCTGACAGCAGTGGATTGGGTTTGTTTTCATTTTCTGTAAGCATGTTAACAGATTAGAGCGTTCAGACCGCCGGCACATCTCATGTTGGTGTCACATGCCAAAAATCCAGAGAACAGAAAGCGTGCCTATTTTTCTCCATGAGCAACATGACCAAAATGCGCAGATAGATGATAAACTGAGGGTAACTCAGGAGTTTCTTGCGTTTTGTAAGATCACCTGCTGACCACTCCGTCCGCTCCTTCCTGAGCGTTAACCTGAATATGAAAACGCCTCGGGACTCTCCTTCGCCCCGTCTGAAGCTCTGACAGCGTCTGTGCAGGAGGACGTTTGGCATTTAGCTGCAGCCTGCGTGTTGTTGTGGGGAGTCAGCCATCTGTCGTCCTCCCTGGTTCGGGTCGAGAATCGCCCAGGGGTCTGGGGGCCAGGAGGCGGCGCACCAGAGAGGCCTTGAGGCTTGGCTCAACCTCTGTGAGCCCTGTGTGGTATTTTGTAAAAACACCTGAGCTCTGAGCCGAGGAACAGAAGGAGGGCGAGTGTCGGACAGAGAGGATCGATAGTCTAACAGGGAGAATTCAGTATAATCGGGTTCTCTCTTCTGTTGTGTTTTCTCACTTAAATCGCACTGATTTCCAGCTCATGGTGTCGTTAAAACGCCTCATCAAACGGGCTGATTTAATTAGACTCCAGCTGCCTCCACCTGAACTCCTGTTTTCTGTCTCAAATTACTCCTGATTGATTTCAGCTCTGACGGATTAAACATGAGGTTATTTTTAACCTCAGAGCCAGAGAGCAGAGTGCGTATTCTCATCAGACAGATTTACAGAGGGATTTCGTTATCAGGTTTGGTCTTCATCATCGGATAATCTGATGAGATCAACCCCGAGGGTGTTACTCAAAGTCAAGGATGGGTCTTTGGAGGGAGGGTCCAAGAGGGCTGGCAAGACTCTTCCCAGCATGAGCAGGTCCAGGAACATGTTGTAGTCAATCTGAGTTTATGTTCATCTTTGAGGGCTCGGCCTCAATGTATTCTGATAATTATTGACTAAATCTTTCTTTAATTAATACCCTGACACTTCATCGAGTGAAAGGACCCTACTCAAACCCTAAAGGTTATTATTATTCTTGTTCGGTCTTTCTTTCTTTCTTTGATATCTGATATAAATCCCTCATTTGGAAGCCCCAGCATGCTCCAAAACTCCCAAAAATTCACCGTACTCATCAGGCCTGGTGAAAAATGATAGTTGTTGAGGTTTAAAGAGCAGAAGAAGAACACAAGTGGGAACACGTCCATCCAGTTTCCGGGTGGGCATGAGTTTGGAGGAGTTGCTGAGTGCCCCCATAGACCTAAGTAGATGCTTCATTCCGTGCTGGAGCGTAATCCAGCATAACCACCACATTGGATGGGTCCCCTCACATTTGGCTCGCACCAGAGCCAACCGAAGTCAACGGAGAACAAGCACTATGCCCGTTTTTTTGTGCAGCCTACGACTGCACTTACCAGCGCAGTGTTGAAATCAGATCACCAAAGATTACGTTGCACAAGTAAGATTGAAAAAATATATATTTCTTCATATTTAATGTGTGACAGCATCCGGAATCATCCGTACATCTCTGCTGTTAGTTACAAACCAAAGCATGTAAAAAAATCTGAAAAAAATTTGGGGAGTTACAATGGAGGTAGTTGGGCATTCCTACCTTCCCCAGTAGGAATTCCCGAGCTCCGAGTTGGAACTTTCAACTGGAACAACCCACGGGGTCGGACAATCCACACAACCCCCCAGTTGACATTTAAAGATGGCTGCACTGGTTGTAAAAGCTCCTGTAATGAGGAAAAATAGGCTACCTTCTGCGCCTTGTTCCTCTTCGCCCGCGTCCTCTTCATCCACCGTGTTTGCAGGTTGCAGAAGGACTGCATATTTGTCCAGAAGTTGTTTAAATTCGGACAAGGCAGGCGCAAGAACATCTTTTGTAGATGTACCAATCGTGTTTCTGCTTCAGTTTTTGGTCGTTGGCGACTTTTTTCCAACTTTGTAACTGAAACGCTGATAACTCTGGTGTGACGTCATTCCCAGCTCCGACTTCCAAGGTAAATGGGACGCACCATAAATGCTCTTGGGGCACTTGGGGTACCCATCCAAGATGGCAGCCGCGCTGATACATCAGCTCCAATAGGCAGCGCAAGTCTATGAGGCATCAACATAGACATATATTGTCTATGTCTATGGTGGGCAAGTGGGCACAAATTGACATCAGATTATGGCCATGTCTCAAAACGAGGCATTCAGGAAACCTGGGTAACATCATTCAGGATCATTCTCCCATTCACATATGTCACGTTATGAAACTTTGCTGCGGTTCGATGTATTCAAGTACAGTTCAGTATAATAGGTCTTCTTTGAACTGTTTTTCTTCTACACTTTATACTCTCAGACTCATTTTATCTCTCTGAAAGACTGCTTTTTCATTTCCCTGTAAAAATTGACTCAGATGAGGCAGGATAAATTCTCTGATACAAAATGTCCTGTCAGTGAGAGCGACATATTTCACTGATCCATCAGATGCAGCGAGCAGGGAAAGTCCCTCCAGGACTTTGATAAATCATCTGTCGCTCGACCTCCCGAGGCCGCACAGCCGACCGTCCTTCACAGACAAACATGCAGCGCACACCGCAGCCAGCGCCTCTGTGTCAGGACGCGGACATACGATCCATCACAGCCGACAGTCATTCACTGAGGTATCATGTGTTGTCACCGATGAGATTAGTGGAGGAGCTTTATTGAGCCTCAGAGGGGACGAGGACGCGGCGGGATGGATGTTAACTGTTCCTGATCAATAAGGAGAAGCTGTGGACTGAACTCCCAATCCTCAGGAGGTGCATTAACCTGCCCTGCTCGAGGTAATGCATCTCTGAATTAAGTGGCCCTGTCACTCCTCTGGTGTCAGCGGGTGATGTTTAACCGCCCTCTTTAAAATCAGATGAGTAAGAATATGTGACGGGCTGCTGAGCGGGTACAATCACAGAGGAGGGTGTAATGCAAATTTCCTCTGAGGTGCGTTCATGCTCCCTACACACTGAGGTAATTTCCAGCGCTCTCGTGAGTCACCCGCCTCTGAGCCTTCAGGTCTTTTGTTGTTCTGGTGATCTAATGAAGATCCAAACACGTGAGCTAAGGCAGCCAAGTACATATGTCCTTTTATTTACTCGGGTAGAAGAGCACATGCTTTATCCTGGTGAGGTTGTTGTTGTTATCCCCTCACAGTTTTGATTGATTTGTAGGACTGGGTGTTCTCAAGATGGAGATGCATGACAAACACACAGATTTCATATCAAGTAAGAGCATTTTGTTGCATAACTCAGAGCGTCTTCTTGTGGGCTGATTGATGCTCTGACACATGCAGGCTCACCCACACAGCGGGTGAAGGTCTTTAGCATCAAGGGGAGGTCAACTCCAGACCTCCTCCGTTTCTCCTCTGTCTCATGAGGATCCTCCAGAGGCCCTCAGCAAAAACCAAACACATCATCCACGCTGGGAGCTGAGCCACTCTGAGACTCTACAGTTTTAGACAAAGAAAATTCAAACATTGTCTGAAAAAATGTAAAATTTTTCCTCTCAATGATCGGACACCATCACATCCTACAGAGTACAAAGTTCCCCATTTCCCCCCTAAAAACATAAAACTCCCAGAACTCAGGCTTGCTTTGGTTGATTGAGTGATGAGTGGGATAGTGCGTAGTGGCCTGGTCATTGCTGATTAAAACCCTTTTAGGCAATTAAAGAGACCTTCTACTCTGCAGCCTTGTCCACACGAAATATCTGCGTAAACATGAAACCTCTGAAAACCACTGGAAACGATGTAGTGCATATGCCAAGCCAGTGTGTGGCGCCGTAATGCTGCCCAAGGAATGCGCCAAAAGAAAGAGAAAGAGTACAGATCCCGCAAATAAAGATTTTGTGCCATTGTAGGTACCAGATCGGACAAACCACATTGCACTCCATTTAATGAGTCAAATGTGCTCGGCTAAAAGTCCCTTTTGAGGTTTTCTTTATTTCTCTTTGTTCATTCAATTGAACTTGAAACTTTCTCTCCATATGATACAGAGAATTACAACTTACTCTACTGTAATTTTTAGATCACTTTAATTGTATATTTTAACTTTTGTAAAGGAAAAAGAAAAACAAGATAAACGCAAGATCTCAGTTTAGCAATAGATAGTTTTGCTTTTATTCCACATTTCCTTTGGCGACCTAAAAGATGCGGTTGTCCGGCTGTCTTAAGTCCTCTTTGATAAGTAGCAATAGATTGCTTCATAAAATTCAACAATCCCATGAAACCTAATACAGCGAAAACCACTTCAATAATGTCCAGACCAACCACAATCTTCTATGTCATCTGAACCAACTTCCAGCCAATCATTTAGTGTAATGTCATCAACAGGCGTAAGGCCCCGAGCCGATCTGGCAGCCCGAGCACAAATATGCATCTACATGGAAATGAAACTGTAAGTTTGGCACCCGAAGCGTAATTTCTATGTGGATAAAACGGCAATGACAAAAAAAAAAACTGCATTTACTCTTTAATTCATTTCCATTTGGACAAGGCCTATGTCTGAATCTGAAATTTACATAACCAAACATCATCGCTCACATCACTTTTAACGATCTACTTTACTTGTCTCATCTTAAGTTTTCAGCTGTCTTTTCTGCTTCTTCGTGCCACAGCTCATTTCTGTATCAAAAATGTTTCAGGGAGTATAAGAGGAGACAATGAGGGAGTCTCTGTGGGGAATCCTCCTGCAGGACGCCAAGCTGCTGTCACATCAAGTCCTCAGAGAGTGTAAAGAGGCAGATTAGAGTCCGAGCTGCTCTGACGGATGCTGCTCTCCTTTGATGTCCTCTGACTGAAACGGCTTAGCAGAAAATAAAAGCAGCAGAGAGGAAGACGGAGCAGGAAGTGCAGCCTTATTTTCCCTCACTGGCTGGGGAAGATCTTGGGAAAAAGAAAACAGTTAATTGAGTTTTCTGTTTCAGTTTGTTTTTCTGGGCTTGTCGAGGTCCATCTTTGGCACGGCGCGGCGTGTTTGGATGACGAACAGTTGGACGTGTTTTACAAAGCTCGGGCAGGGATCCAAACATAAAACCCACAAGAAAGAGCAGGTTCCACAAGCTGCAAAGCCCACTCTCAGAAATATATTTAGAGGCTGAATACAACCTCTGTCTCCACTTTGTACAAGCTGTACGGACATTAAATTATCTTATTTCTTGGTTAAAATCAGTGTGACATTTTGAATCTTGGAACTCAAAAATAAGGCACTGTATTTCTTACTTAACCGTGGTTTAAAGTCATGTGTTTTAAGCCAGTTCTTTCTGGTACGTTCATGGGTATAATCAAAAACAAAAACACTCTTTCTTACTTGTTTTGCAATGAGAATTTGGCCTCTAAAAATAAACTCCAAAACAGTTAGCACTGTGTTCAAGGTATGCAGCTAAAAAATTGAAGAAAATTCATCTTTGTATGAGGAGGACTTTCAGTTTCTTAAAGCAGAGAAATGTACGTTCATGCCCAGTCTGTTCAGAAAAGAACAACTCAACGTGACATGAGACGCAGACTCGGTCAGACTGAGAGGCTGCAGTGTCAGCTCTCCGTCACTGTTTGTTGCAGGTTGAGATGAAGGAATCTGGAGAAACAGATCTCGTCCCCAAGGGCCGTTCTGTCCCTTTCACCTCTCGTCAAGAGTTTCTCCAAAGTGAACAAAAGTTTCCAGCTCAGCAAGGATGCAAACGAAACCAGGGGAAATTTGGCAAGAAAGCATCTGTGTGGGTTTGGATACTTCTGCTCAGAATACCAGAGTGACCTTTACTGAAGAAGTTGATGAGGTGAGATTACAGATCAATCCTGCCTGCAAGGAAAATCCTGTCCTGGGGCACAGAAAATACTCAAAGGTCAAAAAGTTTCAGTCTCAGGATGCAAATTATTTTCTTCATTTGTTGCATTTCTAATTCCAACTCATTGCCACAAGCTGTAAAGAGAAAATACAAGTCGGTACATTAAGTTCATCTGTGATCAATTCTCTAATGTCAGTCTTAAACTGGTTTAAACGAGTCAGAAAAACCTGCATAGAGCATGATCAAAAGCAGCAGACGTCATGGATGTTCAAAACCTGTGCTTGGACATGATCTGGTACATTCATGCAACTTTGCAGCAACAGTTAAGAGTCAGATATTAATGTTTACACCCCACAACATTTCTGACTACAGACTCTGCTGGGTTTTTAAATCAAGACATTGCGTGTTGTAAGATTAACTCAAGAAGACCATATGTCCCATTTTCAAGCTCCCAAGTCCCAAAAAGAACCTAAAACACTAACGTGTCCTAGTTTTGAACAATCCTCGCCCCAGTTTTAACCAATTGAAATACAGAAACAATGCAATGTGCTTGCAACACATACATATATAAATATATGTCAACGTCATTGTGGAGGAAGTTGTTGTTTTCACCGACAGAAAAACATCCCTAATGTACTGCCAAGCAAAGTTCAATACTTTTGAGGATCTGCTGCATCATGAAAAAAGGGAAGACAGCCAATACGCTGCATTTTGTGCGTACTACAGGCGTCAGTCATTAGTTAACTCAAAGAAGCCGAAATGAGCAAACACAAATCTGAGTAAAGGCTGAAAGTAGCATTGTGATGATGACCCACCTCAATGAGGCAATCAACTAAAACACAAGATGCAGAAAACAGGCCTGCTCCAGAGAAGCTGCAGTCTCCAAAAGTATTATGGGAGGTAGAGCCTTCAATAGTCAAGCCCTACTCCTTTGAAAAAAGTCAACTTGAACCCTTTTTGCCTTTTGTGGTCAGGGACGGTTTTGACTTGTACAAGTTCATAGTCATGCTTCTACAGGCTTTGACCAGGTCCTTTTTAAGCTGCTATAGGCTTCAGTAATAGGCTTTATTACTGATGATGGAAGAAGATCCGACAGTATTTGATGCGCTTTTTGATGGCTCAAAACAAGTCGGAAATGACATCGTATGTTGTGCTCACACAGCGCGAGGTAATGATAATAATTGATAACAATGATCATGTGAAATTTCAGTAGCGGTGCACATATTTCATAAATGTAGGCGGAACACTGCACCAAGTAGCTTTAAACTGACAGTTGAAATGAAATAAATTGCTTCAGTAGTTTGTACATCACAAAATATTGTTTCACTCTCATCATGTGACTTATCAAATCACTCTCTTTTCCCTTTAAACTGGTATTGAGAAAATAAACAAAACCTCCCTTTTATATTCCTATCTCAGCATAAAACAACTGACACAATACTCACATGTTCAAAATATTTCACCATTATTCACTTCGGTTCACTCTCATAACCTTTTACATCACCCCTGCTCTCTTTCAGTACACTGAAAAATAACAGAGAAAAGTATCAGAAAAGCTAAAGAGACACTTTCTCACCCTTGCTCTGTATTTCAAAACCGAGCCCGCCGATGTTGGAGCTGCCGCGGATCTCCAGATGGACGGTAAGTAGTTCGCCTGATAGATACAGAGCTAGCATTAGCATGGAGGACGACGGTTAGTGCTAACGGGCTTTATTTTCAGATAAACAACAGTCTTACCGACGTGACTCGTCTCCTTTGGGTCGTCACTTGGCTCCAGATTTCCAGCAGGTAAGGGCGCTGGTTTCCTATTCCTCTTTTCCACAGTTTAACTCGGTTTTTCTCCTGATTTTCTCTGTCTGTTGAGCAGCTCACTGCCTTCAGTCCCGGAAGAACGACGCGCGGGCATTTCACTTCGCGAGCTGAACGTGGCCTGCGTTACCTCTGATTGGCTGTTGGGGACTCGTGAGCTGAACGTTGCATTCAAATGCAATGGGAGATTTTGAACTTTGCCAATGTAACAAATAAAAATAAGAAAATAAATACTCTTCCTTCTTTCTCTTATCTAATTGTGCTCATTTTTACATCTGGGCTACACCCTCCCCTTTTGAAATCATGCACGTCCCTGTCCATGGTAGGCGGTTAAAGGGATATTCCGGCATAAAATTAATTTAGCGGCTGCTGGAGGAGAGTAGGTGAGTTGTGTTTAGTCTCTTTCCTAAAGAAATTAGGCAAAGTTAAAAGGATGTTTGTGGCTGGGACCCTATATGTACTGTTGATGAAGTTAGGTGCTGTTCTGAGCATTATTTGTGGCTATAGAGTGGCGTTTTGGTGGAGGTTTGTTTATTGCTTCTCAGACCGCTGTGTATTGCTATCCTGCGGTCGTTACTAAAGTTGATATAACTAGAGAAGCAAGCGGTCTGCAACATTTATCTCTCAAGGGGGTATCTAACTAGGTGTTGCGGTGTGTTTGACCTTAAATTAATTTTACGCTGGAATATCCCTTTAAGTGATATGGACTCCATTTCCATCATTATCCATTCCATTCCATCCATTTCACCTGTTTCCTCCTTTCTTTCCTCAGGTTCTGCATCCCCAATGGCATCCTTCTCAACTGGAATTTTACATCTGGGCTACACTCAGACCTGGCTTAGAACTCCAGGATACATAACATGAGCTGTAAAAGGCCTAGACCAGATCCTTCTTTAGGCATAGCCTGCCAGGATTCCTAGGGCTCTCGGTTATTATAGGCTTAATTAGACCATTGACCATTCCTCTTGAAACATATAGTACACTAACAGTTTTATGCTCCTGTGAGGAGTTTTTATTTGGTTGTGAATCCTGCTGAATTAAAGCTACAACCTCTAATTGTAATGGACTACAACAGACCATTAAAGTTTAAAGACAAAGCACTCTGTTGTTTCTGAAGAAGGCGACAGTGTAATAAAGCGTCACACTTCTCCAGTCTCCTTTCTTTTTTGCAGCCTGCCTCCATATTTCAGTCATCCTCTCTCAGCCTGATGAGTGTGCAGGTCCAGGCTTCATTGTTAAAAGTGACATAAACTGAGAAGTAACGTCCCAAACAAAGCGTGACAGTTTTCTGAGAGCCGTCAAACGAACGCTGTGGGAGGAAAGTGGAACATGAGGGTGAGGATATTTCAGACTGACAGATGAATCTTCTCTCTGGGCGAGGTTTGGTGTGAGTGCGAGAGAGAAACCCGCCGGTGGGAAACCTCTCTGGCTTTTTTATTCCTTTTATTTTTCTCCTTCATGCTTTTCAAACACAATATCCAGGACAGGCTCATGGTGGCCTACATAAATCCCCGTCAAAGCAGACAAATAGTTCTGACTTCAAATGTTCGTGTAAATATGTGCGCCTGTTTGTCTGTTTGATTTTGTAATATCATGATGCATAGTTTAGAAAAACCTTCTAGTGTATCTAAACAGTTTCTTAAACAAATTAAAGAGATGTTGATCATTTATTGGTAGATCCAGACTCTATTTGTCAGATTTAGACATGAGAAGCCTCAGATATGGTAAGTCAGAGCATCTGATTATAACAATCCAGAAAGGGACAAAGAGGAGAAGTCACACGGGGAAGAAAAAGTGTATCATATCGTATCGTATCGTATCGTATCGTATCGTATCGTATTGTACCGTATTGTATCATATCATATCGTATCGTATCATATCGTATTGTATCATATCGTATCGTATCGTATTGTATCGTATCGTACTGTGATGTATGCTATCATATCTTCTTGAATGGTATTGTTCAATAAATTGTACTGAAACATTTTAATTGTTTATAACATCATGGATTTAAGTTGTTAAATGTTCTAACTTTATATCATTTGTAATGTATTGTTTGCAGTTTTTCTCTATCTGTTTTACTTTATATTGCATCTTGTTAAACACCACCTAGAACAAAAATCTATCTTTTTATGCATGATGATATTTAGTCACAAATTGGTTTACGGTATCTTACATTGAGATATATAGTGTTTTATCGTTATATAATTGTGCTGAATCCTGTCATTTCTCTGTCTGCGTCTGTTCTCGGGGATTGATTCCTCTGATACAACCATGTCTGCTGTAAAAACATGTCCACTAACTCTTGACAGAGATATACGGCTCCTCTGACAGCTCCAGCTGGGTAGAAATAACTCCCAGCATGCCTTTGGATGGCCATGTCAGGACAGAAGTGAAGCCCCAATCACAGCCTGTTACAGCTATGAAACGGAGTGGTTTGACTCTTTGATGCACCTCTAAGATACATGAATAAATGTTTGATTTCTGATCTACTGATGTGATTACAAGGTAAGCTACAGGGCTAGTGCAAGTATTCCTTTACATAACGATAAAGGCAAGGAGTGCCAGTGAATTTAATACATGCATTTAAATCATTTTCCTTTATGCTTTGGCTTCAGCAGTTTGCTAAAAGTCAACACCATATAAGGACCCCCATCTGTGGAGATGAATCTGCAGAACTGCAGGAGGTGAAATCAGTATTTCATTGCCGTCAGTGAGCAACAGATTCATCCAGGAAAGAAAAAAAAATCTGTCCAATTTATATGTTTTATATAAGATCTGCAGCTGTCATCAGTCACAGTTCACTATAAATAAAATCACAGTCCTCTGCAGCGTCAGAGCGGCTCTGCATGACTTTCAACAAGATGAGATGGAAACAGTCGAAAACGGAGAAAACTTTAACGGTGAATCAGAGTCAGTCAGTGTTGAACATATAACAGGTTTGTTTTGGTTATTTCCAGGAAAAGTAGGAGAAGGATCTCAATAAAAAAACCACCAAATTCATCTCTGTATTGATATGTTTCTGTTTACAGCACCAGAGTGTTGCATTAGTTTCTCTCACTTTTACATCAGTGTTTTAAACTTCTTTTCATCCTGAATACTTGTTTTTTTCTGTGAGCCCGTGTTGCATGTCAACATCAACCTGATTCATAAAAAGTAAGGTCAAAGCTAGCGGCTCTATGCAATGTCACACGGACCTTTATTTCTTTCCTTTATTTGAAAAAATCCCTCTGAGCCAGCCATGAGCCCGACACTGAAATTGATCGAAACAACAGCTGACAGGCCGACACCTGCACCTCCCAGATCTCATCCAATCAGTTTGGTGGTGGAAAGAGGCTAAATCCACGCAGGAAGACGACTTCTACATCCACAAAATCCCTGAAAATACTGAAAGGAAAAGACTGCAGGCTATGTCCCTGTGATTTCAAATGACGTCCTTATGATAACAAAGAAAAACATCAGTCTTCCCTAATGAAGCTAGATTGTAATGAAAACATTTTAACAGCATCTTTCTGAATTATGAGACAAACAGCGCTCTTATTTCTTCTCCCTTGTGTCAAATTATCAATATTTGTACACATTGTCTCTTTATTTCCACCTGTTTTTACATTCATTAGTTGTTGTTGTGTGGCTCATATAAAAGAAGCAGGTGGTGTGGACGGTCAGCTGTAAACTCTTCACACATTAGCAGAGAAACTTTGTTTAGTCCGGTCTAGTTAACGACTTCCTGGCCGTTGCTTCCTGTAAGCTAACAGCTCCAGAGGGGGTTTGATGGCGTTTCCGACTCTGAGACATGATTATGGGATTCCCCTGATCTTTGCTGATACCAGATATCCAGGCCAAGACAAACTTCTCCATCCGCTGGTCAACATTTCCGATCTGACTCATGACTTAGGACTGAAAATGGGGACTGAATTAAACTCCTTTAAATGATCGCATTAATCTGATGTCAATCAATAGTAGTCCCATGCTGAATCCTTCCCCGTTTCCTGGTTTGTTTGACTCTAAATGGACCAATTTCCAAAATGGACATCATGCTGGACTGGGGTGAAGAGGGAATCCAGGATTGGTGCACACAGCTCTGCAGTTACCATTTAAAAGAACCCTAGATAGTAAGAAAAGCATTAAAAACTGCAGAGCCTTTTAATAAATCAGAGTATATCTTTGTTTGAGGTGACCAGACTGCAAAGAAAGAAACCAGAGTTCAAAGAAAGCATGGAGGATAACAGAAATATGTATTTTCTGTTATCTGCAGCATGCATATGGTCATTCTTCTTTGGGAGAGAGCGATGGTAATCCAGAGGCATGCCGGGAGAACAATTTCCATAAATCAAGGCGACACCTTTAAATGGAAGCGAGCCATTATCTCGATAAAAACAAATGTCGAGGGTTTCTCTTCAGCTGCAGACCCTGCAGGGACAGTCGTGATGAATCAGAATGTGCATGTGTGTCAGAGTGTGTGCACCTGTGTCACAGTGTGTGCATGTGTGCGTGTGCGTCATTTCATTCATTTTCACCCGTCCCTGTGTGAATGCAGATGGAGCCTCTGTTAAATGTCTGTGGTGACATTAGCTGCCTGCAGGGCTGATTGATTCTCTCTTTACTCCTGTTTTATTTTTCCTCTGTGGTTTCTCCACCTCGTCCTGGGAGAATAAGCTCCATCCTTCACAATTTACAAGAAAACACGTCACATTTTCAAAGGCGCTTTATATTTTCAAGGCCTAATACATAACCAGAGATACATGAATATGATGAAGTAACAGTAATCCATTTAATGAAATCCTTTGATTCATCAGAGACTGAAATGTGGTTCTTTTGCTTTTATTATTCAATATGACACTGTGTTCAGATAGGGCTTCAATTTTAGATTTGATTACTCAGAGATATGAATGCTGATCTGCATCACTGTGTCGCCTTCAGCATCCAGTTAGCAATTTAATTTCAGTTTCAACTGTGAGGCTCCTCACTGAGCGACTATAGCCTGAGTATCATCCATTAAGGTTCATACAGAGCATGGTAAAGGCAGGAACCCCCGTAAGGCTTTTGCATATGAAATAGGGGAGTGTTTGATACCCTTTGATGTCTGTTCTGGGGAACCCTGTAATGACTGTTCGAGGGAACACTTTAATGTATGTTTTAGAGAACCGTTTTGTCTCTCTCAGGGTAGACCTCTATGTCTGTTTAAGGATGTACATTTAAGGCAACCCTTCAAAATCAACTGTCTTGAGGAGACCTTAAATGTATGTTTAAAAAAGCCCTTTTAAAGTCTCATGTTCTGGAAAACCTTTTAATGCCTTTTATAGTGCTACCTTTAATGCATGTTCTAGAGGGCGTTCTTTCATGTATGTTCCAGAGTGTATGTTCTAGACTGGTGGGTGTTCTTTCATGTATGTTCCAGAGTTCGTTGCTCTAGAGTGCGTTCTTTCATGTTTGTTATAGAGCGCATTTTTCTAGAGTGCATTCTTTAATGATTGTTTGAGAGTGCATTCTTTTATATATGTTCTAGAATGCTCCCTTAACTTTACATTCAAGAGTGCATTCTTAAACGTTTGTTCTAAAGTGCATTCAGTAATGTGTGTACTATGGTGCATTCTTTCATGTATGTCGTAAGTGCATTCTTTGACATGTGGTTTGGAGTGCATTCTTTTATGTATTTTCTAGAGTGTGTTGTTCTAGAGTGCATTCTTTCATGTTTGTTCCAGAGTGCATTCTTTTATGTATGTTCTAGAATGCTCCCTTAACTTTACATTCAAGAGTGCATTCTTAAACGTTTGTTCTAAAGTGCATTCAGTAATGTGTGTACTATGGTGCATTCTTTCATGTATGTCGTAAGTGCATTCTTTGACATGTGGTTCGGAGTGCATTCTTTTATGTATTTTCTAGAGTGTGTTGTTCTAGAGTGCATTCTTTCATGTTTGTTCCAGAGCGCATTGTTCTAAAGTGCATTCTTTAACGTGTGTTCTAAAGTGCATTCTTTTTTGTATGTTCTAGAATGCTTCCTTTACTTTATGTTCTAGAGTGCACTCTTTAATGTATGTCTGAAGTGCATTCTATAAAGTGTGTTTTAGAGTGCATTCTTTTATGTATGTTGTAGAATGCTCCCTTTACTAAATGTTCTAGAGTGCATTTTTTAACAAATGTTCTAAAGTGCATTCTTTAATATGTGTTCTAGAGCGCATTCTTAGACAACTGTTCTAGAGTGCATTCTTTTATTCATGTTCTAGAGTGCTCCCTCTAAAGTCTTTTCCAGTGTAACCTTGAATATTTGTTTCAGACAACCCTTTGTAAAGGAACCCCTCTGTGTCTGTTTAGAGGTTTCTTTTTTCTGTTTTAAGATTACCTAGAAAGATTCAAGGAACTGTTTCATGTATTCTTTAGAAAGTTTTATTTGGCATCTATTTCAAGTCTCTAAACCAAACAGTTTCATCTGTCTAAGGAAACCCTTTGGTTTCAGTTTTTAGGATTTCTTAAGTTCCTGTTTTAATGATTCTGTTAAGGTCCCCTTTCTTGCTTCTTATGGTTCCCTTTTACATCAGCATCATAGTACTCTAAGAAATTAGGTAATAAACTGACCTGTTCTAACGTGACAGTAAAAGGAGACTTTACAGCGTCATTTTGAGGGTACGCTTCAGTGTCACTATTAAAGTACCCTTAAATTTCAAACTCACAGATTGATCCATGGGTTTAGATTCTGATTCAGATGTGTTTATCTTACATCACTTTACCTCCTCTTTTAAAAGCTTGTTAAGGTCAAACATATTGGTCTTGTTAAGACATTACCTGAAGTACCTGTAAACCTGTATTTGATTAGGATTGACTGGTCCTATATGTGCTGTCAGCCTTGTCTTTGCAGGTTAAATCCACATGTATGTTTTCCCTGCTCCTCGCTCTCATATCATTAGTTCTCTGCTTGTCCTTGATTAATAGAAACCTGCAGCCTTTTGTCTTGAAAAAGACGACGGCCATTGCTGCTTATCTTTCCCTTGCAGCTTCTCCTCGGCCGAACATCCAACATTATGAGAACCAATCATGAGAGCAGACTGAAAGACACCAGCTCATCCTGCCGTATTGATCGTCTCTCTCCTCTGCGCCTGCCTCCTCCTCAGCATTATCCACCAGATTAACCACAATATTGCCCTGACATCCGTTAGCATCTGTGCGCTTTGGCTGCGTTCACAGGTGATGTTTGTTTTCTCGGCGTGACCGTCTGAATGCTAATGAGGCGGTGAATTGCCTGTTACCACGGCAATAGATGTCTTGGACACTGATGTGAGTGAATGTGTGAGTCAGAGATCCCAGCTGTTAGTAAACACTCAAGTCTCACAAACAAAGGGATTTTGACCTTCTTTAAGAGCCATTTTCAGACCTTTCTGAACACTTCGAGCAGAGGTCATGAGATGAACAAAAGGATGATTTTAATCTGACAACCTGAAACTGTGACCTTTGTGTCCCTACAACCAGCCAGACTATGAGGTTTGCATTATTATCTCTGTTTCTTATATGCAAAAAGACATCACCTTGGGCTCGAATGATGCACATATCTTTCTATTTTGAGTTTAATGGTTGAAGTGTATGACTGAAACCTTTTAGACTTTGCATGGTGAGGTGTAAGGAGGAATAAATGGACATTGCAATAGAAGGACGGACAAGAGGAGGAGAAAAGATTGAGTTGAGAGGGAGAAATCCTGCAGGGAAGTGACGCTAAATGCTGCAAAATTACAGGTTAAGTGTCCTGGTTATTGCTCATAAAGGGTCTAATCAGGAAGTCATTATAAAACAATTTCCTATTCCTGATTTTAATTTGTGCAATCGGGGAGAAATGCTTTCTCAAAACAAAAAAAACAAAAAAACACGCTGCAAGAAGCCTCTTGAATCACTGCAAAAACTCCCTCTTAGCGAGTGTTTTTGTCATACTGGAAATAAATGATTCATTGGGCTCAGTTTGAAATTACATTTACTGAATAGGTCAAAAATATGTCATGTTTTAAATTTGTCATAATGAGTAAAATATATTTGCCAATATTGACTTGTCAAGCTCATGAAAGATGTTTTCTAACTCTTGTTTTAAGAAACTTGAACTAGTCCTACTTGCATTTTTCCAAACAAAGCAGCTGTAATTATTTTGGCATAGAAGTTCAAGTTTCTGATTTGACTGTTTGTGAAGATTTTGGAAGTTTGTAGAAGTCTCAAGGCATTCCCTCACAGATGTATCTGTACTGCAGAGCGGATTAAATTCTTGACTTTTTGGAGGCTTTGTTGGGAGAAATTGGGTCATTCATGGCTTCAAATCTGGCGAATGGAGAAAAATCTGCCTACAGTATTAAGATATTTCTAATAACCCACCAAAACCATTAACACCAACCATCTTCAGACAGTTTAAACCCAAAGTTCATGAAAAAAATGAGACAAAACAGGGAAATAGTTGTTGATTGTTCATTTTATAAGTCTTATAAGTCACCCAAGCTCAGATAACCTAGAGGCTTACCCCTTAAACTCAACCCTAACTGGGTCATTTTGTGCTGAAAATGGAGGCTAAACCTCTATCCTGTGTGGAGAATCTCCTCCTCCTGCTCCTGCCTCTGGGTGCAGACACAAATGCCGCAGAGAAACTAGCATTAATTGGCGTCAGGAGACCGAGCGTGTCCACGGCGAGTTGCTGCGTCCAGAATGTCATCAGGACCTTGAGATTACAACGGAAAATCAATTAAGCTTGGTAATGCGGCGCGGCGGGCCGGGAGCCGCCACCGCTCCCAGCTTTAAATTGGCTGCAGGAGGAGAGGGGCCGAATATGGGGCTCCTCAGCTGATCGACCCTGACAGAGGTCACAGGAGCTCTGCTAACATTTAACAGTAAACTGCATCCTGGATTATCAGGGAACGGGCCGGACTGACCTCAGATACACCTGATACTGAGACAGTCAGCGGTAAACAACAGAGAGGTCATTATGTGGAGGGTTTACCTTTGACTTAAAGACCAGATGAGAAGACAATCAGTTAAGTTTGGAGAACATGAGCAACTATCACAGCTGAAAACATGTTTAAGAATCTGAAATCGCACCAAAAGTGATTAAAGTTGAAGAGAAAATGTTTACATGACAACATAAACATGCATAAACACGGTGTGGTCCTTTAAAGAGGCACTGTTGGTGACATCTGTCCTCGGGGTTAAGTCTTCATGGTGCACTCTCGTGTTTCTCACTGAGCTGCAGAGCTTTCAGACGTGGACTCTGTGTTGGTGCCCTGGATGGAAACAGATAAAGCTTTGCTCAGCGGTCCAAACAGCTCTGCACAGTGATTATCACGGCGCTCAGAGGCCCCCCGGCTCCGATTTATCAACCTCAGCAGGAGCCGCTGCCTGCAGCCCTCAGTCCTGAAACAAGAGGAACCGTCTGCTGCAACGTTGACATCTGCTGGCTGCAGAGCTGCAGCACAGGACGGCATAAGAGCAGGAACCTGCAGGTTTACAGTATAACACCCAAAACACACGCAGAGGAATCACACTGAAAAAAGAGATTTCACATCACACACACAAAAGCAAATTAGTATCAATTAAAGTTTTTTTCTCAGCTAAAATCTGGCTGAAATGATTCATTATGGTTCAGTCTGACAGGCTCTATAGGTCACAGTGTTTATATGGTCTATTAATTTCATGAACATGTGTGAAAAGGCTTGTTTAAATTATAGATTTTTTTTTTAACTTTCTGACCTTTTTCTAATGCCACTGAACTTTTACACAATCATGCCAGTGACCGTCTACTGGGACCTGTATCTAATTTATTACCCACCTCAAATGTATGAGGACCGAGGGGACTCCAAAGGCCCTTAAAATAAAGACTTTCTCAGCAGCTGTGTGACCATTAACTGTGCTTTTACAGTATTTAAATACATGTGATGATGAATGATTGAAATATCATTATGTTGTCTAAGAGGAAAAATAGCAAAATATTCTTCATTCATTAAACTAATGAGTGTAAAAATCTAGTCAATGAAAAATAGATTCTCTTTTGAGGTGGATGAACAAAAGATGAATATTTCAATTTCTGGAACAATGAAGAGATGGGTGATTTAAATGATGGATGAAAGAATAATTTACTGAATGAATGAATAAAAAATAGACGAGAAAGTGTGAAAAATAGATGGAATTTTGGATGGATGGTCAGATCCTTGGAAAGATGGATGGAAGGTGCAATGCAAATGTGAATGGATGGATGGATGGATGGGTGGATGGATAAGGTAATTCAAAGATGAATGGATGGATGGATGGATAAATTGAATGTATGGATGGAAGGATGGATGGATGGTTGGATGAGGTAATTCAAAGATGGATGGATGGATGGATGGATGGATGGATGGATAGATGGTTGGATGAGGTAATTCAAAGATGGATGGATGGATGGATGGATGGATGAGGTAATTCAAAGATGGATGGATGGATGGATAAGGTAATTCAAAGAGATGGATGGATGGATGGATGGATAAGGTAATTCAAAGATGGATGGATGGATGGATGGATAAGGTAATTCAAAGATGGATGATTGGATGGATGGATGGATGGATGGATGGATGGATAAGGTAATTCAAAGATGGATGGATGGATGGATGGATGGATAAGGTATTTCAAAGATGGATGGATGGATGGATGGATGGATGGATAAGGTATTTCAAAGATGGATGGATGGATGGATGGATAAGGTATTTCAAAGATGGATGGATGGATGGATGGATATCTCTCTGGCTTCATGCAGCTGTGGTCGATGATGTGAGGCAAAGCGAACATCTCCATCTTTCCATCTGAATGTCGCCTACAGCGTCTCGAAACGATTCTCTCAGCTTGATCCGTTTTATTTTTCTCCTCCCAACCCCTCAACAGACCCCCACCCAACCTCCACCCCCACCCCTCTCTGTCTCTATTTATAGAGCATGGTGCAAACAAATTGTAATGAACAGGATCCCCAGTTCCCATTCACCCACTCACTCAGTTTCCTTTCCGACAGCTCTCTGATCCAAAGAAAACAAACGATAGTCAAAGGAAAAACAAGATCACAACAACAATCTGACTCTTCTTTGAATAAAAAGTTGTTAAACTGATTTAAATACTGACAAATCATTGAAGAAAACCAACATAAAGCCATCTCTAAACATTTGTACATCTTTGTAGTCCAATTATGAGTATGGACTACAAACATGAGGGCTGTTAGACAAACTAGATTCAAGCGAAAACATGTTTTTCTTTCCAACACTGTCATATCTGTCTAAACAAACTGGTAAACATCGAGCTTTTGTTACATAATTTGACTTAAACATGTTGAATTGAAGGTTCATTGAACTCACAGTCTAATATTGGTGCTTATGAATTTACAGTCCACCCCGGGCTGTGCTGACAGTCAGTTTATTTAGTTAATCTCTCATTTCCTCTGACTATATTTAGATTAGTGGGTATTTATAATCTATCTTGCAGTTATTTTCTCACTCATACAGCACGCAGAGGTGTCAAGTATCTGCTGCCAGTGATTAAGCTCATCAGTATTCTCTTCATATTTGGGTCACGTACTCCCTATGTACACTCCTCATTTGCATAATCACAGAATACCGTATCAAACCCCATTTTTTGGTGTGTTTTCCTCCACCGCACACAGACGCACTCAGCTGGTGTGTGTTTGTGTGTTTTGGTGGAGCAGATAAGAGCAGATTTGAAGCTAAAACTATTACTCTGAAGACTTTATCATAATAAACATAACACTGAGCTGAGGACAAACACTGGGTGTGGATTAATCTGGATTGTACCATCGATTTCATCGCAAAATGATAGATTCATTTTCCTTGGAGGGTTAAAACGCAGATAAAACAAACTCCAGTGAATGTTGCTGTTTGACAGTCCGGTCTTTTTGCTCTGGGATAAATCCGCTTCAAGATGGTTGTCATCAGCAGCAAAGACCTTTGGGAGAAAACAGAAAGGGTATCAGTGGTAGTCCAGAGTCCAAAGCTTTCTCATCAAACATGGCACCCTACATCTGTTTCAAGACAATGAATCGATTTGTTACCAGGGTCATAAAAAGCTCTGCTATCGTCTTTTTGAGCCACACAAACCTCAGTCATGTCGTATTTTAGTGGTAATAGGACATGCTGATCATTAAGCCTCCACCTGATTGATGCCTCTGACATGTTAATGAGAATTAACAGCGGGCCCGGCGTCAAGCCCTGAGGCACTCCAAAGACAACACAGAATCTGACATCTGAAGATCACGGTGAAAGAAGCATAAAACCTCCTAAAATAAGCACTGCTTACTCACTCAGGATAATAGGGTGAGTTGTGAGGACAAGTAATGAGACAAAATAATCGAGGGTGCAAAGATGAAAAGCCCAAAAGCAGCAGAAGAGGTTGAAGCAGCTTGACAAACTTTTAGAAACTCAGTTACAGCCTGATCAGCTTTGAAGACAGCTTAATTGCCACTTAATTGCCTCCTTTATTAACACTGAAAATCCCTCTGACATTACATTGTTCATGTCAGCTCTGATTTCAGTGTTTTTGATGTCTTTTTTCTGGTCCCCTCTGTCTCATGTAACTCCCCCTTTGTTCGGTCGTTTCTGTAACGCCGACAGCTCCAGGCTAAAAGACAAAGACTCTTTCTCTGAAATTTCTCCCCGCAGAGTTTTGTGCCAGCTTTGCATATAAATTTGTTTGTGAGTAAATCCTTCCCTCCAGGTTTTCTCTCTGAGTCCGACGCCTCGGCAGGAGACGTCAGGAAGCGAGAAACAGGAGAGGCTCCAGACTTAAGTTTGACAGAGCTCAGTATTAAAATCGAAATCCAATTTTGTCCCCCGAAAAACCCAAAAACCCTCTGTCTGTCTGAGAGATTCGCCTGACAGCAAAGATATTAGGTAACAGAAAAGGCTTCGGGCTGGCGGATAAAGGGACTCTCGTGTTAGAGGGGCCCACAAAGATAAAACAACAAATGGATGAGTCTGTACAAAGGCGTGAAAAGGATAATAAAAAGTTGTTTTTCACAAACCTAAACATATAGCAGATGATAAAAACAATCATTTTACAAAACTTAAACATTTGCCTGAAGATATTGCACCACATCACAAGAGTTTTGTCTGTATCTCAGGGAAAAATAATAATAATTGTACTCAATTAAAGCCAAATTGGCATGGCAAGACTTATTAGACTATAATTTAAAGATTTAATGAGCTGAAGTCATGATCAGAGTTTCGTCTTTGCTTTACAGAGTTGTAGATTTGTTTTTAACCAAAACAAATCAGTGTGAAATATTGTTAATTTAGAGCTGCGGCAGTGCTCCAACTCTCCAGCAGATGTCAGGCTTTCACAACTTTACTGACACACTCTGCTGAGGGGAGCTCACAGGAAACACTGACACAGATTTTTAGTAATAACAGCATTTTTTTCTAATTTCAGATTATTTATTTTCTATCAGGAGCAAAAGTTGATCTCAGAAGTAAAAGTTGATCGAAGAAATTTACTTCTAAATTTTACTTTTCTCTCTTAGAGCTCTCTGGGTCTGTAAAATAAATTTAAAAAACTCACTGGTTGATGGCAGGGTCTGTTATTACTGTAATCAGACAGTCAGATTAAAACAGCTTTATATCAGTGTTGCTGCTGATAGTTTTTAATCATGCAGATTTTTTTTCATTAGGAACACAAAAATACAGTTTTTTTAACACACTGTGCTCTATATTGACCAAAAAGTTAAAAACATACTCTACGTGTTTCTATCAGTGTAACATCAACAGTTAAAAAAATGCCTCATTAATGGGAGTTTTAAAGTGCTTCTCAATTTGTTTTCTCTAATCAGCTGTACTAATTAAGTACCTAGGCCCTGAAGGTCAACTGCACAAACATTTCATCACCAAAAAGTAAACACAATTGTTTGTGAAGCACAGAGACATTTCATAAAATAATCAACAAAAAGGACATACACTGTGATGTGTAAGATGAGGGGGAAACGACCGTGTGCACCATGAGATGAAATTATTTTAGAGACCATATTAAAGTCAGTCTCTTGTGTTTGTCCTCCCCTCTGAGTCTCAGCAGGTTCAGGTAAAGAAGATTCACCTCTTTCCCTTCCTGTTAAAGCCTCCATGAAGCCTGAGCTCTGCTGCTTATGCTGCTGATGCTGATAGACTCACAGTCTGCAGGTTTTCAGGTGAACGCTTCACTTCACAGATCTGTCACTCAGTCTGAGTCAGCTGCAGCTTTAACCGAGTCACTGCAGGTGAGACGCTGTCAGAATGACAACACCTGAACTCGGGCACAGGTGACTGGTGTGAAGATCAGGACGACTAAACCAGTTACATAGCTGAGGAGGACAGATACCAAAGATTCTTTTAATAGCCTAAATCACCACAGAAAACTATAAATAGGGAAGAGTGGGGTAAGATGAGTTATTTTTCGTATTTCAGATTACTTCATCAAAGCAATCATAGTTTTGTCCCTAACTAGTGTACTAGTGGTTTTTGAAGGAAGTTTTGAGTTTGTGTAGCATGGACTAACTGAGTTGGAAGTGTGTAAAAAATACTAGACCCTAAAACACTAAAACACTGACAGATTAAATTCACTTTCAAGAGTGAAAAATGTTAATCTTTACAGACTCCATGACTTGATGCCCATCTCCTAAATATTTGGTCACAAGATCAATTTCTTTTACCATTTCCAAGCAACAGGGGTGGCTCAACTCACCCCGGTCTCCCCTACCTGTCTGATATTCTTTCTGGTTGTAAAGTGAACACCAGACGATTAAGGGAATTAATATAAATGATCAAATTGTCTGCAACTTTCCCCTCTAAAATAGGATCATAAAACTTTTAGAATAAAAATAAAAGTACAGTATTTGCCTCATAATAGTTAATGGTGTTAATTCTGTTTACTCAGCTAGTATGTCCGGAAATGAGACAATTACCATTTTAGGCTTCCCGGGCTGAGTCTGAGCTGCGCATGCGCTCCCTGCCGGCGGTTGTTTGAGGAAGTTTGGATCAACTTTCTACCTGCAGATGAAGTGGATTCATTAATGTTAGCTTCAATCTGCGCCGACAGGTGAGTGATTCAGCGTTTACTATCGATTCATATCCTCTTTACGAACTTTTTGACTATCAATTTACAAGTCGATGGTTAAAAAGATGATGTTTAACCGTGTATTTCGCACTTGTGTGGTTGAAAATCGTAGTTTTAATGAGCCAGTGAATCAGCTCAGGTGTTGATCGGGTGCTAAAAATAGTTAGCTTTTACCTTCTAGCTCACATAGCCCTCTGGTACTGAACTCTACTGTATGAATTAGTCCTAATTTGAAGCTTTTAGTCATTATGTGTCTATGCTGCCGGTTAATGAGTTAATAATTACCTTTAAATGTCATAAGCAGCTCTGGAGGAAGTATTCATAATTACTGTAATAACGTAGGAAGTGTATGCTGATCATTATGCCCTGCAATGCAATGACATGCACCAACTAGTTTTATCATTACAGCTGTGAGCAAGATATCCAAAACAGGATAAAAACTGAACAGGGCTGAGACAAAGTAAGGAAAAAAATCGGAATAAATAAAGTAGGGATGAGCCAAAAGGTAGAAAAGTGTAATAACAGAATCACTGAATCTGTTCTTCTTGATAACCAGCCTTGTGGTAGATGCAGGTCTGTCCAGGCTAATGATGAACTCTGTTAGATATCTGTACCAGTAATGGCCAGAATGAGTCAGAAATTTGGGGAAATCAGATTAAAGCAAAAATCACAATATTGTGCATCTGAAATGTCCAGCACTGACTCACAAGAGACTGAAAAACAAGACGGGCGAAATTGTAATAAAAGACTGAGACAAAAATATCACAGTTATGTGAAAAAAACAATATGACAAATATGAAATCAGTCCTGCTGCAGAGTTGTAAAAACTTTAGTATTATCAGTTTATGTAAGCGTGCATTTGTGTAACTGTGACTGTCCGCTTTTATATGTATTTTAGATATTAAGATTTCTGCACATTGAATGTTCTTATTATACTTTTATATTATCCATACAAGTAGAAGATGTTTTATTCTTAGTAAATGTTTGTCTTGTTTTCTCTGACTGCGACTTTAGCTGCTGTAATGCTGCAATTTTCCACGAGGGATTGATAAAGTCTGAACTTTTATTCATGTTTTTCTGTTTTTTTATGTCTTCAAACAGACCGACATCCTTCAACGATGACCTCCACCTCTGATCTAGAGCGTTTGGCAGAAATAGGTGAGTTTAAATGATCCGTTTACTGTTTCAGAACTTGTTTTTTAATCCAAATGTATTTATTTACTTGTTTGCCTTTACTTTGCACATGCAGAAATGATCTTACCGAGTTTAATCTGCTGCAAAAAAAGCTTTTACAGCTTTCTCATTTATTTATTTATTCTTTTAATTCTGTAAATCTTTAAATCCAGAAGCTTTCTACACTCATCATTATTCATATTCTGGTGGTTATTTTCACTGGATTTTATAGGAACCTTAAAACCTGATGATTGTTAGACTTATTTTTTTCGACTCCTGATGTAGATTTTTAATTGTCACCCCAAAGAAAAGCTTGTTTACACGTATATTTGAATGAAATTTCACGTTAAATTTAATTAGCAGAGATTTATTTGAGTCTCTCTCCTGTTTTGCGGTCACTCAGATGGTTCCTCTGAACCAGACGGGGCGGTTTTTCAAGCCGCCCTGTGCAGATCATTTCCTCTCTGTTATCAGACCCACTTTGTGTTTATCACAAACTTCCCTCGGTGCAGCAGAATAAACACCCAGAGCAGAAACCAGAGCATGAATCAGTTTCCACCCAGTCCTCTGGCTCTGCTCCAGGGTTTTCCTCTCTGATGGGCTGTATTTTTAGGAACACTGACACACAGCAGATAAGGAAATCGTGTTGAAAACGCTGGATGGCTCAGAGCGGGAATAAGTGACTGAGCTCACGTTTTTCTCTCAATGTTTATCTTTCCCTTACAATATTTGACTCACGGTGGAAACTCCCAAACAAAACCGTATTCGTCATTTTCACCGTAATGTCATTTTAAAGTTGTATATTTTTACTTTTTTTCAATGTTAGAGCTGAAGAAAGAAGAAGAGGAGGATAAGGAGGACCAGACAGACGCTCCTTCACTTCCTCCGAGGAGCACTATCACTACTGACCCCGCTCACCCATATTATGACGTGGCTCGACACGGCATCATCCAGGTCTGCGGTCAGTAAAAGTCCCTCATTTGTGCATTTTTAGAGTTTGCAGACTGTCTGACTGATTCAGTCTTAGATAATGTTTGTATATAAAGGTTTATGGCATTTTGTGGCAGAAGAAGCAGAAAAGTTCAAGATGAATCTAAAACTGGTCTGTTTCCTCTCTAGGTGACGATAACTACGGCAGAAAATTGATCGTCTTCAGCAGCTGCTGTTTGCCTCCATCTCACCAGCTGAACCACCGGCGCCTGCTGGAGTACGTCACCAGATTATCCTTTAATATGAAGCCAAAAGTTGAGACGGTTTTATTTGAAAAGTGCTGAAATACAGAAGCTGAAATCGTTTCTTTCAGGATAGAAAATGATATTTTAGGGCTCTTACTGCCTTCATGTTGATTGTCAGTCTACTGTACCTACATTTCTGCAAAGCTGCAACATGATAGGTCAAATTACCGTAAGTGTTTGAGAAGTTGCATAAGTGTGATAAATGTTGGTAAAAAATAACTTCAAAACCAATCTTAAAAGAGTAAATGTCTATATTTTCAATCTGCAGGTATCTGAAGTTCACGCTGGACCAGTATGTGGAGATGGACTACATCCTGGTTTATTTCCATTACGGTCTGAGGAGCAGCAACAAACCGTCTCTGAAGTGGTTACGAGAAGCTTATAACGAGTTCGACAGAAAGTACGCTAACTCCGCATCATTATGTTTTTTACTGAGCTAACATTTCTGCTTTCTTTTCAGAAACTAGTTAAAATCTAGTTTAATTTGTTTTAGTTTCTTAGTTTATTTGAAAAAGGCTGTGCACGACATAACTCCTGAGCCCGAGTTAGCTACATTTTCATGTCATCTCAGGTCATGATGGTCCAAGGATGTAGAAAACAAACAAATAAAAACAACAGCACTGAGACAAACGTAAAGAAAACAAAGTACAATATAATGCAAAAGTAAGTCAAGCATTTAAAAGATTATAAATGGATCCAAAAACTGCCAACAACTGTAGAGTTTTCAAAAATTCTCCCATTCTTTTGATTTTATCCTCTACAGAAGCATCAAAATTCATTTCAACCACCTATAAAAAGACATCCAGATGGCGCTTCATTTACATTTTATCCACTGAAACGGCATCAATGAGGCACTTTTCTGTATTTCATTCACTGAAAGGCCGTCCAGAAAGCATTGTAATAGATTTCATCCGATGAAAGGGCATCTAGGTGGCATTTCTTTACATATAATCTACTGAAATGGCATCTAAACGGAACTTAATTTACATTTGATTGACTGAAAATTCAGCAAGACTGCTCTTAATTTACAATTCATCCACTGAAATGGGAAATGCTCTTTTTACATTTTAGTTGTTGATATGGCATCAAGAGGACACTTCATTTACATTTATCCCCTGAAAAGATATTCTGAGGACACTCGATTTACATTTGATCCTCTAGAATTGCATCCAAAGGGCACTGAATTGACATTTTAAACACAGAAAGAGCATCTAGAGGCCACTTGTTTACATTTTCTTTACAATCAGGGCATCTAGAGAGTACTTACTACACCTTTAATCCACTAAAAGGGCCACAGAGAGGGCACTGTGTAATGGTGTATTCACTTTAAAAGGGCATCCAGTGGGAGGGAATCGGGGTGATTACGCTGCCTTCCTCTGAGTGCGTCTTATTATGTGTGTTTTTCTTACAGATACAAGAAGAATCTAAAGACTTTGTACGTCGTCCATCCCACAAACTTCATCAGAATCGTCTGGAACATTTTCAAACCTCTGATAAGGTGAGAACTGGTTTTACCTGTTTGAGCTCACTCTGTCTCCTCCCTCACTGAACTTTCTCTCTCTCTCCTGTTTTCCTTTAGTCACAAGTTTGGGAAGAAGCTGTCGTACGTGAACTACCTGGCTGAGCTGAGGGAACACCTGAACTTCGAGCAGCTCATCATCCCGTCCGATGTCGTCAGGTTCATATCTGACCCCAAAGCCGATAATCAAGATTAAAATGATCAGTTGTATTCCTCATTTCTGTGCTTTTATGTCCCTCCTCGTTCAGACACGATGAAAAGCTTCGAGCTGCTCAGAAAGGCGGACCCCCTCCTTCAGTAAAGACCCCCCCACCTCGACCCCCCCTCCCAACACAGCAGTTTGGTGTCAGCCTGCAGTAGTGAGTTATTGATCTGTTTACTGCTGATCAAAGACCTGCAACAAATCCACCTTGTTTTCAGGATTAGCCGGCTCCTGATTGGTCGATAAATCAAGTTTGTTTCTCCGCAGCATCAGAGAGAAGAACAGAGACGCTGTGATCCCCCCTGTCGTCTCTCAGACGGTCTCCTACCTGAAGGAGAAAGGTGAGTGTGCTCCCAGAATTTAACCAAACTGACCTCAAACTGAAGTGACAGATATCGATCCTGTCTTAGCGACTCTGTGGCTGGTCTAAATGGGTTAAAGACAGAGGATAGAAACAAAGTCAAACTCTGGGAATATATAAATATCTGATGATATTTGGACGAGAATAAGTGTAGTGACTTAATTTTGCCTGCCAAAATTATCCCAAGAGCCACTAAGGTGTACAATAGCCAGGTATACAGTTAACGCTTGTCTCCCACGTGTAAATGAAACAGTTTGTCCAAGTCACATTTTCCTTGTTTATTCTTCTCTTGCTAAAGAAACCAAATGCAAAATAAAAGACAAAAACAAATTCCAACAAATCCCAAGGGTGAACATCAGGGTTAACATCATCAACCACATCATCACTGTTTGTTAACCAACTTTCAACCTCAGAAATGAATCCCTTTTCTACAAGCATTTATGCAGCAAACTGTCTTTCTTGTTTATCCCTATTGTATCCCTAGTATATCATGCACATTTTTTGCTTCTTCACACAAAACAACCATTTTTCACATTCAGGTTGCACTTTATTCAGACTATTGCTCTGCACAAACTCTTGGCAGCTCACTTCCGTTGTGGCTTTTTTATTTGCATCCTTTTATTTTCGCAGCTTAACTTTTTTTTTTTTTTTTTGCATCATTAACCTCCGCTGTGGCTTTTTTTTTTAATCTACACCATCTCTTTTTTTATTTGCAGCATGCTTCAGGTTTTTTTTTTTTTTTGTATTTGCTTCAATGGCGGTTTTCAGCCACCGTACATTTTCATTAAGCACACCTTGGGCCGCCGTAAATGCAACAGGCTCCGCATTATCATCGTCCATTAAGTTCTTGTTTAGTTCATTATGTTCCATAACGCTTGTCCAAAATAAACGCCACAGTTTATCACAAAGTTCAGTTTATTTTCGTGCCGATAACGTTTATTTTTTAGCGATAAATGCATTGGGATTACAATCGCAAAGTTATGTGCACACATTCAAACATGGCCATAAAGTTGGTAGCGCTTCACGTACCTCATCGAAGCCTTGAATTTGAACCGGTTGTCGCTTTATTTCGTCGGATCAATCACCTGACGATCCCGTCCTCGGAAACCACCTCTGAAGCCGGCGAAATCCCACGTTGCTTCTTCGTCCAAAGAACAATTGCGTCCATTAACATCCCAGTGTCCCACTTGAAGCGAAGTTTTTGACTTAATGTAGTTACTCAGTTTCACCTGCCGAAATTATCCCAAAAGCCACTGAGGTGTACGATAGCCAGGTATACAGTTGACGCATCATCCATGCCTACTTGTTCCCCACATGATAAATGAAACAGTTAGTCCAAGTCATATTTTCCTTATTTATTCTTCTCTTGTTAAAGAAACCAAATGCAAAATAAAGACAAAGAAAAATTCCAACAAATGGCGACGACGGGATGGTAATGATGTAGATGTAGATGGTCAAAAACACATTTGCTCCTCCAGCTACCAACACACCTGCCACTAATTGCTTCTTCTTCTGTTTATAGCAAACCAAACTCAGGACTTCACGCCACCTAGTGTGGCACCAGGACAATTACAACTGAAATAGGTCACAAAACGCACAAACCCAGAGGAAACTACAACAAATGGCTCCAACACACCGGCCCCTAACTGTTCATGGCGGCTGACATAACAATTAACGTAAAATGTTACCGTACAATACTGTACCAAACTCAACATTTGAACACACCTTTGTTTCAAACCCAAGAATTATGAACATAATATGTCTCCAGGAGGTAGATTTCTTCTCCTCTGAGTCCATTTTTGCTGCTCTTGAAGTAGAGGAAGGTACTCCTGAACCCATCGTTCCCAGTAAAGATCTTATATGTACTGGACTTGCTTCCATCTCCTCTCCAAACCCCAAAGAAAATACAACAAATGGCTCTAAAAATAGAAAAAATAAAGGTTTGCATTCATTTGACCTTCTTCTTTCTTCTGCAAACTGACTGTTAGTGTGTCTCTGTGTGTTACTTTGTGTGTGCGCGTTTCAGGTCTGAGGACTGAGGGAATCTTCAGACGCTCGGCTCGCGTTCAGATCATCAAGGACGTTCAGAAACTCTATAACCTGGGTGAGTGGGGTCTCCTTATCTCAGTGGCAGGGGCTTTTTTTATCTCTCAGTGCAGGAAGAGGAGATTGGAGTGTGTGTGATGGTATCTGAGCGTGCAGAACAAAAATCACACTCAGAAACACACACACACATACGAACAGCAGATCTAGTGTGCTTCAGTTGACTTCATTTAACCCGAATCTCACAAATTTATACAAATTTAATAAGATCTGTCGTAATATCTTTGTTGGTTTGTAAATAAAGTTTATTTTTTATTTGAACGTCTTCAGGGAAACCCGTGAACTTCGATCAGTTCTCAGATGTCCATGTTCCTGCTGTGATCCTGAAAACGTTCCTCAGAGAACTTCCAGAACCGCTGCTCACCTACAGGGTCTACAACCAGGTCCAGGAGCTCCTCAGTGAGTACAGAGGAAGTGGACAACGAGGAGAGGAGGAGGAGGAGGATAGGACAGAAGGAAATGGGGAGGGTAGTAAGGCAGAGGGAATAAGGAGGTAGGAGATAAGAGAGATGAGAGGTTCTTGGAAGATGAGGTCTATAATTAGGTTGAGAGGGACAAGAAGAGGGCACTTAATTTACATTTTATCAAATGAAAGGGCAGCTAGAGGGCGCTATTTACAACTTATCCATTCATGGGTTATTGAGATGGCACTTTATTTACATTCAGACCAGTCAAAGGAGATCCAAAAAGGACTTGGCTTTCATTTTGTTTAATTTTGTGAACGGCAATCCAGAGGAGAATTTATTTACATTTCACCCAATTAAGGGAACTTAATTTACACATGAATGTCTTTGTATCTATTGAGAGGATGTTCAGAGGGAACCGTGTTTACATCCTTTCAACTGAAAGCAAATACGTGATCCACTCGAGAAGCATCCAGAGGCCTCTTTATTTTCTATTTATCCACTGATACAACATTCATAGGTCACTTAATTTACATTTGACTTTCTCAAAGGGCAACTAGAAGTTACTTAATTTACATTATGTGTATTAAATGACTTCCTAAAGGCAGTTTATATCATTTTTTTTTACTGCAAGGGCATTTTATTCACTAAAATGGTGATTAGGAGGCACTCAATTTACATTTTAGAAGTAAGAAGAAAATCAGCAGAAGAGACAAAAGTGAGGTAAGAAGAAGTAATATGAGGATTATTAAAGAGGGAGATGGAGGTCAGAGGAGAAAGAGAGGAAGGAACGAGCACAGCAGAGAGAGAATCGACTCAAAGTTTATTTTGTTCCTTCAGAAACTAAACATACTTTTATTTTGACAGGAGACCAGCCTCACCTCAAACCTGAAGTCTTATTGTTTATCTGTTTTTGTAGGAAAATGAACAAACAAGAGTGTTGTGTCTTTGTGTTTCAGCTGTGGAGAGCAGTCTGAGGGTCAGCAGGTGTAAACAGATCGTTGAAAGTCTTCCTGAGCAGAATTTCATTTTGACAAAGTACCTGCTCTGTTTCCTCCACATGGTACGTCTGTTTTTTTACATTTTCATGTGAATTCATCTCAGAAATACTCACTGATTCCTGAAGTCAAAGTAACTCATTTACAAATACATTTGTGTCTCATGTTTTTTTTCCGTTCAGGTGTCTCAGGAGAGCATCGTGAACAAGATGAGTCCGTCTAACCTTGCCTGTGTGTTCGGAGTGAACCTGGTCTGGCCTCGTCACGGCTCCATCTCTCTGACCGCTCTGACCCCCATCAACATCTTCACTGAGATCCTCATCGAACATTTCCACACCGTGTTCGGCTCCCGCTGTCCCCCTGCACAGGTACTACCCTGAACCACTGATCCTGCCAACACTCTGAATCTGCACAATTATGGACCCAAGACTTACACGGGTGATACCCTTAACCTGCAAATCAACATATCACCTAATGGGCTCTCCTTTTTGGATTTTCTTCTCACTTTAAAACACTTTTGGTAACTATGTCTGTTTTTCTGGGACTTTGTATCACCGAGTTAAAATATTTGCACACCTACAGACAGGACTGTTCTGAATTTTTGTCTCAATCGTGGACATCTAGGTCTCTGCACACTAAATATCGAAATCTAAAAGGTGGATTAACATGAAACCAACAAAACTGGTTCAGAAATGATCACCCATAGATGTCACACTTTAAGGCTAACAGACTTTGCTACATTTTGTGTTGTTTATAATGTATTAGACATTTTATTACTTTTAAAAAAGTTAATCTGCGGTGCTAAAACCACACGCTGTTTATACTTTTTGTAAGATTTGAGGTCAGTTGTGTTTCTGTGATTTTTATATCTCTGATGCCGCAGAGGAAACGATCTCATACACTTACTTAAATCAGTGTTGATGTAAAATTGTGAATGTATAAAAAGATTTAACAAAAACACAAATGTCTTTTAGTTTAAGAGATATTAAATTAAAATTTGCTTAAAGCTGAAACTGTGCCTGAAACTGAGTTTTCTGTACGTGTTCAAACAGGTTTGAATCAGCTGAACCGAGTAGAAAAAGAGACCGACTTCTTGTTGTTGAATTTTGTTTATTAATGATTCCATTTTTCGTAAGAACTTGGTACAAAAAAGTGAGACTACTCTTGAATCATTTACCAACTTCCATCGATCCACTTTTTAATGCATCATAAAGAAGAAAAAAACTACATTGGCATATTTAAGACAAACACTTTCCTATACACACTATCCACTGGACAGTCCCCTTATTTATGACAAAAAAAACTTCTACTTCAACAGCCCACAGACATTTTATCCCCATCTAAACGTCTCCTCAGTGTCGCCCCCTCATGGCAAAAATAACACATCGTACGTTGCAAGCTAGAAGTCAGTATGCAGAAGTGGCAAACGATAAAAAACCCCAATGTTCTGTTTCCTTTTTTTGCTCCTTGATAAAAGAATATAAAAATGTTCTAACTTTTTTCTTTTTTGTTCAAATGTTGTGTCGTGTATTAAAATAGATCTGTTTAAGCACTGCACAGTTTCTCCCGGAGAAGATTTCTAGAAACAGATGAGGAGGTTTGGGTGGAGGGCACAAGTGGAGGGTTGTTTTTTTTTTTTTTCTTCATTTAGGAATAAGGTGGAGGTTTGAAAGGTGGACTTTGAACGCAGCACGGAGCGCTGATATGGTTTCTGTCTCGGCCTTTCTCAGGTGAGAAGTGGATATGCATCACATGTTACATTCTGCAGACACTGATCGTGATTTTACTCTTTAGAAAGGCAAGTTAGGTTCAAAGTTTCTGCATATCTGATGGTTTTATCTGCAGAAACAGAGCCTGGAAGGAGTCAGCTGAGGAGGTCCTCTGTTTACACACCGTCACTGATGTCAAATAGATTATTTTAATGTTGAAACTTTAAATCCTTTCACATTTAAAAACTGTCATGCTGCTTTTAATGAACTAGATGAAATAACAAACCACCAAAAAGTCCAAAAGTCTTTAAAAACTTTGGAAGCATGAAATTCAGAATTTAATGAATTCATAATCTATTTGGTGACTGCAGTTTTAAATACAAATCCTGCAGAGTGATCCTGATATGAGGGGTATAATACAGGAGAAAATAGGGACTCGAAAAAAAAAAAATTGAAATGTTTTTTTTAATTTTTATTTCAGAGTCCTGATAATTTTCATGTCATTCTAAGATTACGTTGGAATTCTGAGATCAAAGACAGAACTTTTTTTGGGGGGAATTCTTGGATCAAAGCCAGAATCCTGAAATTTCTTGAAGTTCCAAAATCAAACTCTAAGTTCTGACTTTGTTTTGGAATTCTGAGATCAAAGACAGAACTTGATAAATTTTTTTGGAATTCTTAGATCAAGGTCAGAATTCTGAAATTTTCTCGACATTCCGGAATCAAACTCTGAATTCTGACTTTGTTGTGGAATTCTGTGATCATAAATATAATTTTGACATTTTTCTTGGAATCCTGATTTATAGTCCCAAATATTTGATCAGTCTCAGAATACTGGCTTCAATCTTTGAGTTCTTACTTTAGAAAAATATCAGAATTCAACATTTATCTAAATTCAATTCTGACTTAAATGTTACAAATCTGAGGGGAAAAAAATTTTTTTTTCAGTGGCCCTTACCCTCTTCTGTAGTTCCAGGATTAAATCTTGATCATTTTTATGTCAAATGCATTTTCTCTAAATTTCTGGGGTGCATAGAAAATCTTTAGTCTACTAACTTAAGGGAAACAAAATAAGTTTTTCGTTATATAAATGTGATCATTTAAAGGAGTAGCTTCCCTGATTAGACACCTTCCAGACTCTGTGTTCTGATAAATTTTATTTTCTGTTTATTTTAAGCATTACGGGTGAATTTGGCTCAGAGTTTGGAGTTCGAGTTGGGGAAAAAAACTCTTCTCATACAGCGAGCAAACTAAAGCTTCTATCAGATTCTGATATGAAACAAATTCAGCTTTCAATCCAACAAAAACACCTGTGGTGATTAACGTTTTCAGCTCACTGTGGGAAAACTCTGAACTGATCAGATTTGTCCTCTGAACCGTTTACAGAGTAAGTATTATAGATCAGCGTACTTCATCTGAAACACACTGAGGCCTTTCTCAGTAACATTTAGTCGTACAGGCCGATCAATATGCAATATTGCTCATCTTTTACCTCCTTTTGTTCCTATCTCTCCTTTGTTCGATGCCACTGGATCCACGTCTGCACTGATATATTTGGATCATTTTGTGCCGTACAGATGATGCAAAGATCTCGTCGGTATCTTTGATACTTCAGAGAGCAAACGCAGGTGATTTGATATGGTTCAAACGAAATAAATCCACCTCTTTCTCCTCGATCTTCAAAAATTCCCTCTCTTCTTTTTGTAAAGGCATTTCTCTCTGAATTCTTTAAACCATTTGTTCATGTTTGTGCATTAACAGGACGCAGAGAGCTGCACCTCGACTGTGTGGTGAGTACAGTTTGATAAATAAATAGATAAATAAATAAAAAAAGGACTAAATCTAAGTTTGAACACTTGAACTGAACCTTTCTGGACCAGCAGGAAGACTAGCGAGACGAGTGGAGCCAGCAGGACAAGACGGCAGCATCCTGCTTCTTTTTCTTTTTTAACTTCATGGGGGTTTAATAAAAGCAGAAAGGTGCCGTTTTTCCCCTCTGGCTCCACCTACAGTCAAAAAGTGTTGTTGCAGTTTGACACATTTGTCCCACTTCTGATTGACTGGTGTTTAAAAAAATGACGCAACAAAGACGAAAAAACCCTGGATTTCAAAAACGATTTGTACTTGAGGCAGTGTTCATCTGTCAGATTAACAGGCTTGTCACTGTTAAAACGTTCATAAAACACCGAGAGTAAAAAAAGCTCCAAAGCCAAAAATATAAAAGAGGCAGGGAGGAAAAAAAAGCACTATAGACATTATTGAGAAATGAGCGATCCAGTACAAAAACAAAGAAACAAGTTTTTGGCATATTTTCTATACTGGTTTAAAGGGGAGGAGGGAACGAATGGATGCATCGCACGTCCACTGAACTCCTCCACGTGTTCGTGTTTGAGTGCAGCGGTGAACTAAACACTTTGGTCCCTGTTCCTGTTTGACTCTTTGTTTTCTGTCTGAAGGAAAAAGAAGCAACACAAACGAAGTAATAGAGACTTTTCAGGTTTTTCTTTAAAGATACAGAAACAAAAATATTCAAAAATTTGTCAATCTGAGGTCCAAAAATATGACTTTCGGATGTTTCACACTGAGTTTAGATTTTGTTACTACTTTAGAGTTAGGTTTACTTTATGAAAAAGTTACTTGTGATGCTTTCACATCCAAGTCACTTCTTACTGTTAAAAACCAGTTTTATGTAGTTAAAAAATAGCAAAACTAACTTGTACTTGACTGTGGAATTAGAGGTGAATAAAATGGATTGAATTAGGATAGGAGTAAAAAATAAAGATGGATGTATCAGGAGATATGAGTTGGAATTCTGCCATTTTTTGTAAAATTCCAAATTAAATTCACAACTCAGACATGTTTCCAGAACTTTGACGGAATTCAACATCGAATTCTGGGAGTAAAAGTTGGAATTCTGCGATAGTTATTCTGATGTGATTTGTGTGTCTTTCTTTTAATTCTGAAATCAGATCCAGAATTATGATATTTTTGTTGGAATTCTATAATTACGACTATTGTTCTGACATTTTCTTGGATTTCGGAGATGAAAGTTGGAATTCTGAAAACTTTCTTGGAATTCAAAGATTTCAGATTGACTCATAGAGACGTGAGAAATGAGACAACAGACAACTGAATTTCCCTTTGGGGATCAATAAGTTCTTATTCTTATAAAATTGGAATTTGGACTTTTTTTTTTTTTTTTTTTAAATTCTGATATTTAACATTGTGTTTAATTACCTCCGCCAAAGAGGTTATGTTTTCGGTAGCGTTGGTTTGTTTGTTTGTTTGTCTCTTAGCAACTTTACGGAGAAAGTTACAGACGGATTGACCTGAAATTTTCACCAGAGGTGCGTCTCAGCCCCAGGAGGATCCCATTATATTTTGGTGATCCGGACAAAATTCTGGATACTGTGATCCAAAACACACAATAAGGGTGTCGTTGGAATTTTCAATGCTGAAAGATAACTAATGGGCAGCACAGTGGTGTAGTGGTTAGCACTGTTGCCTCACAACCAGAAGGTCCTGGGTTTGAATCCCGGTCAGGGTGTTTCTTGTTTAAGGGGGGATATGAGCTGCTTGGCGGAGGTCTGCGCTTTTCTAGTTTTAATTTTGATGCATGTGTCACAAGATTTTCAGCTTTAATTTTTCAGTATTTCGGCTTTAAATATTTTTGTTTCTGCATTTTCATAAAAACAAAAAATTATTTTGTTGTTGTGTTGCTGTCAGACAGAAAACAAACATGTAAACGTTCAGGGACTCACCAGAAAAAACCTGCGATAATGTCGATGATGATGACGATGATGATAATAATAATACAACATATGTACAGTGATCCCCTTGAATACTCCAAACTTACATTTATCAACAGGCATCAGCATGAAAATACTAAAATCTCCACTAGAAATGCTAATTTCTGTAGTTTAATCTTAAATACTTTTTTCTTTGACTTTAACTCTATTAATACTGAAAAAAAGTTATTCTCTGTGTTTGTTTGAAGGCTCGTATGCGTTTACATACACGATGAAACATTTTCCTGAATTCTTATGGCAAAAACATTGTTCATAGGAGAATGAGAACAAACATCTACTCAGATATATCAATGTACAGTCCTTTCACTTCCCACAATGCTTTGTTTTCTTCAACTACGACTAACTCTACTGTTCTCTCTCACTATATGCAGAACAATTATTAGACCTGTGTTTTAAAAAAGGGACGTATCTTTTGGACCGCGCTCAGAAACTCCCCTCGTGTTCCTGCGGCGGCGCTGTCGTCTAACTTTTTGTAATAAATACATTAAGGCCAAGAACGTTAATAAATAGAAAATAACTTAAAAAAAGAAATCTCGTAAGCACTGTAGGTGTTGGGTTTTAAAAAATACTTGAATCGTGGAGGATAGAGGCTCTTCTTTCTCAGTTTTTGTCGCTTTTTTCAGCTTCTCAGAGAAAAAGATGGTCGGATATTATTCGGATAAAAACGAAATCATCACAGCCAGGGGGCGGGGCTAGTTGTTGGCATCATCCTGGCTGTGGGCGTGGCTCGTCTGCAGGGGTGTGGTCGAGGGCCCCGGGGTGGCGGCGGTGGCGTTAATGCTGGTGGGTTGTTTGATCCAGGACTGGGAGAGCAGGGAGGCGGCGATGGTGGCGGTGGTCGTCATGGTGACCTGGATGAGCTGGTCGCGTTGGATCAGGCGGATCAGAGCTTTGAGGCGTTCGAGCGACGCCTGAGTGTCTCTCTGCTGCCCCAACAAACGCTCCCTCAGGTCCATGCAGTGCTACACAAACACAAAACAGGAAGACGATGAAATATTATTTCTTTACAATATTGAAATTTAAACCTCTGTCCCTGCGATTAAAGAGTGCGTTCCTACTTTGAGCGTGTTGTTAAGATTCTTGTCCTGCTCCTCCAGATGAGCGTGCTCGTTCTTCAGCTCGTTGTTTCGTCTCAGCAGCCGTCGCTTCTCCTCCTGCCTCACTGCTCACACACACATGAACACACACTTTTAGCGCTTAAATACAAAAACAGAAACTCACTTGTATCAGAGAGTCGGCTGGCTCTTACCCGTCTTGTGTGTGACGTAGGACTGAACGAAGTTCTGTGGCCACGACATGTTCTCTTTGTTCAGCACCTGAGGACCAAACACGGCAGGTTTCAATTCAGCTGCTCCAAACAGTGAAATATGTTTCTGACGAATGTTTAAAATCATTTCATGAGGAGGTCGAGGCTCAGAGGGACAACAGTTCTCCAGGTGTTAGCTTTAGGGGTGTCCCGATACAACTTTTTTACTTCAGATACAATACTGATATTGTAGCTTTGAGGATTAGCCGATACTGATATTGATCCGGTATTGGCACAGACTTGTGCATGACAACTTTTGCACTCAGTCGCAACGTCTTTTTCAGACTTTAACGAAAAATACTGCCACACAGCCGACATTACTCCTACTCCTTGCTACTTTGTTCCTACTTTAGTACACACTGTTGTTGTGATCACATGGGCTCTGCATGCTGGATCTGGGCGCTACTACAAAGAGGTGCTGGAGTGGAGTCTGGAATGGACTGTTTGTATCGGAGTGCTGATATTGGAGATTTTAGATGCAGGCTGATATAATCCGATATTTGTTTTTTTGCTGATATCGAACAGATATCCGATATCAATATCACATTGGGACACCCCCAGTTAGCTTCGAACTTTGGACTGTGCCAAGCGTACTGAAACCTCATGAATTTGAAAGCCTTCGTTAACAAACCACCTTTCAATTTCACATCTGTTACGTGGATTTAGGACTCAAAACGGACTCCAGTCTTGTTTTTGCGTAGAAATATCAAGCTACGCGCAGGTTAGGAACATAGGAAAACCGCTAACTTTTCTCTGTCACCAAAGTTACTAATCCAGGCCTGTAACACCCAGAATTGACTTTTCTAAACTTCAGTTTTCAAAGGTTTTTTTAAAGTTACTTCAGAGTCTCTGGTAGGTAGATTCTGAGGGCGTTGACTAACTGTTTGGATGTTAAACCGATGAGGCCCGAGGATGAAGCCTTGGGGAACTCCATATGTAGTTTTCTGTCTGCGTAGATATAAGGTTTTATTTTGACATTTTTCGCGTCCGAACTATTTGAACAGGACACGGGGTTGCGACAGTACCTTCTTCTGGCACTTGGGGCAGTACCAGGGTCCTCTAGGCGGAGTTTTAAGCGGCGGATGGAGGCAGTTTGGGTGGAAGGCTCTGGGGCAGTTGTGGCAGGGCTGCAGCTCTCCGTCCTCCTTACAGACCGAACAGTGATCGTCATGCTCCAAGTCCTCCTGATGTGCAAAAACAAAACACAAACTTTTCAGATGATCCAACAATCACCAAATCAAATATTTATTATTATTTTCTTTTACAATAAAACCAGAATACATCCTTTTAGCACCTCACTAACACTAAAGACTTGAGTTTAGGACAAATGTTAGATGGCCTGCAGTGATGAACAGCATCTCAGTTACACTCTTTTCTATCAAAGATGTTTTCTTTTTACACTTTTTACACTTTAAATAATTATTTTCCTCCTTGAATCTGTGAACTCAAGAGTTTCAGACCCCAGAGCCAACAATGATATCATTAGTCATGTGACCTACCTTCCAGCAGAAATCCTCAGAGTCTAAGCATGTGAATGAGGCAGAGCAGAGGTTAGTGGCAGCAAGCACACACACAGGTAAACACACACATTAATACACACACTTTAACACACAGTGGTGAGAGGCGATTATGCGCAGGCACAAATTCACAATGTTAGATTCTTTAAAGGAATAGTTCAACATTTTAGGATTTTCACCAATACGACAGAGAGCAGGGGCCACCCAACAAAAAAAAGTAAGAATGTGATATAAAAGTTTTTAAAAAATACAGGGAAAAAAATGTCATTTATGATTAAGTTTTATATTTACCAGAATAAATTTTAAAATTTGAGGGAAAGAGTTTCTAGCTTACAGAAAAAAGGTCACTTATTACCAAATAATTTTGTAAGTTTTTGAGATGAAAATTGTGAATTTATAAAACTAAAAGAACGTCGCTAATTTACGGTGAAGAACATTTAAACTCACAGAAATTAAGTTGCAAATTTTAAAAATGGTAAAAGTTGTAGAAAACTTAAGTAATACATCATTTAAAAAAAAAACTTTGTTTAAAAAAAATTCTCTAAAAAAACAGAATTTTTCAGTTTACTCACATAAATAAACATGAATACACTTTTACATTCAGTTAAGTGTTTTTTTTTTTGTCTTATGTTCTTAAATTTACAGCTTTTATCTAAAAAAATCGTCTCTTTTTCTCCCCTCATACTGTGATGTATTTTACTTGTTGGTTTAAATAATTTCCACCTTTTTGAACTATACCTTTAAAGGTTTCATCAGGTTAAATCTGATGAACAGATAATTTTACGTCAGCGCACACAGAGCAGAGAGTTAAACTCAGCATGTTTGCTTAAACACTTACATGGCTTAAACACAGACATAAATGTGTTTTCAGTAACAGTGAATGTTTTGTTTGTTATTTGGTGATAAGATTTTAATTTTTTTACCTCGTGCTGACAGGAAGAGCGAGCTGTTCAGGTAATGTGACGCCAGACGTTTACGCTGCAAAGACACAAGAAATATCGTGATAAGAAAAAATGTATCTGGACTGAATGTTCAAAAATCCTACATGAAGAGTAAGATTTTCAAGAGTTTCAGAAACAAGAGTAGATTCATCTCTTTAAGATGGACTCATGTTTGTTTTCTGACCTCTGGTTCGAACAGGCCGCTGTAGGCTGGGTTTGCTGTGCTTCGTCTCTTCCTCTCCTGTCGCTTCGTCTGGATTTCTGATCAGAGACAAACAAAAACACTTTCTTTAAAACGAGTTCGCAGCGACAGACGACAGTGACGACTGTGAAAAAGGGTGGAATGGTCCTTTAAAGGGTTCCAAGATGTCATATTCAAGTTGGATCAAACAGAGTACTTTTGAGATCCTGTTGACTCACCTTCCAGGTGCTCTGTGGTGACGAGGCCGAGGGCGACCATGAAGGCGATTTTCTGAGGGAGAAGGACGAAGACGTTAGTGATGAAGAGGAGGAGGTGAGGAGTTTGAGACCCTCAGCGTCTGATTCAAGAGCCTCTCAGTGAGGAGAGAAAATCTTAACCAGTCTTTTTAAACACTCTTCAAAGGTTTGACATCAAATTAAAATTCAAGAGGCTGCTGCTGTCCTCCACGTCTGTTTTTTCTTCTTCTTCTCTGCTTTTAAAAACTGCAGGAAACGCCGACTGATGTCAGAACTGTTGTGTGTTTGAACCAATCAGAGCGGAGCCTTCATGTTTAAAACTCAGTCAAGAAAAGAGGACGGGACAATCATTTATTAATTCATTTATCTCTCACCTCGGGGTCCTCGTCTTTTTTCGGGGACGGGGATTTTGGAGTGGGCGGAGCTTCTTGTGATGGGAGGTCAGCCTGAGTCCCCGGAGAGCCCTCAGTGCTGCTGGGGGCCTGTGGCTGGATTATTATCACCTGAGAGAAAGAGAGATAATGTTACAACACTGAGGATAAATAATCCAGATTATTTTATGAAATTTTTATGTGCAGATCACAGGAGAAAGATGTCCCAAATTTGTTTCTTTTACTTCCTTTGACTGCTATTTATCACACAAAAATTATTTTACATCTGCTTTTATTTTTTTTATTCACAAATCTGCACTGAAACTTTGACGCTTCTTATAAGACTAGCATATTTAACCCTCTGTAATTTAGTGTTGGGTCGTTCACGAACGATTCGTTCAAAAGAACCAAATCTTTTAGGCGAAAGTACTGAACCTAATCACTTCCTCAAGTGATTCGTTCGTTTCTCACTTCAGTTGAGCTGTTGGGAGGGCGGATGCTATCGCACGCAGCATTGCCAGGCGAGCAGCCGGCGAACGAGGGACCGCATGGACCGACGCCTGGTAAACGAATCATGCACTGAACTACACTGTCTGGAATCATTTTTTGTCAGACAAAACTAACTTTTTATATTTTTTACTGCTAAATTGCTATCACAACAACCACAACTATCATTGCAGCGGTTTGCGAGGGAACGGTGCATGTTCAGTTTGAATTCTTCTAAACGTTCAGTAAACGAATCACTCACTGAACCCAAAGCAACACAGACAAACACTCTTGTCTCCTGGTACTAGAAGTTATGAATTGAACTGAATCCTGAACCGTTCAGCTGTGAATCAGTTCAGGAGGCTGGAGTCGCAGGCTTCTCCCGCCAAGCACTGAATGATTCAGTGATTCGATCTTTTGAACGAATCTTTTCAGTGAACCGATTCTAGTGATTCAGTACATCTGAAAGAACTGCTGTGCTCATCACTACTGTTATTGCTGTTCTTTTCGTTTTATTTTTCTTGTTTTGTCTGATTTTATTGTTCAGTATTTTAGTCATAACTGTTAGTTGTTTGTTTATTTGATTTTAATCTGGACAGACAGCCTGTCTCCAGGGTAGAGGGTGCAGATTTTTAGTCCTGCTGTTTTGACCAGATACAGAAGAAATCAAGTAACTGATGTGAGTTTAAAAACAGAGATTTGGAGCTCAGACGTTTGTTCATGGAACAGCTGAGCCTCGCTGCACTTCCTCCATCTTTGAGAGGTATTTTAGTAAATGTTATCGATGCAAATACAAGCATCAGATCAAGAAAATACAGCTGGAGATACCCCGTGTTCTAATCGAATCTAAACGAATCTAATCGTGGTCATTGGTTGGTGTCGTTTTCAGAGTTTAGGAGACACCAGCCTTGTCAGCGCTGAAGAGCAGTGGCTGCACCTTGACGGCCTCGCTGACGGCGGACACTCCATTCCCGGTGGCGGGTGAGGCGGCGATGATGGCGTACGCCACTCCAGGGCCCGCTGTGGCGTGCTGAGCGGGTCCCGCAGAGTCTTGGCCTCCTGACACACCGTGCGGTGGGGCGGAGGGCGGCGAAGCGTCGCTCTGGCCGTTGGGCTGGTGGTCGGGGCTGAGGGTGCTGTTGGCGGTGGGCAGGGTGGGGCCCCCGCTCTTGGGGCTGACCACGGCGGTGGCTCTCTGCAGGCTGAGGGGCTGCAGCTCCTGACAGGGAACGTGGGGGAGGCTATCGGGGATCTGGGTCTTTGGCCTGACCTGAAGAGAGACCAGAACCAGGAGGACAAAACCTGTTAGAGACGTTTCAAGTCTGACACAGTTTCCTTTCCCTGCTGTAAACAATCGAGTACAGAGACGAGGGAAGATCTGACTCATGAAGCTTTATCTCTTTGACCTCCCCCATCAGTTTCAACCCCGTCCTCAACTATCAATAAAGCTAAATAAAAACTAAAATATCGTCTTAATCATGAAAACATTCAGACTCCTCTTACTGTAAATCCAGAAAGACTTTGACTAGTGAATTAAATTGTTCTTTTTCCAAAGTAAAGAAATCAAATGAAGAAACAAAAATCAACATTTATATCAGACCCTGAGCCTCACAGATGCTGATGTAAGACCTGTTTTGAGGAGGGTAAAACAGTTTGATTCAGGACTAAATATCCACTGAAATCCTCTTTTTTTACACTCTTAACATCATTGACTCTAAATTAATCAAATCTGCCTTTAACTCACTGACGGTCTCAGTGGTTTGTGCTGCCCCCTGCTGGACGTTTCCAGACACGTCACCCAAGAATCATCAACATGTTTGAGTTTTTCCAGTTTTCTCTTAATTTTAACTTCAATTCTCACTTTTGTTGTATTCATTTGTTATATTAAACTCTTAATTAATATGTGCAGGTTTCCTCTGTGATGTTTGTAGCATCACTGTAAGGACAAAAACTGATCTCTACAACCTCTGAGCTAAAACATATAAACAAAAACTCCACAGTAATACAAATCTACATTCTAATCCTAATGCAAATTCACACTCTATGCAGATGATTCTGTTATTAACAGATTTGCTCTGAAGCAGTATCAGACTCTCAGTTACTTGCGAGATGATTTCGATGCTGCTCAGAACCTTTTATGAGTCACAATTGGTCTAAAATCCTCATAAAACTTAAAGACAACCCTGCAGAACCTGCTGATTATCTCTACACCTCAAGATGATGAGGTTGAGTCTGTATCGTCTTATAATTTCCTCAGATTCTCTGTCAACTTGTTCAGAAGTCGAGGCTGCAGCCAGGCTTCTATTTCAGAAAGACCGGGCACGAAGAGAAAAAGACTTTTGGGTCTTCTGCTCTTACCAGAGGGTTTAGATCTGGGAGAGCTGGTCTCTTATCTGTAATCAGGTGGGATCAGGCGTCCTTACCTGAGGTAGCAGAGTGGCTGCTTGTCCTGCCAGCCGGTGCAGGGAGCTGACTTGAGGCACCTTGATGGGCACAGCAGTGAGAGTTCCCAGCATCTGAAAGACACATGAACGCAACACTTAAGATCAGAGAACGCAGATTTACTACAGTGTTTGAAAGGCGTCGGGACACAATGTGGAAAACACTCTAAAGCAGCGGATTCTGTCTGAGACATGTTGATAACTACAACCTGCAGAAAAGGTGAAAAACATTAAGATTAATGATATTAGATCACTAAAAATCAGGAACCAGTCAGCACATTTACAGAATGAATCAGCTCCTTCTTTGTATATTTAAAGTGTTCAGTTTCAGTTGTTGTAGTAGCTGCTTCTGGCCACAAGGGGCGCTCCCACTACACCCCACAATGCACCTCTCACCAACTTGCCTTTTTAGTTTTTAAAATAGAATGATTTTTTTTCAGTGTAGATGGTTAAATTCCTACAGTCTGTGAATTTACTGTGTCATCAGCTGATTCACACATATAAACCTTTAATCCTCAGACTACTCCCTTTACTACTCATCCTAATCAAACACAGAGTTTCATGATCACAGTGTTGTTGTTTTTTTTGCTCTCAGATGTTTTTTCTCTGCATAAAAAATTAAGAAAAACAGCAACAGCCTTGGAGTCCTTGTGGAGATCGGGAACAAACAGCTCCAGTTTTAGGACAAACCTCACCCTCTAACCCTTCTCATGTAGTGACTCTACATTTCACTGGTTAAAATGGTCTTCATGGTTTTAATGAGAGTACAGCGACAAATACTCACTAAATACAAAAACACAAGTTATGGTTTAAGTCTCATTTTAAGTAAAAAACAAAAATATGTTTTTCTTGTCGGCGGTTTTTACTCTAAGTCAAACATTTGTTGATATTAGACAGACAAAAATAACAATAATAGAGAAAGTTCATTTACTATTTAGAGGACAAAGCTAAAAGTTTGAGGCTAAACCTGCATTTAAAATCACATTTTTAGCTTTTAATCTTCAATCTCATAGTTAAACTTTCTGACTTTATTTCTCAGACGCAGTAATAATGAATGTTTTCCTGCTCTAAACTCTCTCCTGTGTCGTTTCTGGACCTGATTTTCAAACTACAGGTTTAGATGAAGTCCCTCAGAAGTGAATCAAAGCCCTGTGTGTTTTTACTCCCCTCAAACTGTGGATTTTATTTCCTCCTCCTTCATATTTTCGCAGGCTGCAGCTGTCAGAAATGAAGAAGTGTTTCCTCTGACGCCTGCAGTTGTTTGCTTTCTCTAAGAGTTAACCGTCTGTTTCGGTTCGATTCTGCTTTATTTTTGTCGAGATGTTTGAGCAAAGCTGAGCTCTTCAGTTTAACCTGCTCTGATTTAGTCTGAAAATTCAGAAAAAAATCCACCTCAAAGATCTGAAAATCCAGACCTGCACAGTTTAAATGACCTCGTTTTTTTATCTCCTCTGTTTCGTCTCAGCCGCTCACAAACTAGAAGAAGAAAAAAAGAAAGTTCTCTCCTCCCCCTCCTGATCTCAGCTCTCCTCCTCCCCTCTTTTCTTCTTCTGTGAAAATCCCTTCGTTCCGTCGTATTGTGCTGCAGAGCAGCGAGAGGAGGAGGGGAGGAGGAGGAGGCGGCCCGGCCGGGCCTGTTTCCATGGCAACTGCAGAGATGAAAATTCTTGCAGTGCAAGGGCTTTCATTTTCGTAATTGCTTCCTCTTTTCTCCAAACCTAAGCACCTTCTCTTTAGGGGGCCCTGCTCCTCCTCCTCCTCTTCCTCCCTCACTCCAGTTCAGACAGTGAACACAACCTTGTTCCAGTGGTTTCCTGCTTCTCTAAATCATTTTTTGTTTCTTTTTTCTCCAAAGTGAAAACCATCCCTGAGTTAGATGACAGCTCTTCAGTAAACACTGACGATCTTCCTCCTCCTCCTCCTCCTCCTCCTCCTCCTAGTCTGAAAAACCTGCTGTGATGAACCTGTGACTTCCAGATGTGGATTTAATCACTGTGCAGTTTATGAGTAAAAACATACCGACATAAACACCTTTTTTCTTCTGAACTAAGACAAGCTGAGAGATGGAATTTTCCATCTAAAAGCTCACCTTTGCCTCCATACTTTACATACTTTACTTAAATTGATGGAAATATTAGCAGCTTCAACTGAGTGAATGAAAACAAGTTGGAATTTATGCACATAATAGATAAGCACATATTCAGTCAAAATGTTGAAGTTAAAGGAAAGTTTATGGCTGTTTTGACACCAAACTTCACAAAAACACCAAATATTGCAAAGTGTAAGAAAAGTTTGAACATAGTCTACCATAAAGAAATGTCAGTAAACATCAGCAATCATTTATTTATGCAGTCTATTCTAGTTCAAACATTTATACTTATTTAACAGTTAATATGACATGGAGTCCCCCACGGCTCCATCCTGGGCCCTCTTCCTTTCTATAGCACCCCCTGGCACAGTATTTAACTAGTTTAACTCTGACTTGAAGGACAGGGACTATATTGTGTCCATAGTTCGCATTGGAGCAGACAAAAGTGACGCCTGGAGTCCCTCAAGGCTCCATCCTGGGTCCTCTTCTGTTTAACATAGACTGGACCTTTTAGTTCAGTAAACAGCTGGTTTAAATCTTACTAAAGGACAGAGGATACTTTGAATCTATAGGTAAGTTATGATTGGAGTTCCACAAGGATCCAACCTGGAGCCTCTTCTGTTTAACTTCTATTAGTTTAGACTGTAGAAATTAAGATAAGTTATCATATCTATACAAACGCAGTTCTAATTACACAAAGTTATTTTTGGAGCTAATGAGGAGAGGTGAAAAGCTGCTGATCAGCCTCAAACATAACAACTGAAAAACACTGACCAAGCCAGAATCTGGGTGATCATTACTTGAAGTAATAATCACCATTTTAATAATTTTTCACTGCAGACACGGTAGTTCTTCTGCCTTAGCGTCTCGGTCTGATTGCATTTCCATGAAGGGGTGTCATTTTCCAGGATATATCAAGAGGATATACCCGGAGAAAATGGTCTGTGAATTATCTTTGGTCCACTTTATAACTGTAACAGTGTCTCTACAGGTCTCCCAAAAAGTTAATCAGACAGCTAATTCTGCTAGAGCCCCAACTGACACCAAAAGTACCCAAAAGACTTGGGTAAAAGCCAGCAGAGGGACAAGGATTTCTCAGCAAAGTTTGAGAATCTTAGGGAAGTTTGGTTTCACATGAGGACTACTTTTCAGAGTCTGAAACAAACTTGGACCTGGTTCTAGTTTGGTGCTGGAAAATGAACAGATGGGAAGAGGATTTTGTGGTGGTTTTAAAGCTCAAAGGAAACCTTTATTTTCCCTCACAGGTGTAGGCTTCTTCCAGTGAAAGTGCAGCAGGCACTCTTAGTGGTTGTTCCTTCATGCAAATGATGCTTTTCTTCAAACAAGACAAAAATCAGACTATGAGACGACTAAAAATAACCTGAAAAAAGTGAATTGGTATCAGGAACAGCTCTTACAGAAACAGCCAGTGAATTTAATGTAGATTCAGCTGTGCACCAGAATATCCAGAGCCAAAGCTCCCAGAGAGGATTGGCTCTGGATATTATGGAGGAACAGTTCTTATAAAAGTTGGATGTTTACAGGAGAAAATTATTCTGCAGGAGAGGATGAGAGGAAGCAGCCAGGGAAGGTGTTGACAGAGCGAGGGAGGAGACGGAGGGATTACAGAGAAAAGTGGATAAAAACTCGTCAGCTGAAGGTGGGCTGAGGCTCAGAGTCTGCCATCAGTCTGTCAGCACAGACGCAGGAGGAAGACGAGGAGGAGGAGGAAGAAGAGCGCGCACAGCAGCCAAAAAAACGAAAAACAGAGCGGAGATGAAGAGTTTCATCTCTCTCTGAAAAATTCACAGACGTCTTCACAAACGTGTGAACTCAGCGGCAGAGTGAAGATCTGCCACGACGCTTCGGGACAGAAAGTTCAACTCCAGATCGAGTCGGGTTCACGGTGAAAGAGTAAAACTAAAAAACTCGACATACCGTAGAGATTTAATTTGCCCTCTCAGTCACACTTTTTCACTGGTTTGTCTGAAAAGGAAATAATTTTCTTCATCTTTAAAAACTGCGCTTTATTTTTGGAAAAGTTTGACTGAATTTTTGTCTTTTACTTGTTTACTCATTTTTCTTTATTTTCCATGAACACGTGATCACCTTTTCTATCTGATCTGCCTGTGAAACAGAATCTGAAATGGATTAATTTAAAGCTGTGAAACCAGATAATCCTTAAACTAGAGTTTTATGAGAGTTATTGACTATATTGATTTCTGTTACGGATTATAAGGAGGGATTTTAATCGAGAGTATGACTTTTATTTCATAAGAAAAGTTCTCTTTGTTTACTTTCAGACACACGTGACACAGAAGTTGATACTTATATTTATTTATCACAAACTTTGTGTATCGTAACAACTGTGATCGTGACACTTTGATCGGGGTAAAGGATTTTTCTTCTACATTTAAATTTGTGTTCATGTAATTTGCACTTTTTTACAGATGTTTTCATGGTTAATTTGATCCAAATGACATTTAGAATATTTACATAGGAGAGAACTTGATGTATCCTGTTAATTTGCCTTCATATTTTTGCCTTTTTTCTTGTTTTCTTTTTTTGGAGGTTGCATTTGATGCACAACATCTAGAATATTTGCAGCTAACACACTGGCACTAGACTACAAATGATAAAAACTGTCCGAACTAGAACTTTGTATTATTCAAATTACCAACTCAAATAAATCAAAGTTCATTCAATAGAATAATTTTAAATTTCTCTCTAAAAGAGTTTTTAAAAGAGTCTCATTTTTGTTTCACTCCACTTACATAATAAAATAAATTTAAAGTTTATTTAAAGGTATTTTATTTGTTTTATTTCAAACCAGAGGGCTCTGCAGACGTCACTTCACTCCTTCGGGAGACCAGCAGAGGGCGCTGCCTGAGGCCACGTCAGCTCTACTTTCAGCCTGAAGAAGGTTTTCATTTCATTCATGCTCTGAGCTCAGAGAGATGAACTCTGCTGCTGCTGCTGGGAGGAGACGCAGGCTGCGTTCACAAGCAGCAGCTGGTAAACAACAACAGTTTAAACACTCCCCCTGCTTTCAGCCAGTGTGTCCTGCAGTCACACCTGAACTCCTGCACACAGGGACGGATAGTAATGCAGCTGCATGTGACTCTAGAGATCGACACTGCTCTGATGCCTTCACTTAACCTATTTAATGATTTATAACTGACTTAATTTGTTTTATTTTTAGGATTTTATCACTGCTAAAATTTATTAAAGACTTTATAGATCCTAAAGGGCAAAAGTTATTGTTTCCCTTTCATTTTAAACTTAAATCTTTGATCAACAAACTCAAATACCTTGACATATTGTTGTTGAAATCTATCATACATTTTTAGACACACTTCCTGCTCTTCTCAAATAAAGTATCTTGGAACTAAAACAGTTTACTGGGGAACTAAAAAACTTTGTGTTGTCCAAATTTAAATGATTTAAACCATAAAAACATCAGAAAAGACAAACATCAACAGTGCAGCCAGGAAAAAAAGTCTTCTCTTTAATCAATAAAATCCCCTTCCAGCAGAAACACTACTCAGTTACCACGGCAACAGCATCAGTCTCCTTTAAGCACTTTCAAAACCTCCTCTATAGCACCTGGAATGTTCTCCAGGACCCCTGGAGTCTCCTTCAAGACCTTCTAAGAGTGCTGAAGAACATCAAATCCCCACAGACGGCCCCTGGATTATTCTCAAGGACTACCAGGACGTTATCCAGGACTACTGAATGTTTGTTAAGGAGCGCTGGAGAAGGTATGAAATATTCACTAAGGGCTAAATTAAGTTTTCAGGTGTAACTTCCTCAGCCAAGAGGTGGAGCAGAACAGAAGCAGGTTCAAAAAGTCCAACCTGAGTTTGTACTAATGCTGAAAATGAGCTACTTTTCCACAGTTATCTTAAATACTAGATTCTAATTGGGCAATACTCCCTAGCAACGGTCTGTTATATAACAACATCTACCTTGACAACCCACTGGATATAAATTATGACTTACTTATTGTGTTTATTTCTAGACCCTGACTGGTCAATACTCAAAACATAGCAGCAGTCTGTTATTTTGGGATAGCATGCTGTTGCTATGGATACAGGTCTGCTCAAAACATAGCAGCAGTCTGTTCTTTTGCGATAGCATGCTGCTGCTATGAATACACCTCTGCCATAGCAACATCTAACTTTGACAACCCACTGGGTATACCTTATGACCTATTATGTTAATTTCTAGACCCTGACTGGTCAATACTTAAAACATAGCAACAGTCTGTTATTTTGGGATAGCATGCTGTTGCTATCTGCCATAGCAATATCTACTTTGACAACCCACTGGATATACATTATGACTTACATATTGTGTTAATCTCTAGACCCTGACTGGTCAATACTCAAAACATAGCAGCAGTCTGTTATTTTGGGATAGCATGCTGTTGCCACGGATACAGGTCTGCTCAAAATGTAGCAGCAGTCTGTTATTTTGCGATAGCATGCTGTTGCTATCTGCCATAGCAATATCTACTTTGACAACCCACTGGATATACATTATGACTTACATATTGTGTTAATCTCTAGACCCTGACTGGTCAATACTCAAAACATAGCAGCAGTCTGTTATTTTGGGATAGCATGCTGTTGCTACGGATACAGGTCTGCTATAACACTTGCTTTAAAGACCCACTTACTGTACATTATCCTTCACATAGATACTGTTATTAGTGGTGGACCAATTTTCCGTGCAAGTTTACACATTTTTATTTAGCTCGTAACATTATTCTAACAGTTAAGTAAATTAATGATAGAGACAAATACATGCAGTTACGCTGTAGATACATACAGATACATCAGTTTGAAGCAATACCAAACTCCATCGTTATTACAGAATTTATAATAAACACTAGCTAGTGATTGTCTTTGATTTTAAAAGGTGCCATTGGGGATGCTTTTTTTATTTTTTTTATCTCATTGAGAAAAGACAACAGTAATTTCGGCCTTGTGAGGGCCAAAGCCGATATGACGCCGGTTGGGTTTGACCCAAGAGCTTCTAATCTGCCTTTTTTGTGCTTTTATAACAATGTTAGAAAAGACAGATTTATTTCTTGATCCTCAAAACTTAAAAGAAAATTGGTGTTCTGAGTTTTATTTCTCCTCTATCTGATCTCTGAGGAGCTGCAGTCACAGATAATAAGACTGAAACACTCCTGAGTGTGTGTGTGCGTGTACAGTTTGTACCGTGCTTACTCTCCCTCTCTGATAAAATAGTCCTCATTGTGCTTCACCACACGATGTTCTGTACCGAGCGTATTCATCCTCACTCTGCTCTCTGTTTGTCATTCAGACTCTGAGTGCAGCAGCGGACCCTTGAAGGGGGTCGACCACCTTCCTCCGGCTCTGGCGAGACTCGGAGGCGGATGGAGGATGGAGGAGATGACCTTGGCTGCTGTTTAAAGAGGATGAAGATTCTTTGGGAGGAGGAGGAGGAGGAGGAGGAGGAGGAGGAGGAGAAAGAGGAGGAGGAGGGATGGAGAGGAATGAAAGAGAGGCCGGATAAGCGATGAAGCTGCACACTTTCAAACACTCCTCTCAGCCTCCCTTTGTTCCTCTGCTGCAAGCTAACAGGCGCTAAATGCAACTCAAAGTACAATCGCACAACAAACAGTCAGCGCACAAACACACGGCTCCTCCCTGCTCGGAGCTTTAAAGGGCTCAGACTTTTAAAAAAAACACAGTTTAATGTCTGTTCCAACTGATTTAGGAAGCTTTTTTATCACATATATATATAAATAAACCATTTTATTCCTTTGGGTTTATCCCTCAAAAGGATGACTCTCCCTTAAAGTTAACGAGAAACTCTTCAAGCCGCCACTTTATTATGATGATTACAAAGTTTTGGTGACTTTTAAAGCAAAAATCTGCTAATTCAAGATTCCTACACGTGGAAATATTTAGATTTTTATCATTTAAAAGTAAGAACTTCTCAATTTAAAGCTTTGGCTGTAAAGAAAGACAATAATTATGAGTTTATGAAAATTTTGTTTAAAATTTTCTGCAACTTTCTCACATTAAATTGAAAGATTTTCTTAAAAAAGCCTATTTGAAACATTTACTCTTTTGCATATTTATTAGCGGTAAAAAGAGGAGTTGAATGAGTATCAGAGAAGTCCAGAGTGTGGATGAGTAAAAGCAGCTCGTGCTTTCACACAGAAATGTGTGAGTGTTTCCTGAGCGGCTGAAACAATGCAGCTTTAATGTGAGCACTCATGCAGAGCAGCAACCCCATTACACCTCATTATTGATCTCTGGATTAGTGGCCAGGTGGTCTGAGGGACCTGCTGCCTCCCCCCTATCCTCTACCCTCGCTCCTTTACTTCTTTTACTCTTCTGCACACCCTCGCCTCTGATTGGCCGAGCCTTTATGACTCTGGATTGATGGAGGTAAGAAAAGCTGGAGGCCTGTGGAGGGAGGGGAGGAGGTTTCTTTATTGCCACGCTCAGAGGAAGGCAGCTGGGTGAAGAGTGCCCACTTTCTCCAAACAATACAGCCGTAAAGAGCCTAAAACAATCCTGCTGCCTGACCTGCTCACCTCCACGGCTGAGGGGGGGGACGGGACAGAGGGAGTCAGACCAGATGACGAGTGAGGGTGAGGGAAAGGAAGAGGAGGGGGGAGAGGGTCTCCAAAGTGACATGTTGATGAAATGAAGCAGCTTTATCGCAGCGAACGTCTGTGTGTGTGTGTGTGTGTGTGTGTGTGTGTGTGTGTGTGTGTGTGTGTCGCAGACTCAGACCTGCTCTGAATCATAACCACAGACTCTGCGAGAAACGTCACACAAAGCACGAGGCAGCCAATCAGAGAGCAGGGTTTGGATCCTGACGCGACTCCTGAACTCCCTGACCCTTATTGACTCTGCAGATGTACCCACACACACTTACACACACTTAAACACACATACGAGCTCACACACATGCAGACAACTGTATGTTTATATACTTATGCTGTATGCGCAAACATACATTTAAACATACTTACATACAAACATATATATGTATATATCTTTGCATGTGTACATTCATACATACTTACACATACTGTGTGTAGGGCTGGGCGATAAAATGATAATGATAGATATACTGAAGATTAATTTCCCTCAATATCAACATAAAACATGGTCAATATCCTTTTCGATGGTCGTCATTCTGCCATGTTTTGGTAGACTATGCAAATAGCCAATGATTAGGGGAGTTGTTCCGGGTCCGCTTCACGCTGAACCAATCATGTGCTGAATTAGAACCAAGTAGCAAACAACTGCATAGTAGCAAACTGCAGCTACACGCAACCATAGCACTTTAACAGGTGAAGCCGACAGCACTGATGGTGAGAAAAAAAGGAAATGAGTGCTAGAAATGCAGATGAAGGCTCAACTGATGACGACATCGTCGACAAGACTGTCAAGAAAACGACGGGTTTTTTGGGTTCGGACATGAAGCAGAGTAATGTGCACTGCAAATTATGTCGAGTACATGTTCTCGCAAAGTCGAGGAATATCTCAAATCTTTTTCACTAAAGGTTACAAAAACTGAGCGGCGCGAGGAGCCCATGGCGCCTGTACAGCCGAAACAGACCATCATTCAGTCCGCTCTCTTTAGCGCAACACCTTACGACAAAACGTCAAAGAGACACAAAGACCTCATAGATACATTAGCTTATTATAATGCAAAAGACATGCCACCAACAAGCACTCTGAAATTTCATTTTTTATATCGTGATACATATCGATATCGACCGATATGAAAAAATATATCGTGATAAACTTTTCCTATATCGCCCAGCCCTAACTGCGTTTGTATGTGTATGCAGTGGCACAAGAGTAATCGTCTTGCATATTTACACTGACACACTCGTGTCCAGCTTTACCCTCATCAGCTCACAAACACACTCTGTCACATCTGATCCCGAAGACTGAAACCGTTCTCCCGTCTCTCCTTATATTTTAAAAGCTCATGTGTGTTCCCCGTCAATCAATCTGAAGGCGTCACGCCAGCAGACATGTTTCATCTCATATAAACTCCGCTGGCTGACAAAGACTCTGATCTCTCGGACTGACAGAGGACTCAGGAAGCAGGAGCCTGAGGGCCCTGAGCCCTGCCCCCCTCCCCTGTGTGGGGCCATGCAATTACAGTAATAGTGTGCAGGCTGCAGCATGGAGCAGTGATCCCCGGCTGTGTGCTGATGGAGGTGATGGTGCTGAATACAGAGTGTGTGTGAAGAGGAGACGCCAAGGCCTGAATCCTAACACACACACTAAGAGGACAAACGCAACATCTCTGCTACACAAAATACAACTCTATGTTTCCAAACCGGAGCATGTGTGCAACAAGTCAGAAACACGGTAAACAAATCTGTTTCCTTTGCTTCCTGGGATCGTAAAAAGTGATTTCCAGCTGCAGCTTTTCAGAGGAACAAAAACACAATCAGAGCTGCAGATTTCTGAGCGGCGCTGCTTCTCTGCTTCTCTGCCTCCGAACAAAAGTGAAGCGAATTCACACGTATGGATTTAAAAACAGAGGAGATGCTGCAGGATGAACCGAAGCTTAAACAACACGCCGCCGACTCCTCCGGGGTGTGATGGAGAGGAGCTGGAAGAGGATCAAGTTAATGTAAACACACATTTCCCTCCTCCACTTCTTCATGGTGAAGAAAATCAAACAAAAAGAGAGAGAGAGGAAGGGATCTCTGAAAGTTAACTGGTTAGTGAATAAAGAGTTCGGGTTAACAACAGCTTAGACTGTCATCACAGCAGGATGTCAGTGTGGATAAAGAGGGATTTGGCTTCACTTTTGAATCCCTAATTCACTTTTTACAAGCAGAATAGCATCAGGCTATAGGACAGTATATACTATGTAGGGATGTGCGGATATACAATTTAATCGCGGTATGAGATATTAAACGGCCGCAATGATGAAATCGTAAGGTACTGTAATAATTGTTCCACAATTTTAATTTAAAACGAGCAAAGCCAAGTACTTACCAACCTAACCCACTTGTAGTCTTACCCACGATGTCAAAGCCTCGGTAGCAAAATGTACAAACAAACCACCACAAAAGTAGTCCCAAATCAAAAAAAAAAAACTCTCGGATTAAGTACATTCATGCCAGCCTAACTATAACAGGAACATTAACAGAGAAAATGAAGGAATTTTACAACAAAATGCGCGGCCACCCACAATGCATTGCGGCCACCCAAAGCACTATTGGAGCGTGTCCACAATGCATCCCATCCGCTCATTAGCTTCTTAAATTAGAAGAGATATGATCTGATATTTTAAAAAACACTGGATTGGAGTATTGGATCATGACAACATGTCAAATGGAGCAGCAAACTTTTGTTCTGTTTTTATGTGTCCCAAAAATGCACATGTAGAGGTGTACTTTGGTATATAAACTATACAGTTAGCTGTCAAGGTAGAGAGCATTATATTTTCGGGACAGCAAATACTCCGAATTGCCGTTGTCTAACACTTCAAACCTACGTGCCCACCTCCGTGAACACCATCCAGTATCGTTCGCCCAATCAAGGTAAAAACAACATGACCGCAACAAGTTTGGTCTACTCTACTGCTTATTATTGATCACCAGCGTGTTCAGCAGACTGCTTGGCATAGTTTCGACAATGAAGAAACCGCTTCACTGGTGGTGGTCAAGGCGAACACAGATTATTTGCAATACCGAGCAAACGGAGTCACCCCAACCCACCCAACATGAGGAAGAAGAGGGAGAGCTCATTCCGAAAAAGGGCGCGATTCATGACATCGGTTGTCTGGAGATTCTTCAGATTTAGAAAATCCGACGATGATCAAAAAACAGTGTTATTCAAAGAGCGTTAAAGATAAAAGGAAAATGAACAAATGCGACAGTATGGTTATTTTTAAGCCTTTCATTGAATTTACAGGGGGGAAAAACATATCGTGATATGATTTACTTGTACCATGATATAAGATTTTGTTCATACCGCCCAACACTAACACAGAAAATAGTCCAGACCTTTGATTCAGTCAACAAGATCCAATAGGTCTGGTTTAGACGCTGATGTCCTGGTCCCCTCCTGCTCTCCCTACCTTACCCCTACCCCACCAAAATATAAATTCATGGTAAGACTAGTCTGCAAAGTTGCTTTAAGATCAAAATGAAATTTAAATCAGGCTCCGGAGACAAAAATCAAGATAAATCAGAAAGAAGAGACTCAACAGGAGGAGGGCACTGAAGAGAGAGAGAGAAACAAGATGGGCTTTCTGTCTAATTTAAGGTGGAAAAATAGTGTGGAAACTTCAAAATCAGAGCGGTGTGCGGGGATTAGGGGCTCATAAGGACAGGAAAGAGAGACAGAGGCGGGTGGTGCTGCTTTTTTTACATACGAGTTGATAGAAGCGATGAAAATCAAACCAGGAAATCTGTTTCTTCAGAGCGGAGCAGCTCAGAAGTTTGTTCTCCTTCACAGCAGGAGCTGCAGCCGTCAGCCTGACTCAGCGGCTCATTAGCTGCATTTCTATACACCTGATTTTATCCGTATTTTCAATTCATGCACCGAGAACCTCAGTGTAAAAAAAACGAGAAATGAGCTGACAGAGCTGCAGATCACATCCTAAAACTATTCTTATCTCATTACTGGAGTCAAAATTACAAAGTTTGATTCCCATCAGAGTGTCCAGCACAGCTCTAAGCCCCTCCCCCTTCCACCAGGTGTCCCAGGTGTGTGTCTGTTCCACGTTTTTACCTGAGAGGGGGGCAGCTCTGCGGCTCTCCTACTGCTACTGAACGCGTGGACTCCGGCCGTCCCCACCCTGCCGCCCGTCTGCAGGTTGATGGGGGACGTCTGAAGAGGCTCCGAGCTCGCCGCCTTCTGCCCGTTAATGTGTGCGGTTACCATGGAAACGGGAGCCTTGGCCGGCACCACGGAGATGGCGATGCTCTGACCGGGAGGTTTGATGAGGGACAGCGGCTTAGTCGTCCCCACAGGACAACTCCTGACCGCCAGCTTCTGCAGGAGGACACACAGAGAGAAGGACACAGGTGAGACAGAGAGAAGGAGACAGGTGAGATGGAGAGAGAGAGAGAGAGAGAGACAGAGAGAGGGAGAGAGAGAGAGAGACAGGTAATAGAGAGAGAAACAGGTGTTGAGGAGACAGACAGGCAGTATAGAGAAAGATTGGAGCTGAGTTATGAACTACAAATGCTGCTTTTATTGATATTTCCTCAGCAGCTACTGCTAGACATACATCAAGTACTTCTACCTCTACAACCTTCAGTATTACTTTACTGTCTTAACATGACTTTATACTCCTAGAGCTGCTAATTGAAATACTGCTATTAAAACTGCTACTACTACAACTGATTCTATAAATACTACAACTGCTATTTATATTGAAACTAGGGCTTGGCGATATAGCCTCAAATAAATATCACGATATATTGATCAGTTCACCTCGATAACGATAAATGGACGATAACTACTCCACAAGCTGTTCACCCCCTCCCATATTAACTTCATCTACTTCAGCTGCTACAAGTTTTGACCCTCCATCTCCTCTCCTGTCTTTCCCTCTTTGTTACAGACTGAATGGGGTGGAGTCACGTCTGTGATGTAGGACAGTATCTTAAAGGGACATGAGACCATAGCCTACCTACACACATCCAAAACAAACTTTTATCTATTTTACACTAAATGTACCAACATGGGCAAAATGATGCCCGTTATCGTCGTAAATTTTGGTTTTGGTAAATTTTCGGTTTATCGCCCAGCTCTACTTCTTTCTACCACGAATGGTACATGTGTACCCTCTCAAATACAGATAATCAGAGGCTTGTCAGTTTGCAACCCTTCAAAATACTTCCATACGGATAGATGATTTGAACTGAAGGATCATGTCGCTGTACTTTCAGCCTGTTTTAGTTTTATTTGTTAATTTTATTTTTTCACAATGAGTCGAGTTTATCCGGCCTGAAAGCCAGAAACGCTTTGTGATATCATGTTTTATTGATAACAGGATCAGCAGCTGTTTATTCAGACTGAATAAGAGCCTACCTACACCACCTAAACCAACTTTTGTTTTTTTTATTTTTTTGACACCGAATATATTGACATGGGCAAAATGTCGTCGATTATTGTCGTAAATTTCTGTATCAGTAAATTTTCGGTTTATCACCCAGCCCAAATTGAAACTAACAATATTGCTGCTTTAAATACAGTGAACATGTACTTCGACTACTACCATTATTATCACTAGTACTTCCACAAGAGTTAAGACTTCTACTTTTCTTCGACTCCCATGAGTAATTGTTCTGTATTTTGCTTTCATTTATACTACAATAACTTCTGCTAATATTATTACTACTTCTGCTACTATAGGTCATGTGTCTGCTGCTTCAAATTTTTACACTGTTTTTTCTACTGCATTAAAACAACCTTAATGTTTACTACTGTTACAACAAGTACTAGAGATGAACACCGAGTTTAAAAATCATCTGAAACTGACTTTTGAAGAGTCAGCATTAAATCTAAATCTGTTTCTCTATCTGACTCTGATGTGATGCAGTCTGAGACCCTGCTGCTGCTGCTGCTGCTGTCCTCCATCCATCCCCACCAGACTGTCCTCATCGCAAACACTGGCACCCCTCCCCCACCCTCTCCTCCCTCCGCCTCTTCAGGGTAAAAAACAAAAATACATTTTCCAAAGCAGAGATAAGTGAGAGTGTTTCCCCTCCACTTCACCCTCACACCGCCGAAACCAAGAGGCTCTAAATATTTTATATTCCATCCCACTGCCCCTCTTCTTCTTCAGCCGTCGCTGCCTGTTTATGCTTTTTCACGGACTACAGAGGGTCTGTGGGTGAGGAGGGGGGAGGGGGTTTCTTCTTCTTCTTCTCTGGCAGTTTGTGCATGCACTGAAGGAGAACATAAAATAAAGACGGATTTCAGCGCAGGCCAAGTGTTTTTGTGTCCACGCTGGCTGCAGAAATCGTCTTCAGTGCATCAGCAGAAAGACGACTCTCCGATAAACAACATTAAGAAAAGTGTATTCGAGGATTTCAAGGTAAAAACAATCTCTGCAGCTTTTTTAGTCTCACCCTTTCACAATAAAAGTTTTTACCAAAAAGAAATAAATCCAAAACAAGCTGATTACTTTTCTTTTTTCTGAATTAACCCCTCCTCCTTTAAAAGAAACTCTCCATTAGAGCTTTATTATCCGCCGAGAGAGCAGAGAGGGGGGCCCGGAGAAAACAGGGGGAGACTGATTCATTCAAGCCCCCCCTCGCTGCTGCATTTCTAATCAGGTGGTCCTCCTTTAAAACAGAGGCTGCAGATTTAATGTGGACTGGAGAAGTGAAGGATGTGGGTGAGGGAGGTTTCTGCTTCATGTGCCCACACTGCTCCTTGTTTTTACATTTTTTTTTTTTTTTTTATTTTTTTTACTAAAACTCTATTTTTAAGTGTTTCCTATCAAAGACGAGGGCAGATTCCAGTCACACAATGTAAAGTCAACTACTTATCTATAAACAGTTATAAATATTTTTAGTATGAATATTTTCTTGTTTTTTTCTTCCCTAATGAAAGTAAACTGTATATCTTTGAGTTGAGAGCAAAAACAGACTTCATTTGTATGTTTTGGCAACCAGTAATTGTCTTCACTTGAGTGTTTTCAGACATAATAATTAGAAATGTAATATTGTTTTAATCTGTTTTAGTTCTTATGTTGATATCTCTGTCATAAAGTCATTAATCATCATAATATTTGTTTTACAATCTTTTCAATTAATTTTAAATTAAGAAACCGAGCAGTCATTGTGTGACGATCACCCACACCTGAATGTGACAGAGAACTTTTTGGTCAATTATTAACAGCTTTTTGAATTTCCACCTGTGTCTGCTGCACAATCTGAAGCCAGAGTAGTATCCTTAAAATCCCCCCTCCAGATTTGCCAATTAAATAGACAAAAAGTCCCAGTTTCGCTGTGAAGTTGGTGACAATATCACGATATATTGAGCAGTTCACCTCGATAACGATAAATGGACAATAACTACTCCACAAGCTGCTCACCCCCTCCCACATTAACTCCGGCCGCTACAACTTTCGAACCGTCCTCCATCTCCCCACCTGTCTGTCCCTCTTTGTTACAGACTGGATGGGGCGGAGTCACGTCTCTGTCGTAGGACAGATGTCTCAAAGGGACATGAGACCATAGCCTACCTACACACATCCAAAACCAACTTGTATTTATTTAATATTTTGACACCAAAGATACTAATACGGGCAAAATGACGTCGGTTACTGTCATAAGTTTATCACACAGCCCTTGTTTCTGCTTAGTCTCAGCTTCACTGTAGATAGTAACTTAAACAGAGGCTTCACTTTGACCAACATCAACAGTATGAACTGATTTTTTTTTTTTTTGTCATTTTCTCGTGTTGATTTCTTGACTTACATTTGCTGACATAATAATATTATCCGTTTGTGGTGAGTCTCAGCTTCACTGTTAATAGTAAAACCTGAATGAGAATGAAACACCAGGCCTTTAACACCTTTAACAATCACAAAGCGGTTACTAAGAAAGCCCAGTCACTCTGTAGACCTGCTGACAGTAGAAGAAAAGAACCAGAGTGATGGTGGGGACTCCGGTGACAAAAGAAGAGGAAACTCTTCTAACAGAGCAAATGATTTCACAGTAAGGCCTCTACGGCGTACATATTAAAGCCCCCTCCTGCATTTATTCACATGTTGTTATTTATTAATTCCCCTGCACAAAGAGCGTGGCAGGCCCCTTTGTTTCACAGGATCAATGTAATCCACAGGCAGCCGAGCAGCCGCCTGCATCAGGACCCCGGGGCCGCCGCTCACCATTCAGAGCCGGGGCACCTCTGATTGTCTCAAAGGTCACTCATTTAAAACCTCTTCAGTCTGAGAGCAGAGACCCGGCCCCCCTGCAGGGAGGAAGTGAATGACGGAGGGAGTAGGCACAGAGCGTGATAACAGCAAGAATCAGAGAGCCACGTTTAAGATGCTCCAAGACCTTTTGGAATAAGATTCAAGGATGGACACTCTGCAAATAAAGTGGTGCACAGCTGCACCAATAAATAAAGAAATAAGCACTTAAAGGTGCAAAGATTAACACAGAAACTGAGCACAGAGTCAAATCAAATGTCTGCAGGTGCCGTTTGGTGAAGCAAAGATGGAGATGAGAAGAAACAACATCTTGAAACATTTACAGGTTTAAATAAGTCAACAAAACACAACCTGAGTGAACCCAGGTCATAAAAATCTGCAGCGCTGCTGAAAAATGGAAGATGATCGACTTTTCCAGCAGCTCTCAGTCTGTTTTATTTACACCCTGGATGATGAAGTAAATGAGAAAGCAACAGTTAGCTGTGAAACACCACGTCAGAGCCTTCAAGTTATTCTAACCTTCACTGATTTACCGATGCTGCAAAAGACCGGATGTTTTTTTAAGGCTTTCAAAGGTAAATAAACCTTATGAATCGAACTGCATCATGAAAAATATTCACCGTTTCGCACCTTCGAAGAGCTTTGAACCAATGCTGAAAACTTGAGGATTTTTTGCCTTTTTTTCCATCCATGCAAAACATCTGAATCCATCACCTCATGAATAATTAACCCTGCATGGAGTTTTAACCCCGAGCAAAAGAGCCTCTAATTAATTAGCACCCTTATTAAAAACACTATTTAACTGGCCGACTCAGGGGTGCTTTTCATGGTGATTCAACAACAATGGAGGAGTTATTTACCCCTGAAGAAACAACCTTTGCTCATGCACAAAGTCTGTAAAAAAAAACCTGAATGCATCGCACGTTGTTTTCAAGTTGAGGGCCTTAGGGGTGTAAGAAAGGAAGGGTCGCCCTGGACCCCAGACCAGAGACTCATTTTGTGTTTAGCACGGACATACTTTGTGAATCCACTGGCGCCTGATACTTGTAGGCTTGAACCAGGACATTTCCCTTAATCAAGCCTCAACTGCAGCTGGACTTTAGTCTGTTCTGTGCTACATGAACTACATCCTGAATCAGTGGGAGCTGTAAAACCCAAATCCCAGAGGTAATATTGATATTGTAGGTCAATAACAGCACAAGGGTAGGGATGGGAATAGAGAACCGGTTCTTGCTGGGAACCGGTTCCAAATGGTTCAATCCATCGACATCGTTTACATTTGATCTTGATGATTCCCTTAACGATTCCTTTCTTCCAGGCGCCTTAAAAAACACTCTCACAAGAACCAGTACGAAAAGTAGGCAGAAATGATCTTAAGAAAGACGACAACAGCGCGACATGACACTTTTGTCAAGCAGTGAAAATATGCAAGGGTGGAAAGACCAGCAACATGCTTAGACATTTGTCAATGGGTCACGGCATCAAATGTACGTATTCTATGCTCTCCGCTGGTCGTCAGCCGCTGTTGCACTGTCTCAGCACGACATGGAAGGTACGTTAGGGTGACCATTGGTCTTCTTTTTTGGGGGGCTGTCCGGCCTTGTCCGGGGGAGTTTATAAAATCCTTCAAATATTCAGGGTTTTGTACGGAAGTTTTGAGTTTGTGTAGCGTAGACTAACTGAGTTAGAAGCGCGTAAAAAATACTCAATCAAACCCGCAAAAACTTTCAAAATTTTGCGTGCGACTCTGCCCTGTGTGGTAGTGTCCTCTTTTTGGGGATCCAGAATATGTTCACCCTAATTTGACTTAATACCAACTGAGGTAAATGCTGTACAAATAGTTGCGATTTTTAGACTCTTACATCTTTTTCTGTTATCAGAGACTCAATAAAATTTGGAGTTAACGGTGAAAACCTATAGTCTACTTTTTTTAAACCAATGAAAGGCATTGATAGGGGAATCGTTTAAGAATTGAATCAATAAGCAGAATCGATAATGGCATCAATATCAATAAAATCTTATAAATTCCCATCCCTACACAAGGGTAAGTTAAAACACTTTTCAGTCATCATTGATCAAAATTTAAGGAGTCTTTTCCATTTTTTTTTTGTTTTTCTTGGACTACAGTCCTCAAAGTGATGCCCATCCCCAATCTCTCTTCTCTGTTTCTGACTCTATCTGCCAATAAAACCACAAAAATGCCTCCAAGTGTCTTTTAAAAAGGTGAATGACTGATCTGAAATAAATCAGCGTCAGAAATCCTGTATCAGTCGTCACACTTTGTTTGAAGGCCTGAAAAGTCTTTTTCAATCCTGCAGCTGTTGAAACATTTTTGAACCAGTCTTTTGAGGATCTGCGAAATATCTTCAAACCTCCATTAAATGTTGTAAAATGACCTTCTAGGATTTTCAAAGACAGTCGGGGATTAATCTTGTAGGAAAACGCTCTGTGACTTGAATGTAATGACACGTCTTACACTCCATCTTTATCTCCATCTCACCTGACTCTGCTTTGTACGGGGACAATTTCCACAAATGTCAGAGAAAACCTACTGTGCTCATCCTGCCAATTCAAACCCCAGAAGAAGAAATCACATCCAGAGACAGAGACAGAGCCGCCACGTTACTCCAGGTTTCTGTACGACTGAACTGCTGACAGTTTTTAGAAGTACTGCTGCTTTCTTCTCTGCAGCTCTTCTATTGACATTCAGGCCGGCTGCCAAACCGCGTCGTCCTCGTCACCTCCAGGTTCACACGAGTGTCTCTGGGGAAGGGGCTGATTGCACATGTGGCACCATTACAACCTCTCAGGTATGGATTTCCAGATATGAAGGGGCGCAGGGTGCAGGAGAAAGCACCACAGAGGCTCAAAAAGTGCATCTTTTTGTTCTCCAACGCTGAGCGAAAAAACATGCTTGAAAGGTTTTCTTCTTGCCTGACAAATAAAAATTGATTTTTAGGTTTTATTGTGCAGCTTTTACAGAGCTGGCTGACAAAAGAGGGTCTTAAAAAAATTTGTGAAATGGTTCAGAAACTACCTGGGTGGCTGGATGAACAAGTCTAAGTAGCTGAGTTATCTTCTGGCTTTTAAACAATAAAAAACGGTGTCCCCCAAAGGTCCGTACACGGTCCTCACTTATTCATGATTAATATAAAACATGTGATGCAATATCAGGTATGTCAAAAGTAATTTCTTTGACTGATGACACCCTCATATTTATTTCTAAAGCTGCACACTGCTTTTAAAATTTTCAAGGGGAGTTTTTGAATAATTATTGAATATTATTTCTTGCTCAGTTAGTGGCTTTGGGACTCAAAGTGACGCACTGACCTCAGGACGTACATTTACACCTGAGGGGATACGATTCTTATGAGGAGTTGTTAAAAACGTCGTCAGGGGACCCATCTTAACGAGCCATCTTCTCCATACATCTCCCTGAGTTAAATTAGACTCGGTCAGCGGTAGCTTTCATCAGCGTCCACTCACAGCTCACCTTTCATCCTCGCAGAGACGCTCTAATGGCGAGCGGACGCCGTGATGAGAGGAAAATGGGCCTTCTGATGCACGCCCAATTTTCTGCTGCTACACGGGTTAAAGTCGTCTTTAAGAGCCGACGGCTCACTTTGGCACATTGTCCAGCTCCAAACCGGTGCACATCAAAGTGGTGCAAATCACCACCAACTGTGTATGCTCCAGATTGAAAGAGGACTCCATCCGCATGGGACTAATCTGAAATCACTGATATACGTCCAAAATGAAGTTTATTTACAGCTAAACAACAAAGAACTAAACAATCCAACACTCTACTTTAGATCAGTCTGTGTGTAAATGAATATTTTTAGAGTGTTTTTGTATTTTCAGAGCCAAAAATTGTTGTGTATTTGTCAAAGTATTGCTGTAAGGATAGATGTTCATAGGTGGGGTTTTCGTTGATTTTCTAAAAATAAGTTTTTGGTAAAAATTCATGGGTCATCTTTACTATTCCATTGCTTGGGAAGGCACTGTTGTCTCTGTGGATTAGGATTGAATTAAAATGGAGGCATTGACGTGATAGTTTGAAGGTCTTTAGGGTACTGACTTCTTGGGTTGGCAGAGTTTTAAGTGTAGTTGTTGGTGTGGTGTTATGAATATCAAAGTTCAGTGACTTTTTGATCAAAGTTTTGGTTTTGAAGGAAAATATCACCGATTCTGTGGAAGATCTGCAGCCTCTCAGTTTCTACTAGGGTTGGGCGATATGGCCTTAAATCAATATCGTGATAAATTGAACAGTTCACCTCAATAACGATAAATGGACGATAACAAATCCACAAGCTGCTCACCCCCTCCCACATTAACTTCGTCTACTTTGGCCACTACAACTCTTGAACCGTCCTCCATCTCCTCACCTGTCTTTCCCTCTTTGTTACAGACTGGATGGGGTGGAGTCTTGTCTCTGACGTAGGACAGCGTCTTAAAGGGACATGAGACCGTAGCCTACCTACACACATTCAAAACCAACTTTTATTTATTTGTTACAGAATATATTGACACGGGCAAAATGACGTTGGTTATTGTAGTAAATTTCAGTATGGACAAATTTTGGTTTTATCGCCCAGCCCTACTTTCTACCCTCATTATCCACGCAGTGATCTAAGTGAGTAGAGATGTTACAACACTGAGAGACTGTGCTGATTGGCTGTCTTAATGGTGCCCAGTGCAGGTGGATGCAGAGGCGGAAAAACACCAAACAAATTGGCGAGAACCTGCACTGGTACACGACTTACATGATCAAGAATCTGACCCTGAAACAGGGAGAAACTATTCCACAAAACTATCTCCGGGTTGGACTTTAAAATGACTCAGATTTCTGTTTTGCTTCATTAGCGGCGTCCACATTTCTGTGATGGTGCAGCAGTAGGAGTTGTTCTCTCTCACAGGGTTTAGTGTTCACAGATAGAATATCCTCCCTTCTCCTCCCCACACAGCAGAGGGGGAAAGTTAATTGAAACTTTGGGAACTCTCTCCAGTTTAAAAGAGCCTGAGATAGAGAAGTCATCTGGAACGGCAGAGCTGGTCATCTCTGCTGAAGCACTGAGAGCTGGCAGAGCTGAGAAACAGCTGCTGATAGGAGGAGGAGGAGGAGAGCAGGTTCATGTGGCAGAGCAGATACCGAGAAGTGACTGGGGGATAAAGAAGACACTGTACTAAAGGAAACAGAACATTTACTTCGCTCCTTTTCTTTCACTTTATCTCTGGTAAAAACTAAAAACAGATTCACCTCTTTACAGCTCTACTCCTACTCCTCAGTCGATTTATTCCCTCAGTGAATATTTTCCAGAGGAGTTCATTGTCTCAGTCTGTAGTCGACTGTCTTCCTAAAAACATCATGATGCTCAATTGGTAAATTACAATCTCATTTAGAGTTAGAGAGATAACAAACCAAGGTACGCTTTGGGGCGGGGCTACCTGATAATGACCTAAAGCTTCCCGTTTACCTGCCGACCCTTGTTCACCCTTGTTTGTATTTCTTTTAGAGCTGTGAAGTCCTAGTCGACTGGTCAACTTATTGGTCGATACGTGCTGAGTCGACCAAAATTCTAATTGGTCTACTCGAATTTACAGTCTATGGTTGATTCCATCAAGAGGAACGTACCAAGTGCTAATGGGAATGTTTTCAGAGCACCCCTTCAGGTAGTATCAGAACATTGGATTCGCCCAACCCACTGGAGACCGGCTATAGACAGGAAGATTGAAGAGCGTCCACGTTGATCAACCTCCAGTGGTTTGTTGAATAATTATATTTTAGCCTTTTGTGTTTAATCGCCTTCTAGTGCTGATATCAGTAAATTTTTACCTTTACGAGCTGCGTTGTCCCCGCCGCAGAAGGGTTAGGATTCCATCGATTAGTCAATTTTTGGTCGAAAATTTCAAGGTTTTAGTCAACCAAGAATTTCTTCGGTTGATTAGAGCCCTAATTTCTTTACTGTAGTTGCCATGATAGGTAGTTGGAAGAGTTGCCAACTTTTCCTGAAACTTTCATTGGTCTTACTTTTGACACACAAGACTTTCCTGAACCTTCAAGTTGAACAAACTGTTTTTGAAACAACCGGGGACGTCACAAGTCACGTAACATCTCAAACCCTGACTGCTACTGAACTCCCTAAATCACATTCAGTTCAGCTCATTCAACTCTCTTGCGGCTCAAACTTTGTCTCCACATCGTTTCCTTTCAGTCCTTTTGTTTTAACTTCTTTTACTGCCTTCAGCTTTGGGAAATGGAGTGATATGGTGCCATCTGAAGTCTCTCATCTGGGGGTATCTGAAAGGATAACTCAGGGTTGGAGAGGTTAAGTGCAAAAGCAGAATCCTTAAACTCTTTCTGTGTTGACTTTAAAAACGTCCTGCTCTCCAAACTCTCCTTCGGTTCGAGTCGAGCTGATATCAGAGCATCTCTGAGCTCGCCGCTCTTTCACTCATCTGGCAGAATTTAATTGAGAGCGCCGCCACCGCTTGACAGCCACGGTTAAGGTCATCTGTCGGCCCAGCGCTGTTTACTGCCGAGCGGACAGGATTATCCACACTCATTATGTACTCTGTTTTGATAGTGTGCCTTTGAGATAACGGGGCTGCTGAAAAATGCATTAGTAGCTGTTCAGATTTCCATCAGTGCAGCTGCCAGACGTTTTCTTTGTTTACGCTCCATTTACAGACGAGGCCCTTCAGTCCTGAAAGGTGCTGAGGAGACGCACGGCTGCAGTTTGGCCTTTTTATACTCGCAGTGATGGAGAAAAAATCAAATCTTTCATTGTAGTTATTCGACAAAAGAAAAAGACTGCCTTAAAATAGATCCTGCATTCATGGTTTTATGTCAGGGAAAAAAGGAAAAGCTGTGAAGTGTTCTCGAGTATTCAAGGTGAAAATACAGTGAGAGACTCTCCTCTTAAGCTGACTAAATCCCACCAGCTTTGACCACAGCCAGGAGCCTCATCATCACATGTTCTGCTCTGTTAGTGAAGATTTCTTCTCAACTTTTACACAATTGCACAATCTGCTTCTGCTAAGGCGGGGAAAATGTAGACGAGCTTCAGCTCCAGAGCGCAGAGTAAATGGACCTAATGGTGCAACTTTGATGTCAGCGCGAGTTCAAAAGATCAAAATCGAAGATCACTGAGCAAAAAATCTGAATCTGCGACTCGAATGAACTCTAAAAAGTCTCAGGAAGAGAAAATATTCAGTAAAGAGACGCAGCGAGCTGCTCCGAGGTTCAGAGTCGGAGTAAATGGACTCTGTTGTGGTGGGAAAACAATCCCCTGTAGGAGCAAAAAAACCTCTTCCTCTGGCACGGGGACAGCTTATCAACGGGGGCACAGAGAACAGAGCCTGGACCGCCGCCCACACTCTGGCCCAGGGGGGCATCAGGGACCGAGGCCCCGGCTGCTCCACATGTGGAGGTGGAAGTTCAGCCAGCAAACACAACAGGAAACACGATGTTTGCTCCAGCTGCGATGAAGAGCGGTGGATCTGACCCAGCGGGGAGACGGTCCAGAGGTGATTCTGGCTCCCGGGACGGGCTGATGTAAGCGTCAGTGAGGCGAAACCTGAACCTCTAAATCTGACCAAAGAGGGGCTGATTGGGATTCAGAGCAGGGCTGGATCCACTCGTTTTAACTCGGAGTTCCCTCACCAAGCTCACCAAGTCCAGCACAAAGCCTGATTCAGATCCTGCTTCTTCCTATTGATTAAATCGGTTGATTATTGAACTCTAATGCATCCGTTTTGTGGATTAAATTGCAGACACTCAAAGAGAAAAGCCTAAATTTACTCTGTGATCATGGAGCGTTTAAGCAGCTCAGCTTTCATTGTTTCATATCAGTCAAGAAAAAAAAGAGCCAGCGCTGCCATTACATGATCATTGTTGTGTTTCAGATATTCAGTCTCCATATTATGAGTTTATTTTCAGTCGTTCTGCTCTGCTTTAGTCCGACAGTAGATAAAAATCACATTAAAATCTTCATAATGCACTCCCTCAGCCTTACATTCAGGCAGCAACTCTGGGTTTCTCATTTAAACTTCTAATTTCCTCTCATAGCAAAAAAAAAAAAGAGAGAGAGAGAGAGAGACAACAATGTGGTCATGTGGTCAGTCTCCACCCATCACACCGTCGGCGGACAATAAATCCATTTAAATGCAAATCAAACACGCCCCGAGTCTCATTTGGTTCCTGTGAAACAGAGTTCAGAGGAATGTGGCACGAGGCATCAGCTGCAGGAAATGTTCATGAACAGCACCGAGGCGATCAGTCCATTTATTGATCCGCGGATCAATGACAGCTGCGGCTAGTAATTACACATTTAGCAGATGTTTAAACAGAGCGCGGTCTCACGCTCTCAGTGTTCAGATCCATTTTGTTAGATTCACTCAAAACAGTTTGCAAAAAGTTTTAAATTAATTCAGTAAAATTTTTCAGTCTGCAGAGAAACAGAATCACTGTTAACGTCATTTTTCACCCAGTAAAAGTTCCTCTTTTTGACCCCAACAGGCTCAGGTTGTTAATCTGGTGATGATTTTCACCAACCAGCTCTATTTGGTCAGGTCTGCGTTTATTTGTGCCTTCACTGGGACGCACAATAAATGATGATATTTCAATCCATCAATCTATCTTTCTATCTGTATGTACGACTAAAGCGGCAGTTAACAAGCGTTATCCCAAGATGCTTTAAAAAAACAGGCCGGTCTAGACTGTACTCCGTTAACAAAGACCCAAAGTAAAGACAGGAAAGAATTGAGCCCCGCCATGTAAGATCAGACCCACTCCAATCTAGGGACGGGAATTTAAGAATATAGCCATTCCGATTCCATTATCAATTCTCTTATCGATACGATTGGCGCTAACTTCTACACAACGAACAGGACCTAGAGGAGTTAAGGTCCTTACACACCAGGAACGACACAAATATGCAACGCAAAATTACGAAATATGACTATACACATCAAGCGACCTTTAAACGTTACCTTCAACATTTAAAGCAGATGACGCCGAGACGTTAGCTCTGCTCCTGCTTCTGCCTGTACCAGTCTCGCCTTCGCTAAGTAGCGTATCAAACACGTTACACTCCCACAAATTAATTGTATGCTGGGTGGACAAATGTTTCGGCATATGTTCCGACGAAATTAAAGCTTTGCAAGTGTTGCAAGTTGCCCCGATATCATCTTTTTGCGTGAAATACAACCAAACTTTGGAGTGCTTTTGCCTCGACGCCATGCTGGAAAGTTCTGAACCAAAACACACCTCTCGCGTACTACGTCATCACACATGGAACCGATAAGTAGAATCCTTAAGGAGGCAGACAAACAATTCTTAGGAATCGAATCACTGGGAACCAGTTCTAGAAAAGAACCGGTTATAGATTCTCATCCCTACTCCCATCCCATCTTTGTCTTATTTTGTATATATCCTTTTTCCTACCATGAACAGAGGTGTATCCTTTCAAACACAGATATTCAGAGATGTGGTAGTTTCCAATACTTCCATACGGTTAGTTGAACTGAAGGATCATGTCGCTGCACTTTCAGCCTGTTTTACTTTCATTCTGTCATATTTCAGGCGAAAGGCTTCCTGTTTTGTTCTCGTCTTTAATTTTCACTATGAGTCGAGTTTATCCGGCCTGAAAGCCAGAGACGCTTTGTGATATCATGTTTTATTGATAACAGGATCAGCAGCTGTTTATTCAGACCGAATAAGAAAAATAGAAAAAGCAGTGCTGACTCTGTGAATAGAGAGAAACTTTAATTACTGAGACAGAATTAGTGACATGGCGTCTTCAATCGATCAATACTCTAATCACTGTTTGTCTGGCGGCCTGCTGCTTTTGATTCCTCTCAGTTATTTGGAGCGGAGAGAAATCACAGCAGCTCGCTTTGTTTATCATCAATGAACTCTCAGCGCAGCGCCAGAGGATATTTCATCGACAACAAACAGAAAGAAAAACTGCTTCTGATCAGAGCCCGCTGCCACTCTCCGGCTATCATCATCCTCATCTTCATCGCTGAGATTTCAATCACAAATCTCTGCTAATTGGGTTTTTAGAAGTGAGGGTGCTGCTGTGTGTTTAGATGAATGGAGGCTGATAAAAAAAAGAGAGGGTGAAGGATGGAGGGATTTAAAGAAATCTGAGGCCGCGCGGCAGAGGCGACGTGTTGATTTGTGGAGAAATGGAGGATGTAGCTTCACGCTGACGCTGCCTGCTGTTCTCACTCTGCAGAAACACTCCATAAAAATAAATGATGAAATCTAAAACAGCCTCCCTCCGCTGTTATTGCCCGTTAAATATCATGTCAGCCAGCTCGCTCTGTCTCTGTGATCTCTGACTGAAGATTAGCTCTCCAACGAGAACAAAGAGAAGAAGAAGAAGTGGATTTTATTCTGTTAGAAACAAACTTAATAAAGTAAAACCTTCTTCAAAGTGTCGTCATGCAGCTGTTATATCTATAATCACTTTACCTCCTGGAGTAAACTCCGTTTTGCAGATCCAAACACTCTCACCTGTGCGAACTTTAATCTCTGCAGGATTGAGAAACATGGCCGCCCTCCCTCTGCGTTTATCACTGAAGGCCGAGCTAAACGACCTCCTGAAGCCGAGACGATGTGAGCATCGAGGAAAAGAATGTGGCTCGGGCCCCGACGCTCTAATGAACACATTTATTTGCCGACCGAGCCGCTCGCACCTTCAGCGACAGGCAAAATATTGACCAGCGGCGGCAACCATCGCAGTGCGCCGAAAGGTCAAACTCTATATTAAGTGCAGAAATTATAGAGCCGACGCCGCGTCCACTGATCATGTGGACTCTCTGCTCCTAATCGCAGATAATCAGAGGATGAAAGATGGCAGGAGGAGCAGCAGGAAACATTAGCGGCAGCGATTAAACGGAAGGTTAGCGTTTCTATGTGCAGGCGAGTTCTATCAGGACCAGTTTCAGCCAAAAAAACGATTACACCTGGTGCTCTTAAGTCTGACTACTGTGATTTACACTCACCTGCAAATTAATCTCACTGTTTCTGTCTGTGTGTAAACAAAAGCAAAGTTTTCCCTGTGCTTTAAATACCCAGAAACCGTCTGGTAAACTTTCAGACCGCTCACTCCCCTTCCCACAGTTTCTACACTTCAAAACGCCAGAGCAATTTCTGCTGCTATACTGCCACAGCTGAGAAGTCCACATGATGACAGAGAAAACACCAACAAAACTATAAAGAGACAGCCAGTCTAAGAGACAGCGCTCGGTTTTTATAACAAGAGAAATACTGGGGTAGTTGGCCTTCTTTAGCCCCGAGTTGAGAATCATATGCAGAAAGATCCTGTCAGTGTTTGTGTGAAGCCAGGCTGCAGGTCAGATATTTCATCGACCTGTGCTGCTGGCCGGAGAAGCCTGATTGCCAAAAAAATCTATTTTTGACAGCGTGAAAGGTTTTCTTTTTCTGGGGGACTGAATCAGAGATGCTCTAAAGTGAGAAATCTAAATTCTAGCCATCCAACTCGTCTGAAGAGCAGGAAACACTCAGAGTAGTCATCGCTGAGCACACTTTTAGCAAGAGTCTAGGTTTGCTGAGTGTGGCTATGTAAGGATGCCTAGCCCAGGTTCACACGTGAAACAATGGAAGGTCCACAGGCATGTTCAGTTTGACAAGCTTTACTGATTGCAGCTGCATCATGCCACAAGTGTAACAAAGACTGGTCTGAGACTGTTCCAGTATACATAGTCGTCCACATTTCCAATCATTCTGCTGGCATTTATTTGACCCGAAGAAGAGTCTATGTAGGGTAAAAACAAAGGACAACATATTTTAAGGAGCCCTAGGTAAACATATGGAGAGACAATATTGGGGAATATCATAGCGTAACATATTTTGGTAACCTGAGTGATGTCAAAAATGTGTACAAGGTTTTTTGTCGGATGGTTGTCGGAGGCCCCCCGGCTCCAGCAATCTAACATCAACGTATCCATGGTACTTGAGATGCATGGCTCCACCACCTTAAAGGCTGATGGGATTGGCTAAAGAAAATTCTCCTAACAGGCTAACATTAGCAGAGCTAGCATCACAAGCCTGCCAACAGTTTAGACTGTGAATGAAGTGGTGGATTAAAAACAGTTTAAGGGAAAGCGACTGACCGAACACGTGATGGTCGTTTCAGGCCGATTATATAAAAAATATGAATCCCTCATATAGGGCTGAGCGATAAACCGAAAATCTACCAATACTGAAATTTACGACAATAACCAATGTCATTTTTCCCATGTCAATATATTCGGTGTCGAAAAAAATTGATAAATAAAGGTTGGGTTTGGATGTGTGTAGGTAGGCTATGGTCTCATGTCCCTTTAAGATGCTGATCACCCGATCCAGTCCGTAACAAAGAGGCAAAGACAGGTGAGGAGATGGAGGACGGTTCAAAAGTTGTAGCGGCTGAAGTAGACGAAGTTAATGTGGGAGGGGGTGAACAGCTTGTGGAGTAGATATTGTCCATTTATCGTTATCGAGGTGAACTGATCAATATATCGTGAAATTGATTTGAGGCTGTATCGCCCAGCCCTACCCTCATTTACCTCAAGCTTGGTCATAACAATCACAAAGCTATAAATGAATCTATTTTATCATCTAAGCTCCAACTCGCGTTAACCAACAACTTTGCTGACTTCTAAAGCACCTTCCCTTATATGTCCTTATATGGTCACTTCCACCTGGAACCCAAGATGGGTATCATCTGTGAAGATATTCCACCAGAATGACTCTGATGATAAATTAGCCTAATTTAATCCTCTAAGTTCAAGTCTATACCTTTACATTACATTCATATTCTTAAGCAACTGGTGCCACCAAGCTGTAATTAATCCTTTCAAATTAAAAGCACAAGATAATCACTTCCTGTCCATTTATCTTTGTCTCCTTTATCACCCTCACCTTAGCATGGACTCTAGTCTAACTGATTCTGGCCTAACACACTTGAAGTCACATCTATTTCACTCAAATGTCTATCTCTGACATTCTTTTAAAGGCTAACAGATGGTTTCACTGTGAAAACTGATGACACTGTGGATGATCGAGTTCATAAAAACTCATCTTCAAGGTTTTTGGATGCACAGCAGGAAGGAAGGAGGGGTAAATGAAGCCATTTCAAACCATGATTTCATCGTTCGAGAGCACAAATTATTAATCTGAGCGAACACATTCGGTCATTACAGGGGAAATATAACTAAATCGAGGGAATAAAAAGTTATCTAATGGAGGAATCTGAAATGTGAGGGGGAAATTAGTGTCTAAAAGAAGGATTTATGGCCTCGGTTGTTGTTAGACGGCAGCAGAAGTCTGACAGTAGTTTTATAGACGCTGTAAACATTAAACGGTCATTTCTGTGCAGCAATCAAAGCTCATATGTTCATTGGTGCAGTCATTACAACAAAGGAAAGATGGATTATAGGACTGAACATAAAAAAGACCAAGAGAAGAAAGTGATTGGTTCCCGTGTTGCAGGAAATTCATAAATTCAAAATTCCTCTGATGGGAACAGATGGAAAAGCAAAATAAACCTCAAAAGTCATATTTTTGTCTAGTTTTCTCCTCCTCGCTGTCATAAACAGGCGTGAACACACACTTTATTAATTCAGCCTCTACTTGGCAGGCTAGAAACGCCAGACCAGGACCAGAGGGGGGTCTGAGGGGGTCCAACTGGCCTGTGGGGAGCCTCAATTTTGGGGTCGGCACCCTCGAGCTCGCTGCAGAGAAAACAAGCGTTTAGCATGTTGGATTAGCCGGGATTAAAGACATCTGTTGAGTTAATTCTGACAGTTTTATCTTTTCTGCTGCCACAGCAGAAAATAAACAAACGAGAGAGATGGAAAATCAAACGTCAGAATCTGGATCCTAAAAGAGATTTAAGTCAGAGAATTTATACTTCTACTGAACGACATTTATGCAGGAATTATAAAAATATGGTGGTAGGTTGGTTGATTTTTGTCTTGTTCGAATGAAACTGGTTGAAAATCAAACTCCTCTGTCATTTTTGGCAAAACTAAAGAAACACAAACCCTTTAAGTTTTAGAAACCTAATTTTGGCTATCACCGTATGCTGATGATACTCTGCTGTTTATACGGATTCCCAAAACTTAACCATATAAGCTTCTTAACTTTTAAAGGAATATTTTAGGTTTTTTAAGCGACACCGACGAGTTACATGTTACTAGAAACTGTGTTAGCCATGATAGGAGCCCCTTTAAGAAGAAACTGTTGGGAGAAGCAGCAGACCAGCTAAGCTAACAGTTCACTGCAGACAGGATCAAGTCTTTCACATCATCTAACTCAGAGAGGCCCTGACCCAATAAGGAGTCATCTCAGTTTGAGTTTAAGAGGATATTAAAGTCCCTCTTCATCATCCAAATTTAAAACACAAAAAAAGGGGACAGTATGACCCTGAACGCCCTCGGTTATACAGATAATCCCCCCTGAACTGCAGAAAAACTGGCACAACCAAACTGAATGTACTCCATATGTTACTTTTATGATTACCACGGATAAATCAACATAACCAGCATCCAAACATATCTACTGTGGTATCAATGACTTTATTCAGCCCAGAAATCAATGTGCACTTTTGAACTATTGATCCAAACACTCAATCAAACCCAATCAATGTCCAAAAAAAAAGGTGTTTACAGCCCAGAATCACGACCATTATCAACCTTTTACAGCAAGAATATCATTTGTTGTTTATGACTGAAACTAGGCAGAAAGTTCAGTTTGGTTTGATAAACAACTTCATTACCAAGAAAACTGAGTTGCACATTTTAGCAAGACAATGTCAAACCACATTCTGCAGGAATTCCAAAAGCATATCTGACCTGATTGTAGTTCTGCCACAATCCTCTACCAGGCAAAGATGGGACAACATTTCGCTTTCCAAACTCTAGTTACTAGTCCGCTGAGTTCACTGACGTTTACAGAGTGTTGGGAAAAGAAGAGCTGATGCAACATGATAAGAATTAAGACCCTGGAACTACTTTCTAGAAACTTCATGTCGTCTTTGCACTATCTTCAATTAAACATCGAGTTTCAATGATTAGCAAACCACCAAATTCTGTTTTTATCAACTTTTTACTGTGTTTACCGAACTTTTTTGGAAATGGGATTATAATTTGAAACTCCCCTAAACAGCTTTAAACCACAAAGCATCCATTTACCTCAAAGTGAAACATAGAAAAACAGTGAACTAAAACACTGACACGATCTACAAAAGGCCAAGAGGTCAATAATCCATTGACTGAATATTGATTCAATTCGTCTCTTAGCTGTGTAGGATAAAAACTTCATAAATTAAAACCTCAAAATCACCCTGGAATAATGTCGTCAAACTTTTCAAAACTTATTACAGTCAGGTAAACTCAGAGAAAAGCAGCGAAGATAAAACTAATAGCTATTTGCATAAATCAATGCTCTTCTAAAGCAGCAGTCGAAAGTCCAAAATATCAAATTGTTTCTGAAATTGAAGAAAGAAAACCACTCTCTGCTGAAACTAGCGGCTGTAGCTGAAGAATATTTTATGCTTTTGCTCCACAATATCATTAAATTACATGAATTTATCATCACAGAGAATGAAATTTGATATTTTTCCTGTCAGTCATCTTGTATCGTTAGCTTGGACTCGTCTGGTGTTAATGAAAAACTCTCAGACAGTCAGTAAACATCTGTCATTTCATTTAAGTCTGAAATTACTTTCTGCTCCCTCCCACTGATATATGCACATACATAATGAAGCTATCTCCATGCTGAATATCATCACGTGTAAAACAGAGGAAAATGAACACACTTACGCCTCTCTGAGCAGGTAATCACACCTAAAGATGGATCGAGCTTCCTCTGATGTTTGAGCTCTGAGAAGTTTGTCTGAAGTGGACTGAAGGCCTCCGCAACTCTGATCACTGTCTCTAAACTAAAACCTCAGCGATGGGAGAGGAGGAGGGGGGACAGCTGGCTCCCCCCGAAGAGGCAGGGGGACACAGAGAGAGGACGAGAGGAGGAGGAGGAGGAGGGTGGGGATGGGGATGGGGGTGTTTGTTGCTGAGCAGGGGGAGGAGGGGCAGAGTTGGAGGCCAGCAGATGGACTCCTGCAAACAATAGAGGCAGACAGATGCAGCCACAAAGAGCAGCGACCACACACTCGACACACACACACTGCAGCGCACAAACACCAAGAGACCGGCTTACATATGTGCACACTCGAGCTGCAGTTCATCTGACGGCCACTAGGGGCTGAAACAGGAGGTGACAACCCCAAAAACTTTACAATAAATATTCAAAAAGTCAGGATTTCTTGATGAATATGATATTTTTATGATTTAATCTAAGTGTTTCTGTACAGATACAGTAAATATGACGCATACACATACATATCCTGTTTTAACTCAAAGTTTCTTTATCTTTAAATTTTTCTCTTTTTGTATCTACACCATGTTGTGGAACTATTGACGGAACATCCTATCTTATCTTATCTTATCTTAACTTGAATGTTTTCATCTTTGACCTCTTTCTTCTTTTTTTTTTCTTTAGTTCACTGTTTTGATCTTTTATTTTCACAAAACTCCTCACCAAAAACACAAACCAGCATCTGCATTAAACGCTTTGATACTTACAGAAATTCAGATATCCAAATACACTTTTTTAAGAGGTTATCATCTTTTGAAAAAAATAGATTTACATTCAAATTTACTTCATGAATTCTTGTGTAACATTTCCAAACTGTCACAAAGCTTTGTGCCTCCGGGGTAAGTCCAGAGGTCAAATATTGATCCTGCAGAAAACCAGCTTTAAATTAGTGTCAAAGACAGAAAGTCTTCATTAGACTGTTTTAACACTTAGAGTCTGTAGAGCTGATTCAGCTTTTCTAAGAGACACTGATTATTGTTTAGAAATTCTGTATGTTTCATAAAATTTGTCTGGATCTTGTTTTATTGAGCTGAAAACAAGACGGCTGTTTTTAAGACGACTTTTCAGAGATGAATCCAACAAACAAATATCTTAAAAGTTGTTTTCTTCTCCCTTTGAGGACAAATCTGGACTTTTTACTGATCTGATCTGCACTATGAGGATATTTCAGCAAACTAAAGACCCGTTAATGAGGAGAAAACCAGCTTCTGTTTCAAAGTAAACCAGAGTGACGCCTCAGTGTGAAACTGAAACTCATCTCTAACTCATGAGTGGTAATCCACAGTAAGATCTCTGTATTAAATGATGTCCTTTCGCTCTCACTGGTCGCATATTTACTGTACTCAACATCTTAAAGTAACACGAGTGTAATATCTGGACATCTGCTGCGAACACAAATGCCGCTCCTCTTCAGATTGAGATATTTGAGAACTTCCTGCAGACGTCCAGAGGGGACAAAGGAGAGTCTTTCTTTTCTTTTTTTTTTCGGTCCCTCCCAACCCTCCCCCCTCTCTTGACTCAGCCTGAGGGAGAGAGGAAACATCCCAACACACTCAGCCGTACAGGGGAGGGGTCTAGCTGCTGTACTGGGGTGGTCCATGGATGAAACATGGGGGTCTAAAGCATCAGCTGATCCCCCACCGAACAAAGCCGAGACAGTTTTTCCTCTGTCAGAGGAAACATTTCACTGAATTTTTCCTCTTTTTTGTCACTTTTATATTGAAAGAAGTCAAATTCAGTTTTTTTAGTAGACTAAACTCCGATCCGGTAATTCAGGGGTTTTTAGTGACCCTCAGTTCTGCTGATGGACAATAATTTCACCGAATGATTGCTTTACCAGAGTAAAACACATCACAGAAGCACTCCAATTCTTCTTTTTATAGCACAAATACATAACCCTGACCTCCAAACCTTCTGTTTCCATGTTTTAAAGATGATTTACACAGCGTGACCTGCTTTTTTCTTTCCTGTCTACTCATCCACGTCTCACAACAACCTCTGAGTGCACTCAGTGCCAGATCCGTGCAGAGGACAGATACCGAGCTGATGCCAGGAGGTAGAGACTGAGCACTGGATGTAAATGAAGCGTTTTGTCCAAACAGAGAGGCTGCGGTTCACCACATGTTGGAGGCAGACTCGACATATGGTGGGTAATTAAAGTGTGTGTCAGAGAGGGAGAGAGACCCGGACTCGACGTGAACCTGAAGACCTGCAGCCTGCTGAGACACAAACACACCTTCACTGTTCGGCTCCTACATCTGAAGGAGGTGTTTCTGTTTTATTGATTACCTTCAGGGTGGTTATTTCAGTCAAAAACATGAGCTGTGAGGCCAAAGGTACAGCTTCTGTTCGAGAGAACCTCCTGATGTTTAGATGTCAGGTCAAAATGACTAAAAGGTACAAAAAAAAGTTATGGAGGCTGAGTCTTCGAGGAGGAAATACAGGAAGAGGTTCACCACTCTGTGAGAGACTGCGTGAGCTGATAGTTTAACAGCTTCAGAATAAAGTTCCTGAGTGTCAAATGTGAAAGAAAGAGTGGATTTCATCTTCTAAAGTAAATAATATTGTTTAATAATTTTGAGAGTCTGGAGAAATCTCTGTACTAAAAGGAAAAGGAGGAGCCTTCAGGTGGCGCTGTATTAAAACAGGCATGTCTCTGTCGTAGGGCTGGGTGATATGGCCTCAAATCAATATCAGGAAATATTGATCAGTTCACTTCGATAACAATAAATGGACGATAACTACTCCACAAGCTGCTCACCCCCTCCCACATTAACTTCGTCTACTTCAGCCGCTACAACTTTTGAAGCGTCCTCCATCTCCTCACATGTCTTTCCCTCTTTGTTACGGACTGGATGTGGCGGAGTCACGTCTCTGATGTAGGACATGAGACCATTGACACTGAATATACCAATATGTGCAAAATCACGTTGGTTATTGTTATAAATTTAGGAATCGATAAACTGCCCGGCGCTAGGAAGAGTTTCACCACTTTGTGAGAGACTGCGTGAGCCGATAGTTCTACAGTTTCAGAATAAAGTTCCTGAGTGTCAAATGTGAAAGGAAGGCTGGATTTCATCATCTGCAGTGATTAGTTAAGATATTAAGATAGTAAATGATCCTTCTCCCCCACTGTACGGTGAGTTCGTTATACTTCGTTCAGGCAGACGTTATCAAGTACCTAAGGCAAATTCCTAACGCCATCAGGGCACTGATAGTTAGTCGGCCTATGTCTCCTGAGATCTGCCTGTTATGTACAGTACATGCCACTGTTGTCCTCCCTCTTTTGCTACCAAGATGTTTTGTATTTGTTATGTGTTTGTTGCTGCCGTTGATCTGTTATTTTTTACACGATGAGACTAAAGACAAATTTCCAAACTAATTAACTAACTAACTAACTAACTAACTAACTAACTAACTAACTAACTAACCTCATTCAAAGATTCAAAAGGAAAAGGAGCCTTCATGCATTAAAACAGGCAGGACTCTATAGTGGAAATAACTGCATGGGCTCAAAACCGTTTCATTGTCTGTGACACAGTTACTGTTAAAGTCTATTAACTCTAGATCTAGACGCTGCATCTTTTACCCTGGAAAGAAAACCCTGATCCTAAAACAGCAGAGACTTCTCCAGCTTCTTTAGTGCAGCGATCACTCTTTGGATACTCCTCCCGTTCTTGCTTTTCTTTTCACAGTTTATGAAGGAGGAGTGGAGCTTCATCTTTCTCTGCAGTCCTCTCTCCTCCCTCCTTTTTCTTCTTTGTGCCTCGCCGAGTGTGACGACTTTCAATATCAGAGTATTTGGTTTGAGGCCAGCGGGCAAATATTGACAGAGTGGATCTGAATGAAAGACGCTCCGTTTCTGCAGCGCTGCGTCTGAGATGAGTTTTCCTGCACCGCGGCGGGGCTCAGAGGAGGAGGAGGAGGATCCTCAGTCTGCAGAGCGGGGGCCTCCATCAACACCAACCGTCTTCTGTCATTTATTTCCTCCATCTTCAGCCGTCCCACTGACTGCTGCCATCATCTCAGCTGGATCTGCAGCATCTATTCCTGCAGTACAAACCTGTCCAATCACTTCCTCCTTATTCGATTCTGCGTCGCACAACCTGACCCTGACTTCTGCATCAACTAGTCCCCTCTTCCACTCAATGATTCACTTCTTACAGCCAATTACGCCGCCCGTTAACAACCAACTACTCGCCATCAAAAGCCGCCCCCCTCCACTCTTTTTCTGCACCATTATTTCTCTTCCGCAATCACTTCAAATTAGATCTACAAGTCAATACGAGGAGTCAATATTTAATTTGCTCACAGCAGGTGGTGATTTAGTCGGAGACATGCTGGATCTCAGGAATCATGGAGACTGTGTCCTTCATACGTAACGCCGAGGAACAAGACGAGGACATTAAGCATGAGGACAGAGTGATAATGAGGTCATTAACACCAGGCGCAAACTAAAAAGTACGGGTTTGTTTAAGGTGGTTTGTTTAAGGTGGTTTGTTTGCTCCAAGTCTGGCTCTCCAGGGGTTCCTGAAATGCTGAAAGTTTCCAAAAACTTTAACGACTCCCCGGTGGAAAAATGCACATGTAACAAGTCTGTATTTTCATCGTATAATGAACACACACCGTTTTATTTTTGACCTGCTCAGGATCCATCCATCTCTTCAAAAAGTAGACCCAAACAAACGCGAAACAGCGCTCAAGTTTCCTCCTTCAGTGAGGGGCTGTTTTTAGATAATAAACATGACACTTCATGTTAGCGGCGTGTTTTAATTTGTCAGAGGGGAGCAGTATGTTTTGATTCAGTGGCTTTAGAGAGTCTCTAAAAGTGTGCTGAGGGATGATAAGGACCTAGGCTAACAAGGTTTAGGTCCACACAGGTGGGATTTATGACAGCAAATAAGACTTCATCATGTTAAAGCCCCATACAACCACGAACAGGGTTTATCCACCAACCTCACAACCCTGAGAACGGGGAGGAAACACAGATTTGAATCAGCTCCTGCGGTGATGCAACAGAAGTGATTTGTAGAGACATGCATACAAACCACTCCCACTTCTCTAACATTCAGCCTCCTCAGTCAGAACCACTCAAGTCAAAGAGATTTATTCATTTTCATGCAGTAAGTTATATTTTGCAGGACGGCACCCTGCCCCTGGATGTGCGTATGTAGGATACAAAAAGGGAGAGCAGCAGCAAAGATCTCAGGGTGTTAAAAAGCACAGGAGTCACTAGATTTAGACAAATAAGGAGGAGCGGAGGGTTGCAAAGCGAAAAGGATAGGCGAGCTGAAGACATTTAAACAGAACGGTGAAACAGAAGGGTAACTGACTGATACGGTGTGCAAAGTCAGGGATATTGCCTCTATTGTTTGCAGCTTCTCTGATGTTGGATGAAAAAACAGACACAAATGTCAACCTTCTATCAAAAAACCAGAAGACTGAAGAAAACCGTAGTTACCTTTCATTTCTAACATCAACAGTCTGGCTTTATTTGATGCTACTTTGTTTGTTTGTTTGTTTGTGAAAGGTAAAGAAAGGTAGAACAGCAAGAATGACACTCCACAGTCTGGCTGTAAAGTCCCAACTGTAAGATTCTGGGTCATATGTGTGTTACACTGGATCTGGTTCTTCTGGAGCACTTGCCAAATTTGTTTTTGGTGTTTTTCCGCCTCTGTACCTCACGAAATTCAGGCAGCCAATCAGCACAGCTCCTCATTATCATAACATCCCTGCTCACTCTGATACCAGCATGCACAATGACTCTGAGGACATGCTGCATATGGCTACAAACGCCTATGTATTTTACCTTTAAACCTATTTTTGATTAACTAAACATGGAAACAAGATGAAGACTGTAATACAAACATAAAGAAAGTCCGATGCCCACGAAAATAGGAAAACAGACCTTAGAGTTGATCCTGTTTAAATGACAAATACTCAAATATTCTGTGATTGTAGAGCCAAAACCAAAAAAGTTAGAAAAACTCCAAAGTTTAACTTTTTTTACAGCTCAAACAAATCAAACAAACCTGTTAGCAGGTGATGCATTGAGCAATCTGCCTCTTTCATTCATCAATATTTCAGGCTGTAAAACATCAGAGGTTTAACCTAAAAACCCCCACAGTTACGTCACTTGTCAGCTTGAGTTACTTTCGTATCCTTAAAAACCAAGGATAGTCAGGCTTACGGGATATTAAACAGAGGAACAGAATAAATCTCTATTTTTTAAGGGCTCAAACTGTTTTCTGCAACTTTAACTGGAAAATCAGTTTCAAGATTACCGAGCAGACGTCTTTTGTTCTGCTGTCATCTTAACTCCTGAACTAAATGACAATGACGCAGGAACATTGTTTCACTGTTCTCTGACTTTCACTCTTTGTTATCGAAGAGCGTCTCAGACTAACTTGTTAAGATCGTTTTCTGTTTCAAAGACAGTGTTTGACTTCTTTTATCTCCCGAGAAAGATGTTAAAACTTTCCTCCTGGAACAATCGCTTCTTAATTATCCTTAATGTGATTTTCTGTCTGTGTGATGAGGAGTCCTGTACTCCCTGGTGCATGCTGGGATATGTTGCTGAGGTCTGAATGAAGGTCAGAGTTGTGTTTAAGGTGATGTCTGCCTCCTGTGCCGCTGCCTGTCTCTGAAACATTCACTCTCTCCTGAGGATGATCTGGAGTGTGTCACTTTCTGATGTTCAGGATTGATCTCCAGCTCGTCTCTCTTTAATTACACCTCGGGGAGGAAACACAGGAGCCGTTTCTCTGAGCTCTCTTCATTAACGGGCCTGAGGAGGAACTTTGGCAGAGACTCACTGAAGCTTCAGCCACGAAAACACAAAAACACAGAGAGGAGAGAGACGAGGAGGTTTGTTTATCTGTTGTCTTTATGCCGACGATTCTCCTCTTCGGGGAGTTTCTGTTCTGCAGGAATCTCTTTTGTGGGAATCAAATGTTAGAGTCAGAGGAAGCGGTTTTAATTAGCTCCTCTGTTAGCAGCAACAGGAATGAAAGTACACGGAGCCTCCAAAACATGGCAAACATGCAAAGGGAGGGAGGCGCTGCTACAACCACCGGTGGAGATCCAAAGCCAGTCATACTGAGGACCAAGTTCTGCCTTTTTCAAACCTGACAATGACTTCTGACTTCACCAATTCTGAAATCCTTGGAGAACTAAAGTGAACAATATATCATCATTTATTCTTGTAAACTGATCTCTATATCGTGATAAATACATATTTTAGCCCTTATATCACAATATGTGTCACATCATGACCATATATAGCAAATCTCGGCCTCTGTACATTGATACAAATCATATCATGACCTCTTTATCATGACATGCATAATTTCATAGTCTCTCTATCACAATATGAATCACATTAATCCTCTATATCACAACATTTTTTTTGGATAACAGTCTATATTAATCTATCATTTCTCAGGCCTATGTCACGATATGTATTGTATTGTATTATGGTCTCTGTCTCATGATAAATACCCTATCTTAGCCTCTAACATAATATGTATCATATCTTAGTCTCTACATTATTATTTTTATTGTAAATTGAACTCTATATCATGATATATACATAATTGAATACCTATATCACGATATTCATCACATCATGACCACATGTAGCAAATCTCAACCTCTGTACAGTGATACAAATCATATCTTGACCTCTGTATCATGACATGCATCTTTTCATAGTCTCTCTATCACAATATGAATCATATCTTAAACTTATATCGTGATATTTTTTTGGGGAAAAAGGTTATCCTCAATTATAAATTATAAATTTTTAGCCCTATGTCATAATATGTATTGAATTATGGTCTCTGTATCAAGATATATATCCTGTCTTAGCCTCTTTAACATAATATGTATCATTTTTTAGTCTCTATATCATGATTTTTATTGTAAATTCATCTCTTTATCGTGATATCTACATATTTTAGCCCCTTTATCACAATATGTGTCACATCATGACCATATGTAGCAAATCTCAGCCTCTGTACTGTGATACAAATCATATCATGACCTCTGTATCGTGACATGCATCATTTCATAGTCTCTCTATCACAATATGAATCATGTCTTCAACTTATATCGTAATATTTTTTTGGGAAAAAGGTTATCCTCAATTATAATTTATCATTTCTTAGCCCTATGTCACGATATGTACTGTATAATGGTCTCTGTTTTTATGATGCGTACCATACCTGTGCCTCTGTATATAATATGTAATTGTGAAATGCATTACATCATAGCTTTTATATCATGATATGTGTCATGACACAGCCTCTGTGACATGATGCTTACCATACAATATCTCCTAGTTATAACAGGCATTGAACTGTAGCCCTGTTTTAGATGGGGCTTAATTATCATGATATGTGGCACTACATTATGACAAATTTTTACCAAATTTTGGGGAGGAGCTTAAATAACTCAGCTGTTTGGAGGAGAAACTTGTTTTTTAGCACTATAAGAGTTAAAACACTCAGTTTCCTAACCATTAAAACATAAGTCACCTGATCACAGAAAAACACAGAATCAATAAAGACTCTTAAAACGTCTAAATAATTGTATGAATATCAATAAAGCTGTACAGTCTTCATCCCTGGTTACCATGGTGATCTAGCCATATTAAAACAGGATCAGCTTCATGACTCTGAAATCACTGACTTTAGGCCAAACAAACTTCCCCAAAGCTTAAATCTGTCCTCCTGCTTCCACTTTAACTGAGGAGGAAAAAATGCTAATCTGCCTGTTTACAAGGTAAACCTGTAAAACAAATGCAGCCTCAATTACACACACTGATGCTCTGCAACAATTATCCTCCATCACAGAGAGCAAACTTCATTTTAATGAGCTTTTTTCCTCCTGCAGAGCTCAGAGCATGCTCCCCCTCTCTCTGTCTCTCTCTTTCTCTGAGCTCCGGCCTGCAGACAGACGAGCTGCAGCACCGAGAGGCCAAATCGACTCCAGCATGTAATGAATCGCAGCTCTGAAATTAAACTGACGGGTAATGAATCTCCATCTTTCTGCTCTTTACGCGCCTCTCTTTGTCTCTGAAGCTGCCGAGGGAGTCATTTACATTCAGCAGAGTTTTCCTGCAGCCACAAACGCTCACTGTCACTTAAAGAGAGGACTGAGATGAACTGAGGAGACGCCGAGGAAACTGCAACGCTTAGTTTGACTAAATCGCCAGAAAACAGGAGGAGGAGCGGGAGGAGGAGGAGGGGAGTCTGCTTTGATGCACAGTGCTTTGAAACTTATAAAAATGCATAAATAAGCTTCACTGGTTATCACATAGACAACGCAATTTACAATTTTGGCACAAAAGAAGAAGTTTAAAGTATAAATTACATCATGAAATACATCATGTGGATCACAAAGACTGTTTGAGGGTTTTAAGAAAGATGAAAGGGGTTTTGAAAAGGATCTTTGTAGATGCATTTAAGCGCTAAATCAACACAAAAACAGGAACTAAAACACAAGAATACAAAAGAGCAACCACGCTCAAAAAGAGATGTGAAAAAAACTTCTCAATTTATGCATCCATCTTCAACTACTTCACCATGTCTGGGAGGCAAAAACTTAACTTCTTACTGCTCTTTATTTGTCTGAAAGCTCGAGTAACTTCTTCAAATTCTGCTTTAAAAATCAGTTTGACTCATCTTTTCTCTTCCAAACTTCCATCATAGTTTGATTACAGCCTCAAGATGATAAAACTCACTCAAATGTTCCAGAAAAAAACACAAAATTTAGCCAAAAGTCCAAAAACTACCCACACTCGCTTTGTGAAATCCAGCTTTATCCATGTTTTTAGAGTAGTTCTGGTTTCTCCTGACTGAGACAGTGTGAGGGAAGCATCTAAACAACATTTTAATCTCACACCTCTTGACTTCTTACCTGTCCATTCTGAAGTTCGAGGCCTTTGCACAACGTCTGATTCTGCAATGAGAAAGAAAAGAAACGTTCGATGAGTTAAGATGTTCAAAAACAAAACTTTGGACTGTTCGTTACTTCAGCAAGAACTTTCTCCAGGAACCAGGAACCTTTGGAGGAAAACAGTGAATTTCAACAGCAGGAACCATAGTCTTATGCTGATCCAAACTTGGTGTTCGGGGTCTCATCACTCCTTTTCAGATTTACTTCACACACAGAAACCGAAGAGTAATGATGTAACGTCCTAAACTTATAACCTGAGTCTGTAGGTGGATGCTGGAAGGGGGTGGGGCTAAGCGTTTGAGTGCAGCGACCAGAAATCTTGCATTTTTAATAAGGTGCCAAACTAAACGGATATGTTTACTGAGTAATTGTGAGAATATTTACTTATAGCAGCTTAACTACCTGCCTGAACTAGCTCCAAACAAGAGATTTGTGCAAGATCTCCATTGAAAAAAATCTAAATTGCACACAAGTAGTCATGTTCGAAGACTGCAGATGGTTTGAAAAATTGTACAATAAACATTTTGATTCAGTAACTGAGGTTGGATTTAAACTTTCCAGACTTCTCAGTCTCAGTCATGGCACAGCGACTCTGACTCCTCCTTCTCTTAAACACTAACAAACAGGACAGAGTCCTCTGAGGTTCAGACACCGCCATCACAACTACGCCGCCAAGAGCTCACTGAAGAGGATCAGAGACTGTTTGTCATCTGAAATCCAAAGAAAACACGTGGATCCTTTTGGGGGAGCAGAAAGCGACGCTCGAGCCCACCGAGGAGCTGCAGAGGATGGTGCAGGGTCAGGACGGTGTGATAGATAAACACAGACTGATTCATTCTCTATGCATTGTTTTCACACACAGGGGAAATTTAGACTCAGAGTTCTGGGTGTTTTAAAGTCCGGAGCTGACGTCAGAGAGATGACTGCGCCGAAAAACACACACGGAACATTTAACAATGTCTGTTTTACTACAATGACTCAGTGCTAATGCTGCATGTGTCTGCAGAGTTCAGTCGGTGCGTCTGCAGAGTTCAGTCGGTGTGTCTGCAGACAGATTCAGTCTGAGTTACTTCAGTTATCACCCACAAAGACGAGATGACCTCTACAGTAGTAAAAACACAGAGAAAAGGAAGTATCCAGAGCTTTTCTTCAAGAAAAAAGTGAAAAAACAGCAGCATCTGTTGCTTTTTGTTCGATTAATCTGCCTGTTAACAGACCCTGGGCTATACCAGATCAAAGTTTCTGATTCGTCAGATTAAAAAGTGCAAACTCAACCTGAAATTCGACATTTTCAAACAAACCCACTAACAGTATTTCTGCAAAAACTCTCAGACCAGAAGTTATAGAAAGGTTTGTGTTTTATTTTGTTTGTCTTTGCTCATTAAAACTGTTTCTTAATTAAGAGCGCGCTCACTGCGTATGTTTGTACCTGTCCTTCACTCCCACAAATGTTTGTTTTCAGGCTGCGGGATAAAGATCAGCTCAGTCAGAGGAGGCACAGACTGAATTTGCTGCTCGCTGCATCTCAATGACTGTTTTCTTTCACCACATAATCCTCCCCCTTCCCCTGAATGCAACAAAATGAAAACAAATGGCGTTTTCCCCCCGTATTTACAGCCAGAGCATCTGTTCAAAATGCACACAAACACAGCCGGCTTCTGCTTCTCTTGTTAGCATTTGGACGGGGAGGATTTCTGGGGAGAGCATTAGCGCTGTTTGGCTAACTCTGACGGGCTTCATCTCTCAGAGCTGCAACTGTGGAGCCTCGTGGGAAACGCCGGCCACCTGCCCAGCTGCCTCCATCTCCTTCCTCCCCAAACTCCCACGTCCAGTGCAGTCCAGATCCCAAATTGAACGCTGAAAAACCTCCAGAACAGGTACCTTTGGTGGTTTGAGTCAGTATGTTTGAAGGTCATAATCAAAGGTCAAAGAAAATCAGAATAAAATTCGACACAATAAAAAGAAAAATCCAAAATTTCCAACATGGTGAATTCAAATGAGGTCACCTTGATGGATGAGTGAAGAATAAAAAAAACAGTACATCCCAACAGGAGCCTGAAATAGACACTAAGACGACTTTTAGCTTTACCAGACTGTGTAAGAGCTGCTTCAGGGTCTAAAATGTACAGGGTTAATCCTCTGGGAACTATGAATATGCACAATTAGATCAACTCTATGGTCACCTGACAGATTTTTGTACTTCTAGTGCAAAAAGTGGTAAAAACAATCTAACTTTTAGCTTGGTTCTATCTGTTAAACCAAAATAAATCATGATGGTTCATCCTCTAGAAACTTTGCATTTAATGTAAATGAGATAAACAAAAACATAGATGACTTTGGAGCAAAGATACATCCGCTGGGGACATGGATTATCTTGAACAGAGTTGTTAAACCACACTAAAATTGTTATTAGAAAAAACAAGGTGAAAATGTTGGTTTGATTCTGACTCTTTTCAGAGAAATAATCAGTGAGATATATCTTCTGGGGAATCTGAAAGCCTAAAATCAAGTGTGCAGCTATAAAATAGGATTTTTTTTTTTAATGATTTTTGTGTTTTAAAAAAAAAAAAAAAGTAAAAAATGTGTGTGTCAGAGAAAAAGTTTGTCTTTAGATGCATCCCCTGGAGACCATACATGTGTAGGCCAACTTTGGTAGGCCAACAAGTGTACGGGGTTATTCCTCTGGGTGCTATGAATGAGCCAGTTCAGATTCATGTTAAAGGAAACATCAAATTGATGTCTCAAAAGGTCAAAAACAGAAAAAATCTCCTAATAAATCATGATGGTTCATCCTCTGGAGAGTTTGACAGTCTCAAATCAAATGCAGAGCAGTTTTATATTTTGGTCAGTGTGAAGAGAAGTAGAGAGAGTAAAAAACCTCTATGCTGCTAAAGGGAAATCATTAAGGTTCATCCTTTGGAGACCATGAAAACCTTCAACATGTTTAGTTAGAACCAAGCGCCTATTTTACCAACATTTCTAAATCTATTAAGTGGTTAGTTTTTAAAATTTGGTTCTGGCTTTTTTAAGGACTATCCTCTAGGGAGTGACTGTCCTGGGCTTCATTTGAAGGAAAATTAGTCTCTAAATTCTCAAGATGTTCATGTCTGCTCAGAGAAATGCTGTCACGGTAAAGAAGAATAAAAATTGGTGAGATTAAAACTCTGGGAACACGAAAATCCCCAGAAAATTTCAAGAATCACAACTAATTTGTGTTGAAATTATACCTGGATGTAGTCGCTCAATTTCAGTGCTCAAAGAATGTAAATATGTCACTTAACATTGGATATGTATCATCTTGGGACAATGAATATCGACAATCAGTGTAAGTTTTGATGACACTTCTTTCTGGACTACAATTGAAAAAGAGAGGACTTTTTACCTCATGGTAGTTCTACAGGAAGGTTGTGTTTCTAAAATTATCCTCTGGGGACTGTGAAAGTAAACAGCAGATGGCACGAAAAACAAATAAATGTTTTCAACTATTGTGTCAAGTGGAAATCTTCGCCTCAAAATGAGACAGAAGTAGGTAAATTCGAGTTCTTCTCCCCTCTTAACTTTTAACAATCTACAGCAAATTAAATTCAATAGTTCTAGTAACAGTTCAGATGTTTTGCCGCTGTTAGGAGAGAACAAATTTCTGGTCCGAAAATGTTTGTTTTGGTGCATTAAGAAAAATATTCCCCCTCGGGTTGTCTGCAATTGTATGTTTACCAGCCATCAGACACTTGTTCCTGACATCTGGACACTGGCTGTCGGTTGTAAAATCACAGGGGAGTGGAGGGAGCTGTCTGGTGAGTGTAGGAGTGGGATGAGGTGTGAGGAGGTCTGGATAAAAAGGAGGCCTGGTCCCCGGTGTGACAGCAGCTGACGGCAGCGTGAGGCTGAAACATGCTCCGACATGCCAGTGTTCAATTAGAGGTGTGGCTCTCACATATTCACAGTTCCAGCAGGAGAAGAAGCCACTTAGTTACAGCGAAAATGACTGTTGGAGCATCATTCAGGACGCCTGTGGATACTGTTTCTACATGTTAATTAAACGAAGCTCCTGGAAGCTCAATTTAGCAGCTGTTCTCCCAAATTTTGGAGGGGAGAAACATTTTTCTCAGCAGCAGTGTTGGTTTTTAACCAAGCAGGACTTTCAAACAGCAGCCAAGTAAAAAAAATTCATGTCCTGTTTTTCAATGAGGCTTTTAAAGAGGGTAAATAGTGTACGCTGCTTTTATTTGAAAATGGGATGGATCTGTAAATAATTGACTGTTTTAGCAGTATTCGTGGGAAAATCAAAAAAATGTTCAAACTGTTTTAAAAGTTTTAAAACGAACGTGTCAAAGTTACGATTTTCAACTAAATGCAAACTTTGGGTGTTCCCCAAGGCTCAATCCTTGGCCCACTATTGCTTGATATTTTCCTTCTTCATTTAGGATAAAAATCAACCAAACAGCAAAATCAAGCTCCGCGTTTATGCAGATGACACTCAAATATGCCTCTCGAGATCCACAGACAGCACAGTGAACGAAAAAACAAAACTTTTCTGCCTAAAAATATAACAAACTAAATCACTAATTCTAGGTTTCAAATGAACAAAACCAGTCTGAAAATGTTCATTTTTGCTAAAATCCCTAGTCTGAAGAGATTTTGAGTTCTGCTTGTATTTCACTCTCAGAAACAGTTTGTAGGAAACAGGTGAAGAGTATAAATGCCTGATTCAGCCTCTACTTTCCACGATCTTGCATCAAAACCTGATCACTGCGGGCTCATATCAAGTGTGAGTCCTGTTATCTGTTCCCTGACAGGTCAGTGTGCAGAGGATGATTGAGTCTGTTGAGCTGCAGATGCCGTGCGGCCTCTCAGTTCGCCTCTGGGAGCTGCAGACGACACAGTGTCATTCATTTCAGCTCAGAAGCTGCAGGCAGGACGAGCGAGCGAGCGAGCGAGCGAGCGAGTGTCTGCGCGTCATCAACTCACTCCATCTCCATCCTATCACACGACAAATTGCCTTTTCATTAGATGCAGGTAAATGAAATTGTCTTTTGTCTCTGCTGCTGCACGTGCGAGGAGGAAGTCGTTGGAGTGAGGACACTGAATTCATTACTGCGCTGAAATGTACGACATACTGAGGATGGAAACCCTGCTGACCAGGAAATAAACATCTCTGAATATGGTTATTACTCAGTCACATATCACTGAGTTTAGTCTGTGCATGATCTGTTTTAAATTACTTTTATAAGGCCTGAAGTCATTCTGAACTGGCAAACACTTATTTGAGTCTTTATGAGTATCTCTGCTGCTTTGTGCTTTCAAGTGAGGGAGAGCGCTTCACTTCTTAGAAACCTCTGAATAAACCACCACTTCTAAATAAAGAATTAGATCACTCCAGTTTGGCGTCAGTATGTGAGGGCGTTCTGAAAGAGTAACATGGTTTATCCTCTGGGGATAGCAAATATATTCAGGGAATTTTAACATTGAAGTTCGTCAGAATTTACTCTCCTATAAAAGGTCCTTTTTGGCGTCCATGTCTGAGAATCACTGTGGATGATGAAAATGGTTCATCCTCTGGAGAACATGAATGTGTACTACAAAGAGACTTCGTTCATTTCTGTAGGGCATCAGGAACTGATGATATCTTGATTCAAGAACAAGGTTAAACCTCAGGGGATGGCAAATGCATTCAGTGAATTCTAACATTCAGCTTGGTCAGAATTTATTCTCCTATAAGGTCCTTTTTGGTGTCCAAGTTTGAGAATCACAGTGAACGGTGAAAATGGTTCATCCTCTAAGGAACATGAGTGTGAAATTTAATCCATCTTTTCTACAAAAGAGACTTTAATTTCATTTCATCGCAGTTCATTAGTTAGTTCATTCTAGGGCATCAGGAATTGAAGATATCTTGAAGAAGAACACGGTCTAACCTCTGGGGATATCATATAAAGTGAAAAATAACACTCAGATTTGTTAGAATTGGTGATAACTTCTCTAGAAGCTTTTCAATTCTTTCTGGCATCCATATTTGAGGATTGCTAACATGGTTTGTAGACATGGTTCATCCTCTGGAGAACATTAAAGTGTACTACAAAAGAAACTTAGCATATCCCAGTGAGGCATCAGGAATTGGAGATATCTTGAAAGAAGAACATGGTTCATCCTCTGGGGATACCATATTCGGTGATTAATAACATTCATATTTGTTAGGATTGGTAATAACTCTGATTCTTTCTGGCATCCAAATTTGAAGGTTGTTTAAATGGTTCATCCTCTGGAGAACATAAATCTGTTTGAACAGAGTCAAAATATGCGTTAAGTGGTGCCAGAAAACTGTAATCCAATTTTTTAGCAATTTTAAGTCCGTTAAAAGACACGAGCACTTTGTAACATAGCTTTGAAAAACGCCAAATAACAGGGTCGGTGTTACTGTTACTGAGAGTAGAAAATTTGGCTTGGTTGTGATGCTACTGGTTCAACCTCCGGGTACCATGCAAAGCAAAGATAGATTGTCTGGAATTGTCATACTCAGTTTTTGTAGATTTAACTTAGCGATATATATTTAAGTCTGTAAACAACATTCAAAAAAGTTTAAAAGAACAAGTGCAGATATATTTTACAACTTGGTGTCAAAAGTCATTGCAAACTCCGGCACAAGTTCACAGTTGTACCTTGAACATAAAACAGCTAAACTGATTTCATAAAGCACGTCAGGCTTTGACATGACCTCAACAGAGGAAGACAGGGCGTTAAAGAAGACTAAGCTGTCGTATTGTTCATACAAAAGGAGCTGCAAAAGTGACAGAATGAATCCAATGACAGAGAATGTGTTTAACTGTGTTTTAGTTGGTAGAAAATTGGTTAAAATTAAGTTTTTGGAGCATCAGATGTCCAGTTTTGGTCTCTGATTCATAGCCATCATGAGCTGGTGGGTGGAGTCAAATACCAGAGGTTACCTGGATGTGTGTGACAAAATAAAACCCACGCTATTGTTTGTTTGGAGGCCGTAAAGTCAGTTTGTTGAAGCATCAGATCTGCTGGTGTTACGAGTCGGTAGAAAAAGAGAGGCTGACTTAAGGCCTGCAGTCTGTCTGCATCTGTGAGAGAGTGTGTCTTTGTTTTACGTGAGCAGCAGCCTTGTTATATTTGGCATGTTGCTGTGGAAACCGGCCTTCATTTAAGAACTATTGTTGTGAAGCCTGAACAAACTGTGCCGAGGTTTTTCTGTTCTGAAGTCTCCTCCTGACACCGAGCTCAGGTACAGTCGAGTTAAACGTCACGGACACACACAAAAACTCAGCGGAGAGCGAGTCATTATTTTTCATTAAGCAAAGCCGCGCAGTAATCACTCCTCCTCTGCAGGCACGGATTCAGCTGACCGATGAATAATGTCTGCTGTACACACACACACACACACACACACACACAGAAACACACTCACACACTTATAGCTGGGAGCTGTGGAGACGATATGGACGTACAGAAAGAACTCAGCGCCTGCAGGCAGCAGCGCCACTTCAGCTCGCTCCGAATAATTGGGTTAATTTGGCCGTTTAGCGTGATGACGCCGCAGGACAGGGAACCGAAAAAGTCCACAACAGTTTGAGAAAAACTACAAAATAAAAGCTCGGCAGTGGCAGCGCCTCAGTTTCTGCCTTTATCTCTACCTCTTAGACTCCTCTGTCCAAACCCCATTTATTTTTAATTGCTTTTGTCCGCATCTTTGTTTACGTCTCTGCGGCCTCCGATAAGCATGCAATAATGGGAAATTAATTTGAACACATTTACAGAGGTAGCTGAAACGTCAGGCGGTGAAATAAAACTCACAACCGCACAGAGAAGTCATTTTTCTTCTTCTTCACCGTGATTCGAACCTGACTCTGCAGCAGCATTTGGGTTTCCACGGGCGTGCTAGCAGAGCAGCTGGTTACCTGACAAGCTACATGTAAACACAGTGTAGGTCGGAGGGCAGAGGGCTCGCAGCACAACCAACCGGTCACACAGAAAGGCTGCGGAAAGGTTTTACATGCCTCTCAGGCTGAAACACGGACAACAAGTGCTTATCGGTGTTTGGAGAAAGCTGGAGTGTCCTCAGAGTGAGATAAGAAAGAGCTGGAAATACAGAATAGACCTCAGCAGATGTAAAGAAATTAATAAACTCTTAAATAATCAGACTTATGCTGCATTCCAGTTACTTAAGAAGTTGGAGCTGGGAATGACACCTGAGTTGACTGCATTCCAGTTAACAAGTCGGAAAACCAAGATGGACGCCTACAGTTAGCCGTTGTTAGCTGTTGTTTACAATTGTCAGTTGTTGTTAGCTATACCAGTTGTAAACAACGCCTAACACAGTATTTTACTCTTACAAACACCATAGCACCGTGTTCACAGTTAAAAGTTGGGCAGTAAAACATATACCACTTATTTAATTATAAAACAAAACAGAAGTGCTAATTAATAAAAACATTACGAGAGCTTTCACTGTTACTCTTTACTGTTGACGTGCTGCGCTGCCACCTTGATTATGATGTTGTCGTCAAGTCAGAGTTAGTGAGCATCGTCCGACTTTCCGATTGTGGGAGGCGTTACAATTGAATTTCCGACTCAGAGCTTGAAAATTCTGACTTCTGAGTACAACTGGAATGCAGCTTTAACCAGAGTACTGTCCCAGACCCAGCAACACTTGTACTCCTTTTGAAATGGGGTTCCTCAGGGTTCAATACTCGGGCCTCTTTTAATTAACATTCTTATGCTTCACTTTTAGCATATCCAACATCATAATTCCTTAAACCACTTAAATCCACTTTCTCTGATCACCTGAATGATGCAGAATAAGAAACTCTCAAAACAGTCGGATATTATCCTGGTCAAAAACTACTGAGCATGCCCAGAACTCTTCGGCCAGTTTGAGCCTGAGTTAACCGTTTTAAATGCAAGACAAAAAAGATTCCCAAGCCTATTATCTAGGTACATCAGTTCCATTTCAGTTGAACTTGCGCAGTAAATCAATTTTATGAAGAACATGTGAACATATGGTGTATTTTATCAAGTCCAAAGTCAACACAGTCATCTACCAGGAGGTTTAAGAGCTCTTCTTGCTTCCATCTGCTGAGTTTCTTTTCCTTCCACTTGCCCACTGCGCCAAAACTCCCTCTTAACGGTTTACTGATATTACAGCATTTAGCCAATTCACCTTTATCAGGAATCAATTGTCTAATATATCATTAAATGTCACAGCTTTCACATGTACATATTTTTGAGCCATGGGGAACTACTAGGCAAAATCAAATCAAGACAAGAGCATAGTCTGGGTATCCAAAAGTGACCAAAGGAACTCAAATAACTAGTTTTGAAAAGCTCCCCAAGTCCACAAAAAGTCATAAAAACTGCATTTCTGCAAAATCCTGCTCTTTTCGCTGAGGTTTGGTTTGTCAGATTGCTCTTAATACTACAGAACCCATAATCCATGTCAGCCTGTTGCCATGGAGACAGCAAACATCTCACTTACAGCTCCCTCTTGTCTACCACCTCACCATCAATCCTCTCTTCCTTATGATTTGAAGCATTTCTGTGCTTTCAAAAAAACATTAGGAAAGACTCTCGTGTGCAGAAGCACCTTGTAGATTCTGCTGTTTGAGCTTATACAAACACATCCATGTAAATTGAAGCTTTTACCACCCCCTCCCCACGTTTCCCCCCCTCCTCTTCACTCCAACACTTCATCCCATCGCCGCCTTTCACCCATCACTCACAGCGACCTTGTCGGAGAAAAACAAATTAAAGTCCCATTTATTACTCAGTGCTCTTTGTTAGCGCCTGACTGGCAGCACAAGGACGGACCTCCTTCAACGGCTAAATTTAACCCCAAACCGCTGACCCACCAAACCAAACCCTCTCACAAATTACCCAGGAGCTTGTTTTCGGTCAACTTTTGGTTCTTTCTACCGTCAGTTTGTCTCCGAGGAAGAGACGTCACTCGCCTCACAAAGAGATAAATAAATCACAGCGGTTATTTTTCATTCTTGAGCAGAGCCGGCATCCTTCAGGAGCACATCTAACCACACGTCAGCCTTCATTTCAAGGTTAAACTCAAGAGCCCTTTAACTGAATAGAAACCTCAAGAAATCTTCACATTTATCACCCTGAACTCCTGCCTTGGAGGCTCTAACCCACCAACAAACTCAGCCAATTAGCATTTATTTGTCTGCTGTTTAAATCCCAATTAAGAGCCTTCTTCATTCTTTATTTTAGGTTGTACAAATACAATGCATAACATTAAAAAAAATCCATTGTATTCAGCTGTAGAAGCTCTAAATTACTGGGCTGACTTTATGCAGACCTGCTGTGGGTTTGCAGCGACCTGTGGATCACATTAACTTTGACTTCTGTATGTAAATAGATGCAAAAATGCAAATAAAGGACGGTTAAAATGCAGAGATTTAAGGCAAGAAGTCAGCATCAGAATAGTTAGTTATTCACATCCTGCCCTTGCTTTAGGAATCCCGTATATATTCTGAGTTATTTATTCCATTTTTTTCAAGGTTTCACAACTGGTGATATGCATCTCAAGGTTAAATTCTCAACTCTGAATGGAAATGGGTGAAAAAAGCATTAAAAAACAGGCCTTGGAGGTAGTAAACTCCTCCATATTTAAACATGTTTACAACCCGCTTTTTTCAGATTCTAATGCTTTCTTTAGCCACTTTTAACCCACAGAATATTCTTCTAAAGGGTTCCAGAGGGCTAAAAATGGGCTCTTTTTTTTACATAGTATGTTATTTTAATGGTAACTGTAGATAGCAAGGTACTGAAATATCTTTCTGTACAGTGTGCACTTAGACTGAGAAGTTAACTTGGATCGGAGTTTTTAAGTTCTGTATATTATGAAGCAGATTTCATCGAGTCTGTAAGAAACTGTAGCCTAGTTTGCATGCTTGCTCTACCAGCTGACCGGCCCACATTGTGGCCAAGACCAGGGGTGTCCCGATACAACTTTTTTACTTCCTATACAATACCGATATTGTAGCCTTCAGTATTGGCCGATATTGGTAAAGGCTTTTTCAGACTTGAACAAAAAATATCTGAGGTTTTAGATGCAGGCCGATATAACTTGATATTCAGTTTTTGCTGATATCGCACCAATATCCAATATCGTATCAGGACATCCCGAGCCAAAACACTTCAGAGTGACATGCAACTCAAACAGCCCCACTTCAAAAATACTGATTAAAACCAGAAGTTGGTGGAGTTCAAGGCCTTGAAATGTCCTTGAATGCAGCATTTTTTGCATGCATGTTTCGTACTATACCAACAGGATTTGTTTGTGTATTTCTGCATTTATCAGCAACTTTATTTGTGTTACGCTGCATTAACAGTTAAGATGCAACTTTACATTCTTGTAACACACAAAAACACAAGCAAACAAACAAATCCCAGCAGAGGTAGAACAACAACTCCTGTGTCCTGCAAGATTATCTCCCCGGTATTGTTTTGTTTTTTAAATGGAGACTGGTGATTTTTAAGAGAGCGATGCTTCAGCTTTATCTGGGTTAGAAATAAACAAATAGAAAAGTGAATGATCTGAAAACAAAAAAGTTCAAACACTGCATACCAAGGACGTTTTAAAGCATTAAAGTGAATCCTGTTTTTGATTTCACATCATTCACAGAAAGTGACGCATGAAGTTTAAGTTTGATTGTAACATGCAAATGTTTCTGAGAATCCTTAAAACACACTGAAAAGGACTAAGGCGCTGTTAACTCAGTCTAAATGCTGCATGTAGATTAATTAAAACACTTTTGGGGGACTTGAATTAAAAAATTAGCATTTCTCTGCGCTAAAATTAGAAATTCACCAAAGAGTGGAGTGTGACTTTAAGGTCTGATTTCAATATATAAACAGATCAAACAGAAAACCTGCAGGGAACAGCATTCAAGGACATTTTAAGGCCTTGAATTTGGATATTCAAAGACTCTCTCTGGCTGCTTTTGTTACATTATCATTCCCAGTCAAAGATTTCCACTGCACTTTAGTTACCAGGCAACTTGGCTGCAGGTTTTCTGAGTGAGACGTGATTAAGCAAACATATTCTCTCCTCTGAAGGCCCAATGAAACACATTTCCATTCAGGCCTCTCTCCTCCCTGCTTCGAATTCCTCACATGTAGCTCTTTATCCAGCCACAGCGTGTCATTGCCTTTGCAAAAATTGCAGTTGGCGCTGCCGTCCTAAAGACCAGAGAGCGATAAAAAAACCTGAGTGTTTGTCGACAGCGCCCTGCAGGCAAGGAAATGTGTCAAAAAAAAAAAATCGTCTTGGCAGAGGGAAGGTGACGCATTCGCAGGCCTAAATCTGAGCTTAAACCAGGAAATCCCTTTTCAGTTTGGATCACAATCATCAGCCACTTACAAGGCAATAAACTGTCATGTTGCTTTCGTGCTGCATGTTTGCATTTGTGCTGTTTTTCCAAAGCGAGGCCCAGCTTGTGCAGCAGCGGTTTATTTACACACACACACACACACACACACACACATTTTAAAGTATGGCAGAGCTAATAATAGCGTGGCAGCCGTGATGTGGAGTGTGAGAGGAGACTGCATACGAACCATGCCATCTTCTGGCTGCAGCAGAGAGAAAAGAGGCCGAACGCGGCGAGGAAAACAACAAATCAGTGTCGAGGCTGGAAACAGAGATACTGCTGCTCGCTAACGATAAGAAACCAGAGACACAGAGTGGAAATGTGTCACTGACTGCGGGTGCTGTTTCCAAAAGCATCTTATTTAACAGCATGAACTCCTGAACACTACCTGAGACGAATCCAACCAACTGGAGACGACAATGAGAGCTCAAACTGCAGAATAAAACGGTGAAACATGTACGTCTCTATCAAAAAAACAGCACTCAGACTTTCATTAACCAGCTCCTGCCTCTTTAAGCTGCAGCTCGAGTGCCAAATCAGGCCGAAATCAGAGAAAACAAACTAAACAAATGACTCATGTGGATGTCACTGCACTGTGATTTGATTTATCAGCCGTGTTCCTCTGCTGGTCTGAGGCCAAAAGTATGAATAAATGATCAGAGCTGGGGATTGAACCTCAGCAGTCTTTAGGTAACAAACTCAACCAGTCTGGAAGAGGGACAAGATAGACTGTGTCAGATATCTGATCACATGTGTAATCCTGCAAACATTCTCCTGTTTTGGCCTGTTTGACATATTTAACATGATTATTCTGCCTTCTACCAACTATTCACTATCTTGTTAGAGCAAGATACGAGTTTAAATATCTTGTAATGCCAAGAACCATCTTTGCGCACAAACTACTGCTAATAGATTAGCATGAAAAATTGAAAAATGCCCCCAAGATATTTGACCAAGATCTTGTAAAGACAAGATAAGTATGTTGTGTGTTTTATACAGGATGTTTAGTCTGCATCTTGACCGGTTAGCATTTAGGGTGCCAAAGTTTTGGCTCACCCGCCTCAACTTTTCACAGTATATTCGTTTTTAAATCTTGTTTAGACAAGATTAAAGGAAAAAAACATCATGCAAATCTAGATAATTTGTTAAACCAAATAATATCATGCTAAAAACACATCTGTGTTCATTCTGCAAATTAAATCCGTCAAATTCAGCTAAATTTGCAAGCAAGATATTTCACAGCTGGTAAAGATGCCCCAATGTATCTTGTCTGAAAGAAGTCAAATCAGTTTCCAGAACATGACTTTTGGCGAGATATTGCTCAAGATTTGTGAGAATTTTAACTAGCCCTGAAAGGTTGTAACATGTTGCCTTCAAGATACTTCCTTAAAAAATTAAGTCATGTGTTTTGAGTGCAAATAGAGGTTTTAATATCTTGTTTGCACCAGGAATTGTAAGATAGACAGCAAAAATATGGGCGTAAAATTTAGTGTTTGAACATTCTTGTCTTGTGCACAAGATTCAAAAGCCCTCAGCGTCACTCTTCTTTACAAAAGAGTATCAACAACAAGATCAGAGCTGACAGGAAACAGCCATTTTGTTTCTGGGCCCGTGAAGTTGCTTTCACTGTCCCGGCTCCGTGTTTGTTGTTCTGAACCCTCTCCGGTCTTTTCCAGTCTTTTTCAGTCCTCTCTCCACCTGTCTTGTCCTGTCGAGTCTGTCGCCTGCCCCCAGTCTGCTCTCCTCTCTCCCTGATGAACATCCTCTCCTGCGGTCAGATCACCAGGTTTCCTCTGAACGCCGGCTGCTGCTGAACCTTTCCATGTGAAGCTGTGACTCACGGGTCAGAGCGACCCGGCAGAGAGAACTGGAGGAATATGGCTGATATTTTTAGGTGAGTGACTCACACAGACACATCTCTCTCTCTCTCTCTTTTTTTTTTTCTCAGCGCTCTCACTTCTCGACTTAATGTCTTAACGGAGCGCTGGAGCAATAACGAGCTAACACGGGGAGGATGAAAGGAGCCGCTCACCGCTGGATGGTGTGTTTTCATTATCTGAAACACAACCGGGCCTTCAGTCCTCCACACTCAGCTGAAAATAGCTGCACAGAAATGAAGGATGAAATCAGAATGAACTCTTCTCATTTTCCCATAACTTTATCCAAATCTACAGAGAGAGATACTCCAGATACCAGCCTGGATTTCAGATATTTTCATATTTCCAGGTAAATGTTTTGTTGTCCTGGATCTCAAAAAAGAGGCCTCAGAGGTTTCGGACTCACTCTGTCCTCCTGTGCTCCCCCATGCTGTTACATAACGCGCAGCGAGGTCCGAGCGTGTCAAAAAATGTGTGAAAATGTGTCACTTTTACAAGTTTTACATACACAAGGTGCAGACGAGGGAGAAGAGAGAGGAGAAATCGACCATCTAAGCGTTAAATGTAGTTTGTTCTCGCATCAAACTGGAACAACTGGAAGAAAAGAGCTCAGTGCAAAACTGAGGTTCCTCTAGCGTCCACTAGAGGCTGTGTCCTAACATTTTTCTCCCCCCTGCTTGCGATGTTGACATGTAGTTATTGTACGACTGGTTTGTGCTCTTTTCCTCTTTTTTCTGTACAGCTCTGTTTTTAAAAGTTATTAGGGGGTTCGTGTTTTCTATGACTGACACTTGATACAGCCTATGGGCGTATGAAGATTGTGTAGCTCACTCGGGGGAGACGCTGTTTGAGCCGAGCGTCATTACAGCGACTCTCTGTGACTCTCCCGTCGAATGCGTACAACGCTACTGCGCAACTTTGGTTTCAGGAAATGGAGAAAAAAAAACGGAATTACCGAGTTTTGTGGCTTCAAATCCGTATACTGGCAGAAGGCGGAACCAAGTTGTCCATACAGTCCCCATGTTAAAACTGAAATAAGCATGTTCACAACCTGGTACAAAAAATATATACAACACTATTTAGGTAAAGAGTTTTTTGGTGGAAATATGTTTATGAAACAGTAAAAAAAACTCCCAAATGAGTAAAAATCTAATGAATGTTCAGAGTTCAGGCCTTTTCAGACAGAAATGATAATTTTGTGTAATAGTAAAATAATCATTAATGCAGTCGAATCAAGGGTCAAACTCTAACACTGCAAATTGAAGCCCAAAAAAGAACCTGCAGTTCCCCAAAAGTCCACTAGAGGCTGTATCCAAAAGAGTCAATCCCCCATAAAGCCTATATTAAAAAATCATGTAACTTTACAGTAAAAATAAACACATTTACAGTTTGGTACAAATATAGTCTGGGTCTCTACTTTACAAACTGGATTTATACCTCTCTAAAAAACCTTTCAAAACAAACATGGTGGCAACTGAACACCAAATTCTTGGCTTCGTTTAAGCGTGAAGGAGCTAACCAGCGACGCCTCGGTAGCTAGGTCTGTTTCTGGGTCATCCAGATTGAAAAAAAACTTCTCTGGTGTAACAAAGAGCTTAAAGAAACAAATGTTTTCACCAAGCAGACGCAGAAATTACAACTGTGTAGAGCCCTTTCTGCCACTTTTGGACATTTATCGTCATGAAAACAATGAAAACAATCTCAGACTCCCACTCAGACTATCAAATTCAATGCAAAATAAGCCTTAGATAATAATAGTAATAAAACAAAATAAGCCTTAGACCTTTTCTCAAACTGCAGAATTAACAGTCAAAGCGTTAGTCATTCACGAGGAAAGAGTCATCATCAGTTCACCTCCCAGCCAACCTTCCAGCACCACGCCTTCATAACAAACCTGATATCAGAGCTGAATTAGCAGCGTGACTGTGTTTTACAGATCCATGACTGCACCTTTGTGCCCAAACTGTCCTCACTTCAAAGCTGGGAGACTTTGGAGGCACGAATGTCCCAAACTTTGAAGCTGATCTGGGAGTCTGACAGTGAAGGGGGGGGGTCTGTGAGAGCGTCCCCAGAGGATCCTCCATGACTGAAGGAGAGAAAACAGGCTCCACTTCAAAGAGCCGGCGCTCCTCTGAGGAGGTGACTCCATATCTTCACCTCCGCTGCTGCCGGGGACGACGGCGTGAAGCCAGAGCGCCAACGGAGCGCCAAGACTGCTCGATATGACACCGCGGTTTGACAATATGTGACTAAAACATGACTTACTAAACACAACGACAAACAGAAGAGGCTGCTGGGTCAAAAACATAAATCTGGGGCAGAATATAAACGCAGCTTCTGTCCAGATTTCAGTAAAAAAATGACATTTGAAGTCCTCTGAGGAAGAGTTGTGAGAGTTTCAGCTTCCTCTCCACTTTTAGTCCAAAAACCAGCCTGAAAATGTTCACTGTCAAGACTCGCCTGTGGTGAAAGTGCAGTTTATTTCAGCCTAAGGACTTCACCAACATGCCCTCATTTCTAAACTCTAGTCAGTGGTATCAATCACAAATAAACCATCCTGATCTCTGAGAGTTTGGGTTGTTATATTTTACTATAAAAGCTTTTGTTTTGAAAGTTTCTATGACATTTACGTCCATCTAAAAATCAAGCACAGTCAACAGAGCCCTCACTGTTCCCTCTGTAAGTCAGTTTTAGGGCTGGACGATCTGGCCTCAAATCAATATCATGATATATTGAGCAGTTCACCTCGATAACGATAAATGGACAGTTACTACTCCACTAATTCTATTTCTTTATATTTTATTTCTTCGAGCAGTCAGTCACAGACTTTCTTCTCTAAATCCAAATTTGCACAAGATCTGATTTACTGACATTGGCCCTCATAAAACCGGGTTGTTCACAGCATGTGGAGTCATAGACTGTGTGCTGTAACAGGACGATCTGACCCTTTGAGATGGTAAACATTTTAAACATTAAAAAAGAGGTTTAGTCTGTTGAATTAGGAAGATATTTATACTCCAAATTAGGGCTAGGAGATATGGCCTCAAATCAATATCATGATAAATTGAGATGTTCCCCTTGATAACCATAAATGGATTATAACTACTCCACAATCTGCTCACCCCCTCCCACATTAACTTCTTCTACTTCAGCCGCTACAACTTTTGAACCGTCCTCCATCTCCTCACACGTCTTTCCCTATTTGTTACAGACTGGATGGGGTGGAGTCATGTCTCTGATGTAGGACAGCGTCTTAAAGGGACACGAGACCATGGCCTACCTACACACATCCAAAACCAACTTTTATTTATTTACTTTTTGACATGGAATATACCAATATGGGCAAAATGACGTTGGCTATTGTTGTAAATTTCGTTATCAATAAAATTTTGGTTTATCGCCCAGCCCTAAGTCAGTGTGGAGTAAATTTCTCTTAACTTCATTCTGTTTAATCTAAAGGTACCATCACCTTTTACCGTCTGTCCTCTGATTTTTTCTATGTAAGGGAGAAACTAAAGGTGAGGCCTTTCATTTCATGTAGTTGAACTACTTCTCCTCTGCTGGAAAGCCAATTTTAATGCATAATCAGGGAAGATTTGGGGCTGAATATATATGAGAACAATCCTTGATATTATTGGCATTTATTCAACAGTTACATAACAGATACTCTTAGTATTTCAGCTGTGACTTTGTCGCTCTGTAGCAGATTAATTTTACATTTAAATACGCTGGAGGCAACTATAATTATTCCCAAACTCTTCAGGAGGTGTGCCGTACAGGAAGCTTTATTAATTCTTTCTGATATGTAAATACTATCATTGTGTTCAGCAGCCGGTTCGGTGAGAAAAGTGAAGCTGGAGACTCTGAAGACAAACACCCTGATGTTACAGCTTGTGTTTAGAAGCAGAAATGAAGTGTGTTTTGTTGCTGCTGGTTCAGTCAGAGGTTAAATTCAGCTGCAGAAAAAGCAGTGGGAGTTTCTCTGTAGCATTTAGTCGTATTAAGTCTTTACCCAGCCAATGTTTGTGTCACTGCCGCTTTGATTAAAGGGATTTCCACAGATTATATTCCACACAAACTGGAAGGCATTATCAGCATTAAAGCAGTGCTGCCTGGAGCCTTTCTGCAGATCTGCGGATGAGATCAGATCTGAGAGGGACGGCAGGATTAGACGAACGGAGGCGTCGACCTGACAGCTCATCACAGATTAACACGGGCTCCATCCCCACAACACCAAAATATCCAGCGTCTGCTGGATGTTTGGACCAGAGAACAAATAAAAAACTGCTTTAGAGGAGAGGAGGAAGACTGAGGGTGAGGCTGCACTTTTTAGGAAAAACTCCAGAGTCCAGATTTCCTGAAAAATATCCAAACACTCAGGGAAACACAACTCCTGCTGCACCTTTGCATCCTGTTCTGAGTTCGAAACTTCTCTGTAAATATTTGGAGTATTTCTTGGAGGACAAAAAAAAAAAACACCCGAACGCAGTTAGATTTGTTGATGCCAAATCAAATCCGACCAGGTGTGGATGTTTACACCTGAGGAAACGTGGCAAACAACCTCCCAACAGCATGATCACCCAAAAAGCTGCTCGACAGAGACATGAAACACGCTGCTGGATATTCAAGTCTGCAGAAGATCAACCCTAAGAAGATCGAATTGATTATCTTGTAGGAATAAGTTTATATCTCGTGCAAACAAGATTATTTTCCTTTGCAAACACATTATCTTTTCACATAAGTGAGTTATCTTGCTAAAACTTCACTTTTAAGGCTTTGTGGCTCCATGAGAAACTGTGCACAACCTGTAGTGATTACCAGTCTTGTTATATCCAGATTTTAGGTGCTGCAGCCTCTCTTTGTGTTCACATGCAGAGCAAAATAAACTCAAGAGGAGGCATGACCTACTCTGCAAGCAACTGCCAGGGTGTGCACTGTAAGCAAGTGTAGCCAAGCCCTGATTTATCGGTGAATGGGAGGAGGGCGTCGGGATTGTTGTAGCATGAATCGTGAGTGTGCTCGGTGATGATTTTGGCCATGAAAGAAGGAAAAAATAAAAAAACACTCTGACTGAAATAAAATAGCTTCACTCCGGATGTTTTCTCCTCTGATTTCTTTTTCTTTTTAGATAAACATCCTGAGCAAGTGTGCGGGCGCTGCTGCATCATCATCCACCCTCTGTAATATCTCCTCCTTCCTCCAACTGGATCAAGAGCATCAGAGCTGCAGGTCTGTTGGTTCAGGTGAGTCAAACTCAAACACCTGCAGCTGAGCGTTTACCTTTTCTTTGCCCTCATAACTCACGGAACAAGTATAGTCTGAGTGTGTAAGGTGAACATTTCACCCTCAGGTGTTTAATGGCTGTTTAACGACTGAATGATCATTAAGCTTTAATTAGATGGAAGTCATAAAATGCTAACGAGACCTTTCTGCAGGGGACGAGCTTTGTTAGCTTTTTACGACTTTAAAATACACTCCCACTTTAAACACTGGATTTTTTTAAAGACGAATCTTTGACTTATGATGAAAAATAAGACGAATTGGTGCAACAGATTGGAAAACAAAAACACATGGATGAGAGAAACTGAGAAACTGGAGCACTCAGAGAAGAATATTTGGATCTATGTTGTCTTATTTTTAATATTTTGTACAATTTTGAAGATTTCAAAGTCAAATCTTGTTGTTTTTTACCTTTAAAGTTAGTTTTCAGCTCAGAAAAGTTTATTTTTCTCTTTTTTAACAGATTTACAGCTTTGAAACTCTTCCTCCAGACCAGCAGCAGCGGTGAACATCAACACCTGCAAGTTGAAGTCCCTTCGGTTATTTATCGTCGGTGCAGCGTGACATTTAGTGCGCTTTTTATTATCATCCGGGTGATGTAATGTGATGTTCGACCCCGAGACCTTCACAGAAAGGGGGGGAGGAGAGGGAGAAGGAGGAGGAGGGAAGGGACAGACGCAGAGAGGCCTCAGGATGAGGGGGAATCACTCAGACAAACAGCTGCTGTGTGCGAGGACACCGAGCTGAGGCTAAGAGCGGACATAAGGTCAAGGGTCACACACTGAGTCAGGACGGTGGCATAGACAGGGTAAGAAAAGGACGTCACTCGTCTGTTATCCGACGGTGGAAATTAAGCTACTGCAGACACGTTTAAATGACCATATTTGGAAAAAGGGGTGGAGCCAAGAAGAGGGAGAGCTGAATAACCAATACCTAAAAAGCCGTCTGGGAGTGAATCGACCTGTTGTTTGTCTTCTGTGATGTGTTATTATTATGATCTATCGCTGTATCCCAAGTCCTTCAGCTAATATATAACCTTACATTATTTTCAGTCCTTCAGTTGTTTCTTGTGACATTATTTCTCTCTGGAAAACAACAAGTTTCGCTGCATGTTGAAAAACTCTGAACTCATTGAACCGAAGATGAGGCCGACACGTCTGTTTGAATACACGTCTGAATGTGTGAAGAGGGTGTGAAGCTGCTCTTTAAGACATGGACTCAATATTTATCAGAAGAACAGAAGACATTAGACAGCAGAAAGATCCGTTATTATGTGAACTTCCCAAATACTGTCACACTCATGTGAGATTTCAGCGAATAAAGTAAGAAACCCATCCTGAGGGCTGCTCCGGTGTTACTCACAAACACAGACCCTGGTCCTCTGTCTGCGTTGTGTTTGGGTCGTTGTGCAGAGGTGTGGAGCTCAAACGCAGTCCAAACAGCAGGACTACAAAAAGGGGTGATCAGGTGATGCTCTTTGGTCTGTCTGCAGCAGACACAAAGATGACTTAGGCATCACAATAAGAGCAAAAATGAATCACAACAACAGTGTGCACTTAGGTACTAACAAAGTACCAAGAAGTAGGAGTGATGTCGGCCGTGTGGCAGTATTTTTTGTTTCAGTCCGAAAAAGACAATGGAGCTGAGTGCAAAACTTGTCATGCACAATTTTGTGCCAATATTGGATCAATATCAGTATCGGTCAGTATTGAAGGCTGCAATATCGGTATCGTATCAGAAGTAAGAAAGTTGTATCGGGACACACCTATGTTGGAGTAAACATAGCTTTGATAACGTATACAAAAGGAACAAAGCTCTAAAGATGACAGTGTTCTACATCTACAAAAACCTCTTCCTGACGCTTTTATCAATTGTTTCGGTACGTGACATAAAAATGACAATGTGGTTTAACTGTGCATGTAAAAGTACTGTTGTCTTCCCTGTAGACTTTTCATATAGCCAGTTAAAGGCATGATATTTACACTTAGGGCTGGGCGATAAACCAAAAATTTACCAAAACTGAAATTTACAACAATAACTGACGTCATTTTACTCATGTCAATATATTCAGTGTCAAACGAAAAAATTTATGAAAATTTGTTTTGGATGTGTGTAGGTAGGCTATGGTCTCATGTCCCTTTAAGACGCTGTCCTACGTCAGAGACGTGACTCCACCCTATTCAATCCGTAACAAAGAGGGAAAGACAGGTGAGGAGATGGAGGACGGTTTAAAAGTTGAAGCGGCTGAAGTAGACAAAGTTAATGTGGGAGGGGGTGAGCAGCTTGTGGAGTAGTTATCGTCCATTTATCATTATCAAGTTGAACTGCTCAATATATGGTGATATTGATTTGAGGCCATATCGCCCAGCCCTACTGGCAACTTGGTTTAACTGTACATGTAAAAGTACTGTTGCCTTCTTCATAAATGTTTCATTTAGCCAGTTAAAGGCATGATATTTAGAGCCAAGGAACACAATGGTGAGACCAGGTGGTCCCACCGCCTAGCGACAACAATAACAGAGTCCCATGACCAGGGATAACCTTGCTGTGTGGCCTTGTGTTCCTTACAGAACCAGCACTGGATGACCCTCAAGTGGCACTGCATTACAGACTCTAACAAATGTGACTCTATAGCGGAAATTAAATCAAAATCGGATGTTTTTTTTGGAAATCCTGGACCCCACGTCCTCCACTCTTCATATTATGATTGTCATTTTGCTCTTTCTCAGTCCTGTACTCAGTAGGTTCTTGATGATAAAAGACATTATGTTAAATATCAGGTAGAGAAACTCCTCCACATTGATACAGCAGAGTGATTCATTAAATATAACCTGATACATGGTGATGAAGGAGCAGGAGCAAATTAAAAACTAATGATTCATGCTTCTTTTCTTCAGCTCTTTCAAACAACAGTCGGCCAAGGTGCCCCCTAGCTCCCACTGGCCCCTGAATCAGCCCCTCAGAGACCCCTTTAGTCATCAAGCCGTGCACAAAACCCACCCGCTATTATTTCTCTGCCACAGATTGAAAACAGCTTTCGGATCATATTTTTCCACTTTGCAGCATCTGTTTGCTTTTGTCAGGTTCATCTAATAACACAGTTTCAATCCTTCGCTATTGGCTGCCTTTCTCTCTTTTTCTTTGTCTGTTTTTTTTTTTTATGAATGCACTGTAAAAAAAATTAAAAACAACAGCAACTGCAGGAGGAGATACAATCAAGAGCTAATGATGAACCAGAGCTGAAATGCCGATACCATGGAAACTTTACCCAGTTGAATAATTCCTTTAGACTCAAGAGGAAAGAGGAACATTTAAGAAAAGACGAGTGTTCGATTAAGTGTTTTTCACTCTCCCGCAACTAAATGAGTGTTTTCTTGTGTTTTGTGATGTTAACCTGATAAAAAAAGGCCTCAGTCTGAGCTCTACTTTAGCTACAACCCCACCTGATCAATTTTTCAAAGGGTCTTTGAAGTCACTCTTGTTCAATTCAGAGGCCTACTTCCTTTTATGGCGAGGCCTCTTCCCCCTTTAAAGGAAGCCACTAGGAGACTCAATAATGCATAAAACGCAGAGCATTGTGGGACGACGGCCTAGAAGGAGTATGCAAATGAACTTTGGGCAAAAACTCAAGCTCCTCCCACACAAAACAAAGCATAAAAACAGGATTTTTCTGCAGGTTTGAGAAGTATTTGCTCGCTTTGATGCAGCCCGAGACAGAGAAAATGAGCTGCAGGAGAGTTTTTACATTTCCATGGATGTCTGAAGAAAAATCAGCCCCGACGCTGACAGCAGGGGACCAATCTCTGCAGCCTGAGAAGACGAAGTGGTTTCCATAACAAAGACTAATCAGACTACTTCTTTTTTTTGCTCTTTGTTAGTCCTTTTCCATAATTGACCTCTTTCTGGTGGTGTCTGTTTAGCTGGCTGAGTGAGTCTATTGTTTGTTCCTAAAAAAGCCCCACCACTTCCTCACCCACACACTCTCTGCATGCACAAACACACACTATGCATGCACACAAAAAACGCACACGAGCAGGAGACAGAGGGAGAGGCAACAAAAAGCTAATCAGCGAGCGGTGAATGAGGCCGGACAGCCGGCTGAGAAGGAACCAGCTGCTGAGGAAAGACAAAAACATTCCTCTCTTTTCTCCGCATAGAAAGACAAAGAGAAGGAAAATCCTGCTTTTCTATGTCTGCATACAACAATCAAAACATCCACGTTTTTATGCCTTATGAAAGTTCAGGAGAACATATTAAAGTCAGTAAAAGTTTTTAGGATTAACCCTTTTTTTACGTTCTCTGATAGACTGCTGACCCATGCAGAAGCATCACAGTCTCAGCGTTTGGTTCTTCCTTTCTTGAGCAGACACTCAAAACAACATTAGCGATTCAGTGAGTCCACACAGCTCGGTTTTTACTATTAATACTCTGCAGACAACGCTTGTATAACTGCACTCATGGCTCAACCCATGGCCTTCGTGTAATTGTACATTTAACAGGATTGTTCAGGCCAATCAGGGAGCAGGAGAAAGGGCTAATTCTGTAGAAAATGACAGAAAAGCCGGACCACACTCGGTCTTCTCTTGATTCTTTGTTTGCTCTGAAATTTCATCCCTAATGCATCCATAAAAAGCAGAGCGTCTGATCTCTAATCCACTCCTCATGGTGGAGGAAAGTGGCGACAAGTCGACACCTCGCAGTGACAAAACAGAAACCGAAGAAACATCTGAGTCTTCTCCTGCTGAGTCTTCCCCTGGTTGTAAACTCCACGCACCGCTCTGCTCACGCTCAATGTTTAATCGGGATGACCTCTTTAGTTTGGAGGATAAATAAAAGATTAAAGAGGAGCTCGGTTCATACGAAACAGGAGAGCGAGGAGGAGCGCGAAGAAACTCGAATTTCTGCTCCTGGTTTCTCTGAGTCTGAGCTGTTGACGGTGAACAACAACAACTACAAGAGCACCTTCATGAAAGAGAAGGAGAAAAACAAAGGAAAAGTGTGAAACCTGGATTACTCTATGGTAGGGCTGGGCGATATGGCCTCAAGTCAATATCACGATATATTGAGCAGTTCACCTCGATAACGATAAATGGACGATAACTACTCCACAAGCTGCTCACCCCCTCCCACATTAACTTTTATTTTATTTTATTTTATTTCTTTGAGCAGTATTATTCATTATTGCTCATCTTTACTGTCATAAGCCCTCATAAAACCTGCAAGATTGTGTTGTTCACAGCATGTGGAGTCATTGTTTATGTGCTGTAACAGTATGATCTGACTTCAAAACTGTCCCTTTGAGATGGTAGGCATTTTAAACATTAAAAAAAGAGGTTTGGTCTGGTAAATAAGAGAGATTTTCATACTCCTAATTAGGGATGGGCGATATGGCCTTATATCAATATCACGATATACTGAGCAGTTCACCTCGATAACCACAAATTGACAATAACTACTCCACAAGCTGCTCACCCCCTCCCACATTAACTTCGTCTACTTCAGTCGCTCCAACTCTTGAACCGTCCTCCATCTCCTCACCTGTCTTTCCCTTTTTGTTACGGACTGGATGGGGTGGAGTCACGTCTCTGACGTAGGACAGTGTCTTAAAGGGACATGAGACCATAGCCTACCTACATATATCCAAAACAAACTTTTATCTATTTTTTGACACCAAATATACTGATACAGGCCAAATGATGTCAGTTATTGTCGTAAACTTTGGTATCGGTAAATTTTTGGTTTATCGCCCAGCCCTACTCTGTTGTGCAACAGGCCATTTTGATCAGTTGATAGTGTTTAGATGGTCTAACCCACTATTTTTGACTATCAAAGCTTATCAAATGTGCATCTTCAAACCAGATGCGATGGTGATAGTTTAATATGAACAGTGATTTTAAAGAAAACCAACAACTATTAAAACCATCCAGTAAAACCTCAGAAACATCTGCATATAAAGGTTTGCAAGTATCCCATAATTTTCTTTGGCAACAGATTTGTCCCTTCCTGCACACTGTAGTTAAGCTGCCGCAGCGTCACCATGTCGCCTTTTAACGGCACCTTTTACTTTAAAAACACTCCATAATCAGGCTGAGTTGAAAAGTCAACAGGAAAGTATTTTTACTTGAACTTTAGCACTAACACTTTTATACTTGCGAACGTTTACACTGTCTGTCTAACCCTGAGCCCTCAGACGTCTGTGTGGACCGTGGAGTCGGCACTGTGTCTTTGAAAACATTATTTCCGACACCGAGTTCAGCTTTAAAACGCTGCAGACAAACCCCGCAGTCACAGCTGAGATGTAAATCTAACACCTTGAATCAGGTTTTCTGCTGGTGTTTGGAGGAGCAGCTGCAGACTCTCAGTGTGAGGAAGATTCAGAGTAACAGTGTCAGGATGAAGCAGGGCCGCTCCTCTTCCTCGCTCTGACAGACAGAGGTGAGGAGGGTTAGAGGAGCAGCAGGAGGCTGCAGCCCATCAGCCTGTCAGTCTGAGGGAGGGAGGACGGTTCAATCACATGTGAGCCGGGTGTTACCCTACAAACCTGTCCATACATGTCTCTTTACATTCACACAATCGCTTAACTGGACCACCGCATGTCTGGGGATGCAAAGGTAACACTGATTATACTCTTACGGTGAGGTTTGAACCTGTGCATCATCAGATCACCCAGAAAAACCTACAGAAATTCATGCTCCAGTTTGCATCGAACAGCCGAAATAAAATGTTTTCAACTGGATTCAATAAGTGACAGGAAAACATAAACGCCACTAAACCCCAATAAAAGCAAACTAGGCCTCTACACAAACAGATACCTCTCAAACAGGGAGAGGCGTTAAAAACTACAACTTGTTTTTACAGAATTAAACAAGTTTTAATCAAACTTGATGCTAAAAGAATGTGATTTGAAGAACAACAAAGTTAGGGTAATGAAATAGCATTAAAACGTTTAAAAATAAGTCTTGTTTGACGCTAATTGTAAAAGTTAACAGTGCAAAATTATCATAATGATTAGAAATTCAGAATAAGTCTGTGATCAAGCCCATTTTCTGTATTTGCTGCCTGAGGCCATCAGAATAAAATCTTTCACTTATTGAAAAAAATGAAACCAAATTCACTTCCTGTAACATTTTACACTTTTCCACTTCAGTCAGATTAGATTTTTTTTTATACATGAAGGTAAAAAAGTTTGGCCAGTGCTGAAGTTTTGAGGACGTCTCCTTTCTGAAATGTCCCGTGGAGACATTTCAGGTGCGGTTGTCATGGTAACTGTCAGAATAATCTTTGATAAAGCGGGTTGAGAAGCGGTGGCTCAGCGTTTGATGATAAAGCGGCTCTTTCTGGTCGGTCCGGCTGCTGACTGAGCACAGCGGTGTGATCAGCCGCTAAGCTGCTGACCGAGGAGCCCATCGCCAACACACACACATGCGCGCGCACGTACACACACACACTCCCATGCTTGATTATCAACAGAGTCAAGCTGGAAAACCTTATCAAGAAAAAGTCAATACTCTGCCCGCTCCAAACGCTTCGCCCTTTACAGGAGAGAGAAACGCTCCAACAACAACCTGATCCTAATCTGAGAGGAAAAACTCACACCTGTCTTCTAAACTACAGGTGAGTTCACGGTGAGTTCAGTGAGTTTATCAAGACAGTGACAGGTAAATAACTTCATACAGCCTTAACACATCTTTAAAAACTCAAACCTATCCGTGAAAACTATTTAGAATCACTTAAATACAAAGAAAACCACCATGACTCTGTAGTGGAAATCACTGCTTGGGTTCAAAATTCCACTTTTCAATCTCCAGAAAACTACTTTTTAGATATATTCTCAGCCTGTAAAATATTCACCGTCAGTTCAAGTCAAGCGAACGTGAGGCCATGAACAAAGAGTTTAATGTTTAATCAATCACAGACTTTCCCTCTCTAAATCCAAATTTGCACAAGATCAAATGAACTGACATTAGCCCTTATAAAACCTGCAAGATCGTGTTGTTCACAGCATGTGGAGTCATAGTTTATGTGCTGTAACAGGACGATCTGACTTCAATACTGTCCCTTTGAGTTTGTAGGCATTTTAAACATTAAATAAGAGGTTAAGTCTGTTGAATTAGGGAGATATTCATTCTCCAAATCAGGGCTGGGCGACATGGCCTCAAATCAATATCACCATATATTGATCAGTTCACCTCGATAACTATAAATGGACGATAACTACTCCACAAGCTGCTCAACCCCCTCCCACATTAACTTTGTCGACTTCAGCTGCCGCTCCAACCGCTACAACTTTTGAACCGTCCTCCATCTCCTCACCTGTCTTTCCCTCTTTGTCATGGACTGGATGGGGTGAGTCATGTGAGCCATGACACAGGACAGTGTCTTAAAGGGACATGAGACCATAGCCTACATACACACATCCCAAACCGATATGGGCAAAATGACATTGGTTCTTGTCATAAATTTTGGTATCTGTAAATTTTCGTTTTATTGCCCAGCCCTAATATATACATATTTTATAAGGCAAATAGATTTCATACTTTTCAGGAATTGGGATTTTTAGTTTTCAGGCTGAATTTTGCTGAAATTTTAATCAAATTTGCACAAGATAGGATTTTTTTTTTTTTTTGAGTAGTAGATTCAAGATTTCACATCAGCAGCAAATCCATTCAATAACATGCCGCATATGAATTTCTCTGAATTAAGCTCTACTTAAGGAGGAAATAAAAGTGGAAATCAAGGCTAATAAAAGCCAACATGATGTTTCCTCTTCAGTGTGTTTAATATTAATGAGCTCTCTGTCTGTTCGTCTCTGATTGACAGATAAGTGATGACTCAAACCTGAACTGAACTCTAATCTGTTCTGCACCAACGAGCTCACGAACAAGACCGGCTTCATGTCGGGGAATCTGCTCGTGTGTCATCCCTGAGATGAGGAGGATACGAGGGGGAGGAGGAGGAGGAAGAAGAAGAAGAACAGGATGACAAACAGAAACATGCGCACGCTTTTGTTTTCACCGGACTCAAATTTTACCTTCAAACCTTCTGTAAACACTCACATAGACGTTTGTGAATGCTTTTTTCCGAAGGTCTCGGTGCAGTTATTCATGAACCCACAGACTCAGAGGTGACCTGTCAGAGATAAAACATGTTGCTATGATACTGACAGGGTGAGTAAAAGTGAGGAAGTTCATTAAGAGGGAGTGAAAGAGGGAGAAATAAAGGAGTGGAGCCTTTGTCCAGCAGACTGAACACACTCATCACAGACACTCTGAGCTCGATAGGCCGCACGTCACTGGGTCAGTTTGATAATAAGGAATATAATAACATTGAAAAGATCTACTTTGCAGCACTTTTAAAGCATCTATCATCCAAGTACGAAAAAGGCCAATGAAGGCAATCACACTGAAAAGATTCCTATCAGGGTCAGCAGCAATGAGAGCGTCATACTTGTACAGAAACTGGGCAAACCGGCTCCCCCTGAGAGGGTCTTAACTTCCTATCCACGTGTTAAACGAATGTTCACTACTGCTGATTTCTGCTGTACAGACCCCAACTCTGATGCAAGATGTCAGACACAGGATATTTTGGCTTCACTTTTGCACAAAGTGGAGAAAAATCAATCTTTGTTAACTGATCCAAAAAGACAGAAATAGTTGTCTTTTCTTATTCCTCATTCTGAAGTTAAATAAACTTGATTTAGCTTTACAAACTTCACCAAACATTTGCGTCTCCTGCAGCTTAACGTCCTCCTGTATCTATCTGTGAACTGCACACCTTATGGCTGTCAGAGTCCATCCTCCAGACGGTGATCAGGCTGAACTTTGTAAATACCAAACCTGTCGATATTACTGACAGTATTTGTGCAGCTCCTCCGCACTGTCTCCCCTCTCTCCCCATGTCCATGAAACCACAACAATTAACTCCAGGTCTGCGTGAAATTGAGCGATGATACGGACTTCTGCAGAAAAACACCGGCACCACACAGAGCTCTCATAAACAAAACACGCAGATTACCCAGCAGCCACTGTGGCACTTTGTCTCCTTTACACAAACAAACCTGCAGAAAATAAAACAGAGGCTCAGCTCGTGATGCACGGAGGCAATTTCTGAATTATTACAGCAATTTTCACGCTTTTCTGAGGAGGATAATCCGAGCTGTGCTGCTCCAGTACATGACTCTGTCACTCCCTGAGGAGGAGGGGGGGCAGTTTCCACCTGACACCTCCTAAAGACACCACAGAAGAAGAAAATGTTGTCTCCACTAATGAGGTCACATGTTTAACACAAGGGCAGCTTTACTCCTGTACCTGATGTCACGCTGCAGCTGCTGAGGACGTGTTCACTTAGAATTACTGTAAATTAAGAGAAAAACAAGAACGTAACAAACACAGAGGAAATAGTTTTGATTGGGAGGAAAAAGTAGAGCTGTATTTTTTGTCCCAAGTTGTTATAATGAGAGATCCTATAACGGGCTGTTGTCCACTATCAATATCTGAGAATTAGGAGTAGGGCTGGGCGATAAACCAAAAATTTACCGATATCGAAATTTACTGTTACCATCCTATCTGGTTTGAAGATGCACCTTTAATAAGCTTTTATAGTCAAAAAAGTGGGTTAGAGCAGATAACCAGTATCAACTGAATCAAAATGGCCTGTTGCACAACAGAGTAGGGCTGGACGATAAACCGAAAATTTACTGATACCGAAATTTATGACAATAACTGACATCTTTTGCCCATGTCAGTATATTCAGTGTCAATAAAATAAATATAAGTTGGTTTTGGATGTGTGTAGGTAGGCTATGGTCTCATGTCCCTTTAGGACGCTGTCCTACGTCGGGGACATGACTCCACCCCATCCAGTCTGTAACAAAGAGGGAAAGACAGGTGAGGAGATGGAGGACGGTTCAAAAGTTGGAGCGGCTGGAGTGGCGGCTTAAGTAGACAAAGTTTTTGTGGGTGGGGTTGAGCAACTTGTGGAGTAGTTATCATCCATTTATGGTTATCGAGGTGAATGGCTGCTCAATATATCGTGATATTGATTTGAGGCCATATCGTCTAGCCCTAATTCGGAGTATGAATATCTCTCTAATTCTACTTTTTTTTAATGTTTAAAATGCTTACCATCTCGTAGGGACAGTTTTAAAGTCAGATCATCCTGTTACAGCACACAGTCTATGACTCCACATGCTGTGAACAACCTGGTTTTATGAGGGCTAATGTCAGTAAATTAGATCTTATGCAAATTTGAATATAGAGAGGAAAAGTCTGTAATACTGCTCAAAGAAATAAAATTCACTCACTTATGGACCAATCACAGGGCACTTACATCATTCAAAGTCCGTCTTGTGTCGGGTTAGTACCCACTCTGAAGTAGACTCCTCTAATTGGGCTCCAAGAACTTCATAGTTCCTGTACTGCAGAGGATTATAAAGAAGTTCCTATGGTCCAAACATATTTTGACTGCCTTAAGCTATAAGATATGAAACACATTTGCATAAACTGGAGCACCTGATTTAACTCTCTACCTTAACCAGTCCTCAAAAGTTACATAATTTATGTTTAAATCTGATTATTAAACATTAAACTCTTTGTTCATGGCCTCACGTTCGCTCGACCTACACCGATGGTGAATATTTTACAGGGTGAGAATAAATCTACTCTCCTTTTGAGTGGGCAGAGAGAGAGAAAGTACAAGAGCCCAAGTGGGACAAAATCCAGAACATATAGTCCAAAAAAGAGCCTCCTGTTTGAACAGTGAGTAAGAGTAGAGGAGCCTGAGAGGGACAAACTGAGGAACACTCAGTGCAGATCTGTTGTCTGAGAGAGCAGAGAGTTACAGTACAGCGAGGACACCTTGCCTCATTCTTCTCTCTGAGTTTCTATCGATTTCACTGACTTACGTCTTTCATTCTTCTCTCTGAAAGTTAAACTCTGTCTCATTATTTATGATTTCCCCGAGGAGTCGCTCCAAACACAACAAATAAAGAGGAGGAGAAGAAGAAGAAGTGATGAAACCTAATGACTTTCTCTCCTCTCTCTGTGAACACGAGCCTGAGGGGAGCTTCATCCCGAGGAAGACTCTGATTACTCGCACATCTTCATCACTGTGATCTCTTCATCACTGTCAAACATCTGCTACATACAGGAGGATGGGAACTGAAACAACAGTAATGTATAATGGGAAATGCAGCTGTGTTGGGGTTTTAAACTTTGGAATAAAATCAAAACTATTGTTATCAAGTTTTTTTAGCAACATTCATCCTAAACACCAATTTAACGTCATAAAAGTTGGACAAAAAACAATATATTCAAAATTAAGTTGAAAGACGATCAAATTTACTGGTTGATAACTCCTTACAGCAGCACTGAAGACTTCACCTTGCGTTCTTTCGGGGTCACTCGAAGGAAACCCCATCGCTCTTATATCATCGGATAAAACATAAAAAATCTGACTCACTTTGCGTCTCATGCTTCCCGAACTGTGACCCATAAAAGTGAGTAACTGCAGGAGAGCGGTTTAATAGGCTGCAGATTAAATATTTAACAGAACAGAGACAGTTTGAGGGGAAAGAAGAATAAACTCAAATCAAAAGAAAAGAGATAAACTGATGAGGATAGGATACTGGATTTCTAGGACACCCAAAACAACCGTGGAAGGACTTCTTACGTAAGAAACAGCCTGGTTCCGGTTTAGGAAGCTTCTGGAAAACATGCTGTTCACGTTCTTATCTTAACAGTTAGAGCAGAAAGTGGGTTTGGAGCTCCAGATTTACCCTGTTGCAGGGAGTTTCAGGGATGACAGAGTGTTTCTCAGCGGCAGCAGCAGCAGCAGTGTGGCCGTCAGCGCGGGTTAATTCATCCCTGCGCTCTGCCTGCCAGCTCAGCTACATCAGCACTTTTCTGTGACTCTGGAAATGACTGTTTGCTGTTGGGTAATAAGGAGCCGTCAGACGGAGCCGCGGCTGGAGGATGAAACAGAGCTGAGAGTCTGCAGCTGATCTAAAACCTGTTTAACACACACACACACACACTGTTTCACACACACTTTGAGGGTTTTTAACAATAGACACAAAATAAAGAGGTGAGGCTGACAAGAGTTAAACTCAACATCAGGTTAAATAAAGACCTGAGTTACATCTCTGTCCTACAGGCCAGAACACAAAACTCTAACTCACTGATCCCTAACCTTTCCACTAAAATCACAGACTGTGTTTTAAAAGAACTTCATTTTAGACCCCAAAGTATCTATCAAGGAGAAGTTGTGTTGTCTAGATATTGAACTGTTGCTGTTCAGCCATATTATGTTCTAAGGGAGTTCAGCCATATCATAACAATACTTGTATACATGTATTCTCCATGATACGGTTGCTAGGATACAACATGCTAATACTCAACATTCTGAGGCCCTTAAAATAATGCTACCTTCCAGTTACCTCAGAAGTCGGATGTCTGAGCTGGGAATGATGTTACATCTGAATTGACGGCGCTCCAGTAAACAAGTCAGAAAACCAAGATGGATGCCTACAGTTAGCCGTTGTTAGCTGTTGTGTACAATTGTCAGCTGCTGTTAGCCGTTGTCAACTGTTATTAGCTGTTGTTAGTTGTTGTTGTTGTTAGCTATACCAATTGTAAACAATGCATGACACAGTATTTTAGTGTTACAAACACCATAGCACCGTGTTCACAGTTAGACGTTGGGCAGTACAACATGTACTACTTATTTAATTTCACAAAACAAAACAGAAGCACTAATAAATAATGCATTAGGAGAGCTTTCACCATCACTCTTTACTGTTGATACACTGCGCTGCCATAGTGGATTGTGACATTGTCGTCAAGTCGGGGTTGGCGACTCTCCTAGTCGGAAATCCGACTTCAGGAGGGCGTTCCAGATGAATTTTCAACTTAGAGCTCAGAAATCCCGACTTCTGAGTACAACTGGAACGCAGAATAATACCACAGGATCTTCAACCATGTCACCCTCTCCTCTCACCTGACTGGATTTAAAGTTTGTTCACTGTCCTATCAGAGAAATGAATTTCCCTTTGGAGATAAAAGTTCTTGTCTTTTATCTTCAGCAACATCTGCAGCGGCAGTAAAAACCATCAGGCAGCCACAGGTGGAGAGAAGAGAGCAGGGAGAGGAGCAAGAGGAGGAAGGTGTTTGATGAAGATGTCAAATCATGGGAAATAAGTATCAATCCAGCTAATCCTGATCAGAATCAAGCAGTGGTGCGCCAGATATGATGGCTCTACTCCTCCTACTTCTTTGCTTTTCAGTTTACACACTCATTATCAATAATAGAAAAGTGACTGTTTACTCAATATGAGACTATTTCTTCAAAGATTTAACAATATTCCTGATCTAACTCTCAGGAAACCATCACAACCTGAGATCTATACCCTGATGTGACCTCCTGAAATATCTGCCTAGGCTCCACATCTGAATCAAAAAGGACTTTTTAAACTCCTGACGCACAAAAGAAAAACTGTCAGGGGTTTAGTCAGAGAGACGGAGACTGTTAGACAGACAGAGAGAGAGAGCGTCCTCCCTCAGGACGTGTCATCACAGGGTTTCCAGCGACGTGTCTCTTAATTAAAGCGAACGGGACGATTAAAACCAGCAAACAAAAAGGAGAGGACGAGTCTCTGCAGCCTGAAGAGCAGGAGGACAAAAGAGGACAGATTTACGTCCTCTGAGACCGAACAAGGATCTGCTACTAACAGGAGGAGGAGGAGACGCCCTGGAGATGAGACACACACACACACACCACTCACACACTCCTCTCTGTTTGTCTTATTTTACTCTCTTAAACCTCCCCAACACTATCTTCTTCTCAAGTCAAGATCTAAAAAAAAAGTGTCTGACCAATCAGAGAGCTGCAGCAATTATCTACCCAACATCTCTTCCATGTGGTCAGAGTGATGATTGGCCTGGGGCATGTCCCAGCATGCATTAGGGCACCCTGTTGGTCAGAGAATGACAGACGCTCAGGTTCATCCTGATGGTCGAGTTAGTGAAAGAGTGAAAAACTCCCTCGAGAGACTGAGGAGACGACGCTGGACTCTCACTGTGGATCTGGTTCATCATTTAAAACCACAGACTATGTTTGTTGTTCTGCAGATGTGTTTATATTTTAGAGGACAAAAGCTAAATCAATGGAAAATTATTCAAGATCAATCACAACTCTGTACTCTGAAATATCTGACAAAAGACCCTAAAGTTAAAAAATAGAAAAAAAGTTTTTTTGTTTTATAAAAATGTTTGCTCGTTTTAAAAAGTTGTTAGAGGAATCAAACAGTTAAAAAGTTCTGTAACCCTCAGAAACAGCTGGAGGAACTTCTCCCAACTAATAAAGTGAATTTCTAATATATATATTGGTATATTGAGCAGTTCACCTCGATAACAATAAATAGACGATAATTACTCCAAAAGCTGCTCACTCCCTCCCACATTAACTTCGTCTTATTGTTGTAAACTTTTGGGGATCATCAGAGTCCATGTCACGGGTCTCTTCCACATCTGTAAAGGCTCCATTAATGCTGAACAAGATCTACACGTTTAGAAGCAACACCTGCTGCCATCAAGACAATGACTTTTTCAGGGAACACCTTCATATTTCAGCCAAACCACATCTGCAGGGATAACAACAGCATGGCTCTGTAGTAGAAGAGTCCTGCCTGTAGTCCTGACTTGTCACACATCTGGTGAATCATGACACAAAAGAACTGGACAAAGAAGACCCTGAACTGTTGAGCAACTCAAATCTTCCATCAGGCAAGAATTTGACCCGTTTCACTTTCCAGACTCCAGAAACTGGTCTCCTGGGTTCACTAATGTTTACAGAGTGTTGTTAACAAAAGATGTGATGAAACACAGTGGAAAACATAACCCTTAAACTTTTTAGTTTTGGTTTCATTGCAATATTTTCTATCAAATATCAACTTGAAAGATTTGCAACATCGAATTTTGTTTTTGTCCACATTTAACACAGAGTCCCAGCGTCCCAGACGTTTTTGGAGTTAAGGTTTTAAATTCTCAGATCAAAAGCCACAAAAACTGTTCTTGAAACTCCTCAAAAATAGCCTCCATGTTAAAAGCGTGGTGGCCTCGGAGAGTGTTTGAAATTCATCTCTGCTCTATAATGAGACATGTCCTCAGTCCTCCTTCTGTAAACTCATCAGGGAGCGGCCGTGGTCAGATTCAGGCGTACAGAGGACAGGATTTAGTCACTGCTGAGCCGCAAACTTTCCCACCAACAGAAACCAAACGTTGTCTAATCCCAGGCGGGCTCATTACGGCCTCCTGCAGGGCTGATAATCCGGGGGCAGGTTTAGGGATTCATGCTGGACTAACTGGAGAGCAGATTGGTGTAAAGGACCCGAGTTTTCCCTGCAGACTCTCACACAGATTTACTCCTGCGGGCCGATCGTTCTGTCTAAACAACTTTCTGTCTGAACTCGGTTTGGTCTCTGACTGTCTCTGAGAGGGAAGAAAATTAGAAAAGCAGAATTATAACACGCCAGACTGATGGTAAACACTCGCTGCTTCAAGACTAAGAGAAACACAAACTTAGCTGAAGCTCGTATAAACCTTTTTCATCTGATCTCTTCCATTCTGCAGATTTTCCAAGTCAAAATTTTGCAGACACATACATTTTTAAACTGTCAATGAATGCCACAATTCAGTGATTTTATCCTTTTGACTCCATCTGTGAAAAATCTCCAACAGATCAGCCGACCTGACCTGACCGCACAGACTCTGCATATTTGACCCTTAACCAAAACTCCGATCTTGGCAAAACTCGAACTTTAGCGCGTGTAAATAAAAGGATCAGAGGTCAAACTGCTGCTTCATCCACCTTTATGAAACACTCCTCCTCTTCCTCCTCCTCCACCTCTTCTTTATTTATAAGCAGCTCAATGAATTCAGAACAGAGATTTCTGATTATACAACGATTACTATCCAGGAGCTCATGATAGAGAAAAAAAATCTGATTATGAAATGTTTCAGGGACGCAGGGATGAGTTAAACAGACTGAAAACAGCTTATTATATCGGCTTTAAACAGATTTCTGATTCTTTACCATCCATCACACAGAGCTCATGCATGATTGTATGTTGGTTTAAGGTCCACAACAGTTTGCTGTCTCTGCATAATGCATGCTAACAGACAGAGGTATTCAGCATCCTGATGAAGGACCTGTCTGTTAGCACTTCATAGCTCAAATATGCAGAAGGAAAGTAAAGGGGAAACTCAAACATCCTAAGAAGTCGGAGAAAAGTCAAAACAACTGACTTCAAGTTAAGCCAACACATAGAAAAACTGACTTCATCATGCAAAAAAAACTTATTAGAGGTACGGCTGGGCGATATGGCCTCAAATCAATATCACGATATATGGAGAAGTCCAACATTAACTTTGTCTACTTCAGCTGCCACTTCAGCTGCTACAACTTTTGAACTGTCCTCCATCTCCTCACTTGTCTTTCCCTCTTTGTTACAGACTGGATGGGGTGGAGTCACGTCTCTGATGTAGGACAGTCTTAATGGGACATAAGACCATAGCCTACCTACACACATCCAAAAACCAACTTTTATTTATATATCTTTTTGACACTGAATATATTGACATAGGCAAAATGACATTAGTTATTGTCATAAATTTTGATATCTGTAAATTTTCAGTTTATCGCCAAGCCCTAATTAGAAGGTTACTTGTGTTTTGATTATGACTGTAGGATGGTATAGTTACGTTTTAGCTTTTTCTTGCCATAAACACATTTAATTATAAAGTTTGTGAATGCACCACAAAAATATCAAAATCAGGCTGTTCAAGGGTAAGTAAATGCAGCTTTTAGGTAAATTTAGCAAAAAGTTCAATTTAAACTAAAGGATCAAGAGTGACTTTTCAGGCTATTCACTTTCTACTTTCTGCAGGAGGTAATGGAGGAGCACTATTTGGGAGAAGAAACCATCTGAAAACCATTTTAACCTCAGTGAGTTCAGACCAGGTGAACTGGATTTAACCCGAGCGGGGAGACGCAAAGAGTCACAGCAGCAAAAAAACAGAGGGGTGACTTAATGAATAAAATACAAATATACATAATTAATATCTGCTGGAGAAACACGCAGCTTCAAGAAGTCAAAGTAAACACGAGAGCTGTAAAATCACGTCTGTGTTGAACATTTTCTCAGTTAATGTTCTGACTTAAAATGTTGGAAAAAATCATTTCTGTTGAAGTTATTCAATATTTCCTCTCTATAAACGATAGTCTGACCCATCAGTTCAGTTTCAGGACTGTTTGTGATTCAGAAAATGAATCAATTATGCGTCAAAAACAGAAAAAAAACATAGAGCTACTTAGAAAAATACAACAAAGTAGATTTAACCAAATGAGGACTTAATTGTGGTGTTTAAATCACTGAAAAAGCCAAATTACTGTCTGTTTCAGTTTAATTTAACACTATTTAATAGTTTTTCTAAGTCTTTGAATCCATATATTCATTATCTCAGTGAAGATAAAACAAATTTAAGTATAAACCCCACACATTTGTGTTTTTTAAATCTTAAAACCATCTTATTGTGGTTTAATCCAACTGAACCATGGAGATATCCAGCTTGTGCATTTGCAGTTTCAGTAAAACATGTTTTCCATCCACTTCACATTCCAGTCAGTGTCATTTTTCACCTGTGATTCCCGCTGTTTAACAGCAGGAATACGGGAAATACAGGAGTCATTATTCCAGCTCTCACACTGGTTTATAAGCCAACAAAAACTGCAGCGTAGCTCTCAGGCTCCGGCTGTTTTCGCTGAAATTGTTTTTAATATTTTCCATGGGCTTGTTTAAAGAGGATTCGAGCTTTTACTGATTTTATTTCTGAGAGTGCATGAACAAAGTGCTCAGCCCAAACAGATGTAAATACAGTTTAAACCTCAAATTAAAGCTTCACCATAACCCTCTAAAACAAGAAACTAAAAAAGTGGGAATTTGATTTACAGTCATAATAAAGAATAAAATCATCCTGAAGTTTTTGCCACAACTTTTCAGCACTAAAAGTATAAGACAAAATATTTTTGTGTTTACGAAAACAGCTTTAAGAGAAGAACAGTACAACATACTGTCTTACTGTAAAATCCACTCGCTCCGTGAGACCGACAGCTTCCCTCTGTTAAAACTCAGTGTTTCTGTGACAACCAGGAGCTTTTCTATCCCACAGAGAAGATCTGTGTATCTGTCCAGATACAACTTCTTAAAAACAAAGGTAATCTGTGACGATTTATAGCTCAATTTCACTGACATGGTGTGATTTCTGATGTTAGCTGACTATGCTAATTGAATATGACCATCTTTCTTGTGGTTTGTTGACAAATCAGAGGCTGTATCTGCAATCAGCTGACACTTAAAAGGCCCAATCAGAAGCAGGGATACCAGGAGTAAATGATAAGAGAAATGTTGAAGAGTTGGATGAATAATGGAATAATAATATTTCATCAATAACTATCCCCAGTTACCCTGCTATGGGATGTGAGGACAGCACTTTGGATAAGGATAAACTAAATACTAAATCTTGAATCTTAAGACACATATATCTTGAGGGTGTTTTAAACTCTTTGAAGGGTTTTATTTCATGCATTTCTCTCTTTACGCTCACAAACATAATAGTTGTAAATAATGTGCATTTTCCAGCTTGAGGATTTAGGACAAACTCCGGTAATCCTTGCATTTGCACAAACAAAGTAGAGGATCTCCAATATTATAGAAACAGGACTTTTAGAGGAGATTATGAACAAAAAAGAAGATTAAAAACATCTCTTTTCCTTCACAGACTTACAAATGTTGCACGATTTCATGGCAGTTTACTTTCATGGAATTAAATCGTCTTTATACGGAGTCTTGTGTTGTTGTGACGACATGACTGAGAGCTTTTGGACACAAGAGAAACTTTTACACAGGTGAGTTTGGATCATTTAGGGAGACGTGAAACAGAAATGCGACCAAAACACACAGATTGATCGTCAAGTTTGGAACTATTTAGAACAGGGGTCGGCAACCCGCGGCTCTGGAGCCGCATGCGGCTCTTTCTTCCCTAAGCTGCGGCTCCCAATGGATTTGGAAAATAAATAATAAATACTTAATTGCATTTTATTTTATTTTATTTTATTTTTTTTTTTTTTTGTAATTCTAAATTCAAAGATTATAATGCTCTTGTAACATTAAATAAACTATTAAGGCTGCAACAACGAATCAATTAAGTAGATTCGTCGTGACGAAAAAATCCGTTGCCAACAAATTCTGTAATCGATTCGTCGGGTCTTTATATATGTCCATGGACACCGGCGTGTAAACATCAGCAGGACGCACAGAAAAGAAACAGCCATGGCCGAGGCAGCGGCTGAGAAAAACATGGACACAACCCAACCCAAATCCCGACCTAAAACATCAGTGGTGTGGGAAAACTTCACCAAGACTGAAAAGGAAGGCGTTCAGTGCAACATTTGCAAAGACCGTTTTGCATGGCTCGGGAGTACATCGATGATGCGTGAGCACAAGTCTCATGCATTCAGCGTATGACACACGCATTCCCACTTGTTCACACGCTCACACACCACACATTGTATTTCTCACGCATTTAAATGAACACAGAAGCTGCGTTTCCATTACCCATAGATTTGCGCAAAACGTAAATATCGCAATAGAAAACTGGTAATGGAAACACCTACATTTCGAAAAACCTCCCAAATATCGCTAAAAAGTTTTTACGCTCTCATGAGGTGGTTTTTCAGAAGTGTCGATATAGAAGTATATCGCAAAAGTGTAATGGAAACACTTTTCTCGCAATTCTCTGTCACCGGACGTGACGTAGCGGGTCAAGTGACCAGTTCATTTCAAGCGTAGATGGCACGGTTTATGTGGACGGGGGAGGAGACGGACTTATTTCTGAAGTTTTGAATTGTATTTGTATTTTTCTTAAGTTTTGAATCCACAATTCGTCTGTGAATTCCTCATTAACGATCCTCTCCCAGAAATCGCTCATCCGTGTTCGCTCCCATACATACGAGCTTTGCCTTTGAATTATCACCCGCTGCCTTCGTCTTCTGATGACAGCAGCGGCAACTGCAGTAATGGTCACAGAAATAGCTGCTCCAAAACGAAAAATGTTTTGTGTCTCGTCCATGTTGGTGTGCAAAAAGGCTTAAGGAATACGAGGTCGCACGGGCAGGAAGTTTACCTCGTTGCTAGGCAACGGCCATTTAAACACGGCTCGCGAGAGGCAGACGGCTCGCTTATGCACTGAACACCATTCAATGGAAACACCCGCAAATCGCAATTGTACTTTGTCGAAATTTGATAAACATCGCTTTTATTTTGCGAAAAAATGTAATGGAAACGCAGCTAGTGATGTCCACTAAGTTGCACTTCTTCAACTATGGAACTGGGGGAAACCAACTGAGTTCCTCCGAGAGTTCAGAAGCTGCGTGCCACGCACAAGCCAATCAAATAAAGTATATCTACTGAACAGCCAATCAAAAAGCAGCATTGCTGTATCCGGGTAGATTTTGATATCTTGCGGTTTAACTACAGAAGAAGACAGACACTCGCCGAAATAGTTCATTTATTTCATAAATGCAACTCGCTACAGTTTTTTATATACTTTGTATAAAGGTAAAAAAAAAAGATATATGCAATGTTATTTTATGTTCATTTTAGATGTCAAAGAGGTTTTGTGGCTCCCTGTGTTTTCTTTTCTGTGGGAAACTGGTCCAAGTGGCTCTTTGAGTGTTTAAGGTTGCCGACCCCTGATTTAGAAGAATTTTATCACAAAGTTTGAGAAAATTTGCCGGTTTGTACTGGAGAGACTTTTCTGAAAGCTTATTAAAAACCGTTTTCTTGCTCACCCAACCCTTTTACTTCAAACTGTCCAATCACATAAGCTTTCTGTTAGGTCAGACCACTCTCACGCCTGCCATGCTTTCGTTAGATCCCAATCTCTGTGTAGACTTAATAAAAGCAGCTTCTCCTTCATTACTCCTCCACTTTGAACTTTCCCTGTGCTTTAGTGCTCTTTAAATAACACTCACACTTTGTATATACATTAAAAATACACTGGCTGTATATACGTCCCTTTGTGCAACTTTAAAAGCCCCTTAATGAGCTTCACACACACTGAATGTGTAAGAAGCAGGAGTCGCCATGGTTACAGATGCTGCCTTTACTTCTGTCATTGGAAATCTTTCAAGTCAAGTAGCTGCGGCCTTTGTTTCCACTTAACTGTGAGACCAGAGATGGAACAAAATATAACATTTAAGCACTCGACTCCACCAAAGAGATTCAGCTGAAAACACTCAGATCGACCTGATCTGCTTTAAGAAATGGAAAACGGCAGCAACACAGTAAACGCAGCCGAAACGCAGGTTACAAAAAGATGGAAAAAAACAACTTCTCTCCACCTGACGAGTCGGTAAAATCTGACACCATGATGCAACAGAGAGCAAGTGAAGCAGTGTGAAAGAGAATCAATGAATCTATTCTTCATCTGAGGGTGAAAAACATGGAGAAAAGGTGGATGATATAGATGTTAGAGTGCAGGTGAAACTTCAAATTTGATCTGAGGAAAGAGAAACAGCAGGACTGATCATAGATGATGCTTACAGATGACGTTTACAACCTCTGAGTGGTTTTAGACGTCAAAAAACAAAACCCAGATTCTTTTAACAATCTGTAAGAACAACAATCTGAGCCTGTCAGCTGTGAAATAAAGCAGGACGCAGTTTGATGATGTGCACCTAACCCTAAGTTCAAAGATAAATGTTTGTGTTCGAAGAGCGACGAGATTTTGATTAATCAGTGTTGGACATTCTTTATGGAAATCATGGACGCTGTATCCTGAGCCTAAGAGAGTCACAGTTCAATCCCCTAACCCTAAACAGGGCTTGGCACATGCGCTCCAGAGTTAAAAAAGTAAGGAGCACACAAAGAACTTTAGGGGAACAATGAAAATTGATTAAATAATGTTTGTCTTATTGGTCGACATAAGTACTATTATTTGACATCAATTTTGGGTCAATTGGTCACATGACGTGGAAGCTATTGGAGAAAATGTTCAAAATTTGCCTTTAAATTTAACACAAATTTTTAGAGGGCATATTAGGGAAATAAAGAGGTGTGTCTTATTGTCCAATTTAAGTACTATTATTTGAAATCAATTTTAGGTCAATTGGTCACATGACATGGAAGCTATTAAAGGAAAACAGCCTTTTCTGAGAACATCAACCGGTAATTTATTGACGGTCCCTTATTCAACTCCCAACAACGATAGCAAGAGTGCTGAGTAGATTTAACCACGCTGCTGTTGCTTTTCCCGGTTATGGAGAGTGAGAAGACACCGGTAGTGAATGTCCGTCAAACATTGAACCTAAAACTAACTTCACCGCCGTATTTACATGAAAAAACATTTGTTGCCTCGGCTGATTTTTTGTATGCGAACATGTGCCACTAAATACGTTTTACAATTCTCACACATCTATTTTAAGTCGCAAATGCGAGTGAAACGGTCGCACTGTCAAGCTCTGCTAAACCTAACCCAACCTAAGTGTCCACGACATGGGTAACATCACTGCATCCAGATACTAAGGGGAAGTGAAAAACTTCCCAGTGGGCTAAGGATTCTTGATTTCATACTCTTTCTGAAAAACATTGAAAACCAGAGTGTTGGTAAAAGAGGAGCTGACATAGTGTTGAAACTTGATCCTGTTTTAAAATTAGACTATATTCTCCTAAAACAGGATAACTGCTCAGTTTCAACACTTGAGATCTTGTCTTTGTAAATACATGGTTAATGGGACTTGACTGTTTTAATGAGTATTTTCCAAATTGTCATCGGGGTTGTGATTCTGGTTGGTTAAACCACAATGAAAGGGCTGAAAAACTGGCACTGAACTGTCAAAAACTGTTGCAATGAATCTCAGAAAGACAAAAGATGGATTGAATAGTAGCTGTTATTGTGCAAAAATAGACTCTGAGAAGGAAAACTGCAGGAACACTCATTAAAACAAGATGTTCCTGGTTTGTTATTATGATTTTTCTGTCCACTGAGTGCTGTTAAACTGTGTCAGTCACGCCAAACACAACTCCATAATGCCATTAACAGTGGGTTTAACCATGAAAACATTAACTTTTCTACAAAGCTTTAGTCAGATACTGAAGTTGTTTTAACAACTGTTCTTATTCTGGGTTGAAAAAGAAAATTTACAAAAGGAGAAAAGAGGATGATATGAACGTGACAGTGCAGACAGAGACTAAATAATGAACCATGGAGGAGTACATTTGCTGAAGCATTCATGAATCCAACTTAATCTTTCTTTTTAATCCTTTATTTATACAAACATCTATTATCCTAATGGTGTCTTATCAAAACACACTGACTAAAAACCTTGGAAACAGAAGACCAAAAAGAAGTCTTAACCAACAATTCCACCTTCAAAAAGAAATCAAACCGGCATCCTCTGGCCTCAAACCGTGACCATGAAACAACCTTTCTTCCAGCCGGCAGACATTTTCTCAATTCTGCTAATAAACAACTTGTGCAGCTATCTAATTATTCCTGCCTCCAACCCATGAACGCTCGCTCTGTGAGCAGCTTAAAGTTCAAGGCGAGTTGATTTCTGGCCCCGGCTAATGTTGACACAGGCTCAAAGTGTGCTCACTTTTTCGCCAGGATCATCATTAAATCTCTGTTGTGGATGTTTAATTTAAGACTCATTTGGTTTAGGAGGGAAGCAGCGGTTCATGTGTGCGCAGAGGGAAAAGGAAAGGTCACATTTTGCAGCGAAAGAAGAAGAAAAAAAAAGGAGTGTAGTGGGTTGTGATTAAAAACATCGCCGTGCTCTGCTGACTGGGCTTTCTGTCTCTCTTTTCCCTGCCACCCCTCCCCCCCTCCAAACCAAAAACAGCATCAAAGCAATCAAAATGGTAATGTTAGGCATGAATGGGGCCCATCCCCCCCTCCTCTTCCTCCTCCTCCTTCTCCTGCACGAAACTCTGCAGACTTTTCTCCTCTCCATGTTAGCGGGGGGGGGAGGAAACCACCCCCCTTTTCTCTCTCAAAATGGAAGCTTCCACTACCAAACTGAAAAGAGAAGAAGAAGAGGAAAGAAAATACACAAACACAAAACAACAAGGGTTTAAATTCAGGAGTCACGCCAAAACCTCAAGCAGAAAGTAGAACAACAGCTGCATGGCGCTTTTGTCTTTTTATGCGGCTTTGGAGCAAGTTTAATGGGCTTAACTGCAACAAATCAAGAGCTTTCAAACTGGGAAAAGATCGATTCAAGTCAGGAGGAGGGGAAACAGTTAAATTAAACATAATCAAAAGAGTGCAGGGATAAGAATCAACCTAATTTTAGTTGAATTCCTCCTTTACAGATGAGGGGAAGTTGTGTGTGAGTGTGTGCTGCCGGGCTGGGACCAAGCGGCAGGGCGGTGCATCAGCAGCAGCAGCATCAGAGCAGAGCTGGAGGAGCTGGCCGAGGTGCTGAACACACCGCCGCCTCGCTCAGCATCCATTAGACCTGCTGCTGCTGCTGCTAAAGCTAATGCTAACAGGCTAACAGCTTAGCTTCAAGAAGTTAATGTAGGACACTGTTTGCTGGCCATAAAGAGAGTGAAAAAGTGAAAGTGTAAGGGTGGGCCAATCAGAGGCAGTGCTGCCGTCATGTGACCAACAAGAAATAATACCACCAGACATAGTGATGAGAATTTAGCTTCCTTCTGGTGATCAGATTTTTTGGCTCAGCCCAGAAACAAAAAACATTTACTTGAATAATCAGACAAATTTAACTTATATTAAAATGGTTTTTAGTGTGTGAGCACAACCATCACAAAAACTATTTACTATTATTGTTTTAAAGCATTCTCATCCAAAATAAAAGAGTTAGAAACTATCTATGTCACAAAAATCAAACTTTAAAAACAGATTAATCAAAAGTGAATACATAAAACATTACTATTCATCATCACTGATTGGTTATTATAAGAAATACACATTCAGGACTCTTTATTATTCAATATCTTTAACTATCTGGATATGTTGAAGATTAAATACTGTATAAACCACAAAAAAACAACTCTCTTTATGAACCCGAGTGCTACAGCAAATGACAACTAAAAGAGAAAACCTCTCTACAACTACACTTTTCAAAAATGTAGTTTTAAAAACTAAAAACTAATTGATGCAGATTCTTTTAATAGCTTTGTGCAGTTGAATAAAAGCAACACGGTATTTTTATAAACTTAAAGATAGTATTTATTTTTCCAATGTGCTTATTTTTCAAGAGGTTTAACTGTAACTTTTATCATCAAATGATAAAAATCACCCTAAGTCTTCCAAAAGTTGTATTTGCTGCTATTTCTATCAGAGGTCCACACCAGGTACTTAACCCCAATCTTCATCCATGTCTCTGTAACCGTCTCTCAAGTTACCCCTCAAAATACCTTAACTGATAGTTTAAGCACTTTGCTCCAAGTTTCATAACCCATCCTATCAAAAACTACTTACAAGAAGTGGGACAAGACCAGTCTGATCGCAGTTATATCTCTTTGACTCAACTCTGACCCTAACCCATGACAAAAAGTGTGACTCTGATGAGTCCACGTGCTTTAAAATGTGCCTCATAGCTCTTTTTATGTGACGATTTCATCAAACTGGCAAAAATGGCAAGATTCAAACCTCCAAGAAGTGATAAGACAAAGCAGGCCTTTAGTTTGATGACAGTATTTTTCAACTACACATCTCACTAAGTTTAGGAGGACAAATTACAACCCAAGTTAGTAAATTATAGACAGTTTTCGAGAAAATATTTGTAGTTTCAGCATCATGTTTAACCAGGTTCTAATTTCCACAATAAAGAGGTAAAAAAGGAAAGACTTTCACCCCTCACTTACTCAACAGAGTCAGTACAAAGATCCGGCTCGTCCACGAACAACCCATCACTACACCAGACTAACTATAAAGTAACAAAACCGTTGTGTTAAACCGTGTCAAAGACGTTAAAAAGCAACTCTATGGCGACATTAACGTCTAATTTAATCGCCGAAACTTCAACTTTGCCTGAAGTGTTAGCCGGATAGTTAGCTCGGCTGCCCCTTTATGAGCATCCTCCGTTACTCTCCAGAAACATGTCGACCTACTCAAAATGGACGCTAAAATTTTTCAACATTACACAACTTTGAGTGCAGTGAGACCCAACAGGAGACAATAAAAGCGGGGCTTTAGCACTTAACATCCACCGTGTTGCTGTGGTTAGTCATACCGGGAGAAAAACGTCAACAATGGGGGAAGAAATGTCAAAAAACAATCGCTTAGGGCTGTTTTTTCTTGTTTGACTGTCGTACAGCTCTCCATCCTACTATTTAACAAAACATTCCCGGCAGAAATGAGCTTCTGTGCCGACACAACTTCACCGTTAATATGATTTTAAAAATTTCAGCAAAGTCACGATGAATTGAGCCAACAGATATTATAATACGAGGCTTTATGCTGAGAGATTTATGCTGATAAAGTTTCACACACTCCCCAATTCGCCTGTAAGGAAGCTGAGAAGAGATATATACGTGAGGATTACCTGTAGGTGCTGCTTCATCTGTGCAACTAGTTTGTAAAGGATGGAGGAGTGAAATGGGAATTACAAAGTTAGTATGTAAGGGAGGAACAAAGCGGGGATGATAGCCACAGAGACTCTTGCACCTCATAAATATGCAGGTCGCGTCCTGATCGCCACACAGCACCAGCACCGCATTATCACTCACATTTCTTGTTGCTCGCCGAAAAGAGCTACGACAATAAGCTAAAAGTAAGTGTGAAAAGTGCACTCAATAAGACTTGGAAGTGTATGTTGTGTCGGCAGCAGACATGTCGCATAGTTCTCCTCTCGCAGTGTTCACCTCTCATCCCTTCACATCTCTCCCCTCCTGCTCTCACTCTCTCACAACACCAATAAGCGTATAACATACACGATGTTTCATTTACCTGATGACATTGGATTTCTACTTTCAACGCCTCTTGCAGGCCTTGTAGTTCCATGTTCCGACCAGAAAAGCACTTTTCTCCCACTTTCGACGCGGCCGAGACGAAGTTTAAGTGAATTAAAGATTTTTTAAAGCGACAATAACAATTGAAAGAAGAACTACTCAGGCTGCAAAGCAAGTTCTCGCTTCTTCTTTTACAGGCTAGGACTCATCACCCACTTTCCGCCCGTCTTCAAAAGTGCTCCAAACCCGGCACAAAGAGCCCAGGCCCCGGTCGAGTCCTCTCCGGATTTCGGCCGAACGTCGACGGGTCCAGCTGGGAAGCGGGTTAGCTTTTCTTTCGATAATTTTAAGTTGAAAAACGGGGACTATATTTTGTCCGAGTCCGCGGCTTGATTTCACTTTGCCTGGGGAAAAGTTGCGCTTCGGCTGTCAATGGTAATTCTGAAGTTCCCGGATGGAGCAGAGAGAGCTGAACCCCCCCACACACTACGCATGCGCTGTGGGCAAGAGGAGGGGGGGCACGGCTGCTCAAGACAGTGAAAAGTATCTCTGATAAAACTCAATATTTTCACATTATAAACGACTCAGTCATAAAACTAACCCGCGATGGGGGAAATTTAAAACAATATTTCTCGTGAAAATCACTTTTTTATTCTTCTACTCATCATTAAAGGAGTCAAGAACATAAATTGACAACAAAAAAACATTCATTTACAGCTGTGATTCTCATCACTTCCCTGAAAAGCATTGTTGTAATTGTAAGAAACATACGTATAAATGTAATGCCAGTATTATTCCTCTTATGGTAATCCTATTTTGAATAAAAAGTGCAACATACATTCAAAACACTCAATATTTTTACACTTGTGTTCGCTCAGGTTCTATTTTAACTTTGTAAAGTGCTTTAAAATGCTCATTAAATGCAGGCTGCTTTACAAATAAATATGAAGAAAAATAACTAATAATCACTATATTCAAAATCTATATTTCAATCTGGTTCTTAGATAGTTAGATTCATTTTATATGTGTTCCTTTACTGAACTTTTTACTTGATTTAACAAGGACTTACATACTTTACAGCAATTTTAGTAAGGCTACTTTAAACTTGAAAGTAGAAAATATAGTCAACACATTGCATATTATTATACATTTTAAAGGAATGATTTGATAAATCTTAGCACATAGAAGATTGAAAGTAATCGTCAGAGAAACAACTAACAAATACAATGTACTTTAAAGATATCAAAAATATCGCTGGTGCATTTTTCAGACCTTGAACTAAAGTAAAAGTTCCAAAGGTCAAACTACTTTTTCTGTACTTGCAATTAATTGTGTATCAGTGACTACTTTACCTTATAATTTAAGTTCTTGACATATAACTGTAAAAATACAAACTCTGACACAACCTGATTTATTTTATTTGACTAGAACTGAAACTGTGAACATATTATACAGGAGTTAACACTTTGCCGGTTACGGTAAACACTATGTTGTTTTTGTTAAGCGTAGATTTTTCATTGTCTATGTAGCCTTGCAGCACCACAGTGTCAGTATAGGTTGTCAGACTATTGGGTGAAAACAGACCCATAGGGATATATATATATATTTACCCCAAAGTAGCATACTGCTTGATTTATGTTAATTGCTGACCAAGAAATAAAAAAGTACAGGCCAAATACCAAATATTGGCATCAGTAATCGGCCTGCCAGATCAAAAGTCAACCCTAAAGAATAGTCTGATTTATGATAACCCACTCTTTATCCAATATTAATTTCATTTATATAACTTAACTTTGCATCAAAGTTACACGCTTCTTATCAAAGTTTATATAAATTCAGCAAGTTTCAAACAGTAGGAAGAACCTTAAAGGGCCTGGCATGTAAAAACATGATGGAAACCATCTTAAACATGAATATTGGATGAAAACAGACCCATAGGGAAATACATACATTTACCCCAAAGTAGCATACTGCTTGGTTTGTGTTCATTGGTGACCAAGAAAAAAAAGTGCAGGCCAAATACAAAATATTGGCATCAGTAATCAGCCTGCCAGATCAAAAGTCAATCCTACAGAATAGATTAGTCTGACTAATGATAACCCACTGTTTGTCCAATATTAATTTTATTTATATAACTTAACTTTGCAACAAGGTTACACGCCTCTTATCAAAGTTTATATCATTTTAGCAAGTTTCAAACTGTGAGAAGAACCTTAAAGGGCCTGGCATGTGAAAACATGATGGAAACCATCTTAAACATGAACAAAAATGGCAGCACTAACATTTCCAGCAACAATCATAACTAACTGAGGGAGACAAGGAGGGAGTCGAGGATCAAACTCCAGCAAATGTGTCGATTAAGAGAAAGCCTCAAACCAAACGTGTTCAGCTGTAGTTTCTACGCCTCTTCAAACACAAAGAGGCCAAATGTGGCAGTTTGTTCTCAGAAATCCTGCCTCTTCTCCCCCATTCCTGACAGGCTGACCCCCCCCGTGCACCTCCTCCTTCACCCCTTCCTCCTCCTCTCCTCCCGCCCTTTTCACACATGCTGACACGCTATTGGTCCAAACTGCTGGTTCAGTCCGCGAGGGACGACAAGGGGTGGGAAGACGAGCCAATCAGGAGTTGCGTACGCGGAGGGACAGAGGGGTGGACCAATGAGCAGTCGCTGGGACTCATGGGGGGCGGGAATGGACGCTGGAGTATGTGATCTGAGAGTTGATGAAGAGCAGAGATGGCAGTTAGTGTTTGAATTTATTGTTAACTCGACAGCGATAAACTTGAACACAGTTTGAAGCACATATTTTCACAGCATTCATAGAAAACGACGGTTATATTTGTGTTTTTGACGACACAAGTTGGGTTTTTTTAGCGGTGGGGAGAGAAAGTAGCACCATGGACAGAGGCAGCACTCCCAAACGGACATTACTATTCTCTCGATGCTGCTCCGGAGCTTTTTATTCATGTCGACGGCCTCATCAGCCCTGAGCTACACTCTACTGTGTTTATTAATGCAACACTAACATCCAAGGAGACTTCCCCCCGGCCAACATCCATAAATACAGGCCGCTAGTCTGCATAAAAGCCTAGAGTAAAGTTGTAGTTTGTAGTCAGCTTGCAGCGTTGACAGAAAGTAGTCCCCCTCCTCCCTCCGCTGCCTGCCCACTGTAACCCTCCCCCACCCCGGCCAGGTCTGCTGCTACATCAGCTGCTACTTTTCATTTCACGGCTCAGCGGTGAAACTCTTGAAGTCTTCTCTGTGGTGGCTTTCCATCCCAAGCTGTTCCCGGTTTTTAAGCTGTGCTCGCTCTGAAAGGACACAGACTTCAGATTTACTGTATCTGCTGCTTTTCCTCTGTTTGTGTTCCTGGGTACTTTTTATCTTTCTGGCTCTGTGTCTTGCAGGGCTGCAGCCAGGATTATAAAAAACACTGAGGTCAATTCAGGTCTCCACAATGCCCCCTCCCTCACCCCCTGCAGCTTATTTTTCTAATTATTTGGATTAAATGCATTGTTCAATCTCATAATCTGTCAGTTTTATTTGACAACACTCAGTAGGTTTCTATCCATCCACATGTTTTCATGCTGATTTTTCATGTATTTTAAGTGCACTGTTGGAGGCCAAATAAAATTACTTTAAAATATAAACATAAATATATACTTACAAAAACTGAGAGTGCAAATAATATCCACACTAATCTCACCACTGGATTGGATCTGTATTACTATGTTCATCACTTATATACATACTTACCCCTCATTTTAATTATATTGTGTGCGGTATCTCATCAATTTAGAGGACTTTTAATCTAAGGCCATAGTAATACAACCCTTTATTTAATCAGAGTTGGGACATTGGTTGAATTTTTAAGAAAAAAATAAACTTTTTTTGATGATTTGCAAACCATTTAAAGCCTATTCAACTAGAGACAATGCAAACATAACATTTAAAAAGTTAAGACTGAAAATTAATTGTTTTTTTTTATTATTGCTCATTTTAAATTTGGTGCCAACAACATGTTTCTAAAAAGTTGTTAGTGGAACAACCAAACGAGTCAAGATACAGCTGGAGGAACATCTCCCAACAGAAGGAAGGACTGGAAGAGTGTCACCACTATGTGAGAGACTATGTGAGTTAATAGTTCAACAGTATTAGAATAATGTTCCTGAATTTGAGGATTTCATCATCTACAGAACATAATATGATTGAAAGATTCAGAGAATCTGAAGAAATTTCTGTACAGAAGGGACAAGGACCAAAATCAAGACTGGATGGTTCACATCTTCAGGCCCTCTGTCAGCACTGTATTAAAAAATGAAAAGACTCTGTAGTTGAAATCACTGCACTGACTCAAAATCACTTTTAAAACCATTGTGTGTGAACAACTCATCATCCACAAACTCAAAACTGTCCCATGGTATGATAAACCCAAGTTTGATAGTCTTTTTGGAAATCATCTTCCCTCTTAAAGGACACCAGATATGAACATGATCAAGAAACACCAGACTTCTCTGGACCTGAGCCAATTTAAGATAGACTGAAGCGGAAGTCCTTCTGCTTAACGGGCCTGCCTGCAGTCTTGAATTGTCACCCATTGAAAACATTTGGTGCATCATGGCACCAAAAATAGGAAAGAAAGGAGATCCTGAACTGTTGAGCAGCTGAAATCCTCTATCAGGCAAGAATGGTGCAATATTTCACTTTTCAGACTCCAGAAACTGGTCTCCTGGGTTCACTATCCTTTACAGAGAGTTGGTTAAGAAGAGCTGATGTGGACTGGATCTGGGAAGTAACTTCAGTAATCAATCAATCATTTAGAGTGGAATAAAAGAAAAAATATTAGGCCAAAATGATGGGAATTGAAACATCAATAGATCCATGAATATGTGTCTTATTTGTCCAGCAGGAAAGTTATTTTCTGTAAATCCGATTCTTTTCAATTATAATCCAAACTGAAGTACAGTCAGAGAAATACACACAGAAACTCAGACAGATTTGCTATCAGCTGGACGTTCGTTTTATCTTATAGTCCACCTCGGGCCAGGCCTGGACCGGCCATCTGTCAATACTGGCAGAATGGAGCAAAGCCTGGACCAGGCCTGGGTCTGCATTCACAGCAAATGTTTAACGAGGAATATTTGGAAAACAAATAACCTACAGCAGGCTGCTCCTCCGGCTGCAGGGCTTTTATTTTGGTGGTTTATGAGGGAGGCGTGATATGACTGGAACAGAAGACTGAGAATCACTAATATCACTGACAGCAGCAACAAGAAATGGAGTGAGCTGACAAACATTATTTTTTACAGCTTCATAACAAACTCTTCTCTCTTGAAACTTTGCGATCATAAGGACTTGACAGAAAACCAGAGGCTGATTCATTTTTTGCGCTGTTAGTAGAAAAAGTACGAGTTGAAAAAAATAGTTTTTCATCAGAATTTCTACAGAGCTCTGCTGTTAAATAACAGCTCAGAGGATAATGTATGCATAATGATAAGGTCTTCATATCAGCACTGTTAGAGTTGTTGTCAGTCACTTTATTTAAGTAATACTGTGCCAAAATGTTCAAATCCTTCATTTACAGTCTATAGGCAGACAAAATGTAATTTTTTTGAATTTTTCCAGCCAGCTTCTTTGTAAAACTTCCACAAGAATTCAGGGCAAGTTGATGTAAGATTGCAGAAAGTAAAAGTTTGGAAATTTCAGGGGTGGGGAAGGTAATTAAGATTTCATCGTGTAACTGGGGCAAAATTACAAAGATGGCATTTGCTTATGCAGAAACATATTTAATAGAAAACACCCAATTATAACAGTGTTTTTCACTCCTGTACATGGAAACAGAGTTTGGGCGGCTGAATGTACAAACTTTTGAAACCGGACTTGAGAGTGCCCTCCTGTCGCCATGTAAACTGACAAAAGGACTCACACAGATCCTGAAAAGTCCCTTCTTAACATGTGTGAATATACATGTTTTTTTTTTTTGTTTTTTTTTTTTGTGCTTGTGTTCTGTCACACAATCATCCTAAGTATTCTACTGTGAGACATCAGACTAATTAAAATCACAAAAAAAGAGAAAAATATCTGTGTGGCTATTCTAAACAAAATATGCCTGAGGCCACACGTCAACTCTGAGGTCAGCCATCCCTCCTGCGGTATCGACTATTCAACCAGTTGACAATTAACCACAACACAGACAAATGGTTTAAATAGTCAGCTAATTGACTAGTCGATTAGTTAGTGAAATCCCTGCATCATGACTGAGCGTTCCAGTTATCAGTCGAAAACCAAGTTGAAAAAATGCCTCCAAATTATAAAGTGGTGCTTTATTTACACACAGACACCAGCTGAGCAGAGAGAGAGGCCAACAAAGCAAATATGTCCTGTAATCTGATGTTATTTGGTAATTAACGCGGCTCACTTGCTGCCAACGTGACTTGTGAGAACATTTTTTATATTTTAATGCAGCAGGGGCTCAAATAAAGAGCTGTGCAGGCATAAGCCCTTGCACCTCAGGCCCTGGTGGAAATACAGACAGCAGTGGGTCACCGGAGGGGAGTTTCTGGAACCAAAAGCTCTTGGTACTCTCGGTGGAAAAGCACTATTAGTCTACCATATTTGATGCTAAGTTACTCAAGACATCATTATCTTTGGAATACCATTATCTAAGCCTCAATTTATTAAGTTAGCACACTACAAAACAGTACTTGAAGTCATTAACACTTATATAACTAACTTTTATATAGCAACTCGAAGCATGTGTCAAAAGTAAACACTATGTTTTTGCTTAACATGGATGAAATTCAAAATAAAGAAGAATACAGCATCGATACAAGTTGATAAAACTTTGAATGAAGTCACTTTTTTGGAGCTTTCAATCATTTGATAAAGTCTTTGTCAATTTTTGAGCATTTTCAACCCTTAAAAAAGTGATTTTTGCTCTATTTTTTAAGAAAATCAGCTTCCTCTCACACTACAGTCCCTGTAAAAGTATTCTGAAAGGTTGGAGGGAGAAAGAAGAGCTCTGATTGTCCTTGTTGACGAGCTCTCAGTGAGCGATGATAAGCCTCAGGGTTAGAGATTAGACGGTTTTTCATTATTTGTGTTGAATATCTTCTGTTATACGCTGCGGTATAATTAAGAGCAGATAGAAAAGCACATAGCCTGAAAGATGAATTAATATGAGAGGGAAAAGAGAGAGTAGTAATCTTCAATTTCAGCCATTAACCTTCTCATTATTTCAGCAGAGAGCTTCATTCACCTGCCGGCCTCACTCCATGTGTTTCAGCGTTGGTATGAAGCAGCGTGGTCCAAACAGCAGCAGCAGTAGGATGACAGCTAAAGGTGGTCTAATATCAGCACAGACACTCCATCACTTTAGTGCCTCTCTGACATTTTTATTTGGTCTTCCAAATGGACGGTTGGCAAACAGCGACGCGGCACACAGACAGAGCAGGAGCCAAGAACATATCCTTCACTGCTGATGAAAAGATACTCTGACATTTGTAAGGGTTGTGTCTTTGGGCTTATGAGAGGTTGACATAAATGTCAGCCAAGTGCAGTCAGAGAGCTGGCAGCAGACATCAGAGCGGGGGAATAAACATACAGCATTCCTCTACCTACAAAGACACGGGCTGATATCTGTCTGTACGCTGGGTTTAAAATAGTCACAGATAAATAAATTAAATCAGAGTTTTCATGAACTTCAGTAAGGCAAACAAGAGGCCAACCCTGTCATCAGGGCACATCAGACACAGTGCATAAGTCAATACATATCTCACTGCATTAACACAAGATAATAAATTAAGAAGTGTATTGGAGGTGGTCAATAAGTTTTTGAGATATTGTTGTCTTGGACCATGTATCTGATGTTGTGTTTTATACATTTGTTTCATGTTGAATCTTATTATATATCATATTGTGTCATATCACCTGGTAGGGTCCTACCATTTCCTATCATATTGTTTCCTGTTGTAGTTGTATCCTGTTGTTTCACATTGTATCATATTGCACTTTATCAAGTAGTATCATGTCACTGTGTATTGCATCAGATCAATTATAGATATTGTATTTAAATGAATCTAGTAGTACCGTATCACATCATATCATATCATATCATATTAGATCATGTCATATCCTATTATATCATATCATATCATATCATATCATTTCATGTCATATCATGTCATATTATATCATATCATCTCATGTCATATCATATCATATCATGTTATATCATGCCATGTCATATCATATCACATCATATCATATCATATCATATCATACATCATGTCATATCATATCCTATGTCATATTATATCAAATTATATCATACGTCATTTCATGTCATATCATGCATCATTTAATATCAAATCAAATGTCATTTCATTTCACGTCAGGTCATGTCATGTCATGTCATGTCATGTAATATCATTTCATATCATATGTCATGTCATATTATATTATATGTCATGTCATGTCATGTCATGGTATTCAATGTCATGTCACGTCATATCATATCATATCATATCATATCATATCATATTATATCATATCATAACTCATATTCAGTTGTATCAGGTCATATCTTAAAAATTGTACCATATACAGCCAAGTCCTATCAACTGATATCTCATCACATCATATTATACAGTATAGCATTGTACCATACGGTTTCTTACCTCCAAATTTTAGTGAAGTCAAGGTCTAGCATTATTGATAATAAATTAGTCAAAGTCCAAGTAGTTCAGACTTGAGTCAAGCACAGCAGTTAGGTAGAAGAGTTTTGATTCGTGTCAGAGCTTTGTAAGCTTCGCGTGCTCTAACTGCAGTTTAATTTGTCAAATCTGCACTGGAGAAAATAAAGAGTAAACGTGTGTTTTGAGCTGACATGACTGCAGATCAGTGGGCGTCCAGCAGGATGAAAAGACATCCAAACTGAAGCCTTTTATGATTTAAACCTCTGCATGCGTGGTGACAGAGAGGCATTAAAGTGCTACCTGTATTATATGTGGTGTCATTCAGAGTTAAAGATGCACTAACTTACAGTCGACGCTTTCCAAACAACACCTCCCTCTCTGAGTTAATTGTCTCCATGCTGAGGCGCTGACCCAGTTCTCTCACTCAGAGCTTCTTTCACTTCAACAATAAATAAACACAAGGAGTTTTTTCTCTCTGAGTGGTCTCTGCTCAGCTCTGGCGACCAGCCGAGAACATCAGCGAGCAATTCTGCAACACAAAGAAACAGCACTGCTATTGAACGAGCTGTATGTGGACAGAAATAAGGCGGCTGAGGTCCTATTCTGCCGTCTCTGAATGGGAGGAAAAGGTATTGTTCAGCAGGAAATTGTCATGTGGAGATAATGTGCTGACATAATAATGATTCACTGTGTTTTTGTGTGTCAGAAACGTGCAGCATAGCAGCCTCTGCAGCAGGAAAGATCCTGTTTCTGCTCTCTTTATTTTGTAGTTTTCTTCGAAGTCTCCACAAAGAAAAAAATCTCTCTCCTATGTAAATGAAGAGAGAGCAGCATGATTAGATTTCTTCAAGCTGCAGAGCAATAATTATCACCATCAGCTCCACAAGATAGCATTTAACAATTAGTTTTGAGTTTCTGTGTATTATTATCAACATGTCAGAGAAAATATAGAGTTCACAGTCACTTCAGCAGCAAACAGGGCTGTTATTGGATTAAAATGAAATGCAAAGAAGCTTAAAGCTTCACCCAAATTATGGAGAATTTCAGCTGAGTACAAAAAAGGACTGGAAGAGTGAAACACTCTGTCTATCTATGGTGGTTAATTGAAAATATAAGCAGCTGTATAAATCATGTAGGACTAAGCACTGTGAATATCAAGTCTCACATTCAGAGCTGAAATTATCACTAAATTCATCAATTACTGCACCCACAAATATATGATATCTATATTTGTCAAGTATAGATGAAGTAAAAACTGAGAAGTGACTTAATCATGCTTGTAAAATATGAATGTTTCTGGTTTTATCAGTTATACTTGACGTTATCTATTCCTGTCCTCAATAAAAACAGTCTCACTGGCTTTTGTTTGGTAGCCCTGTAAGTGAACAAACATACTTTTATTAAATGCCAGAAATACTTAACTCAATTTCATCAAACACAATTATATTCCAGGAAAAACAAAAACTTTTTTATTTGACACAAATATATTTCATGAAATTAAAAAAGTAAATCAATAATTGAATGCAAAAAAGTGCAAAACAATTTTCAAAAAGCACAAATAATTCACGAAACAAGAAATAGACAAAAGCAGGATTCATGAAATGAAATAAAAATGTTTGAAAATCAAAAACTATTCAATGAAACACAAAAATATTTTGTAAACACAAAATGTATTCGCATCCGTCCACTAATGTAGGTCAGAGTGAAGCCTCTGTGACAACTACTAAATACAATGAAACTAAGACCCATTATAAATATATGGACAGTAAGCCAAAATAAAGCCTCTGTGCAACTTACTATTAACAGTAAAACTGAGACTCATTGTGGAGATAAAATAAGCCAGAGTGACGCTTCTGTGTGACTTACTATTCACAAGAAAACAGACTACATTATAAACATATGGACAGTAAGCCAAAATATAACTTCTGTGTAATTTACTATTTACAGTAAAACTGAGACTCATTGTGGAGATAAAGTAAGCCAGAGTGACGCTTCTGTGTGACTTACTACTCACAAGAAAACTGAAACGTATTATAAACACATGGATAGCTTGCAGAATAAAGCCTCAGTGTATCTTACTATCAACAGTGAAACTGAGACTCACCACAAATAGATGAACAGTAGACCAATGAGGCGCCTCTGTGTTGATCTAAATTTACAGTAAAACGAAGATGATTGTTGTTAGTAAACCAGATTAAAGCCTCTATGTAACTTACTATCAACAGTGAAACTGAGACTCACCATAGATAGATGAACAGTAAGCCGGAGAGCTAACCCTCTGTATTGATTTAAATTTACAATAAAACATTGTAATCAGTAAGCCAGATTAAAATCTCCCTCTAACCTATCAACGGTGAAACTGAGACTCATTGTTAAGATACCAATAATGAATGAGCCCCAGTGTTACCGTATGAACAGTTAGCAGGAATATAACCTCTGTATAGTCAAATTTACAGTGAAACTGAGACTTAAACAGACGAATAGGCGCTCCTGTTGGGGTTGTAATGAGCCCAGTCTTTTTGCAGACATGTCTAGAGGGAGTTTCTCCGTACTTTTATGCTCTTAACCTCCATCGTTCAGTGTTTATTAGGAGTAACACTCATAAACTCCAGTGTACCTGTGCTGCACCTGTACCTGTGCACACAGCAGTGAATCTATTGTGCTCTATTCTTTCTGCTGTGTGTATTAAAAGGCCTTTAACTCAGCGACTCTCTAAATCCCTCTAACTTCAACCAAACACCTGTTTTTTAATCCGTCTTCTGTTAACGCAGCTCTTTGGCAGCAGTGTCTCGTTTCTTCAAAGTTTGAGGATTCAACAGTTATGAATTATTAATCAGCATAATTCAATCATCTCAGTCTGATTGTTCTGAACTCCCCTCAGTGTTTGCCAAGCCTCTTCATATTAACCCAAACAGACAGTCTGTAATCAGGACGCTTTAAAGAGTCTGACGGCCGCTTTCATTTATCAGATGGATATTTCCCCAGGTGGAGGATCAGCTCCACGGCCCGTTATGAGCTCTGATCCGGAGCAGCAGGGGAGGAAAGACTCCTAAAAAACATCAGACAGAGAGCGGGTAATACTGCGTCCTGCAGAGAAGAATCAAACACACAGTACACAAACCTGCTGCTTTGAAAATACACAGTAAAGATTAAATACCACAGAAAGGAATACTCACTCTCTACACCTTACCTGCAGGTCTCTCTGGTCTATTAACTATGAAGCTTTATATACACACACACAACGTGACTTTGACTGTGTTCTTTTACTCTAATACCATTTTATTTTTACAGTGAGAAGTAAGAACAGAAAGATGAAAATCAAACCCATGTGTTGCTCCTAAACCTCAGCAGTAATGATGCATTCACAGATGTTTAAGCTACCCATGATATCAACATTTATGATCCCCTGTAACATCAGGGATGCTGGCTTTGAAATGAGCAGAGGAGATAATGTCCATGGTTTCCAAAAAGAAAGTTAAATTGTGATTCATCAAAACCTGAGTGACTGTGTTCACAGACAATGGTTTTTGGAAGTGATTTTGAGCGATTGCCAATACAGATTCCTGTCTTTTTTAATGCGGTGTTGCCTGAGGGCCTGAAGATTAGGACCATCTTATCTTTGTTTTGGTCTTGGTCCCTTTTGTACGGAGATTTCTCCAGACTCTCTGAATCTTTTAATGATGAAATCCGCTCATTCTTCTACATTTTGTGTCTCTGATTTTTTTTTACAAACATGTTGCTGCCATCAAGTTTAAAATGAAAATATGATTTTGCTCGTTTTCCAGTTAGAAACCTCTTAAAAAACTGTCAAAATCACTTTTCACCAACATTTCACTCAGAGTCCTGACTCTTTACAGGCTGAACTACTTCTCCTTTTTTACCACACATATCTGTTTCTCTCTTTAGTTCCTCCGTCAGCCACTAGAAGGCATAATGTTGTTTTCCTCTGAGCACATAAACAGACTCCATTCAGAACTCCATCTGAGATTTCTCTTTTTTTCCCTCTCTCTCTCCTCATGTATTCTTTAAACCATCCTCCAACCTTTTTATTAATGATACAGCATTTTGGATCATTAAGTACATCAGTTCTGCTTCCTTTTAATTTGTCACTCTGCTAATTGATGTCCACATAGCCAGGCAATTAATTCAACCTAATTAGAGCTCCATTTGCAGAAGCCTAATTGACACATAGATCTGTCTGCTGAACGGCCAATTAGGAATGAGATGCATGAAATAAAATGATGGTGAGATATTAATGATTCAATCAAATATGTGATTTCATTAATTCAGGAATCTGAGAGCAGGTCTGAAACTACAAAATCTGGATTTTAAAGAAGGTTTTCATTTGTATTCACTTTTACACTCAGAAAGTTAACACAGACACACCAAACTCCATTTAGAAAACAGATAATTAAAGAGATAATCAAACAAGTGGATGAAAATTGTCATTTATTTAGTCTTATTGGTTTGTTTTATCTTGAAGTCTGCAAAATTTTCTGTGGACACATGGCTGTCTTAAAAAGTTGAGGCAATAATAACAATAATAATAATAATCTTTGTCGTTGTTTTTGGGTCACAGATTCACCTGATAATCAATAACCTCTGATGTCAAACATCCTTCACACCTGCTGATCAACGACTGATCAGCTCTCAGGAGAATCAAGGCTGTAATCCTGCTCTCACTCTTAAATCTGTCCACAAAATCACCTCAGAGGACCGGGAGAGACCCGATCAGAGCCCCGACAGCTGCTCCAACATCGGCGGACCCCCGCTGAGAGAGGGACCCCCACACTGAGCCGAGGGGCCCCGTCATCTAATCAACACGCTGTGATTCTCTCTGCACAGCGGGAGGGAGGAGAAACCTGCAGCTTCTGAAGGAGGTGATGCTCTGGAAACTCTCTGCAGCATGAAAAGAAGATGTGATTTCTGTTGTAAATGGGCATATATTTACATTCATTCATGCAGAGAGGCTCCGTCTGCAGCGAGTCAATTTATCATGGCTGCATAATAGGTCAAATCAAATAGAAAAAAATGAATTTTGATGTTGTAAAACTGATAAAAACTCAAAGACATTCAGTTTACGGTGACATAAAAGCAGCTTAACTCAAAACTGGTCCTGTTTTACTCACTTTAAAAAACTGGATTGTGGTGTTAAATCACAGTAAAGCCTCCTTAAAATGCAGCCCAGTGTGCAGGGAGTTTAGTTTAAATCAGACGACCTTAAAATAACCAGAGAACCAAAGTTATAAAGGAGGAAAAAGGTGAGACAAGACACGCTGATAAGGCAGTTTATCAGAGTTTATAATAAACCAAATGAAGTCTCCAGACATCTCCATCTTTGTTGCTAACTTTAAAAACACACAGACCGATGTAGCAGCAGCAATGAGGTTACTAAGCTGCTGTTTGACTGGGTTTGTACTTTATCACCTGATGTTGTTGTATTTATTCAGTGATTTAAGAACTCCTCCTGTTAATAACTTCACCCTGCTCCTTGTTTTCGGGACATAAGCATGAAAATTGCTGAAATATGTGAAAATAAACTCTGGATTTGTTTCCAGCTCCTCTCCTCCAGAGCCATGTTTCAGGCCTCTCTCGCTGGCCGGCCTCTTCCTTCCACATTATACAAGTTCTCTCTTTTTTCTGCTGCCAACTCTTTCCATTTTCTCCTCGCCAGCTGGTCAGGGGTCTCCTGCTGCCGCTCGGGCCCTCAGCTCACTTCCTACTTTCTGCAGCACCTGTTCCTGTTTGGCAGAGTCGGCCGGGATGCTGAAAGCTTGGAGACGAGCCATCTGCTGCCCGGCTCTGCACCATTTTACCCCCAATCCCTGGAGTACCTGCATGCATCCTGACTTTTCTCTGTTTTAACAGCTCTGAAACACTCAGAGCTGCTCAGAAATGGAAAAAAAAAGCTGAGCTGGATTGGTTTGCAAATCCCAGAATCACCATTTAGCTGAAGGGAGAGTCTGCACGGGTTAAATCAAAGCAGGACTCGTGAAGCAGAGCTCTTTAGCTCGCACAGGTGGAGCGGCTGATAGCTGTCAGCTTTCAGCTCATATTCTCACACGGACTCTGAACTTTGTGCTCATATTTAATGTCTAACAGCAAGGTTTATCCAGAGGTGATGCTTTTAAAACTAAAAGATGAAGTTTATACTTGAATCCAGACAGGTTATGGAGCTCCATATGTCAATCTTAAATTTCGCTTTCACAAAATCTGATATCCTAATGGCAAAAAATGAGCTTGTTATGTGTATTTGACAGCCCTTAGTTGTATTTTTCTAAATAAATCAAGTTTATTATAAAAAATGTAAGGTGTTTGGACAAAAAATAATAATTTTGAAACATTTTATTACATATTTTGATGCTTTTCATGCTGCGTTTCTCCAATCAATCTTAATCCTGAGACAACGCCCTCACACTTTTTGCTGAAATGTCAACAGGCAGATTCTTCAGACCGATTTGTCTCAGTTTTAGAGAAATACTTAGACTCTGCAGTGAGTCATTTATATTTGTAACTTTTAAAACCTGAATGCAGTTTTTTCTGAGTCAGTCACATGAACATGTGGGGAAAAAAAAGTGTTTTGTGGCTGAATGGGTCAACAGAGACTGCAGACACACACAGTCCAGATGTTTTTGCTACCTTCATGGAGGTCAAAACACACCTCTGTACTGCGGAAAATACTGAAGGAATAGAGGAAGATGAAATTAATCAATAGTGATGTTGTAAATACTTAAAGAATCAGAAATAGTCATACTTTAAAATGAGTCAATTATTGATAGATTAATTCATATGACACTATTTTTCAGATGTTAAAAGTACAGCTAATTTTGTAAGCATTAGCCTATTAACAGAATATTTAGTATTTTTACTCATAAATCCTGAAAAAAGACTAAATAAACTTTTTAAACTTTTTGTTTTTAAATGCATTGACTGGAAAATACACAGGCATTTGCTTCACATCCATTTCACCAATAAGGCTAAACAATACGCTATGTCTATTCATTCTTTTAAATGCATTTTTATTCAGAAAATGTAATAAATACAAGGTTTATGCTATCCTTGTTCACAAAATCTTAACATCTGTGTTGTTTTAAACGAGTTAGAGAGGCTATCTTGGGAAGTCAGTTGTTACGGACTACAACTCCCAGGTTAAAGTGCATGCCTCTTTTGCTGCGCAACCGCAAAAAGGTGGGGCGCGCCAACCCATGCGGATGTGCCGCTATGTAAAATGGCGGCGTGAGAGAGGTCCGTTCAAAACATTTCGGCGTTACCTGTGAAGGTGGTTAGCTTGTTGTTGTCAAACGATCTGCATTACGTGGAGCCGCGCCATAATCATTCAAAGGTAGAGGAAGGAATTTACATTCCAGAAAAGGTGGGTCAATTTCAAATGTATAAAATATTTGAGTCAACTGTTCAGTGCTAATGTTAGCTCGGAAGCTGTATTTAATATGACATTAGCCGTTTGACGCTAACGTGCGGGGCCTGGTGTTCCGGTGAAAAGAGATGCCTTCTTCAATGATGCCTTGCGGACGCTTGCGTTCGTTACGTTGTGCCGTTATCTTTTGAATGGTCGCCAGTTGGCTTGGTAATAATTCACGCCATAACACTGGTTAGCTTCATCGCCGTGTATGTGCCGCTAGCCCAACGGCTAAACAGATAGAGGAAGGATCTTATAGCTTATGCTACATACTAGATTTTTCTTTAAAGCAGGTACAATAAAAAGTAAACATTTACATCTAGATAACGTTTAATGTATTGTAACTATCGGTGTAAATTATTGCTTACACCGATGAACAGCAGCGCCGTTTATGTGTCCCTGAGGTTTCCAAGGCAACAATCTGTATCGGACTTATTAAATCTGAGCACACGAGATCAACAAACTGAAATATTGGGATTAGTATCCGCCTTTACAGACGCACACCTACATCACCCGTGTTTCCTTCAGCGAATTCATACAACACACCAGCTGGTAGAAGTTTCTGGAGGGAAGTTACGAAATGAAATTGCTTTTGTGTGGCTTAATTCCAGCGCCTGTTTATGATCTGTTTGTCCCTATTCAAGACTTTAACATGTAATAGAGGCTAAATCTCATTTTCAGTCCCGAAGATCTGCTTCAAATTGATCTTCATAATGTTATTATTTTTGTTTGTCTTGTTTAAACAACTCCTATCATCTGACTTGCATGAAAGTGGGTTAAACCAGTGTATTTCCACTGATGAGGAGCTGGATACCAGGACTTTTTAATCATGTTTTGCTTATTGTAAACTTTTCTTTATTAAAACTGCATCGCTCTGCTTTGTTTCATGTCACAGAGCCGGCGGGATGGCGAAGAGGATCGCTGATAAAGAGTTAACGGACAGGAACTGGGATCAGGAGGATGAAGGAGAGGAGGTGAGACTTGATCAAATCCAGAGTATCTCGCTTTTAATTTATGACAATGAATCTGAATTGTTGTGTAAAAGACATTAAAATAGAAAAATCCCCTTTTATTACGTTGTCAGTGTTTTTACCAACAGCCATCAGACTTTATAACTCTTGTGTAAATAGTAGATATCTTCTTCTTATTCCCCTCCTTCAGGCCGGGACGTTTTCAGTTGCGAGTGAAGACGTGTTAAAGAACCGGGCGATCAAAAAGGCCAAGCGCAGAGGCATGGGAGCAGAGGTGAGTTTCACTTTTGTTTTCGGGGTTTTTTATAAACTCTTAAATTCAAAGTCACAGCGTTGATCGCTCGCTTCCTAACATCGTCTTGTGTTTCAGGGGGAGGCCACCGGCGCTTTCAAAGGTTTCAAAGGCTTCGCTCTGAGCACGGGGACGACGGCAACGAGCGGCTCCTCGGCCCCGGTGTTTTCCGGTTTTGGAAACGGAGGAGGGTTCAAAGGCCTCGGCGGTCTGACTAACGGAAACAGCATCGCGCCAACGTTTGGAGGTTTCTCTTCTCCTGCTGCATCCACCACTTCACTCGGTGAGGAGAGAGGAGTCTGTGTTTGTTTTCAGTTTGATGATATTTTTAGAGGAAGATGAACAAAGTTAGAGGTGACCTTTTCTTTCTTCTCTCTCACTTGGGAGTGTCTCTCTGCTGGTCAGACAGGCAGAACAACCGCAGCAGGTTTTCTTCTCTTCTGCTGCTGTGGCGTTGGCTTTGTGATAATCAGTCGATTGATGTGCTGAAGTGTGAACAGTGTAGATGAGACTCTCCGCAGGGTCAGACTCAGTCTGTGGCATCTGTTTCATCGCAGCTTGAAGAGGACGTGTTGTTTGCTGTGAAAGAGGAAAATAGACGAATAACATGTTTGTTTGTTTGCAGAGAGGTTTGATTTCTACCCGGCGTCTGCATGCTTCAGGTCAACTTTAAAATAGTCTGTGTTTTTTGTCAAATTTCTCTGTTTTTTATTTCTGGGTCACATAAAAAGAGAAAAACTCCTGCAGGTGTTTCAGATACTCTCACTCCCACAGCTCAAAAATGTAGAAAGGATATCTCTGACACTCACAGCTGTAGTTTGGTGGGTTTTGCAGGAAAAAGTAGCACCTTAAGCACCACGGCCTGATCTTATTTTGCTGTGTGCTGTTTTAGACTCATGGAGCTCCTGGAAGATGAACTCTTGAGTAGAATAGCACCCTCTGCCATCCGAGTGTGAGTGCAGCATGAGAAGCGCTTGTCAGAAAGGCTGAAAATCAGCATTTAACAAGTACAAGCCTGTTCACAGGTTTGATTTTATAAGTGGACCTTGTTTGGACTGAACTTGAAGATCTTTTCCTGGTTTTAAAACGTCTTAAATTTTCTTAGAATTTGACAGTTACCACATTAACAAATAAGCTCTTTTATTCCAAGAATTATGATGGATGAATAAACAACCCAACTCAGAGAAAATGAGACCGTTTGTAAAATCCTGATAAACAGATTTTTGATGTTTCCAAGATCATTTGAAGGCTTTATTTCATTGAAAATGGTTCAAAAAACGACACAACGAATGAGAAAACTAAGTATCTGCCCATTTTAACAGCAACATGACTCTAAAAAGTTGTTAATGGGTTAAGCAAACAGGTCAAAAGTTGTTTAATGCTTTAAAAAAAAATCAAATGAAGGGGATTTGTCCCGATGTCTGGTAAATTAAAATCTGATATTTGTTTTGGAAGTCATGGAACCTGCTTCATCCACTCTGAAAACTTGATATCAGCTCCCAGTTCAAAGCCAGCACCCCTGATGGTATGGGGATCACAAGAGTCCATGTTGTGGGTCGCTACCACATCTGTGAAGGCTCCATTAATGCTGAAAAAGATCTTAAGTTTAAGAACAATATCTTCTGCCATCCAGACAAAGACTTTTTCAGGGAAGAACTTCACACTTCAGAGAAACCACATTTCCAGGGATTACCACAGGATGGCTCTGTAGTAGAAGAGTCCTGTAGAGGTCGATACAAGTCTCCAGTTTTCACATTTGTTCGTTGTCTTTGCACCATTTTTCGGCGACATGTCGGCTTTAAATGATTTGTGAACAATCAAAATCAATGTTACAGCCTCTTGTATCTATTTTAGGACTGGGGGTTTATATTTGTCCTCTTTTACTCCCACCAGTGTCAGCAGCAGAGATACCTCATTGATCTTCAGGGGGAACCAGGTCACATTACATACTGTTCATTACAGATGTTCATGATAGGCAGAGAGAAATGATGCTTGAATAGGAATAAAAACAATATGCAGTAAATGTGTTTGTAAGAAGGAGAAGGAGACGGTCTGTACTGTACTCCTGTTTGAGGAGACGCTCTCTAATGGATCTTGACGGATTATTAATAGGAAGTAGATGCACTGGAGTTGGAGTAAAGCACAGCTGATGGATGATGATCTCAGATTTTGAGGCTGTGGACTCGTGACATGTGCAGTTGGATGTCCAGAGACCGCAGCGCTCTGAGGAGTTGGTATAAGTGGAGAATATTAACCGAGTAAACCTTCAGCCTCTGTCTTCATGTTTTTTCAGTTTCTCTCTGTTTGATTGTGTGGACGTTCTCCTCTGGCTGATAAAACGCTCATCTCTCTGCAGTGTCGTTGTGTAATGGAGTTGAAAAGCTGCTGTATTGTGTGTTTTTCTGCGTCTGTGTCGGAGTGTAATGGAGCTGAATCAGCGGAGGGGGGTCGCTGTGTGTGCGCGTGTGTGTCTGCTCATGCTTTCATTTCATGTCGTCGTGTTGCCGCGGGGCAGGAAGGAGGGGGGGGTTGCTGAGGGGGGGAGGGGTCCGCTGTCACACTCACATCCCTTTCCTCCATCACCTCAGGTCTGACGTTCAACGGCCCCGCCTCCGCCAAGCCCACCGCTGACATCACGGCCAAGCAGACCAACGGCTCTGCCCCCAGCCCGGCTCAGAGCTCGGGCTCCGGCAGCAGCGGCGGCGGCGGCAGCAGCAGTGTGAGCAACAAGGAGTACAGCCGGCAGCTCACCGCGCTCAACTGCTCGGTGCGCGACTGGATCACCAAACACGTCAACGACAACCCCCTGTGCGACCTCAACCCCATCTTCAGGGATTATGAGCGCCACCTGGCCAGCATCGAGCGCCAGTACGGAGCCGGCTCTGCTGATGGGGGAGCAGAAGAGAAGAAATCCACAGCCTCCTCTCCTCCTCCTCCTCCCTCTTCATCATCATCCTCCTCTTCCTCCTCCACGGCGGCTCCGGCTCCTGCAGCATCTTTGTTCTCCTTCAGTAAAACCTCCACAGACGACTCGGCTCGGGAGAAGAGCAGCAGCAGCAGCAGCAGCTCCGGCGTCACGTTTAACTTTGGGCAGAAGGTGGACAGCTCCGTGCTCGCCTCCTTAGGATCCAAATCCACTCCCCCAAGCTTCTCCTTCTCCTCCAGCGCCTCCTCCAGCACCACCTCCCTCTTTGGAGCTCCCACATCATCTGCTGCTCCACTGTCCTTCAGCGCGAACAAGACCAGCGATGCTCAGCCTGCAGGTAAACCAGCAGAGAATTTCGACTTTTGCCTTTTGAATGTAAAGAGAAGCAGAGAGGCTCAAATCGAAGTTTTCAGAGAGAGTCACAGACCTAAAAAAAAGCTGCAAATATTCAGTTTCTCTTCTTATAGAGGATCCTGTTCGATTTATTGATCTGGATCCTCTGCCAATTATCTGCAACTATTTCAAAACCGAAGTCTTCTGTAGTTTTAAATTCTCAGAGTAGAAATCTGCGTCTTGTTTTCTGAATTCGATAAGAAATGTTATCTGTTGGGTCGACAAAATAGGGAGTTTATGACAGTTTACTGGATCAGTAAGTGTTGCAAATGTTTCGTTGGATAAAAGCGATTAAGAGGTTAAAACGTTAAAGTTGGCCGAGTCAGCAGTGACTTCTTCAAATGTCTTTTGCACCATCATGAAGTCCTAAAAAACGTCACTGCGCGGGGAAAAAACCCAGGATAAAACGATTATGTTTCTGCACCTGAGAACCAAAAAGCTTCAATATCCGGGGTTTGCTTTACATAACATACGTGTTTTTGATCTGATCCTCATCTGAAAATGATTTTAAGACTTTGTTTTTTGCACCATCACTAAGTCTGAAACCAGTTTACTGTGAGGAAGAAGCAGCAAAGGAATATACATTTACACATCTGAGATGCAACAACCTGCAATTCCCAGCATTTCTCTCCGTTAAAGATCATGTAGAGAAGATTCATTGATGACGTTTTTAGTAGGAATTTTTATCCTCGTTTTCTTTTGCCACCGTTATAAAGGACAAAAGGTTTTAAAGTCTTAAACTGCAAATAATTGTGAGACATATCTGTGGTTGTTTGCGGTATTTAAAACTTTAGGGCAAAAATCCACCAGGATGAACTCAGAGATGTCCAGTTTACTTTTCTGTGAGATAAATTATTTGTCTGTGTCAGAAAACAATGTCTTGTAATGTCTTATCATGTCGACTCTGTATTCTCTGACTGTGAGGAAACACTGAAGCAAAATTAGCAAAATGAACAGATTTAGATATCAAATCTGAACACAGTGGTAAGTCGCTGTTTACCTCGTTGTTAGATTTTATATTTTGAAGGTGAAAATGATGCAGACTGAACGATAAGATGTGTGTTTGACCTCCCAGTAGGAGAAAGAAAAGCTGCTGGTTCAGAGTTATAAACAAACATAAAACCTGTAACAAAAGTCAGAGACACTCTGGAATACTGACGCTCAATTAGAGCGCCTTTTCATCCGTGCCAGTTAACCTTTAATAGAAGCACAATACGCCCGAGGTGTCCAAAAAAAAACCTCTGAGAGTTTGTGATGGATTCAGAGACTTGGCAGCTCTTCTGCCTTTTTCAGAGTCGGAGTCAAATATGTGTGAGGATCAGAACCAAACGACCCGACATTAACGAAAGTGGAGAAACATGTCCTGAAGGTTCGACAAACCGATTTTAATCCGTGCAGAAAAAAACAAGATCAATGAGTTTAGTTTTTATCCGAAAGGCTTCCATAAGTTTGATTTAGATTTGAGAATTTCAGGCGATTAAAAAAAAGTCAGATGTTCGAGAGAGATCTATTATTTTTGATGGGACACGCCTCAGACTTTATCAAATCTATTTATTGGTTTATTTGATCATATGACAGTAATGGCATCTGCTGCAGCTTAAAACATGTCAATTCATAAACAGGAACAGAAGGAGGAGAAAGTGAGAAAGAGCAAAATATGATGAAGGACTTTTCTATCAATATCTGTCAAATTCTGTCTGCTCTGTGAGCAAGAATCGTATTTTTTTCTCTATTGAGTCTTGAAAAAGTCTCAAGTTTTTTAAATGAGGTCTGGTCAGTGGATTATTACATCCTCAGGGCCCTTTTTTTTCTTTTTCTAACTTAAAATACTTCAAACTGGAGCTCAATCACTTATAAAAGACTGAGATTTACTCAGAATCAAATCTGAAAAATGTCTGTTTTTCCTCAAGGAGCAAAAGAAAGTCTGTAAACTCAAAAACTCCTCAGTGAGATTTTGTGTAAATGGAAGAGAGACCCAAACCGACGGCACTTTCTCCCTCCAGCCTTCAAACGCTGAATTAAAGTCAGTAAATCTGCTTCCAGAGTCACCTTTATCAGGTTGTCGGTGTTTGCCGCTCTAATGTGGATTTGTTGTTCGTAATGAGCAGCAGATTAAAAAAGGTGTGGAGTCCGCTGAAGCAAATCAGGATTATCTCCTTCATCCGCTAATCTGAAGATTAATGAACAAATCAGAGACGACGGTTTTTATTCCTCTGAGCACCTGTCCGGAGCGGAAATCTGTTCGTAAAGGAGGGTTACTTTGGAAAAGTCCGATTTATTCTAAAAACAACCAAAGCACTGAGTAAAAATCTTCTTTTTCATTTTCTCTCTGAAAGTTTTTTGTCTCGGCTTTTTTAAAAATGTCTTTTTAAGCTTTTTTTAAATCAGAAATTTCCTTTTTTTTTTTTCTCTCTGCAGATGAAAACGGAGACGAAGAGTCAGAGGAGCCCCCAAAACCAGAGGTCAAAGAGGTGAAAGAGGACGACGCTTTCTACTCCAAGAAGTACGTGACGCTGATAATTAAACCTGTAGAAGTTCTTTGTTTATTAGTCTGGAATTATCAAGTTTGATATTTTCTTCTTTATGGTTTAAAAACTTTTAAGTCTTTGAATTGTGGACTGAAGATGTTAATTTTTAAACTCGTGCTGAGGTTAAAGTGTGTTTTTTTTAAAGTTCTGAATGTGTATAAAGATGTAACAGAAGGATTTATAAACAGCAGCTGACTTCAAACTGCTCCAGTGAAAAACTGTCGGCCTTTTCATGAGGAAAACAAAAATACAACAAAAATAAGGCGAATGATCAGAATTTGATTGAATAAACTCCTCCGCAGTTTTCCTTTTCGGCTCTTCAAATCACTTTAAAGCTCCTGTGAGAAACTTTCAGTTGGTGTCAGTTTTGGCGCCCCCTGTGGACAAAGCAGTCTTTTCTCATTTTTTCCTCTACAGGCTTCAGTAGTTTCTCATAATGCAGATTTCTAACAGTCAAAAGTTTCATTTATCGTGAGTATTTTCTTTGGAAATATTTAAACCAGAGTTGTTTGTTCTCGTCCCTCCTCACACCGGTTTAAGGAAGTAAAAATGAGGATATGAATAAAGTCTGTCGTGTTTGTCTGTAGATCATAAAAGACTTCATGATGAATTTCAGTCAATGTTTTTAACATTGAAAAATCTTAGGAGCTTTTATTTGTTGATTTGTTTTTGTCTTTTTAAACTTTTTTAAAGCTCCTATGAGGAGTTTTTGACCCTCATAACGTCGAATAAAATTTAACCTTTTAATGATCTACAAAAGAAAATAAGACCATCAGCGACAAGATATGAGATTTTATCCTGATTTTTATTGTCTGAAATCAGAGCGAGAGGTTAAGTCCAAACCTTCACTTCACTTCAACTTTATTATGTCCCAAAAATGTGCAAATCTGGTTGCAGCAGAAACAGACATTTCTATCAGTGCCGTACATCAAAAAAAGAAGATAAATAAAGCTGAAGACTTGCGCCCAGAATGTGAGATTATTTGATTTTAGTCACCAGCAGAAACACCATTTCCAAATCAGCAAAGAGCCGTGAAGATGTTTTTTGTTTTTAACCCTTAACCGTCGTGTCCACACAACTTTTTTGACGTGTTAAGTTGAAAAGTGTGACTTTGTGTGTCTTCCAGGTGTAAACTCTTCTACAAGAAGGACGCCGAGTTCAAAGAGAAAGGTGTGGGGACGCTGCACCTGAAAGACACGGAGGACGGGAAGACTCAGCTGATCATCCGCGCAGACACAAACCTGGGTAAAAAAAAAACACAGAAAGAAAACGTCAGGAGTTTGAGTGTCGGGAGGGAAAGTGGGACACGTTTGGGTCCACTGGAGGTTCAGACGAGTTCAGTGTTTTTGAAGAAGAAGAGAAGGAGGAGGAGAGGGGGGAAGCTAAATAAAACATCTTAGCTGTGACGAGGAGGAGGAGGAGGAGGAGGAGGCTAAAAACAGCGCTGGAGTCGGAGTTGTTTTCATGCTTTTTGTCAGCGGCTCTTATTTTCAGTTCACAACAAGCTGATAAAAACACGAGCCGACCCTCCAATCCTGCAGAAAGATCCAGAAATAATCGAGTCCAATTTAATCGGGATGACACATTTACTGTTCCCGCTCCGGTCCTCCATTTCTGCTCGCTCATTATCCGGCATTAAGTTCATCTTTTTTAGCTGGAGGAGAAAAAAAAAAGTACCAGAGCTGGATGTTGAGATTGTTAGCGGGTATCAAACAAACATTCTGACCTAAAAACAAAATCTGAAGGTCGTAAAACATCCAGAGTCATAACAACATCCGAAACTGAGAAAGAGCAGCAGACATGTTTTCTGTTTTGTGGAGGGAGCCGAGCTGCGATCAAACAGCTCCACCTGCTGGTCAAAGTGAAGAACTGCTGCTCTCAGACTCACTATTGAGGTTAAAACAAAACAGTTTACCTCCATGGAGACGTTTTAGTTCTTTCTCACCCTGACTAAGCTGAATGAAAGACAGTCTTTCCTGCTTCTGTGTCCTCCGCTGATCTCAAACTCTTTCCTCCTTGTCTCTTCAGGAAACATCCTCCTGAACATCCTGGTGCAGCCGTCCATGCCGTGCTCCCGGGCCGGGAAGAACAACGTGATGATCGTGTGCGTCCCCAACCCGGCCGTCGACGACAAAAACGCCACCTGCCCCGTCCCCCTCCTCATCCGGGTCAAGACGGCCGAGGACGCCGACGAGCTCCACAAGATCCTTGAGGAGAAGAAAGGCTGAACCTCCCCCATCCCCCTCCTTTCCTCCCCCATCCTCCCCGTCCTTCTCCCCCCCCCACCACCACACTTGAGCTTTTAGCAGACTCATCTTCTGGACTCATCACACCCGGTTTTATCCACACAGACTCACACAAACAAACACACACACACATGCACAAACACACTTGTACTTAACTCACCCGGTTAATCACGTCAGATCTTCACGCTGAAATTGATGGTCATACTGTGAAATGTTAATTTAGAATCACGAATATTAAAAGCAGGTCGTCGTCGTCGTGGTCGTCGCTGTCGCTCGCCGACTCGGCTACATTCCTCCCGGTTTGACGCTGCTGCTGCTGCTGTTTTTATTGGAGAAACAGAACGATGTATCTTATATCTCAGTGTTTAATTTTACTGTTTTAATTTGGTCGTAGAGTGACTGAGAGCGTGAACAAAGCGGAGAAATATTATCGTACGATCTTTTTACCACTGAGTCATTTTGGAGAAAGCTCCGAATAAAAAGGTCCAGTCGATTTGGTTTTACAAATTAAATACCTGCAGTAACAGTTAATGTTTTTTTAAGTGAACGTGTCGAGGAGTTAGCGTGTCTGCTGAGTCTTTATTTTGTGCTCTGGAAACTATTTATTGAGTGGGCAGGATTTGTACTCTCACTGATCGAACCTCGTGTGAATGTTTCCCCCCCTCCCAAGAGCTCCTGAGATCTGCGTGAAAGAAGAGTGAAACAGACCGGTTCCTTTATTATTTTTTTTTCTCTTTTTATTTTCTGTAAACACGGACTCTGTCGTTTTTCCAAGTGTCCTTTGTGTGGCCTTCGGTTCAGCCTTCGAGGTGAGGCATGCTGTCATCGTCTGAGAACATTTGTAAAGACATTTATTGGGGAATAAAAGGAATCAAACCACAACTGTCTTTGAATCTCTGTGTTTCAGCGTTTAGTAGATGAAGTGTTTATCCTCTGTAGAGCATGAATGAGATCTGGGAGGTTCAGGGAAGAGTGTGCAGATCTATACAAAAGGTTCAAGAGCAGGGAGTCAGGGTCTCTCAGAGTGCTTCATCATTCACTCACTCACACAGTCACACCCTGGTGGTGGTAAACTACCTGAGCTTATGGCCTCTTCAACCACCACCAAACATCCCTCATAATCATACACCAGTGGACGACACACACTGGGAGCAAGGTGGGTTAGTAAGTGTCCTGCCCAAGGACACAACAGAGAGTGCAGAATTGAATTGCCAACCTTCCAGATCAGAGGCAGGGAGTCAGAGGTGGACGAAATTTTGAAAAAATAAAGTCATCATAGTGATGACTAAATGAAAAAAAAAATCATACAATAGTTTGATAAAATGTCATAGTATAATGTGATAAAAAATTTCAAATTTTATTATGAAAAAACTCAGTATAGTTTGATAAAAATGTCATATTATACTATGATAAAAATTTCAAATTTTAGTATGACAAAATATCACAGTATAGTTTGTCAAAAAATCGTATAGTAAACTATGATAAAAATTTCAGATTTTAGTATGAAAAAATGTCTTAGTATAGTATGTTAAAAATATGTCACTGTATAGTATGCTAGAACAATTATATTAAAGTATAATTAAAAAATCACAGTATAGTTTGTAAACTATATGTGAACAATAGTATGCTTTAATATTATTTTAAACTATGACAACTATAAATGTCAGTCTAGTACATCAGTCTGTACTATGACTGCTATAAATGTCATAGTATCATACATTTAAAAATGTCTTTCTATATTATGATTAAAAAAAAAATCTAATTTTAATGAAGATAAACTTGGGATAGTGAGATAAAAATGTCATAGTTCAGTATGATAAAAAATTCAAATTTTGGTTTCAAAAATGTCATTCTATTGTATGTTATGAAATGTCATAGAACAGTATGATAAAAAAAAATCAAATTTTGTCAAAAAATATCAGTAAAGTATGTTAAAATGTCATAGTATAGTATGACAAAAAACATTAAAATTTTGGTATATTGAAAAATGTCATAGTATAGTATGTTGAAAAAAGTTAAAGTTTAGTATGATAAAAATATTTCAAAATTGGTATGAAAAAAATCTCATAGTATAGTATGTTAAACATGTCAGTAAATTATGTTAAAATGTCATAGTATAGTATGTCAAAAAAAAATCACATTTTTGTATGAAAAAAATGTCATAGTATAGTATGTTAAAAATGTCATAGTATAGTATGTGAAAAAAAGGCCATAGTATAGTATGAAAAAAAAAAAATCAAATTATTGTATGAAAAAAATGTCTGTATAGTATGTCAAAAAAGTCAGAGTATTGTAAGTTAAAAAAATGTCATAGTATAGTAAGGTTAAAAAAATTCAAATTTTTGTATGAAAAAAAATGTCATAGTATAGTATGTTAAAAATGTCATAGTATAGTATGTTAAAAATGTCATAGTATAGTATGCTTAAATATCAGTCTAGTGTGGTAAAAAAAAAAGTCATAGTATAGTATGTCAAAAAAATCAAATTTTTGTATGAAAAAAATGTCATAGTATAGTATGTCAAAAATGTCCGAGTAAACTTTGAAAAAAATTTCAGATTTGGTATGAAAAAAAATGTCACAGTAGAGAATCTTAAACATATCATAGTATAGTATGTTAAAAGAGCTGCTTTCCAGAGGATGAATCACCCAAGGTTTAACTATTCTGTCTTTGAGTAATAAACCCTGTGTTTTAAACCCCTTTTTTTTTTACCACTCTCGACTGATATTTAAGCATACTATACTATGACATTTTTTAAGTACATTTTTAAATGTCTCTGACAAAAATGGGAATTTTTTTACAGGTTATACAAGAAAGCTGACAGGATCAATATGAAGGGGTATATCATCTGTGGAGTAAGAATGGGACTGGAAGAATAGGCTTTATCATCTAGAGAGCATTTTAAGTTTTACTGAAAACCTGCAATAGATTTTCAATTTTTGAGAGGACACGGCAGAGATAAAGGAGTCTTCCACTTTCAAAGTAAGAAACAAATCAGGTAAAAAGGAGCAAGTTTTTCTTATAATGTGTATTTTAATAAATAAATACATGAAAATGTGGGTACAGTTTATAAACTAAGCAACAGAAAGGACTGAACATGCACATTGAAGTGTCTGTGTACAAAAGCAGAGATGAAAGCTTTTAAGTGTGATGTAAGAACACGTCAACAAAAAGGTTTTAACAAACAAGTTTCCAAAAGTTCTAAAAGCGTTTTACAGTGCAAACTGTCATTTTGCTCTTATCAAATGTTTCTCAGTTAAAGCAGTCTTTGATATTGATCAGCGTGGATACATTCAGCCGCAGAGACTATCAACTACATCGTCGTCAATAACACTGAAGAGACGAGCGAAACGACTCGTCTGGACTCAAAGAGAAAAAAAACAGAAAAGAGGAAGACAGACAAAAATAAAAAACTTTTTAAATACAACACAGAAAAAGGTGAAAACACTGTGGAACAAGTTTGATCGAGGATGGCTTCATCTCTGAGTGCAATCAATATCTGATAACTAATCAATAACAGCTGATTTTTGCTCCTTTCTGATGATGTGAAGATTAACTCTCCTTGGATGTTGATTCATTGAGTTGGTGAAAAATCACCTTAAAAAATTCACCAATATTTTGATTTATGATGTTTAATTTTTAGAATTTAAGTGTCAATTTTTAAAATAAATACAAATTAAAATCTTTCAACTTTACAACAAAGAAAATATACCTTAAATACTTCAATTTTGTATTGATCTACAATCACTAATCAGTTATTTTACTGCAAACTAAAAAAATAAAATAAAAAATTTTAACACAAGCTCCCAAAAAGTTCCCAGTTGTTTTTCTTTTTTTAGAATAAGGTGCAGTTTTGTTTAGAAATGTCCAAATACGTGAAATTAAATAAGTAATGAGGCATATTGCATTCACATGTAAACTAGGTTCTGTTTTCTGAATAAATTTCAGAATGACTACATTAAATTTTAATAAATAAAAATTTGCTGCCCTGTTTTTTAAAGTAATGAGATAATTATCTTGTGGTGAAATAAAGCATTCTCTTTCTGAAAAAGAAGGCAGACATTTTTTGTTCGCAAAAAAGTAAAAATTTTTGTCAACATTGTTTAATTTTGAGTAAATTTAACCACAAAAATATTAGTTCTTTTTTAAGCACTAACTTTTTTAAGCATCCAATTGTATGGAACAGTTTAGAGAAAATAAGATTAAGATGTTATCATGAAATTACTATTTTATGTTTTTAAAATTTCTTTTATTATTTTGTTCTCAAATATCAGAGAAATGTTTAAATAATCCTTTAAAGTTTGGTTTAATTTCCTCAAATATCCCAACTTTTATGCAAATATTTAATTTAATTTTAGCTATCCTACTTTTTTATGACCTTTAGCATTGCAACAATTTTTAAGTTGATTTTTTGGGAATGAAAACGAAACAGTGAAAAGCTTTATCGCCTCTCTTAAGATGTTCACTACATTTAAGAAGTTACTTTGGGAACTTTCGAGGAGACATTTCAGTGCAGCAGATGTTAAATGTATTCCTGTATTTATGTTCAATATGAGTCTCTTACGGAGAAAAATCTTTGGAGCCTCAGCTGGTTGTTTCTGAAAAATAAAAAATGATGAGTATAAAAGAGGAAAAAAAGACATTTAAGTGACATTAAAAGACATTAATGTGGAGTCAGATTTAAGGCTTCAGGAGCACAGAGGGAGAAAACAAGACGAGTCACTTTAACATCAACAAACAACTGTGGATCCGATCAGGATCGGGACGCTTCCTCCCAGAACTTCCTGTGTTTGATTCCCTTTAAAACCATCTTCACTTTTGTTGGATTTTCAAGTCTCTTCCAGTTTGTGAGTCGCAGTTTTTTTTTGTTTTTTTTAACAAAGCAGGTAAAAAGTCAGAGCTGGGTAACAGCAAGTGTTTTCTTCGGCGTGTGTGTTTACTGGTTAGTGTGAAATACAAACACTCAGCAGAGCTCAGGTGATACACTGCAGTCTGTCAGGTCGGGGTCACGTCTATCTGGAGTCTGTTTTTATGGCTGAAATTCAAAAAAGAAAACAAAGATAACTTATTTAGGTCCCTTTCTGTCTATAACAATCTGTTATTTACTTTCCACGCTGGTGAGCGATATTAAAAATGTAGGGAACATGTCGCTTCATCTGACGTTAATATTTTCAAGACTTTAAAACTCTTTAATAGAAGTAAAATGAATATTTGTGATTTTTTTTTCTTAGGGGTAAGTCATTACTCCTTAATTTAGCAAACAATCTGGTGATATTATTATAAGAGTATTTGAAACATGTTTTCAAACAGATTTCAATTATTTTTACGATCAGCTCAGCGAAAGTATCAGCAGATACTGAAACAGAAACATCTCAAAGGTTTCCAGTGAACTTTTTACGTTATTTGTGCTCACTTGGACAAACTAGACGTCAAAGTTTAGATGAATACATGTTTGTTTTTCAGATAGTTGAGACCATAGATAAACTCTGACATAAATCTGTGTATTAATGTATAAAAATAATGTAGTTTTGTTGACTTATGTTCCTGTACTGTATTTTTAGAAAAAAAAACAAAGTGATTTGACCCCGCCTGGTTAAATAAACAAAGCTGTCGACATGAACTGATTCCTCTGGTTTTAAAAAACAACCAAAAACTCTTTTATTGACACGCTTTAGACGAAGAATCCCTTTGACATCCGTCTTTGTAGATAAATTAAAAACCAAACTCCACGAGGTCCACGACAAGTCCAACAGAAAGAGAAAGGTGTCTTTAAAAGCAGAAACCTTCAGTCAAGGCGTCTCAGTGAGGAAAGCAGCAGATATTTACAGAAAAACACACATTCGTCACTTCCTCCTCCTTCCTGTCAGCCAATGCCTGTCCACGCTGAGGTCAGGTGACCCCGCAGACGAGCCGGGTCACAGCGGGAACTGAAAAGAAGAAGAGGCACTTCCTGAATGGCTGGTTTGTTTGTTTGTTTGTTTGTTGGTGGTGGTCTCCTCTGACTCTGCTGTTTGGTTGTTGTTCTCGGTGTGGACACCGGGGGGCGCTGCTGCTGCTGCTGCTGTGGCCTGATGCAGGAGGCACTTTGTAGAGAAGCTCTGAGAGAGTCAGGCTCTGCTATGTCATCAGGATGGGCTTCTGCCTGACCTCCAGGATGTCTGCGCCAAGAGAGGAAAGAAGCACACGGAAAAATAAACATCAACAAGACCGAGTGACGAAAAATAAACAACCAATCAGGATCGAGAATAATTCAAAAGTTACGGAGAGACGCAAACTCTGAAAAGAGCGAAAACACAGTCATGTACAGAATAATTAACAGGCTCTCTGCAGGTTTCAACAAGTCAAATTTGAGAATTTTTAAAAACCTTTTGAAGACTGTAGTTAAGATCACTTAAGACCCTTTTTATATTCTTAATGGCAAATCAATCTTAAATTCTACAGCACATTATTAATTTGTAAAGTAGCATTAACTTAATCAATTTTTAAGACCTTTCAAAATCATATTTGCGACATTTTATGAGATTTTAAGAGAATGTTATACATTTTAAAGCCTAAAATTCCAATTTTAGGATTTTAGATGTTTTGAAACTTTTAAAACCCTGAATTAAATTACTTATAAAACAATTAAAAGTCAAGATTAGTGACTAAAATTAGCTGAAACTCTTAAAAGAGCAAAAATACAGTCATGGACGAATTTCCTAAAAGAAGTTAAAAACAGAGTAATTAACAGGCTCTCAGCAGGATTCAACAAGTCAATTTTAACAGTTTTTAAAACCTTTTTAAGACCCCAGTGAATATGATTTAAGACCCATTTTACAGCCATAATAGCAAATCAATATTAATTTCTATGGCACATTATTCATTTGTAAAGTAGCGTTAACTTAATCAATTTTTAAGACCTTTCAAAATCTTATTTAACACATTTTTTGAGATTTTAAGAGTTTTAGACATTTTAAGGCCTTAAATTCCAATATTAGGATTTTAGATGTTTTAAAACCTTTAAAACCCTGAATTGACTAGCTTAAAAAACAATTCAAAGTCAAGATTAGTGACTAAATCAACCAACTTCTTATCTGATTAACAAGAAAAAAGTCCTGATTAACTTTGTAATTGAAAAGCTAAAAGGTAAAGCACACATACTGCGTGATTAAAATGACACTAAATAATAGAATTAGCGACAAACTAACTAATTGATTCATTAACTTCAAAAGATGAAACCAAACAGACAGACAGTTATCAGACTGACTTGAGGAAATAACAAAGTTAAAAGCAGATTAACATCCAACTGAGTAACTAACTCACTGATTAACTTTCTGAATCTAAAAATAATAAATTGATGTTTAAATGAAGCTCTTAATAACAGTCTGTGACCTCTGACCTGCAGTGATGCGGTGCAGTGGCAGCGTGACGTAGGTCAGGTGGGAGTAGAGCAGGAAGTAGTCTTCAGTCCGGTTCAGTTTGAGCCAGGAGCCGACCAGAGAGCGCCCGGTCCCAGACAGAGAGCGAGAGCGCAGGTTGGTGGCCGTGTGAAGATCTGCAGCAGAGAGACAGACATACCATCAGAACCGGCGTCACTTTATCACAGATTATTAGCACTGTTGTTTTTACTGATAAATCAATAATCATTAAGGTCCAGAAAAATGTCAGTTTATCTGATTTTGTGGGTTTAATTTGTTTGAGATTCACCTTCGTCGTCCTCCTCCCTGAAGAACTCCTCGCTGTCGTTGGCCGAGTGAGACTTCTTCATCTCTGCGATTCGGTTTCGGGGCACTTTACGTCTGAGAGACGGGGAGAAGAAGGACGGACGGTTCCTCTCAGGAGTCGGAGGAGTGCTGAACGACGTCACCTGAGGACAGGCGGGAAATTAGGAAACTGACAGACACGTAAAAAACACACTAAACACGAGAAGACAGTGGTAGAAGAAATTACACACGCTTACTTTCACTTCCTGCTACTTTCTACTTCTACTCTTCTACATCTGTGAGTCTAATATCTGAACTTCACTGCTCTCTAACTTCAGTTACTCACTTTCCTCCACCCCCTCTCTGTCCAGTGAAAACCGTGCATCATGAAATCATGAATCATGTAAGAAAGCTTTAAGCTAGCAGAGAGAGGACGTCTGCAGGAGTCCTGCAGGAACACAACCAGAGGGAGGGTTCAATGTCTGTGATTAGGACATACTGGGGAACATACAGAGGAACCATGCTGCTGCCCTCTTGGCCAGGGTAAAAAGAGATTTGTAATCTCAGTGGGACCAACCTGGTGAAATAAAGGCTAGATAATAAATAAATAACAAAATAGTAATAATAATAATAAAGTGACTATCTAATGCCTTCACTGTCCACAGACACTCATGCGTCCGTACATGAGGAAGTTTCTTAATTTCAGTTAAAAAAAAAAATTAAAGGTTTCATTACCGTATTTTTCACACTATAAGGCGCACCTAAAATCCTTTTTTTTGTCTTAAAAATAGACGTGAATAGACGCGTTCAGCGATGGTGCGCCTTATTATCAGGTGCGCCTTATAGTGCGAAAAATACGGTATATTTTAATGTAAATAAACTTTGAAAAACATACATAATTTTGACTTTTTCTACCAGACCTGGACCGTAAAAATGCAGCGACATTAAACAAAGACGCCCCACTGAATGAAAACACAAAATAATTCACAAAATGTAAAAATAAAACACAAAATTTTCAAAAAAACCTAAATATTTTAGAATTTTTAGTAATCCATGCCGAGCAAAAACATAAAAAAAACTTTTTAGACAAACAAATTTCTACAAAGCAAAAATGTATTATTAAATTTTTAAAATAAAATCTTTGTAAAATCATTAAGTGTTTGATGAAAAACACAACATTTTTTATGAAATGCAAAATAAGTTCACAGAAATCAAAAAGATTTTAAAAATACCTGTAAAATAATTTGTGTATTTTTTATCAATCTTTTAAGTCTCACAAATTATTTATTTTTTTGTGAAATAATCATATTCTTTTATAAAATAGGAGGTCCGAAGTCAAGCTTTGTCAGGTCCGTCGAAGAAAACAGTTTTAAAATGAGAACAGGAGCTGGAAGGTCATTAAAGTGGATTCTGTCCCTCCTGCTTTTGCTCTCCATACAGACTGTTTTTCTGTTTTTCTAACCCGCACCCTGATTGGTCAACACTCCTCTGACTACAAACAGTAACCTGAACACATCTCAGACTTAAATCCAGACGTCTCTGTAAAGATTACAAGTTAATGAAGAATAAGAGACTTATTTCCTCCGGTTTCAATCCACAGTTTTGGACCTTTTCAGCTCCGGTCTTATATAATAATCCTGTTTTTCTGTCGCTCACAGAGACAGATTAAATCTACGTCAGCCTTTTCTCCGTTTTCTATGAATCTGGAGGTTTTTGTTTGTTGCTGCGGAAAAATAAACTCAAGCGTCATTTGATGGTGACCTGAGCGAGTCCATCCGGCGTCTGTGAGACACATCTGGAGGTCTGACAGATCAATGATTCATGAATCCGTCCAGCTGCATTTATTATTGATCATGACCTGATTTCATGTCTTTGTGTGGCGCTCATTGAAGCTTTCTGCTGCTGAGACGAGGGTTTTCTCTGTTCTGCTTCTCTGCTGGAGGAAGTGAAGCGGAAAAAAAACAAACTTCTCCTTCGTTTACTTTCAGACCCTGAAGCTGCTTCAACTTCAGAATTATGGAGTTGAGTCTTTACAACATATACAAGCTCAACCTTTTTAACGATTAAAAGCTTAAATGTGTTTCATGTCCTCACCCTCTCATGCATGGGGGACACCTGGTCCTCCTCGGTCCCACAGGGGGAAGTGTCACCCGTTGGCACCCTGCTGACGGCCATCTCTGCGTGACCTTTGCCCTGCGGTCCCTTCATCCTCACGAACTCCATGTTGTTGTATTTGTAGAAGCCGAAAGACATCCGCTGAGCCATCTTCGCCGCAACACTCACCTTCAACGGAAACACACAAATATTCACGTGATGGGACGAGACCCGGGTGATAATCAGCGAGTGTTTGCACCATCTCTCGGCAGTCTCTCACCCGGTTGTCGTAGACCTTCTTCAGGGCCTCGTAGCGGATCGAACCCTGGAAAATGACGCCCTGGAAAGTGTTGCTTTTGTCGCTCGCCACCAGCTCCACGCACACCATCTCTCCTTCGCCCACCGTCATGTCGCTGAACACCTACGGAAATCATACTGTGTTACTTTTCGCTGCAAAGTCCGCCATTGTCCGCATTCATTATTCCAACTCAAAAACCCTGGAGTGCTCTTTGAACGGCGGTGGCAAACTTCCCTCATCTTTTCATGTCTCAGAGGAACCTTTGGCTTCAGACACTGAAACACACACACACACACACACAGGATGCCTGTTGGCTCCTTCAGCTGGCATCGACTTGTTTGGCTGAGAGCACAGTAAGCTGTTTTTTTTTTCTCCTCGCTTCTGAGCACCAAATACCTGCTCATTGATTTCCTCCCAGAAGAGAAATCTCCTCTATCTGGTGTTTTTCCCCCCAGCAGAAACCCCAATAAACCGAGGTGTTAGAGCAGAAGCTTGTTTTTAAATGGAAAGAAAAGACAGCGAGTCACACTTCATTACACCAACCCGCATTGACTCGACGTGCTCACCTACCGGGGGGGAAAACGCTGTCAGCTGCTGTGGAGTCTGAACAGCTTCATTACGAACAGGAAAACCACTTCAGTCCACAGACTTACATTTTATCACCTGCTCAAATATCACATCTTATTATTCTACCCCTGGACTCTTTTTTTTCTCTGTTTCTTCTCTTCAACTGAGCTTCATTGTTTGTGGAGTTTGAAACGTTGAAAAAAAAGTGAACACTGAAAAAAAAAAGGTATTCTCATTTGAAAACAGCAGCATCAGTGTGTTTAAATAAACAGTTAAAGTAAAAGGTCTGGAGAGAAAATTGATGCAATTTCACAAAGTGTAGAGGACCCAGTATGGAGCCCTGAGGCACACCAGAATGATAAATATGAGTAGGTTTAGCATGTTTTAATCCCAACATAAACAGTTGCACATTAAGCTAAATTTAAGTGCATGTTTAACTGCTGGGTAGCTGTAAACTTCATCTTGTATCCTATTTAAAGGTGGGGTAGGCAGGATTCCGTTAAAGAAGCATATTTTTTTGTGGTGTAAATACAAAAAAGCTTTTAATATCAGCCAATAGCTATTAGTAATTGATGGCATTTGATAATATAACAATATCACGGTGAAAGCGACCATGTCTGAAAACGAAGCCCTGTTGGATGAAGGCTCCTGAAGTTAATAATTCACATCAGGATACTCTTCTACAGAAAAACCCATGAATAACTGTTGAAGTAGCAGTCCACCTTTTGGATTAAGCATGAAAAATGTCCTCTGGATGCTCTTTCATTTTATGAAACACAAAAAAATACAATTCAAGATGCTTTTCCAGCACAAAAAGAAGGAAAAAAAAAGCCGTCAGTGCGCATTTTCACCAAACAAAACCTGAGAAAATTGCCCTCTAAATGCCTTTCTTGATAATTATACATTTTCATTTTAAGAAAACTTACCCTCTGGATGCATTTTCAGAAAAAGAAAGTGGGTAAAATTCCTGTTGAATACCATTATAGTAGGGTTCCTACACGGTTGGAGTTTCCATACTTTTCTAAACCCTACTTTTTAGAATTATTTTTGGAAATACCTACTTATCTATTTTAGAAAAAAAGTATTTTTTTTCTGCGATAATAGTCAGGAAACCTAAATATTTTAGGACCTGGAAATTGATCAAATCACTTCCATACTTTCCATACTTGCGTAGAAACAAAGAGCTCAGTGGATGCTCTTAACACAATGTTTCAACAGAATCAGTTTTGTTTCATCAATAACTCTGTTTTTTCCCCAACAGGATTAAATTTCTTCCACTAAATATTGCATTAATATTCACCAGGGAGCGAGGAATTTCACAATAGCTGCTTAAAATTTCTTGGAGGAAGACTCCCAGGAAATTTCAGCTGAACTGTTTTTAATGTGGCCAAATGCTCCACTGGTGATTCCTGGAGGCCCCACCTCACACCGCCCAGGACTTGAAGGATCTGCTGCTAACGTCTCGGTGCCAGATACCGCAGTATCAGCCCACGTCTCATCAGGTCAAGACTGTTGAGACTCTGAGATGATGGGTTCAGAGCTTTTGCAACGTGTACATCTATTTCCAAATGATGTGTATGTGTCGTTTATAAGTGCTGAAGTGTTTTATTTGTGGTGCTTTAAGTTCGATATATAACCAGAGGTACGGTCTGGATCTCTGTGAAGTATTTTTGCTGCAGTTACCTCCTCGAAGTTGTCGATCATGAAGAAGATGTTGGGGTAGCTCATCTTGGACTCCTCTCCTTTGCTGTCCATGGCGTGTTTGCTCGGAGACGCGAACACTTCCTGAGCGAATAAAGACCAACAGCTTCACGAACTCGGCTGTGACTAATGAGTTTTAGATTGAGTTGAACAGAGAGGCGGCTCTGCTGTAACGACAGAGTGTGTGAAGTGTGTTTTTCTTTGTTACCTGACATTTCTTCTTGTGGATGTGGATGTCTCCTGCATCTGAGCGCGTGCAGACGGCACAAGTCACGACGTAATCCAGCTGGAGAATAAGGAGGTGTTTTCAGGTTATTGTGGCGCATGAACACAGAAATTACAAGATTATTGTCTCATATTTTAAAGGTTTGATGTTTTTGTGGTCATTATCTTCGGTTCCTTTTTACCAAGAAAAAAAAAAAAGGTGCATTTCCTCTAAGCGGACCAGTTTGGTAACCTCTGATCTTACACTGGTGATTCATGCAATTAGATTGCAAACTGCATGGTGACCTCCTAACAGTTTGATCTTTGACATGCATGTTTAGATTGCAATGTAAGCAGTATGGATTTAAGCCACCATTACCCACTGAGCAATAGACGTCTAGTTTTTTTAGACTTAATTTCAAAAGTGAAAAGGTTCAGGTTTTTCGACTCTATTATCCTCACAGTCGTGTTTCTTTCTTTGCTGCGAGGATACAGCCCTCAAAGAGAAGAGGGAGCCTCGTAAAACCAGCTGCTTTCAGTAAAAAGGTTATTCATCAGGATAAGGAGTGTCTTGCTCACTTTCTGCAGGATTAGGTTCAGGTAGACGCTCTCCTCCCAGTCGATGTCTGGGTCTCCGAGGCCGGGCAGCTTCTTAGAGTCTCTCCTGTAAACCTCCACCTCCACCTGGAAACAGCAGACACACTTAATCAGCTCCACAGTCCGGGTCAGTCTCAGTTCAGGTGTGCAGGGACCCGGACTCTGGAGGCTCCCTGTCACATCAGATTAAATGTCAGAGGAAACAAGAAGGCTGCACCGTGTTAGCTACAACAAAGAACTTTATTGATTGTTACTATGACAACAGCAGGTGGTACATGCAGGTATGGAGCTGTATCTCAGGTGTATTTGTTCAACACAGACTGCGGCGTTTAGTTATCACAGTTTTCACCGTTCAAAGGAATCAGCTTTGTTGGGTTACAAAATGTAACGTTTTATTTTAAGTTGCAAAAGAATCAATTTTTAATAGACCTGAAGAACATACAGGAAAGAGTGCATGTTACCCGTGTACTACTGTGATAAAATAGGGGATTCTAGGACTGAGCGATATGGCCTCAAATCAATATCACGATATATTGATCAGTTCACCTCGATAACGATAAATGGACGATAACTACTCCACAAGCTGCTCACCCCCTCCCACATTAACTTCGTCTACTTCAGTCGATTTTTTTAAACTGACAGTTTTAAAGTATCTGTACTAAAAACTAAAGAAACTAGAGATTAGTTCAGCATTTTCAGTTACGGCTGACATCTATTTTGCTGCCGTCAGCTTCGCATTTAGCTCCATGTTCGGTCATTCTGTTAACTTCTCCTGTTTACTTCTTTGGCAACATACAGAAGTGAGCAGGAGAAGCTCGACTCTGATTGGCTGTTGTGACCGTTATGTTTGATCGAGTAAATATGCTCTCAGCTGATCACCGTGAACGAAATCATCGATCACGATCATATAATCGCCAGTCCTACATCGAATATACAGATATGGGAAAAATAACGTCTGTAATTGTCGTAAATTTCGGTATCAGTAAATTTTCCGTTTATCGCCCAGCCCTAGAGGATGCAGTTTCCATTATTTCCAAAAAGAAAGTCAAATCTTGATCCAGGACAGCTTTCCACTTCCACTCGGTCCATCTTTGACAGACTCGGGTCCAGAAAAGTCTCCAGTGTTTCTGGATCATGTTTATCTATGCTTTTCTTTTCTCTGTGAAAGATTTGACGTCCATCGAATTTGGATTAATCTGACTACCTGACAGTTTTAAGTTTGTTGGTTTTAGTCCTCGTCCCTTTAGGACAGAGTTTTCCTCCAGATTCTTATTCGTCATAACGTAAATAATAGGAATATAACATTTCCCCACACAATAAACATTATATTAATATTATTTCACAATATTTTACACCCCACAGGAGCACCCTTGGCTCCATCTCTTTCCTCTATCTCTCCTGCAAAACGTCTGTTTCTGTAGGCAGCATTGAGAACAATATGGGCTCAGGAAGGAAGTGAACACCCTTCTTGGGAAAGAAACAACATGTGGCTTCCAACTTCCATTTCTTTTTCTCACAATCAGCAGTTTATTTTGAGCCATTTTTAGAGGCGACATGAAGCAAGAGATCAGACTTGATTCAACTCTCGTTTCATTCTCCTTTGGCCACGTCGTCTGCCTTATTGTGTGATCAGATTCTCTCTCTCTCATGCAGTCACATTCATGCAGCAGAATAAATATGACTGACTAAAATATTAGCCTGGACTAAAGGACATTTAAGACATTCAGACAGACCAAGTTGTGCATTTAAAGATCTGTCTGTCGATGTTTTTTCATGAGAAAGATGAAAAAAATCAGGACTGGAAACAGACTCGCCGACTGAAACTGAATTTTCGCTTCAAACCAGGAAACCGCGACTTTGTGTGTTTGAGGTCTTTGCATCAGCCAGTTTCAGGGCATTTACCATCACCTCTGCACACTCCCAGTGTAACCATGGCAACCACTCCTGTGCTCTAATTGGTTCGTGAGTGATATGAACGCTGGCATGTGGAGACCTTGTATCTCCCTGCAGACTGAAGGATGTGAACCCTTTAAAAGCAGGTGAAGACGTCAGGGACGGACTGAACATGAAATCCTGTGAGTCATGTTTTAAAAAGACGCGAATAAATACTATTATATTAAAAAAATCTTTCAACGTCTGTACATCCATGCAACAGTCTGCATCCTAAGACAGCAAATCACCTCACAGGTCCTCAGAAGAATACACAAACAAACAGACACTTGAGTCTCTATAGTGTGAGCTTGTGTGTGTGTGTGTGTGTGTGTGTGTGTGTGTGTGTGTGTGTGTGGACTGCAGCTCGCCGTTTCTCTGTACGATGAGACAGACAGAGATGATGGTGATGGGAGCTTTTAACCCCACCTGGAAGCAGAACAATAATGTGTAGCCATGGCAACCGGGCGACGGAGAGCGATGTAGGACATAAAGGCAGACAGAGGAAGAGCGTCTAGACGAGGAGCTCAGAAAATGTAATTATAAAGAGAAGAAAAGAGCACGGCGTCAGATCTACTGAATATGTTCCTGTGTATACGCTTTGATTTTTTTTTGTTACTTATTGGTCATTTTACTCCTTTCAGACGAATCTCCAATTATTTGAGGCACTTTTCTGCATCCAGCCTGACTAGAGATAGATACAAATGAAAAGATTTTAATGTTTCAAAGCAGTTTTAAACAACAATCAACCACATTTCTATTTTTTCTTAAAATATATGTTAATATCACAAGTTAAAACACCCTAATTTGATGAGAATTAACATGGTAACTAATCAATAGTGGTGTGTCGTTCACGGACGATTTGTTCAAAAGAACCGAATCTTTTGAGTGAATGTACTCAACCGAATCACTTCCTCAAGTACAAATAAAATGAATAATTATTATTATTATTATTAAGTGATTCGTTAGTTTCCTTACTTCACTTGAGCTAAAGTGAGAAACAGCATTGCCAGTTGAGCAGCCAAACACTCTCATCTCCTGGTCCCAGAAGCTATGAACTGAACTGAATCTTGAACGTTCAGCTGTGTATCAGTTTAGGAGGTAGGAGGCTTTTCCCTCCAAACGCTAGATGATTCTGTGATTTGGTGATCGAATCTTTTGAACAAATCTTTTTAGTGAACTGATTCTAGTGATTCAGTACATCTAAAAGACCTGCCGTACCCATCACTCCTTATTAAGTTTTAAGATTTGAAGCAGGAGGTTCAGTATCACATGGATGCAGAACATAATTTTGGATGTCAGAGCCACCAGATCATCCCTGACCTCCCCGGAAACTCTTTAAAGATGTCAAAAAAATGCAAAATAAAAATCAAACTACACAAACAGAAACATCTTCCTCTGTTCTTCATTTCTGGGGAGTTTTTTTTGTCCCTTTCCAAACTTCACAGGTTAGATTTAGGGTCCAAAAAGCCCAACTTGATGTCATAAATGATCATTTTGTCTTAAGAATCACGGGTTAGTTCAATGGCAACAGTGGAGGAGGCTTCCAGAGAGCTGTCAAATCAAAAGAAAGTAAGCAATACACAGTCTTTAATTGTTCATTAATAAACTGCTCCTCACCTTTTTCCCCTCGGTGTTGTCGGCACTGACGTAGGCGAGCTTCCTGCGGACGTAGAACAGCATGTCGTCCTGACGTGGCGCCCATTTCTCCATGAAGTAGGTGGAGAACATCCAGGTCCAGAACACGATGCGGTCATCCTTAAAACAGCCTGAAAAATAAAGAAAAATGTAAAAATAAAGGATGAGCTTTATGCTGCGTTTAAGTGCTGTCTACGGTGGCCCTGAAGGTCAAATGCAAAAACAATTCATTACTTTTAAAAACCATTACAATAAAAACCAAAATACACACAAAAAAATTGTGTTTTTATTTGATGAAATGTTTGTGCAGTTGACCTCAAGGGCCACAGCAGTGATCAAAATCCCAGGAAAAAGGTTTCAGACATTTCAACACAAGTTAAATTCAGACTCTGCTTCTCTAGGATTAGCAGCTGTGTGTCATTGTTAATTCACTTTGTCAGAGTTTATTTTATCAGAGCTGCTAACAGACGACAAGTGAGGACAAGAGACAATCAGCATTAAAGAAGAAGAGCAGCTGTGGATCTCTGGAAATGAGGGTTTTACTCGAGCTGAATATAAAAAAAGGTTATGGACACTGCGGCTACAGTCTTTGTACGACAAGATGAATGAGGGACGTCGGCTCTGTAGTGGAAACAAAAACATTGTGTATTGGCATTTGATTTAATTTCACAGCAGAAATTGGATTAGGTTAATTTAATGTTGGACTGAGAGGAATAACCTTGTTTGTATCGATCCACTCGGGCTTTGATTCGATTATAAAAACACCTGAGCTGAAGGAGAGAAGGTCATCTCAGTGAAAGTTTCTTTAGACGTTCAAACTTAAGTATCTTGGTGGTTTAAGTATGAACATACAAGTAAATTTAGTAGATTTATTAGCCTCCTGCAGAGTTCAGGGATGTTGGCAGGGCCGTCCAGAGTTTTAGAGCTATGGTCTGAAAATCTCTAACACCATGATGAAATATATACTCCTAGATTTAAGCATGATGGCATGGAAAAGGAACCTTATATTCAGTAAAACAGTGTGCGCTATCCTTCCTGTGCAATGGCTAAAATGTCAGTTTTATCTGCATTAAGTTGTAAATTATTCTGGATGGAATAAATGCAATCCAGATAACCCACAGACCTCATGTGAACTGGGGTTGTAAGTCATCTATATATAGATGAAACAAAATGGTGAAACTGTAAGTAATCTTTTAATGAAAGCAGACGAAGGGAAAAAAGTAAAGGCCTCAGGAAAGATCCCTGTGGAACACCAAAAGACAGCGGTGAGGATTCTGAGACAAGATTTTCCTCAGAGACGGATAAAATTCTTCGAGAAAGACACGTCAGGAGCTTTTTAATTCCAGTATACTGTAGAAATACTAACTTACTGGCTAAACCTAATAAAGATAGACAGATTTTGATTTTTCAGGGCCAATACCTGTACTGATTAATCGCCGTTCTCGAGACTGATAATTGATATTTAGAGCCGGTATGCACTGACAGTAAATATGGAAGAATTTTTGTCAGAATTGGAGCATCACAAACCTTGCTAAGTTCTTTTTCCAGTACAGCTAGGTCACACCATCTGGCCAATCAGAGAGTGTTGTGGGCGGAACATAGTCTGAGACAAAATGAAACAAGAAACAGACCAAAAGTAGCAAACTTTTAAATTAGTATTATCGAACCATCTGTGAAATAAAACGCTGACATAGACAATCAGCCGAACGGCAAATGTCAGCCTCGACAGTCAGCCAAGGCCAAGAATTGATCCACCCTTAAAACCTGATAAATAATTCACAAAGTTCGTCCTGTTTTTACCTTATTTCACCTCAAGGAGGCGGGACGGCACCATTCATGATGCACATCGATTGTTATAAAGGCTAATTTTACATTGACTTGCTGGTGTTTCTACACAAGAAGGTGCAAATTACCCCAAAAATTGCACCAATAAAGCCTCAACAGATTATTTTGATTCGCATATTTTTAGATTTAGAGCTTCTTGGACTTTCTGAGGATGTCACTGCATTTAATTTTTAATGAAAATGTTTCCCCTTGAGTTACAAACCTCCTGACATAGAGACAAACAACTATCTTAACTAGCATCTAAATCCTCAGGATTAGACGAGTGCCAACAGCACAAAATTGTGTTTTTCCACACTGAGTCAGGCTAATTTCTTGAAAACTTTCTGAATAAAGCTCTCCCTTCGAGCAGCACGTTAATCAGCGATGTGAACAACACATCAGCTCAGAGTTCAGGCCAGCGGCCAACACCCGGCACTCAGCGTGGAGAGAGGGAAAACGACCTCTGGGCTGAGTCCAGGCAGATTTGGCACAAAGGATGTTCTTTTTAGATAGAGGTGAGTCAGTGAACACAACCTGCTGGCAAACAGAGAAGAAGAAGAAGCTTCCAGAAAACTGAAGCCGTCACTGAACATCACATCTGATCGGTAACTGGAAACACAGCCAGAGGAACACATAAACCAAAGTCCTCTTACTCACCTCTGTGAGCGGCATTAAGTCATATTTCTCTAGAAGGAGCGGGAATTTATTTGCAAGTATTGATGGATGCATTCCCCTATAAAGTACTTGGCTAAAAAATACTCATTTTTAATAATTTTTATCATTACCATTCCCCAAAATAACAGATATCTTACTGTTTTAGAAGAGGTGGTAACAAAAAAATGTCATAAAATAAAAATATTCAAAGAGTTTGAGGTGCTCATAATTCCTCGAGTATTTCAATGTTATGCTACCAATTTTTTTTAAACCTCATAATTTTTAAGAAGCTTAATTAACAAGTTGCACTTTTTTTATAAATGCAATCTACTCTATCTGCAAAAGCCTGAAGAATCTCTTCAAGCAGGATAACATTTCTGTTATGGATGTTTTCCGCTTTCTGCCTCAGAAGGGGGAATTCGTTGCACTAGTAGCATGCATGAAAGCAGCGCATGTGCAAAGTTGAAGAGAAGGAATGCGTTGACCTAAATGCATTTCATGCACAATTATTTAACAACAATGTAGACTTTCATAAACAAATATTTGCACATGAGAGCGGCTGGATTGAGAAAGTTTGCTCACTCTGACTCTATTCTTGTCCCTCAAAGTTGGAAGTTTGACTTAAAATATCAACTGCATGACAGAGGAGGACGTCTTAGCCAGCGTAAATGCCTTGACCCTTGACCCCAGGTGTTGGTGTTATCACTGTTCAGTGTTATGATCAGTTTTATATCAACAGATTACAAAGATTCAACACAGCAAAAACTTGCTAGGAGACCTGATTTTCCAGGTTAAGGTGTTTAGAGTTGAATATTTCTCTTCTAACCTGCTCATCTGTCACGTTCTTCCGGAGCAGAGTACAGTTCTGCAGCAGCCTTCATAAAAGTCTTGTTCTATTTTAAGCCACATATTCCATTTTAAAAATACATCAACTGTGGTAAGAAGCCCGGCGCACTATCACCCGTCGTCTGAAGAAAGTGAGCTGAATCACCCAAAATCTATCTGCTGTGGACGCCGAGAGGAGTATCATAGACCGAGTTCAGGCTTGTTGTATATTTCATGACAGTTATATAAGACTCTGTGGGGGCTCGCTGATGCTCCGTCAAAGCTCCAGTGACCTGGATGAAAGGATGAATTGAAGGATGGATGGATGGACGGACCGGAGTAGAGATGATGGACAGAGGCTTCTTTGTTTACTGAGCCAGAAAGGTCAGAGGTTTAGATCCGACAAGAGTTAGACTCAGGATTAGAAACATATTCACTGAAGAAAAAGAAATTCAAAGCAGAAATGTCTTCAGTTTGTTTGCCACAACACGCCAACCAAGGCCATACTACTACATCCTTCTCAGTGACAAGAACCAACCACAAGACCACCTGAAGCTCCAAAACTAATCCTAGAGCAAATCCATGACCTTCACTGGACTCTTAAAATCAATCTTCATGATAGAAAAACCACCTAACAAGACCTGTGCAACCTCCTGCAGGACTTGAGCATCTGCAGCAACATTATCAGAACCCTTAAAACCACCAAAAGAACCGTTTAAATAAACAGGAGTGTTGCAAAACCTGTTCCTCAACAACCACTAAAACCTTGATAATCCAAGAACCTTTTGAATGATTTCTAGAACCTAGAAACTTATTGATCCAAGGAACCTTTTCAAATGATCAGAACCCCTTACAAGACCATCTAGTCTCCAAAAAAACCTTAGAACCTTCTAACAGATCACTGCAAGCTCCTACCTGACAACAGGGACTTCTTTAAGTACCCTTAAACCTTATCACTGATCAGTAGAACTTTTCACAGGACCACTTGGACCCTAAAGGGGCTGGAGTGCCCAATCATTGATAGCTAAAACCTTCGACTCTCAAAGAAACGTTGGAACCAAAGAAATCATCACAACCAGGTCAAGGACCTCAAAAGAAAGCAGAAGATCTAAGCCCTCTACAAGATCCTATAAACTCATTAACACCCAAGAACAGTATCATGGATCACTAGAACTTCTTGCATGACCACATAGACTCCAAAAGAAACCCAATGATCACTACATCTTCTTACAAGAAGACTTGGACTCCTTCAGAGATCACCTAAACCTCCCCTTTAACTACCAGAGGACTCCTAGTCTAAGCAATGACTTGAATCTGATTCAAAGCTACTTCAGACTCCTAAAAGACCCCTTCAACCCAATCACTGATCTCTAGAACTTGATTAAGAAGAACCATGAGGAGACTAAAACTCAATTCCTGATTCCCAGAACCTCCAACAGGACCATGGATTTGGACTACTGAACCTGTACTTAGAGACATTTGGATCCTGCTGTAAAATGACTGACACCCATGTGACCATCCCTGTGTCACCCTGTCATGCGGTCGGGTTGAACAAATGAATCAGCGAACGTATGGGTCATGTGATTCGGCCCGTCTTTCCTCTGTTTGACATGAAGCGCTGGAACTGATGACACGCAGCAGGTTAGCTGAAGGATTAGCTCGGAGACGTCAAACGGATCAGAACGCTCCTACAGGATCCTCCAGCCGGCTCCCTCATGACAGCGCAGACTAATCCTTCAGTCACAGTAAAGACTTCCTGTTTCTCCAGCAGATCAGAGTTCAGCTGCTTGACATCATGAGGAGGATCTGAAGCTGCTTTAGTGAATAATGACATAAATCAAGCAAAGCAGTCTGTGCGCTGAGAAAACATTAACATATGCAAACTGCAGAGGTGATGAAGCACTTTACAAATGTTTAAAATCAAACAACACTAAGGAGATATCTGATGTGACCACAAAACTCCTCCCCCCAGACTTTTCTGGTACATTTCAGAGACCATTAAAGGGATATTCCGGCGTAAAATTAAGTTAGGGTCAAACACACCGTAACAAAGAGTTAGACACCCCCTCGAGAGATGAATGTTGCCGGCCACTTGCTTCTCTAGTTATACCAACTTTAGAAACGACAGCAGATAGCAATACAGAGAGTCACGCGCTCAACCAAAACGCCACTCTATAGCCACAAATAATGCTCAGAACAGCACCTAACTTCATTAACAGGACATATAAGGTCTCAGCCATTGTACTAGACACCAAACATCTTTTTAACTTTGACTAATTTCTTTAGCAAAGAGACTAAACACAACTCAACTACTCTCTTCCAGCAGCCACTTGTTTCGTCTGCGGCGGGGTGACGCAGCTCAAGGAAGAACATTTATAATCACTACTCTATCGTTTCCTTTAAGTAATAATCACCATATTAATCATTTTGCACGGCAGACGCGTTAGTCCTTCTGCGTCCCCCCGCACAGTCTGTAATGGACAGGCCTGGAGGTCTCCGTACAAACAAACTGCTGCTGGAAGAGAGCAGGTGAGTTGTGTTTAGTCTGTTTTCTAAAGAAATCAGGCAAAGTTAAAAAGATGTTTGGTGGCTAGTACTATGGCTGAGACCCTATATGGACTTTTGATGAAGTTAGGTGCTGTTCTGAGCATTATTTGTGGCTATAGAGTGGCCTTTTGGTTGAGCATGTGGCTCTCTGTATTGCTATCGTGCGGTTGTTACTAAAGTTGGTATAACTAGAGAAGCAAGTGGTCGGCAACATTCATCTCTCCAGGGGGTGTCTAACTCTTTGTTACGGTGTGTTTGACTCTAACTTAATTTTACGCCGGAATATCCCTTTAATGGTCTCTGAAATGAACCACAAAAGTCCGGGGGGGAGGAGTTTTGTGGTCACATCAGATATCGCCTCAGTGTTGTTTGATTTTAAACATTTGTAAAGTGCTTCATCACCTCTGCAGTTTGCATATGTTAATGTTATCTCAGAGCACAGACTGTACAATGTAAACAGATGGGAGACGTCCCACTGTGGACTCCTTCTGTCTGAGGTGTCCTGCAGTCAAATTATACACAAACACATCAGTGTGTGTGTGTGTGTGTGTGTGTGTGTGTACTGTACTCGTACAGTAAACAGAGACAGGTCTAGATTATGAAGCTTGGAAAAAATGCTGAAATGAGAGATGCAGATGGTGCCACTGTTTTCACAAAGACACTGAGTCAGACGGCATTAAATATTCAGCAGGTTTGTAATCATTTCTGTCTGTCGGGCTGAGTCACAGCCGGCTATTTTTACCGTACAGTAACGCTCATCACGTCACGCAGTTTGTGGACGACCTGCTTCGATCGATGGACCTGCAGATCTATTCCTCTCTGCACACTTTCTGCTGCTGTCGGAGTATTTATAGATCCCACAGTGGAGGGATACGCTGCTGTGTGAGGAGGTAATTAAACCTGAATCATTGATGTTCATCTCTGTGTCTCGTCTCGCTGCTGCTTAAACTGATTTATTAAAGACACCGGAGAACTTGCTCAACTTTGAATGTGTAGTTTCTAATGAAAACAAAGATAAATTAAGTTGTCAAGTGAAATAATTAGAAATGAAGTGTTACAGACTGGGTAGAAAGCACAGAAAAGGGGTGAAATACGCTGTCTTCAAAGAGAAACCATAAAAAAACTCAGTACCAGCTACATTTCTGCAACAGTCCTTTAAAGCACCAACGATACAAAGTCAAAAAAACACTGTTTCTACTCATTAAAGGGTGGATTTTTGAAATGCAACATGGGAAGAAGGTCTCAAAGTCATTCAATGAGAATTAAATTAAAGCAAAATAATTCTAATTAGTGAGATATGGACTAAGTCAGACCACTGAGGCACTTAAACAACCTCATTTTTTGTTGCCCTAATAACACAAAGTTCTAGTTTTTTTACAATAACTACTGTATTTAGAATGAGCAGTTTATAACGTTAACATAAATGAGTTAGAAAGATTTTAAACTATGAAGTTGGGTGGCTCAATTAAGGTCGAAATCATCATCACGATTGTTTTGATTTTAAAAATAATCTCCCATGATTAGACAATTCTGCATCACGTGTATTTTAGCAACTTAAAACCTCCATTCAACGTAAAGACTCTTAATTCTTAGAGAACACAATAAGTGAAAATAAACCTAAAAATCTCACATATCATCTTTTCAGGCTTTTATATAACATCTTTTCTCACTTTTCAGACCTGCAGTTGTTGGTCTAAGTCGCTCATGCTCACTCGTTATCGTAACCATAATCATAAGCGTTTCAACTGCAGCATCGCTCTGAACTGCAGCATGTTTCTCCTGATGGAAATCCCTTTGGCTGTTGCAGAGAAATCCCCTTGTTGGCCTCCACAGAAAGCAATGAAATAAACAATGCTTTATGGCGTGACACAGCACTTAAAAAATAAACAAAAGGCTCAGAATTACTCAGACTAAGACTCAGGTGTGTTTATAAAAGAGCTTATTAGGATTTGTGGTAACTTATCTAAACCGTAAGGGTAGAGTTTTGACGTAAACTCGTCACTTTAAAACCTCCAGAAGAGGAGAGGGTGTTGGTGTTCGGCAGTGACATCTTCAAAAAGGAGGCAGAGATAAAAACATTATTACTGACAGGAACAAACTACCAACCTAACACAAAGAAGAACAACGGTAGAACAAAGTCCTGAGTCACTGTTGATGCTGTCAGATCTGACTCAGAGTCAGCAGCCCGAGGAGGACCAGCCAAGGACACACACCACCAACCCCGGACTGAAACACACCAGCTACACCCCGTTAACACACACACACAGACACACAGCAGTCTGCAGACAGGAGGAAAAGTCTGAACAATTTGTACCTTCAAATATCATCCTTACATCAAAGCTGCAAGAGCCACATGAAAAAGACCAAAACGTGATCTTAGGGGTGAACCGCATGAACTCTGTGACCCCAAAACATTTTTTTTAACAATCATGGCCGAAAAAGAGGAAGAAATTAAACAAAAGAGAGGAGAGCAGGAGAAAGCAGGAGGAATGTGTATTTGTGTATGTCTGAAAAGCCAAGGGACAGAATGAGACCTTCATACTCCTTCTTTCGATTATTAGGGGGGAAAAAATCTGATTACCGATTAATCGGCCAATTTTTTTAATTTTTATGAAGTTATAAAAACACATATGTAGACTATATCAACAATATACTATATACTGTAGATATACTGTAGGCTACTGTTCTTTACGCTGACAGGAAGACAGACTGATCAAACTCAGACCAGAAAAAGTGTTTTCAACTCTGCTGAGCTGTGAGGTAGTTAGTGGATGAAGATTGTCATGAGGTCGCTGCGCCATCTACAGGCTAAGTTGGGGAACTTTTCAAATGGCGGAACATTTTCGGAATATTTCTGAAAATATCGGCGAAAATTGGCGAGTTTTGGCCGATTACCGATTAGTCTTAAATGGGCTAAAATTGGCAGATTTAATCGGCTCACCAATAAATCGGTCAGGTCCTACTTTAAATGGTTGAAGTTATGTCTTTGGAGGCATAATACCTTAACACAGGGCTCGACAGTCCGACCATATCACTCACATTTACGACTAAAAATAGATGTGTGTGAATTGCAAAACGTATTTTTGCTATGGCTATCCGACGGACATTCACTGCTGATCTACCGGTGTGTCTTCTCACTCTCCATAACCGGGAATAACAACAGCAGTGCGGTTAAATCTACTCTGCACTCTCGCTGTCAACGTCAGGCATTGAATAAGGGACCATCAATAAATTACTGGTTGATGTTCGCAGAAAAGGCTGTTTTCTCAAATGGTCATGTGACAAATTGGCCTAAAATTGATTTCAAATAATAGTACTTATGTGAACCAATAAGACACACCTCTTTAGTTCCCTAATTTGTCCTCATACATTTTTTGTGTTGAATTTAAAGGCTTCCATGTCACATGACCAATTGACCTAAAATTGATTTTAAATAATAGTACTAATGTCGACCAATAAGACAAACATTATTTGATCAATTTTCATTGTGCCCCATAAGTTCTTTGTGTGCTCCTTGTGAAAAAATTTAGTGTCAAGCCCTGTTAACGTCTTAGTAAGAGTTTGTTGAATTTTATATTTTTCTATGAATTAAAAACCTATGAATTTGTTTCCAGTACATTCAGAACATCTCTGAGTTTTAGGTTCCTCACTTAAATTAACCCTTTCAGCTGCAGTGAAACACTCTCCTCCTCGCTCTCTCTGCAGCTGAAGAGTCTGCAGGCTGATAAACAGCGTCTGTGATGAAGTCATGGGCTTGTGAACAAAGATCCATTGATTTCTCCATCAGGATAAAATGAGCCACAAAAACAGGCAGCGCTGCACTCTGCTGAGATCTGACCCGGGATCTGATCCCATCTGCACACCTCCGCAGGTAAAAGCCGTCACAGTGACAACTGCCATCACAGTGAAGCTGCAGGACACCGATCTGCTCACCTGAAACCCTCCATCACCTGCAACCTCTGCTCAGGACTGTAGACACACTGTTATAAATAAATATATCAGCTACTACCAACATGAACACAACTCATCTCGACTTCTTTATAGTCGGAATTTATTATTTAACAAAATAAAACCGTAATCAAAGAACATCAGTGACCATTTTGGATGAACTGAGAGGGAGTGGAAAACTGCTGAAGGAGGACCATCCAGCTTGTCATCAGCTCACAGCTCAAAGCCAGCGCCCCTGATGGTATGGGGGGTCATAAGTGTCTATGTCATGGGTATCTTCCACATTTGTGAGGGCTCCATTAATGCTGAACAATATCTACAGGTTTAGGAGCAACATCTGCTGCCACCCAGACAAAGACTTTTTTAGGGAAGATCTTCATACTTCATCCAAACCATATCTCCAGGAATTACAACGATGTAATTGGCTCTGTAGTAGAAGAGTCCTGCTGGGAAACCGACCTGCTGCCTGCAGTCCTGACTTGTCACACATCTGGCACATCACAACACAAGATAGGACAAAGGAGACCCTGAACTGTCGAGCAACTGAAATCCTCTGTCAAGCAAGAATGGGAGAATATAGGGAAGAGTGGGGTAAAATAAGCCATTGTACATATTTCAGATCACTCCATCGAGGCAATCATAGTTTTGTCTCTAACTTGTGTATCTGCATATATTTCAAGATGTTGTTCATCCCTGCAAACCAACAGAATGAGTGTAAACATAACTGTTTTCATAATATAACATGCCAAAAAAAAGTGGTCTCCTATGGTCAACTTACCCCGTGTAAGTTGAGTCGTATGCCTAGCCCAGCCCTCCCTCAACTTCTCTCTTCCTAAATAACAGTCACTTCTTCACATTCATGTGTATTTCTTTTATCTATTATATCTTTTAACCCTGCATGAGACTCGGCTCCTGTTTTAGTGTTTTATGGTTTGTTTTTAGTTATTTGTTTCTATTGTTTTTGAATTAGTTTTTAAAAACATTGAAACTATATTTCACTTTTTAATATCTGCTTTTAAAATCCATTGATTTAATAGTTTTTTGGTTGTTTTCTTATGTCTGTGTTGTTTTGTCTGTTTATGTACAGCACTTTGTCCAGAATCAGAATCAGAATCAGAAAATCCTTTATTGTCATCATACTAAAACTACAACAAGATTGGAGAACTTCTCCTTTTCCAGTGCAATAGACAAGTAAAAATAAGGTAGTAAAAGTACAAATAGTTGTAAGAAAGAAGGTACTATATTTACAAGACAAGAATTCTACAGAACAGTCAAATAAAATGTATGTATCAGAATAAAATAGAAAGGTAAATACAAGAAAGAAATATCAAATATAAATTCACTTTTTTAAGAGTGAAAAATTGTGGGGTTTTTTTGGGAAATAAATGTCTAACCCCTTCACCCATGTGCTTCTAACCTTCACAGACTCCATGAATTGTTGCCCATCTCCTAAATATTTGGTCACATGATCAATTTCTTTGATCATTTCCAAGCAACAGGAGGTGGCTCAACTTATCCCACTCTCCCGTAGATCTTCCCAGACTCCAGAAAGTGGTAACCCGGGTTCACAAACTGTGTTCATTGTTGGTGAAAGAAGATGTGATGTGACACAACAGTAAACATAACCCCTGTCCCCAACTTCTCTGAAACGTGGAGCTGATATAAAATCAAAATCAGCAGATATTTTATAAGCATCAACATTACATTTGTTTTATTGAAAGTGTTTTAGATTAAATGTGGGCTCAAAATGTTTTTAAACCTTTAAATTTAATGAATATAAAAATATATTAGTGTTACTGTATCTTCTTTGTACTTTTACCACCAAACTGCTGAGATAAAGTATGAAAATATTGAATATGAGGGTCTAATGTGTGTAAATAAAGCTGATTTAAATGACTAAAGAGCCCTAGTCCCTCTGAGGGCCACACAGATTTATAACGGGTTGATAAGCTCACCCAGCCCGCTGATCTCCTGTCGGATGTTCAGTCGGTTCCTCTCGTCGGCGATGGCCTTCAGCATCTGCTGCAGGGATCCGTCCAGCTCTCCGTTCTCCTCCTCCGCGGGCCCGACAGCCTTACACAAACCGGGGAAGGACGCCATCTCCGAGCTGGGATCATGACAGTCCGGGCTAACAGCTACCGACGGCACCGGTTCACGGCAGCTAGCAGGCAGGCAGGCGGCTAAAAAGAAGAGCAGGAAGCAAGGGGAGGAGGGGGGAAGACCTGAAATTAATCCCGAGGAGGAGGCTCTGAGTGCGGCGCCGCAGACCCGCGGGAGCCGGTACCGGTCTGCTGTACTGTGGTACCGGAGACAGGAGCAGGTAGGTCGAGGTGCTGTGGGGGACTCTGGTCCTTCTGTTGTGCAGATCAGCTGGAAACACCCCTCGCACTTCCTGTAACAACACGAGGCTTTTAAAGAGACAGTGCGCCTGAATGCAAAGAGAAGGGACTGGTGTTACGGCGATTTCTGCCAACCGGATCAACCAGTAACCGGAACCGGAACTCCCTCGATTTTCACACAACAAAACTATTTCGCATTTCAATGAACCAAACCGTATAAATGTGTCTGTGTTGACTCATATTGTTACTCTTGATTAAAGACTAAAACATAATACAGCATGGTCTAATCTGTGGTAGCCCCATAGGTCAACTGCACAACATTACGTGAAATGAATTAAAGGGATATTCCGGCATAAAATCAAGTTAGGGTTAAACACACCATAACACCGAGTTATGTGTTTCATAATGTTCTTCCTTTAGCTGCATCACCCCGCTGTAGTCGATGGACAGCAGAACCTGAATGTTGGTCTGCTTTGTTCCGGAGGCTAATGGTTCATGAAACAAACGCACCCTCTTAGCATAACCTGACAGTCAGTGAAGTTAAGCGCGATAGTCCCCGCCCGGCTGACCAACAGAAAGGAGCGAATTTAGTTGTACAACGAGTGTCATAACTTCATGTTTCACATCAACATTTAACAAGTAGTTTGCTATTATTTAAAAAGAACATTGAAAACTACAAGGAAACTCTGACGTTTTACCTATTTCAGGCAGCTTACCTGTTCCGTAAAAATACTAGAACACAGCATGGAACATAACAAAGGATTTTCACAGCTTAGTTTGAGTACATTAAATTCTAAAGAAGGCGGTATTAACCGGTCAAGCACTCTTTCTAACCGACCGTTGACGCCGTAATTAGCTTTGTAACTGCTTTTGTTAAGCGACGGATTTTGGTTTTGTAGTTTTGTGTCACTTCAATTACTTTAAGGATAAACATCGCGACTTCAGCACAATTAGTCAACTAAAAGTGACATATTTGTTCATGAAACAAGTAAAACTACTGGAATTACAGCCTTACGCGTACGTAGGAAATGACGGGTAACAGAATTCTTCGTAACACCGGGGGTTGCACCGCATTGAACTCCGCCTGCGTCGCCGTCGACACACGGTCTGTGAAAGGAGTGCACCCTTTGTTTTAAGACAAAAGATGACGTCATTGCCTCACGAGCTCCCCAACGTCGATACAGTGAGGAAAAAGTGGAAACAAAAATCTGATTTTTTTACGGTCATTTTACGGTAAAACTGAAGTCTGTTAAACTCTTTCAACAGGAGAATTGTCATTAATATGTTATAAACGAAATTTAATAATGTATCAACTGGATATGAGTGACTGTATGTCAGGATTTTAGGGTTAGAGGGACTTAAAACCCCTTAATAAAAACAAAAAACATTTACCCCTTATTTAAGAAATTATGTCTGACTTATTTTACAACAATAAGGACTACCAGAAAGCATATTCTTAACATAATTATGCTGTTTAAGTGGAAATTGCCTAATGAAATAGAATGTGACATTTAAAGTACATCTTTATGTCTGAATTTTAAGATGTCATGTAAAGATATTTTCAAATTTTTGACAATCTAATCGAAAATGTAATGAAAGCAGGTCTGTGAACTTATAATGTCTCAAGCATATTTAACTGTAAGTTATGTACAAACAAATTTATGGGTAAAAATGTGTAACTGCACCTTGACTTTAAAATCTGATTCAATTTTTACCAAATAAAAACAATTAATTTGGCAAAAATGTCAAAATTTTGACAAGAAAATTTCATCTTACTGACTTTTGACAATCAAATGTATCATTTATGGTTAATATTTGATGTAGGAAACAAACAAAATATACAAAAGCTCATACTTTTTGGGTTTAAAGTTACGATAAAAACATTTTATAAGAATAACTCAGAAATTTGACATACAGAAGTGCAAATAATCATAGAAAGAGAAAATAATAATAAACATGTTTTTTTATGACTCCACATTTTTCTCTTCTTTCCTCTCTTTTGACCTTCATGGGCCTCTGTTCAGATAAAAGAATTAAACAGTATTCAGACAGTGGACTCATTAACCTGCAGAGATGGCCCAGGTGGCCGACCCTCAGTTGTGCTGAGAGGAGTCTTATAATTAGACAGACACTTAATTAAAACCTGGAGCTCAGAGTACATCTAAAATTCCAGCACATGGTCTCGAGAAAACTGATGTCATATTCATGTAATTATTATAATAAAAATAGAGATTTAACTTGTTTTTACACGTTGATAGAGACTTTTACCATCATCTCGAAGACAGATGACAGATGTCCTTGCTGATACCTCACATACCTGCTCAGTAAGAACAGAATGTGCTGCATCATCAGCTCTCTGGAGCTTAAAGCTGCTTCTCTGCAGTTTTTGCACACATTTCCACACGTCCCTGCATCTTTTAAAAGTCTCTCTTGGTGCAGTTCATGTTTTCTCTTTTCTGTGTTTTATTTCTGCTGAGGAAGAATCAGATGAAACTTCTGCAACTCGACCCTGCAGCAGTAACTGAGGTCGTCTCTCCAGATCTCAGAGCGGGCCAGAGGGATTGAAGCGAGGCCGAGGGAGGGGGTCAGACCTCTGGTTGTACTCCCTTCCGGTGATGCTGGGCAGCGGGGAGGCGACAGGGATGGGGGGCGGGAGGAGGAAGTGCACATTGAAGAAGGAGCTAGAGGCGAGGAAGCAACGGCGGCGTTCATGAAAGCGTTTATAGAGCTGAGGACAGAAATGGTGACAGGAAATGTCAGTATATGAGCAACGGGTTCAGGTCCACAATAGTCTCTGGTGTTTCTGTATCAGATTTATATCTGGTTTCGCTTTCAGGATGGAAGATGTAGCGTCCATGTTTTGAATAAGAACAACAAATTCTGATTTGATATGTTGTCTTATTTAAAAAGTCTTCAAATGTTTCACAAAACATCAAACTCTGCTTTTATAGACACTCTAATTTACAAATGTTTGCTCACCTCTTTCCAGTCTGTGTCTGCAGGTTCATCAGGATTTTCATCTAAACCAAAATACACCACAGTTTACTCACAAAATATCAAAATGATCCACAAATACAAACGAGGACACAAACTCAGAGGTTCATGTTTGTCTCTGTCGGTGAAAACGACTCTGAGCACAGACAGGTTGTCTCTCTCACCTGTGAAGTCTCTTTGGTACAGGTGTCTCCACAGCACAGAGTCTGCTGTGGCGATGTGAAAGTGTCTGCAGACTGAAGACAATCTGACCACAGAGACGACGTCCAGCAGCCTGAGGACTCTGAGGAGGAGCTCCGGAGGAAGAGCCGCCAGACCGAACGCCACGGGCAGAGACATCGCTGGAAAAACACGAGAGCAGCTCAATGTAGAAAAGACACTGCCCTACTTATGTGATTATAACATATTATAACCAATCATCTCTGTGTTAATGTGTGTGTGTGTGTGTGTGTGTACCTGCTCTGGCCGCAGCGATCAGCGGGTACGCCAGCTGGTCTTTGAAGACACGGGACAGTTTCTTCAGATCTTTAAAAGCAGCAGCTGCACTTTCTCCTGAACAAACAGACGTCAGATTATTTTATTATTACCTCATTAAACAGCAGAGGCTCCGAGGCTGAAATTAAACAGGGTTAAACCGACCAATCAGAGCTGTACCTGGGCACTGGGTGGTCACGTAGCTGCGGGGATTCAGGGTCAGTTTGGGGATCGTGTCGATGGATTCGTTCACCTTCAGAGTCGCTGCAGGAAAAACAAACAGGCTGATTATTCAGATTTAAAATGAGCAAAAAGTGAAAGTCTTTTAGTGATCATTTCATAAACTGAGGATCATGTGACTGAGCGTTTTTTAAAAATCAGCTGAACTCACCGTTGATGGCGAGCACAGGGCCCATACACAGCGCCACCACAGAGACCAGAATGTTCTCACACAGAGGGTGAGAGTACTGCAGTCTGTACACTCCACCTGCTGACCTCCAACCTGCAGGCATCTCACCTGACTGCAGCTCACAGCCCTGAAACACACACACACACACACACACAGTAGTACTGACCAATCGGGTATCATCAGGACACTGTGTCAGAGGGCAGCTGATTGGTTCAGAGATTGATCGTTTACTAACAGACTTTGTCATCTCACCTGAGGAACAAACCCAGTCTCTAACATCAGCTGATGTGCGGCCACCATGACGGCGTCACTTGAACTCGAAGTTTGAGCCGAGTGGTAGAGGAGCTCCAGTGAGAGCGGAGCCTGACCCTCCTCTGCCTCGCTGCACAGCATCGGTTCCCAGCTGGAGGACGAAGGATCAGAGGAGGAAACCTCATCAGGTCTCTGAGAGTCTGAGGATGCTGCAGGGAGGCTGCTTCTGCTGCAGGGCTGATTATCACAGACTGAGAATTAAAACAGTGTGGACATGCTTTAAACCTGCATTCCCTAAAGTGTCCAGCAGGGGGCGACTTGACTTGTCCACATACTTAAAAGTCATAAGAAATGAGTATTTCTGTCTGGGTTGTTTCCACTCACCTTGGGAGATGTTGTGGCTGCCGTCTGTCGGGTGCTTCTGTAAAAAAGGGGAAAACAGTTTCATCATGGGTTATTCTGATCTGTTATGAAGATCTGTTTGGGGTGATCAGATCACAAATTTATTTCCAATTTTCAAATATTCAGACCTGAAACACGGTCCATCTTACGTGATAGATTTTTCCTATGCATGTGTATCATGCTTAGACGTACAAAAAATTATCCTGCACCCTCATCGCAAACCCAACAGGAAGTCAGCCATTTTGATATGTCATATACATGATTAAAGGGATATTCTGGCTTAAAATTAATTTAGGGTCAAACACACCATAACACCAAGTTGGACACCCCCTCGAGAGATGAATGTCCCTGACTGCTTGCTTCTCTATTTATACCAACTTTAGTAACGACCGATGATCATAAATGTTCTTCCTTGAGCTGCGGCACCTCGCTGTATGCCATAATGGACTGGCCAGAGGTCTGCTACAAACAAGCAGCTGCAGGAAGAGAGTAGATAAGTTGTGTTTAGTCTCTTTGCTAAAGAAATTAGGCAAAGTTAAAAAGATGTTTGGTGGCTAGTACTATGGCTGGGACCCTATATGTTCTGTTGATGAAGTTAGGTGCTGTTCTGAGCATTATTTGTGGCTATAGAGTGGCGTTTTGGTTGAGGTTTGTTTATGGCTCCTCAGAACGCTGTGTATTGCTATCCTGCGGTCGTTACTTAAGTTGGAATAACTAGAGAAGCAAGTGGTCGGCAACATTCATCTCTCGACGGGATGTCTAAGTCGGTGTTGTGGTGTGATTGACCCTAAATTAATTTTACGCCAGAATATCCCTTTAAGATCCATCCCTAAACAAATCTTTCCCAGTTTCTCAACCTACAGTCCACTCAATTTCACAGGTTTGCTGATGGTCTGAGCTGATCTACATACCTTTTTTAGTCATAATAATGTTGCCACCTATCATGAAGATTCCTACAGATTTTTACTTGATAAAGTCAAAGCTCCACCTGATGTTAAAGCACCTGCTACATGTCTGTGTGCTGTAGATTGAACATTCAAGCTCATGGTGAGCGTACAACTTGCTCCAGCAGTACAGGCACACTCAGCTGCACACTTACAAACCTGATCTGACTTCCTGTGAATAACTGCACGGTTAATAATAACTTATTACCCGGCAACCAGAATGACGCCTGAGATCGAGACTTGAGCATTGAGCTACAAAAGAAGAAAACAACAAAGCTCTTGCCTCTGGCTCTCTTTGCTGCTGGTTGATGTGTTGGTAGGGCTGGCAGAGTTCGCAGTGACTTTGGCATCATTTGGGGAGTTTGTGTTGTTGGTGGGGTTGGCAGCTGCAGACTCAGGCAGGTCGACGCAGATCAAATCTCCAGATGAAACGCCACAGGACAACAGAGTCTGTCCGGAGTCTGTGAGAAGCTCTGAGCCGTTCAGAGACAATCTGAACTGTGTGTCTGCACTGAGAGAGAAACGCTGAACTCAAGTTTACATCATAAACATTTTATGTACTTTTACTGGGAGTTACCATGAGACACGACTTTGGACCTTTCATTCATTAAAGGGATTCTCCGGTGTAAAATTAATTTAGGGGCAAACACACCGTAACAACGAGTTAGACATCCCCTCAAGAGATGGATGTTGCCGATTGCTTGCTTCTCTAGTTATACCAACTTTAGTAACAACCCCAAGACACAGCGGTCTAAGGAGCCATAAACAAACCTCAACCAAAACGCCACTGCTGCTGCTATGGCTAGGACTCTATATGTACTGTTGATGAAGTTAGGTGCTGTTCTGATCGTTATTTGTGGCTATAGAGTGGCGTTTTGGTTGAGGTTTGTTTATGGCTCCTCAGAACGCTGTCTATTGCTATCCTGCGGTCGTTACTTAGGTTGGAATAACTAGAGAAGCAAGCGGTCGGCAACATTCATCTCTCGACGGGATGTCTAAGTCGGTGTTGTGGTGTGATTGACCCTAAATTAATTTTACGCCAGAATATCCCTTTAAGATCCATCCCTAAACAAATCTTTCCCAGTTTCTCAACCTACAGTCCACTCAATTTCACAGGTTTGCTGATGGTCTGAGCTGATCTACATACCTTTTTTAGTCATAATAATAGTGCCACCTATCATGAAGATTCCTACAGATTTTTACTTGATAGAAGTCAAAGCTCCACCTGATGTTAAAGCACCTGCTACATGTCTGTGTGCTGTACATTGAACATTCAAGCTCATGGTGAGCGTACAACTTGCTCCAGCAGTACAGGCACACTCAGCTGCACACTTACAAACCTGATCTGACTTCCTGTGAATAACTGCACGGTTAAAAATAACTTATTACCCGGCAACCAGAATGACGCCTGAGATCGAGACTTGAGCATTGAGCTACAAAAGAAGAAAACAACAAAGCTCTTGCCTCTGGCTCTCTTTGCTGCTGGTTGATGTGTTGGTAGGGCTGGCAGAGTTCGCAGTGACTTTGGCATCATTTGGGGAGTTTGTGTTGTTGGTGGGGTTGGCAGCTGCAGACTCAGGCAGGTCGACGCAGATCAAATCTCCAGATGAAACGCCACAGGACAGCAGAGTCTGTCCGGAGTCTGTGAGAAGCTCTGAGCCGTTCAGAGACAATCTGAACTGTGTGTCTGCACTGAGAGAGAAACGCTGAACTCAAGTTTACATCACAAACATTTCATGTACTTTCACTGGGAGTTACCATGAGACACGACTTTGGACCTTTCATTCATTAAAGGGACATTCCGGCATAAAATTAATTTAGGGTCAAACACACCGTAACACCGAGTTAGACACCCCCTCGAGAGATGGATGTTGCCGATTGCTTGCTTCTGTAGTTTTACCAACTTTAGTAACCACCGCACGATAGCAATACACAGCGGTCTGAGGAGCCATCAACAAACCTCAACCAAAACGCCACTGCTGCTGCTATGGCTAGGACTCTATATGTACTGTTGATGAAGTTAGGTGCTGTTCTGAGCATTATTTGTGCCTATAGATTGGCGTTTTGGTTGAGGTTTGTTTGTGGCTCCTCAGACCGTTGTGTATTGCTATCGTGCGGTCATACCAAAGTTGGTATAACTAGAGAAGCAGACAGTCGTCCACATTCATCTCTCGAGGAGGTGTCTTAGTCTGTGTTACGGTGTGTTTGACCCTAAATTAACTTTACGCCAGAATATCCCTTTAATGGTCCCAAATACAAATGTGAAACTCTTCTTAAAGCTCAGGTGAACCCTTTTAAGACTGCTCAAAAGTTAACCATTGTCCTGGTCTGTGGTTGAGTCTGACCTGAGTCCGTGAGCGGACAGAAGTGTCTCCTTGATGAGGTTTCTGAGTTCAGTCAAACTGGGTTCTTGTCCTGGTAACTCCACCCTTCTGGTCCGACGCCGGAGACGAACTCGCAGCTTCATGCTGGAGGAGATGGAAATTTAAAATATGGAAAGATTTCTAAAGAGAAGAACTTAAGTTAACCCCTGCTTAGATATAAGGATGTCCATACTCAAAAGTCAACCTTTGATTGATTTACAATCTCAGTGATGCTTTCCCCATCCTCCTATCTGAATAACAACACTTCACTGACTCTGAATACAAACTTGTGAAGCAGTAACAATAAGATAATGTGAATATTACTGTATACTGTAATCTGATGTGTAGGAGTTGTGTTACTCATGTCCTTCCCTTAAACACCCACACTTTTAAAACAGCTGCTCCACCCTGTGATTCAGATATTTTCCAAGTTTCAGTGACCATCTGTGAGGAAATGTGAGTTTGAAATAAGACCAGAAACATCCTAGAAAAATCATCTTTTAAACAAATTAAATATGTCAAGTCTAAAATGAGAGTAAAACTCATACTTCATTTCGTTTCTCTGACCCTTAGATAACACTTGAGCTGAGCTGCTGAGTAACTGTGAGGCTAATTCAGAGTGTCAACTAGCAGATTAATGAACAGATTAAGTCACTTTTGGTAATGAGAACAGTCTGAGATTAACAACCTAAGATAATGAGACACTTACGTGAGTAATTAAAGTGATAAACCGAGGTCGTTGTGCTGAACTCTCCAGGATAAACTCGCTCTGAACTCAGACAGCAGCAGTAGGATGAGATCAGCGTCAAACAAGGTTAACTCAACCCACCACTTCCTGTCTGGAACGGGAACTTTCAAAATAAAACTTCTAATATCTGCGTTAGTATCGTATTTTTTTCTATTAATTACCTTTTATTGGTGTGAGCAAGAATGATGTAAGTGCTGAAGTCCTGGTATTGACGTATCGCCATTTCCTTCAAACAAATCCCACATTTAACTCACCTGTACGATGTCAGAGCTCCCTCAGGTGGTCCACAGCAGAACAGATGAACGTTAAAGGGATAATAAATGATCAATAAATGTTCTTCCTTGAGCTGTGTGACCCCGCTGTAGTCCGTAATGGACTGGCCTGAGTTCGCCCTACAAACACGTGGCTGCTGGAAGTGAGTAGGTGAGTTGTGTTTAGTCTCTTTGTGAAAGGTGTCCAACCCTGTGTTTGACCCTAAACTAGTTTTACGCTGGAATATCCCTTTAAACAACTGGTGTTTGTGTTTGTTAATTTTCCTCCCACCGTTCTTCCTCTACTGATGCTACAGAGCGTACAGCACTGCAGGAGCTTCATTGGTCAATAGAGCTGTCAATCATGATGTTACACTCCTTATATGGCATAAATGAAATTTAGAGAAATGAACACTTTGACATTAATCTGCATGATAAGAACTAACTAAAATGACAGAAACTGTGTTTAAGAACCATTTATTCATCCTAGATTTTGATTTTAGTGTGACCCATGTCCCATCTGTTAACATGGAGGAGGCAGGCTTTATGACCTATACTTCAGCCAATCACAGGGGGGGCAGCTCCAAATGTTTTGTCCTCACTTTTTTGGAGGTGAAAAGACCTCAAGGTAATTTCTTAAGTTGTTATAACTTTTTGTTGCCATGTTACGATGTTTAGCTAGTTTTTCAATAGCTTGCTAGACAGCTATGTAGCTAGCTAGCTACTCTGATGCTAAGTTAAATCTGAGACACACTTGACTGGCAGGTGGTTAGTGAGTAGGCTCAAAGCTCACCTCCAGTACCTCGGAATCAGGTCTCCATGAATTACTTCTGGTCCATTTTTGCGTCAAAAGCATCGGCTTAAAAATAATAATTTTTGTTAATATAATGCAAATATGTTGGAGACTGACTGTTTATTAAGTAGACGATAAGGTAGGGTTTAAAAAAAGCATAATGCTTCATCCTACTCCTTTTTGGACATGTTGGGTCGCATTATTATTATTATTATTATTATTATTATTTATTTTTTATTTTAGCTTTGATTATTGTTATTGTTGTTTGAATAGTCTCATTGGTTTTGTTTGTTTGTTTGTTTTCAGTTTACTTTCTTGTGTTGCACGTACATGTTCCAAAAATTAAATAAATTAAAAATGAAAGGGAAATATGTCGGACACGTTTTTCCAATGTGAAGAATCAACTTTAAAGCTAACAGTGTGGAAATGAAACAGAAAAAGAGAATCGTTCAGCAAAGGCTAGATTGTTTAATAAATCAGGCAGTTATATGCAAAGACCTGAAAAGTCCTGGACCTCGCCCACTGTGCAACTCTACAGTCTTCATATTCTGTGAGAATACTGTGTTTCACTCTGACGCACTCAGCCTAGTTAGCCTGAATAAACTGTGGAATACGGGCTTTGTTAGCTAGCTGACTCAGCATTACTGTTAGCATAGCGAAGTTGATGAAGTCAATGTTAACACCTGGTAATAGCCACAGCTGACGTTAGCCTCTACCACATACATAACTGAAGCGAACCAGATGCTTTGTCAACAGGTCACTGAGAGATGCCACAGACTATGGTTAGCTAGCTGACAAGCTGACATCATAACACAAAATATGCAAACGATCCATCGAAATACAGCACACAGATAAACTATGATTAAAATCTGGATATAAAAACTTCCAGCTGTTCACAGCAGCTCAGAACCTTCAACATGGTGGCAGGAAGGTGTAGTACATCTGAAAAAAAAGCCCTTTACACAAACTGGACACATTCTGGTTTTACGCTTCTGTTCTTCCAGGGCTCGCATGTTGAACCCGGCGAGCTCAACTGCCGACACCGACAGGGTGCTGTTTAAATAAAGTTTTAGATTAGTCTGTTTATAGGAGTTCACAGTTTTCAAGATTGTCCCATCCCACTCAGACAAAAGTATTTGGAGGGTTGACGTTCGTGGTCCAGGCTACCTTCTTCTCCTTTGCCTCTCGGTCAAACGTGTCATAAACCGAGTCCTTGATGCCGGTCTTAGCTTGCACGGGGATATCCACCACCCCAATGTAGTTCTTTTTGGCCATCCGAGAGCTGGCCGTGATGGTGTACGCGTTACTGCGGTAACATTTCATGGACGACATGCAGAAGGTCTCCCTCATGCCCCTCCTGAAGTTTGCATTGTAGACAGAGTACAGGGTCGGCTTGGATGCTGTGGAGCTGAAGGAGATCCAGGCGATGGCGGTGAAGAACAGCAACCCCTGCCTGTTGGGTCCGTCAGACTCCCTCGGGTGCCACAGCTGGGCGATGTAGAAGGGCATCCAGGTGAGGAAGAAAACTGTATTAAGCATCAGGAACATCTTGATGGTCTTGACTTTAGTTCTCGGGATGATGTTCATTGTCCGACGCACCGTGCGGCCATCCGCGCTAATCCTCCAGATGTAGCGTACCACTCGCTGATAAAACGACACAAGGAGCCCAACCGGGACCAAAAACCCAAACAGAAGATGAACCGCAGCATAGGCTACACCACCCCAGCTGTCTGGGAGGAAAAAGTCACAGTGACTGCTGGCTGTAGATGCTGAACCGTAGAAGAAGAGGCAGGGTGACATGAAGGCGGCGTCAAACAGCCATGAGGCCAGGATCATCTTCTTGGCTTTCTCTCTGGACACTTTGAAGCTGAGCGGGTAGATGATGGTGTAGAAGCGGTCCACAGAAATAGACAGCAGAACATAGACCTGCACTCCGGCACAGAGGTGCTGAAGATAGCGCACAGCCTTGCAGGCAGCGGCGCTCAGCGGCCATTGTCCTGCTGCAACCTGGAGGAGGATGAAGGGGGCGCAACCCAGGCTCATAAGCAAGTCTGCACAGGCCATAGACACCACAAAGTAGTTGGTGGTGGACTGAGTCCGTCGGCTCCGGTGGATGACCAGGCAGACCAGGGCATTTCCAAGGATGGAGACCAACCAGAGAACACCAAAAACCAAGCCCAGGACAACGGCCTCACCCGTCGTCAGTTCATAGGTGGCAGAAGTCCTGTTCAGCTCGCCAGAGGGTGAGCCCTCAAGGCTGCAGAGGGGGGTTGTGGGTAAGGTTGCCAGGACAGTTGAGTTGTTTTTCCTCTCAGAGTAGTTAAATGACATCTGATATGTGAAAGATGGAGAGTAGAGGGAGGGATTGACACCGACGGTGCTTGGAGATTGGGCGTACACCATTTCTATGAGAGTGCAACAAAGAGGAGCTGTGGAGACAGAAAAAAGACACACCGTTACTCCAACCACTCAAACCACACACCAGAGATAGAGTAGAATGTGATACGGTTATGTCTTGACCACAGCAGCATCCACACAGCAAACTTGTGCAGTGTCAGGCAGTGTTATTGACAATCCTGTAGTCAGTATGTCCTCAGTTTGAAGAGTCAGTCGGTAAGGATCATTTGGGAGGTGGTTTAATTGGTTTACCTTTTGGTAAGTTGGTAGGTTGAGTACTTATCTGGTCGATCTGTTGTTTAGTTAATTGACCAACCTTTCAGTCAGTTGGAAGATTGGTAGCTAGTTGGCTGGTGGGTTGGTTAAAGGGACATTCCGGCGTAAAATTAATTTTAGGTCAAACACACCGTAACACCAACTTAGACACCTCGTTGAGAGATGAATGTTGCCGACCGCTTACTTCTCTAGTTTTACCAACTTCAGAAACAGTCCAGTTGCCTGTTTTTAAGTCTTCAAGATAACCATGACCTGGATGAATGAGAATCTACATGGACATTTCAGAAACGACCATACGATAGCAATACAAAGCGGTCTCAGGAGCCACACAAACCCAAATTTCTTTCGCAAAGAGACTAAACACAACTCACCTACTCTCTTCCAGCAGCCGCTTGTTTGTGGCAAGACCTCAGGCCAGTCATAACGGACTACAGTGGGGTGACGCAGCTCAAGGAAGAACATTTAAGATCATTTCTTCATGGAAATGCAATCAGACCTAGAATCTAAGGCAGAAGAACTACCGCGTCTGCAGTGCAAAATGATTAATATGGTGATTATTACTTCAAGGAAATGATAAAGAAATTATTATAAATGTTCTTCCTTGAGCTGCGTCACTCCGCTGTATGGAATAATGGACTGGCCCGAGGTCTTGCTACAAACAAACGGCCGCTGAAAGAGAGTAGTTGAGTTGTGTTTAGTCTCGTTGCTCAAGAAATTAGGCAAAGTTAAAAAGATGTTTGGTGGCTAGTACTATGGCTGGGACCCTATATGTCCTGTTGATGAAGTTAGGTGCAGTTCTGAGCATTATTTGTGGCTATAGAGTGGCGTTCTGGTTGAGGTTTGTTTATGGCTTCTCAGACCACTGTGTATTGCTATCATGCGGTCGTTACTTAAGTTGGTATAACTAGAGAAGCAAGCGGTCGGCAACATTCATCTCTGGAGGGGGTGTCTAACTCTGTGTTGCGGTGAGTTTGAACCTAAATTAACTTTAGCCCTTTAATTGACCAACCCTTCGGTCAGTTGGAAGATTGGTCGCTAGTCAGCTGGTGGGTTGGTTAGTAGTCACTAAGAAGTTTGACAGGCTAGAAAATACTAGAGTCACTGGGTGTAAATATCACTAGCTAGGTAAGGAGATTGGTCACACAGACTCAAAGAGTCCGTCTGGTGATTCTTCTCCTTTAACTCTGATAAAGACATACAGGACAGATGGGTCTGCTCCTAATTGAGAAAACCAACATCACCGGCAAACTGCAACACGCCTCAGTTAGCTGTCAGAGACTTTGAACAATGTAATAAAGACAAAGTTCCACTTCAGGAGTCACATCTAGGGACCCTGAAGGCGTCTTGTGGATGATGTTAACATTTTCATTAATCTCTTTGAAACATTAGCAACATAAATCTCATGTATTGATCCAAGATATGAAATAAGTTTTTTCATTATGGAGCTCTCATTGCTGGAGTAATACACCTCAGCCTTAGAGGAAATATAACAACCCCTGACACCTTTCAGCTGCAGCTTATTCCCAGCCTGAGCTGCTGGTTGATTTCATTAGACCACCACAAGATCCCAGTTTAGTGTCCACAGAGATCGTGCTCGCCTCTGAAGTCGCCTATTAAGGATGTGGAGAAACCCAAGAGGTGAAATCTCTGTTTATCACCGCCTTTGTGTTTACTCTGCTGGATTTCCTTCTTAGCAACCTCATTCATTCTGACTGGTTAGCCTACTTACACACAAATGCAATGCAAATTCAATGCCAGTGTAGAGTGTCTTACATTTAAAAATATATTTTTTCTGCTAAAAAGGAGAATTAAGGGATTAAAGGACTTGTAGGTGCAATTATAGTGAGCATATTTGGTAAAACATTTCTGCCTGCAGCCACAAAGAAGGCTGTAAAGGCTGCAACTTAAGCCACAAGGGAGGATTTCTAGTCCAAGCTATAAATCCATATTTTTGTTACTAAAAGACCAAAATTTAGTTATTGTAAGAGTCTAATGTATCTGGGTTTTTTTTATTATATATTGTCTGTTTTTCTTAATGTTGTGGTGTATGTCATGCTATTGGGACTTGAGCCTGTAATAAAATTCACTCTAAGAAAATTACAGAGGTAAAAATTTAAGTAATCTTTGTTTATGTGCAAACATAAACAGTATCCATAAATTTTTCCAAGATACAACCTGATCTCAGCAAAGAAAAAAACCTTTTCATGCAAACTCGATCTGAGGAAGTATTTTTGTCTTGTTTTGCTTTATTTCTGCAAAATTTGCATTGAAAGTCCAGAGTATATCTTATTTACTGAGATATAACATATATCATTTAGATAAAAATGCATGTAATTGGTTGAAAAAATGCCAGTTAAAGAAAGAAAGAAAATTTGTCAACTTCTTGAAATACATTGTCACATATATTTCTTGGCCTATTTAACCATTTTTAACCCATTTGATGTTTGACATGTAATATCTTGACATATCCCTTGTTTTTGGACTTAAATTAAGCCTAACAGAGTCACTTTTCTTTCAAAATAAAACATTTGTTTTACAAAGGTGTGAGATATTTGCAGTGGAGCTTCTGAATCTCAAACAGTAAATTATGTCACATTATTTTTTATTGAATATGACACCGTAAAGGTCTAAAATGACCTTATGCTGTTTCCTTTGTATCACTGTATTGTATTTAGACATAATTGAAAAGTAAATGGAGCCTAAATGTACCTGAAAATCTGCTGGAAAACAACACGGTGTGATCTTGGAGCTCCTTTTTTATTTAATCTGAGAGGAAATACAATCTAACAAAGAAATACACACACATATGTTTAATAATAATACACCTCCCAATATGTAGGCTGTCGTTGGTGGTTGCTGTCTTCATTTAGATCCTGAAAAACATAATCTATCGATCAGAAATCAATCAGATAAACAGGCCGTTGATGGAGGCAGAGCAGCATCATGTATCCGGCCTGTAGTTACAACATGTCTGCTCCTGCATCTGATTTACCGCAAAACACCGACTGAGAGTGGGCGAAGAAATGTCAGGAAAATAATAAAAACATGATCGATTAAAATGAAATATGAAATATAAAAGGAGATTTCCCGCCAGATGTCCACAGGTGATCGGTTAACCGGCAGATTTGAGCCGAAATAACCCGATAAAAGCTCGGTACTATGCTGTTAATGAGCCCGGTTATTGAGGTGTGTTTTGGGGGTTATATGTCGGTGTGTATCGGTAGACTCACCGGTTCACAGCAGAGCACAAATAACCGCTTCATGGTGGTGTTTTTCCGTGATTCAGAGCGGGTGGAGGAGGAGGAGGTACGTGAAGGCAGCACACATCATGGCTGTTTGGTCCATTTGTCCGTCCGTCCACATGTCTTCATCTCCGAGTCCTTCTATCTGTCGTTTTGTCCACCTGTCCCTCTCCGTGTCCACCTGTAAAGCCTCAGTCTGTCGTGCAGCTTCAGGATGATGAAGCAGCTGCCGATGATGAAGAGGAGGGTGGATGTTTTCTAACGAACAGGGGCGGAATAAAGGTGTGTTTAGCCCTGGACTCAGAGAAATGGCCCCCTCGCCCACCCCAGGCAAGGATACAAATAAATGTAGAAATTTTAATTTATAAATCAGTATTTCAGTATCTATATGTTTAAAAATAAAGTGAAACACTGGGGAGCACAAACAAGGCCCTGACGAATTTAAAATTTACAGCCTAGAGCCAAAAAGATTAATCAATTTATTAAATAAATACAAAAATACAGAGTCTGGAGGCACCGCACAAATAGGTTGAGGAACACTTTTTACCCCTAGGCCACCGGCCTGTTAAACAACAATATGTGAAACACATGAATGATGTGTAAATGAGAGGAAGGTTACGTTTTCTTTTAGAATGGTGTATTTTATTGTTTAAAGTTTTTTGTTAGTGGGCCGTATTATTTTGTTTTTATACTGTGTGCTTTTACACTTATTGTTTTTATATTTATTGCTTTTGTTGCACAATGGGAAGAGCATCCTAAACTAAATTTCATTGTAACTTGGTGTACAATGACAAAGTCTGAATCTGTTCCTACAGTGTCCACTAGAGTTGTTTTCATTAGAAATAGTAATGTTGGAGGAAATGTCTGTCCACTTAAATTATCAAGGCTCTGTGAGGCAGTTTTTACTAAAACACGCCAAATGTCAAAGTGCTGCAGTTCCTACAGTGTCCACTAGAGGCTGCCCCCAAAAGTGAGTTAGCCCCCACACAGCTCTATGTTGAAATGTCGAACTTTACAGTGGAAATAAACATGTTTACAGTCTGGTTCAATGAACAGTTTGGGTTTCTTGTAGCTCATTACAGACTAATTTTACACAGGACTCACCTGTGAGAACTAAATTAAGGATTGAAGTCATTCTTAATTAGGGGCGTGGCCTCTTTGAGTGACAGACTGGAGCTGTCAGCTGAGTCACCTTGACTAATTTATTCTCTATACTCAACCTCTGTTCTGTGTTTGTGTTTAAATAAGTATCAAACACTAAAATAATGGATTAATAGAAACACATCTCTAAAGCTTTATAGGTGTTCGATCATAAAATAAGTCTTTCTCTCTCTCTCTTTCTCCATCATGTCTGCTCTATAAAAGGAAATGACGCCATCTCCATCTACAATCACCACTCTGATGCTGACGGGGTTGCTTTCGCAGCATGTTGCTGTGGCAACCACAGCACAGCGGAGACGGTGATTTTCCAACAGGCCGGTCACCAGGGGCAACCGGTGATGGTGCTGATGGGAGGGAGGACAACAAAGATGATTTATAAAGAGGCAGGCTTCAACATCAGAGAGTTGATATGAAGTTCATCAGCTTTAAAGACGTTTTAAAGACGGGTAACTACATGTCAACACAGAACAAACCCAGATGCCACCATTTCTGTTCATCTTTATTTACAAGTTGCCTTTCATTTTCGACATTTTAAATCGTGATTATTGACAAAAACAAACATTACAAAAACAAAGAGTAAACGATAAAGATGATTTGAACGTGAAAGGGAAGAGGAGTTTCTGTGTGATGATGAGCTAATAGAGGAAATAACTGGATCAGCCTTAAAGAAGAATAAATAAACATCAAATGTTTTCAGCTTAAGTTCCTTTATATTTTAACTTTTATACTCCGTCTATAAACCCTTTAATAATTCAACTCATTTTAAAATAAGACATTATTACACAGAAGGATTTTCAGCGGATTACAGGCACAGATTAAATTCAGGTTTGAAACCCTTAAAAACGGACCATAAACAGAACAGATACATCTTACTCCTGAATACTTCAACCAGGATCAATAAAGTAAAAGGTTTTATATTATGTAGACCAGTTAAAGGATTTAACTCCTAATCTTATCGTAAGGTTAAGGATGGTACAGTTTTGTGTTTCTTCCACCCCCTCAGACACGTTTCCGTCCACGCAATCATCAAAAACAATCATCACAGTCTGAAAACCATGATATCACACCTCCAAACAAACTTAATTTAACCTTCATTTATCAGGGGAAAGACGCCAAACACCTTCAGGACAGAATAAAGCTGCTGAAATTGTCACTTTACATTTTTAAACTCTTTAAAACAGATTTTAAGATAAATTTTGGGGGCTTATTGAAAATAACTTACATCTTCAGACTTTGTTAGTGTTTGAAATAGAAATTCTTCATAGTTTGAGTCTTTGAAGAGTTAAAATCCTTTAAAATCAAATAAATAAAACATAAAATTTCTCTAATCTACTTAAGTTTTAAAGAAACTCAAAGAAAATCTACTTTTAAGGTTTTTAAAGTTAAACCGTTTTTCTCCTCCTTGGCTTTGAGAGTCATTTTTCTGGGATGAAGGTGTCAGCTCTTTCTCTTTCCTTTGGTAAATTTCAGGTAAATTTAAGTCGATTTTAAGTGTTCGTGTTCCCTCTCTGTCCGTCTGGTTAAATCAAAATCACTGAAGTCCGAGCTGCAGCTGTCTGTGATGCAGAGTTTGTCACGTGTTCGTGAGCAGATCTGAGGCGCTCATACAAAAAGCTTCATGTCACAGTCAAACTTATTTACAAGATAAACACAGAAGGTATTTACAAAGAGTCGCGGGGAGTCAATGTCTTTTAGCCTCGCAGGCCACCGTCCAGCGTCAGTGTACCAAACCTGAAAGACAAACAAAATGCTGAACGTGGGAAACAAAAATGATCAAAGAAGCTCTGCCAAGTTCCTCTTTAACTCCCAGACTTTAGGCCGAACTAAACAGACGTGTGTGAGCAGCCTGACCTCTCTAAGAAGTGGTTGTTCTCTGCCAACTCTTTGACGACTCCCTCCATCTCCTCCTTCAGCTTCTTCATCCTGAAACACGACAGATACATCATATTTAACAGGTTTACTGTAAGTGAGGGGGGTCTGCTTTGTTTGGTTTGTCTAATGATGATGATGAAGATGAAGAGCAGATAAACACTGACCCGAGTGTCATCTCCACCAGAGTGTTCTGGCTCAGGTAAGCCGGGGGTTTCATCCCGCTCGACACCAGAGGAAGGACTTTCTGAGGCAGCAGCTCCTGCAGCTGAACACACACACAGTTCATATCAACTCTCAGGTCACATGACGTTTATCTCCTGCTGTCATGTGACCTGATGATGTCAGAGCTCACCTTGATGGCCCTCTCCATCAGCATGGTCACCTCCTTCTCGATGCTGATCAGCTGACTCGACAGGCTGAGCAGCTGCTTCCTCACATGATGAACTTTCCTGAAAACAAAAATACAAACGTATATTTATTCCTGCTCTCATGGTTGCTTAGCAACACGCCGCCGCTGCTGCCCCTTTCCTGTCGGAGCCAGAGAAACTGCAGCCGACGGTGGCGCGGCTTTACCTCATCCACTCCTCGCTCTTGGAGATGAAGAGGCGATACTTCATGGCGCACTCCTCGGTGAACAAAGATCTCGCTTTGCTGGCGTGAAGAACCAACTTCTGTCTGTCGGAGAGGTAACGCACACAGGAAGAGAGTCAGGATTTCAAAATAAAAGCAGACAGGAATCAATGGACAAAAGGAAGAAAATAAATACTTTTTAAAAAGTTTAAGTTTTCAGGCTGTAAAAAAGGAAAATAAAAATATTGTTGCTTCAGGATAAATTTAGGGAAATGAAGATAATGTCTCGCTGCATTATCCTCTAAACATCTGTCATTAGCTAAGAGGAGACTAGAGGAGAATATGCAGGTGATAAATGATGTTGATGTTGATCAGGACTGGATTATGGCGTCTGATAATTGATTTAAAAAGTCATAAATCTTTTTCCTGCAAACTTAAATCTAGTTCAGGAAAAACACAAAACCTTTCCGGGGTAGAGTTTTTCCTTTCCAGAGAGGGAAATATCTGCAAGTCAGTTACAGGTTTAACTCTAACATGCTTTGTGAGTCACAGAACTTACTTGTCAAATTTATGGATCTGTTCTTCGTTGTACGGCAGACCTAAACATAGACGGTAAAATTAAACTCAGAGAGAAACTTCCTCTCTCAAAAATATTCAAACATCGTCTAAAGTGACAGAAAAATAACGTTAAAAAGTGACTTTTAGTGTGTGAGGACTCACGTCTCTCTGCTTTGTCCTTCTTGAACTGTTGGTAGATGGCCGTGATGGCGTCCAGCAGGACTTTGATTTTCTCCACGCTGCAGAGAAAAGTTCACACGTCTCGTGATCTCTCCAAACATATAACACATAAAATGACTACTGTATCCTACAAAGAACAGAATATTACAACAGGGTTAATTATTTTCCAACAGTTATTTTAAAAAAAGTGAAAACTGAAGATATTTTAGACCTGCAGCTCCAAAACATTCAAATATTTCATCACAAGTCCCTTTTCTGGTTGGTAAATCTTAAATTTCCCTCAATTTTATCCGACAGTAGACCATTAAGTCCTCTACGTGCTGCATTTAGATGTTTTAAATCCTTAGGTGATGAAGACTGCTTATGACTGTATTATAATTTTTTTATTTTATCCTCTAATTCCCACTTTTTAGCTTCCTTCTGTCTTTTCACACGTCCCTTTCCAAATGTCATTGTTATTATATAACAGAAGAACTTCGTGGTGTTCTATAAGATGCGCTGGTATACATGAACTTATCCAGCCTTACTTCCTGTCCTCGGGGTGCGTCCCCACTTGTTGTGTCCAGCCGTCGGTGAGCAAACCTCCTGGGAGGAATTTACTCTTGATGTCCTGAGCCGTCCGCTCGATGGGCTCCAGGGAGCTGGAGATCTGCACAGATATAAACATAAACTTGTATCATGTTGATGCTTCACACTGCGTCCAAATAAACTCGACATCACATTATTGATAAAGTTTCTGACACAAAACATGCAAAGACAAAATCTGCATTTGAAGAATAATAGCGAACGAGCGCTCACTCTGAGGATTTTCTTGTGCATGTCTGAGATCTCATCGTACTCTGAGGACATCATGTTGGCCTGCATCAACACCTCGAACCTGCAGACAGACAGACAGCAGTGAGGTTAAACTGTGAATAAACTTCAGTTAAATAATGAATATTAACCTGTTGTTTAATGAGTTTGAATGTCTCACAGCTGCTCCGTCTTCTCCAGTATCTGTGTGCAGAAGTTACAGAGGTGGAAAACCTCAGACTTCTTATGCAGGATCTCGCTGTAGTCCTCCTTCATCAGCTCGCTGCAGGAAAACAGACAGAAAAGAGAAAATGTTCACATTTGAGGATGTTTTTTTTTTTACTACAGGAAAATCAGGGTAATATCCTAACAGGTTCTGAGTTTATGGAAGCACAGAGGAAGTGAGCTAAATGCAAAAGGGTCCAAATGATGTGAACATTGGAGTAAAACCAGGTCAAACACACTCTGATGTGATCTTACATCAAACCTCTCACTCCTTTCCGCACCAGCTCCTGATAAACCAGCAGAGACTCGGAGGTTTTCCACAGATGACCGACATCTCCTGCAAAAGTCTGAGACACAAACACAACAAGAAGAGGAGAGACAGCAGGTCAACAAGCCGGGCAGTCACTGTGATGAACTCTTCTCGAGGTCGATGGTTCGCTTACAGCAGCTAATTTAGACGAACCCATAAGATGAGAGGATGTGAGGGGTTTCATTTGTACCTTTGCGTAGCTGGCGTCCAGGTCCAGATCGTAGCGAGGTTGGACTTTAGGAGGACTGGCTGCAGAGATAAAAACACAGAGTTAAAACACTTCACTGTGTAAAGTTCAGGAACACAGATCAAACTGATTTTTAGGAGCTTAGGACAGTTTTTTAGATAAACGGAGCAGGTAATAAATCTGTGCGAAAACAAAAACTAATCTCTTAAGTAAAACCTGCTCAGAGTTAACACAGAATAAATAAATTCTAACTTGGCGTAACTGAAGAAATTTCTAAAGTGACGTACGATCTTCAAAGATCAGTCCCACGGTGGCGACCGACTCGCGGCTCACAAGCATGATGGGATTGTCTCTGGACGTCTTGGGGAAGGTCTTCGCTTGTCGGTTGGGGTCGAGGACGAGGCGGCGGCCCTCGTACAGCAGCTCCTGGTTGTGCAGCGGGATGCTAGACCTGCGGGCTAACAGCTCATGGAACAGCGCCGCCCTGTGGAAACACAGAGGACTGACTTTCAGACACACTAGAAGAAGAGAAACCTGATCTTGGACCACCTCAGTCTATTTCAGAATCTCCTTTTTCCTTCTTTTGGTAGCAGATGTTTTCAGTTTCAACATCTATACTCTGATATCAGTGGTTCAGTCTTACGTGTTGTATTCGTGGATGTAGACGTGGTGTAGCGTGGCCTGCTGCAGACTAAACACGTAGACGACTGTTCGGTGGAGGATGTCGTTCGTCTCGGCGAAGAACTGATCGAAACCCCAACACTTCTCCTGATCTGCTTCCAGGATGTTGGCCAGGACCGGAGTCAGGAGGCTCTGAAGACCCCTGAAACGTCAGACCAGGAGCGTGTGAAACCAGAAACCAAGCAGTCACACACACCAACACACACTCACACGTTTTCTCAGAGTGTGTTCTTACTTGGAAAGACTGCAGGACACGGGCATCTCCGTGCTCCACTCGATCTTCCCGTTCTCACACTTCTGATGACCGGAGATTGTTCCTGATGGTTTCTCTGTGATGATTTTATACCTGAAACAAAAAAAATGTTCACTCAGTTTCATGTTTCTCCTCCTCAGAGATTAATTTTCATGTTTTCATCTCTTACATGACTTCTTTGTTCCTGCGCGGACCCTCAAACGGCCTGAACGGGAGGCTGCCGGTGGCGGCGTGATAAAACGTGACTCCGATGCTCCACAGATCCACCGTGGCGCCGTATTTCTTCTGGTGGTCTTTCCTCAGCACGGCTCGTTCATACATGTCGGGGTGCTGCACGGAAACGCAAGAAGACAAGGGTGAAGGAACCTTTGTGAAACGGATTCCTGAGACTTTTAGACCTTCTCCTCTTTTTCCTCACCAGGTATTCCTCGGTGCCGTACAGAGACACAAACTGCTCGTCATCCTCCAGCTCTCTGGCGGCTCCAAAGTCGGTCAGTTTGTAGACGGAACGTCCGTCCTCTCCGATCACTCTCATGATGTTCCCCGGTTTGATGTCCCGGTGGACGATCCCGTACTCCCTCAGGTGGTTCATACCTGCCACTGAGGACGCAACAAGCAATCACAGAACACCTCAGGTAAGAGTTTCAGAGACGTTGTAAAGATCTGACTGATTCCTCTGAGCTGTATTCATCTTCTTTGTTTTTTTTTCAGGTGTTTTCTTACCGACATCGTGAAGCACGATGAGAAACTCGTCTTCAGGAAGTCCGTAGGCGTTGGACGACTCCTCCAACACGGTGTAGAGACTCCCACAGGGACAGTACTCCATCACTAAGACTTTGTGACGCGTGTTTGACTAAAGAGGGACAGACAGTAAAACCAGCTGAACTGAGAGGATTGAAGACCACAAACTACCAAAACGGAGAGCAGCAAAAAACTGCTCAGACATTAAAATATGTGCAACATTTTACATGCATGTCTAACACGATTTTATTACCTCTTCCTCCACGGCAAAGAGTTTGACGATGTTTTTGTGGTTCAGTTTCTTCAGAACTTCGAACTCTCTCATCTGGACGTCCAGCGGCCTCAAAAAACTCAAGTTGTTAAACACTTTGACGGCGTACAGGTCCCCAGTTTTCTGAAACACACAAAAAAACATTCAGCTAGACTTAAATTTGTCATCTGAACCTTCAGATATTCAATTATTTTAAAACCGTCTGACTTAACATCAGAAATATTAAGTTTTAGTAACTATTTTTAGGATGTAAAACCTTTTAAAACTATTTTTAACTCTCTTATAGATGAAGCAGACCTGTTATTAAACCTGACTTGACCTGACAGACCTGAGGCGTCGACATTTAATGACAGATCGGGTCTGAGACTCAAACAGAGGATCAGGTTCAGACGCATCCTCTGTCTTTAAAGATTGAGGTCTTAAGTTTGAAGGAAATCCCCCTCTTTACAGTTTTCAGCCCTCAGGATTTCCAGATCAGATATAAACACAAACTGTGACATCTGAAACTCATTGAGATGAGTCTGAGTTTGAGATCCAAATAGAAAAGCTGCTCTGCCGTCGTCAGTCTGTTCTCCATGTGTCTGGAACAGAATCAGTCCTCAGTGTCCAGATTACTCTGACACCTTTAGTCCTCAACACGTGGGCTGATGTAAGGACAGGGCAAGAGTAAATGGTTTGACTGTGATCCGAGACAGAGCTCACAACAAAGCAAAACAAAGGGGGACACACTCTGAACTAGAGATGGGAACTGAAAACTGGTTCCAGATGAGAACCAGTTCCAACCAGCAGCAGCTGTATTTTTAACAGTTCCTTCATTAGTGCCTTCCTCTTTGCTCGAGAGGCAGTCAGCACATTTAAAACTGATGAAAAACTTTCTGGAACTCCAAAAGATTTCAAGAAAGTGAATGAACTCTACAACATGACACGAGTCCTAATTTTGGGGGCTTTTCCAGTCAGTGTAAAAGCTGAAAAATGGGGACATCCTTCATTAGGATCGAGTATCTTTCTGTATTAAATTTTAATTCCTAAAATCAATCTGGTGCATGGCTGACTCCGCCCCCTCTTGCAGCTGCTCAGGTACATCGGGTGTGTTTCCTACCTTGTGTCTGCCGCGGTAAACATTGGCTGTGGCTCCCTGACCCAGCAGGTCTGAGATCAGCCACAGGTAATTCGTAGTGCTCTGCATCCTGGCAGCTGAGACTGGACCTGAACACACGGTAACAGAAACTCATCAGTAACACAAAGAGTGATCAATACGCTCAATAAACCATGTCCCTGCCCTGATATCAATATACTTAGATCAGAATTTATATGCAGATATATCATGAGCTGTCTCATGCGTGCGGCTTAGTGCCGCGTCATCTCACCTGCTGATATCATAACAATTTTAGAAACTCTTATCTGCCAATACAAAGCCCATAAAATTATACATTCCCTCTTAACTGGTCTGAGTTACTGACATATTTTCATATTTTTTTCAATATGAATTAGAAGTACTGGCAAAAATTTTCCTCACGTTCTTTTGTATGTAAAAATAGAAGTTTACAAAGTGCTTTGACATATAGTCATAGATAAAAACAAAAAGCTCAGTCAGAACGCAATTAAAGGCCATTTTCATGTCATAAGGAACCTAGACATAACATAAAATGAGACCATGAGGACCAAAATAAAAACATAAAATATGTAAGAGAAAAGGAAAATGCAATTAAAAGGGGGGTCCAAGGGGAAACGGGACAGTAAATATAAAAGGCAATATCAACAATTATAATAATAAAATAATGACAGGTAAAACTGATAATAGGATAGTTATAGTAATTATAAAATAAAGCAACAGAAATGAGCGAAAGAAAAAATGATAAAAGGCCTAAAAAAGTACAAATAAAAGAAGCTAAAATGACAGTAAAGCTGAAATAAGTTAAGAGATGACAGATAAAAGATTAAAAAGATAGATTTGCTTATTTTATTTCACCACGAAGAGATTAAATCTTTAAAAAACAATAACAACAACAAAAATAAATAAATAAAATAAAATAAAAAAATAAAATAAAGAAAGAAAGAAAGAAAGAAAATTAAATCTTTAAAAAATAAAAACGATAATAAAAAATAACAAATAATAAAAAAAGAAAATTAAATCTAGTTCACGTTCTGGCTGCCCTATATACTTGACGTCACGACGCACTGGTTACGTTGCGGTATGTCGGTCTGTGGGAAATTCCCGTTTCAGGCCTCCAGCAACAAAAACCTGCTGTTATTAAGGTCTGTGAAGGTGGAACAGCTGATCTAACATCATTATTTAACAACACTGGCGCTTTTACTTCTTTAGAACAAACCGCCTTCATAAAAAATAAATCATAAAAATCATATAAATATAAACATCTGTGCGGCTTTAATATCTAAAAGCGCTAATAACCAATGTTACGACAACTAAATCACAATAGAGTAGGTTAATTAATGAGTCTCGGTTGTTCGATTTTGTCTCGCAACGGCTCAGTTCCTCTTTTTTATTTTCACTTTCTGCGGACATGAACGATGACTGTTTCTAAACACGGTCCTTTAAACCTACAAAATACGAATGAGACAGACATTTAAACTGCCCCACATTACCAGAATTGATAGCTAACACACCGAGTTACAATACGATGCCGAAAAATAAACCGCTGTTCAGTTCTTTGTCGTTTAAACGGGATCGTTTTTATTTTGTTTATTTCCTTACCCTTCTCACTGCGACTGAGTCCTCTTCTTCCGCTGTCTCCGGGTCACGTGTGAGAAACAGTCCAATCAGCATAGCGGATAAAATAAAGGGGCGTAAAGAACGTTTACCGTAATGGTTAAAAGAGAAAGCGCAGATTGAATCACTCGTCCGTCTCAGCTGCTCAAATCAGAGTAGAAATTATTAGCCTTTTATTGTTTGCCATATGTTTCTTTTTTGGTTCATCCTTCCTGTGTTATAATCAGATTTCAGGGAATAGCAGTTTGTTAAACATGGCGAAGAAAAGCAAAATGTGCCCATTTTTATCTTTAAGCGGTTATTACGGTGGCCGCTGAGAGTTCACAGTAAATCAAAACCTACCTATATCTGAGGTGGAAAACGCCCACTTATATAATATTTAGATAAACATACCTTTTCTCATAAAAAAGGACAATCTTTCATCTCTTTTACCTCTATCTTATTTCGACTTACTGTCCTTTTAACAATAATGATAATTATTATAAATTTAATTTATTTTTAAACGTTTGATTTTCATTTTTTATTTATTTATTTATTTATTTTAATTTATTATTTTCTTTTTCTTTTACAGGTGCTCAAAGACGCCTTACAGAGAAAAAGAAAAAAATGAAATAAAATAAAAATAAAACTATAATTATAATTTCAGTTTAGTGTGTCAGAGTTCAGTTTGTGAAACTTATTTCAACTTGTAGTAAAATTTCAAAAACAATTTAATTCCCCCCAAAACCTTGGGACACAATGAAATTTGAATTAAAACAGATTTTCTGTTTCTTTAAATTATTTTCAACCTATCAGTAATCAAAACTAGTGCTGAGAAAACATCTGAATTGTGGAATCTGTTAATATTTGGGTCATTGCAATGACTATAATGCTCATTTTAAATTTGCATAATATAATATGATTATCCAGTTTCTTTTTTTTATATAGAGAAATATGTTGTTGATATTGATAGAATCCCCCCTCCCTCGCTCAGTCAGCACACGCACTCATTTTAAAAGTTCACTCACTTTATATTTAACAAAAAGAAAAAAAAAATCAGCATTTCATGAGTTACAACAGCTTATGGTGGCAGCTGGATGGGCTGTACAGGTCCATCTGATTCTCTGTTTACAGGTAAAGCAGTCATCGTATAAAAACGGACAGTCAGTGGAAATCAAACGAACATGACGAACCAAATGTTGGCTGTCTCCACAAACATCCTCAGAGCACCATGAGAGCAAAACGGATGAAGGACAACGTCTGAAAAACAACAATGACGACACAAACTTCTCCTTTTTTTTCTGTTGAACCTCAGAGAAAAAAAAAAAAACCTGGAGACCAAAGTGCTTTTTCTTTAAAAAAAACAAAAACAAAAAAAAAAGACCTTTTCAATCTTTTTACATTTCTACTTCCTTTGACCCTTTTCAACCACGTTCATCACAACCTGTACAAGAAGTCCTCAGAGACAAACATCAGTCTGAATCAGAGACACTCCACAACACAAAGAGGACTCTGATTCACCGGTCATACCTTTGAATTTTCCTGATTTTTAGTGGAAAACAGTTTCCTACCAAGTCTGTGAAGCCTGAGAGTAAATTCATGGTGGGTGTCAAACTGAAATATGATTTAAAAAAAAGGGGGTCCGAGATCAGATTCAGCTGAGACACTTTTAAGGAGAAGAGTCAATTTTTTCAGTGTCATTTACAAACTTACAAACTTATCACCATTTTTGCATCTTTTAATTTGAACCTTGTTAATCCTAAAACATTTTGGTTGATTTTAGGCCCTTTAAATCTGTAAAATATGTTCTTACTATGCATTTTTATTCTTTTAAACCCTTTTAACTTGAATTTTAATTCATACTCTCCTAAAAACGTTTAATTTGTATCCTTAAAAATAAGGTTGAAATAATAAAAATCAAATACTTTGGTTTGATTTTTGTCCAAACAAAGAAGAATTTTCACTTTTTGCTCATCTTAAATTTCAAATTTAACAGAAAAACAAGTTATTTCACAGCAGATTCAAGACGGATTTTTAAATTACATGAAAGCTTTTTGTGAAAACATGATGTTCAGAAGGGTGTAAAAACATGAATGCAGTCTTTAACAATTGTTAATGAGGGTAAAAAAAAGATGGAACCACTTTGAGAAAGTCCCCAAACACCAGTCCGATGATAAAAATATGAAAGTTGAAGTCTTAAATCTCATCTTCACTGAGTCAGTCGTCTTTTTTGGACTCTTAAACACACAAACCAAACGTCCTTTTTTATTTCTTTTTTTTTTTACACAACTTTCCTCCAGCTGCACGACAATACGACGATTTGTACCAGAAATCAGTTAAAAAAATAAAAGTCGTGTAAAGTGCAGTTAGAGAATGAGAACGTCTCCCAAAAAGTTTTTCTGACTTGTTTCTTTTTTTTTATGTTCTTAATTTAAAAACACACCTGGAGGAGTCAGAGTGATTGTACCACAGGTAGAGCTTAGCCGAGGATGTACGGAGGCAGCAGAGGGCCAAAAGCATGAACTCGTGGACCGCTTCGGCATAATTTCAAACCGTCTTCAGATTATTGAGGCTTTTTAAAAAATGATTTTCTGCACAATCTAAAGGCCACAAATACGATCAACGTGAAAATCAGTTCGATGTTTAACTTTCACTTAATCACAGACTGAAGATTTCACTGAACGCTCGTCCGTAAAGAAAAGATCGAAATAGTGAGTTTTTTGCCCATTTTTGAGCAAAATTAACAGATTATTTTTACGCACACAGGATAATTATTTGTGCACAAAGACCACAACCTTTCAGCGCAACTAGGATAAGTTGTTTGCTACCTCAAAATTCTCACTTTTCCTCCAAAGAGAAGCTCATTTGCGTTAAAAGATGATGTGAATGCAAATCAGGGAAATCCAAAATGAACTTTGCATTCACAGAAGCCAAATGACAGAAGATCAGGATTCAGTTTTGAATAAGTTTTAAAGATATATTTAAATGTTTGTTTCTGACCTTTTAAGCTGCATTAACAAAATACTGTAAGGGGGAAACTTGTAGGCGTCACATTCGACACCAAAGTTTTGTGTCTGTGCAGAAATTCAAAATCTGACGAGGTGCTTTTCAAACGATCAAAATTCTCTCCATCTTTTTGTTTAGATTTAAGTTTTTAAATTTAGATAACTCCAATAAAGTCTGTTCAAAGCCTCACTAAGTTTAAATCAACTCTGACATTTGACGAAGCGCTGTCCTGATTCATCTGCTGCGACGTGAACGTTCGAGATTGTCAGATTCATGCTGGTGTTACTTTTTTCTCTTCAGTCTGACCTCCAGGAGCTCGACGGCGAACCGAGCTGAGATCGAAACTCCTCTGACGACAAGACGAGTTCTTAAAAATAGATTTCTGTTAGTCACGAGAATCACAAAAGACAAGAATGAGTTATTAAAATAATAAAACAGATGTTCGTTAAAGGCAACAGAAGGGATGCCTGGTGTTCGTCCTCTGGTCCCGGCTCGTCTGCCTCCACATCGATTAAAAAAGATTCTTTTGGCACAACAGTCCTTCAAACTTTGACCTTACAGACACTAAAAACCTGGATATGTTCTTCGATTGACTGATCTGAGATTGTCTCCGTACGTCTGAAGTGATTTTCTGTAGAAAAATATAATGAGGCAATATAAAAAAAGACGGAATGAAAAGTACTGCAAGAATTCAATGGATAGATTTACAATGATTTTCTATATAGCTTATAAATACGTATCTACACAATATGTGGTACAAAAATACTATAGAGCATTTAGTGGGCACTGATTTCCTCTGTGTGTTTTTCCCTCAAAGTAACAGAAACATGAAAATAATAAAAACAGAGATGAAGACGTGGAACTGGTCAGGCACAGATCGTGTTCATGGAGGAAACGCCGCGTCCTCCTCAGGAGAGAGAGCGAAAAACAAAGATGGAGGAGGATGATGCAGCCTGTGTTCAGCTTTGGGTCGTTTCTCTCTGATGCGCTCCGAGCATCGGACGATTCGAACGAGAAGAAAAAGTCAAACACAAGCTTTTTAGTTTTGGTTTAAAACCTGTCTGAACGGCAGGACGTCCGAGGATGTGAGTCACGTCGCCATCAGCTGACCTTGAGTTTAGAGTGAAGGGGGTGTTTGAGCGTTTGTACGGAGGCCCAGGAGGGGAAACGCATATTGAATTTGCTTTTTAAACCTAATTTAACACACAGTAACAGCTGCGTGTTTGGTCGTTTTGTGCAGCACGCAGCTGCTGCTACATAACGTGAACCTGCTGAAGTTTGAGTGTGAGACAGTTGAAGCTTTAAAGAAGTGGTTTTAAGATTGTAACGTGTAGTTTTTGTACTTAAGCTTATTCTCAGTGGGACCATCAAGTTTAATTGCTGAAAAGTACCGTGTAGTTTAAAGAGGCAACATGAGGTAAAAAAATTGTGGTTTTTAGAGTTTAGATTCCAAATTCAAACGAAAACAACAAACCAAAAAAGAGTCTGATTGTCTTTAGATCTTTGAGAGCGCTTTGTTCTCTCCTGTGACTATTAGAAACCTTTCTGTCCCTCTTGGGCCTCCGTAGATTTAATCGCACTGAGCCTGCGGTGTGTTCAGAGCTCAGAGCGGTTACCGGTTCGATTGATCTGGTAATAAATATGTGCCTTAGTTCGAGTTATTGCTTCAGCTCGGCGCATTGCCGTGACTCATCACATGACTCACATCCACGCGGACGCCCTCCTCCTCCGCACCGCGTCACAACGAGGAGGTAAATTCAAAGCAAAAGACCCAGTACCACGTCTCCTCCAGCCGCCGCTGATCCAGTTTCCATAGTAACCACAGACAAGATGGCCGCCGGTCCTGTAGCTGTGGCTGTTTTTCATATTTGGCATCAGAGAAGTGAAACCGTCCGCTGATCATCGTGTGCTTCGAGTCCTTCAGCCTCTTTTTCTCCCGCTTTAAGGCAACTTCTATTTGTGATGATTTTAATAAAACCTTTTCTTAGAAAATGTACAAATTTCTGTATACAAAGCTCTATGGCGTCATCAGTAAACACTGTATAGAAAATATATAAATATGCTTTTTCTCTTTTTAATGTACAAATGTTCTGCAGCTCCCGCCTCGCTTCGCTCCTCGGCGATTTTCCTTTTTCGTCCTCCTCGCTCCTCCTCGTCTTCAGTCTCTCTTTCCCATTTTTAACCTCTTATATGCACAATTGCTATTTACAGTGAGGGGGCGGAGCTGTGTGGAGGGAGGGAGGAAGGGGGGGATTATGTGGGGGGGTTTGGCTCACGAGGAGTCCGTGCAGGGTGACGGCGGCGGCGGGTAGAGGTGGTGGGAGTAGCTGCGTTCGGTGTAAGGCGACGGCGGGCAACTCTCACAGTTCTCCTCCGCCGACAGATACTGGCTGCGGGGCGTCGGCGGTGGCGGGAAAGGCTCCGAGTCGTAGTTGAGGTCGCTGGTGTAGCCCTTGGCGGCGGCGCTGGACTTGAGCGGCGCCCGGCGTCCCGGCGTGTAGTCGCTGTCGCACACGTCGGTGCTGCAGGGGGTGGTGGGAGGGGCGAAGTGGCGGTACGTGTACGGTCTGTAGCTGAGAGAGAGAAACAGAGAGATTCAGTAAAGAGGCGTTTAAATAAAGACGAGTGTTTGAGGTTCGAAGGTTTACAGTTAGTCCTGGTTCAGGACCAGGTCAGCGCCTCGTTATGCTGCTGAGGGTTCACCGAGCAAATTTCCCTCTTTCTGTCTTGATGATTATTTGATCAGTCTGAAGGCAGCAGACAGACCCTTAAAGGGATAATCCGTCGTAAAATTAATCTAAGTTCAAACACACCGTAACACCGAGTTAGAAACTCAGTCGAGAGACTGTTGCCGACCGCTTGCTTCTCTAGTTATACCAACTTTAGTAATAGCGTGACAGAGAGCCATGTGCTCAACCAAAACTCCACTCTATAGCCGCAAATAATACCCAGAACAGCACCTAACTTCATCAACAGTACATATAGGGTCACAGACATAGTACTAGACACCAAACATCTTTTCGCCTAATTTCTTTAGCAAAGAGACTAAACACAACTCACTTACTCTCTTCCAGCAGCCGCTTGTTTGTAGCGAGACCTCGACTAGTCCATTTTTGACTGCGGCGGGGTGACACAGCTCAGGGAAGAACATTTGTGACAATTTCTTCATGGAAATGCAATCAGACTGAGCGGATAAGGCAGAAGAACTACCGCGTCTGCAGTGCAAAATGATTAATATGGTGATTATTACTTCAAGGAAATGATAAAGTAATGATCATAAATGTTCTTCCTTGAGCTGCGTCACCCCGCTGTAGTCTGTAATGGACTGTCCTGAGGTCTCGCTACAAACAAGTAACTGCTGGAAGAGAGTAGGTGAGTTGTGTTTAGTCTCTTTGCTAAAGAAATTAGGCAAAGCTAAAAAGATGTTTGGTGGCTTGAACTATGACTGGGACCCTATATGTTCTGTTGATGAAGTTAGGTGCTGTTCTGAGCATTATTTGTGGCTATAGAGTGGCGTTTTGTTTGAGGTTTGTTTATGGCTCCGTAGACCGCTGTGTATTGCTATCTGCGGTCGTTACTAAAGTTGGTATAACTAGAGAAGCAAACAGTCGGCAACATTCATCTCCTACAGGGGTGTCTAACCCGGTGTTACAGTGTTCTTGACCTTAAATTAATTTTACGATGTAATATCCCTTTAAACTGGTGAAACGAATATAACCGTGACATGTATTTAAACTCTTGAAAAAAATGAACATTTCTCCTACTGACCGAAAAAATCTGAGACTTGGACTGAGTCAGAAATCTGTTTCCAGACACGTAATTTCCAGGAACGCTGGAGTCGAGTTTGTTAGAAATAAATAAAATAAATCTCAAATCCAGCAGAATAATCTAAATAAACTCTGTCTGAAAAAAAACGATCAGAGTTTGCAGAGTTTGAGTTTAATGTGAATGTTTAAATCAGCCCAGTGTGTTTATGAGGGACGGCTGTAAATGTTCAGACTGATGTTCGCGCTCATGCATCACCCTGAAGGTCTCGTAAACACTGAAACCAGAGCGGTTTCCGAGGGTCCGCTGACTCTGCAGATAACCTGAAAAAAGGAGAATAGAGTCAGTACCTGTAGGATCTGTGAGTGGAGGGACTGTTGGATGAATAACCGAACTCCATGGTGTACTGAGAGCGGACCGTGGCCGGAGACGGAGGAGGATTCAGGATCTGAAATATCACAGAAACATGGACCTCAGTTCGTTTGAAAAACAGGTACATGATAGAGGAGACAGAAACAAGTGTGTGTGTGTGTGTGTGTGTGTGTGTGTGATGCTCACTGGTGGGAAGTACGTCCCCTTGGTGCTGGACGAGCTGCTCGACGACGCTCCGGTCACATGGGCGCGGTCGTACGGCGGTCCGCTGCTCCCGCCCATGATGCTGAGGGAGCCAATCACAGACTTCCCTCTGGACATCCCTGTGGAGAAATCAAACACACACTTCAGCGCCATGTTTGTTTTACACACACGGTTAGATAAACGCGGCGTCGGCCTTCGTCGTCTCACCTGGCAGCGAGCTGGAAAGCGAGCTCGGGTGCGGCACGTATCCGAGCGGCACCGAGGACGGGCCGTGGACCACGAAGTCGTTGGTGACCGTCTCGCCGTCGTCCTTCATCTGAGGACAGAGGACGCGCTGACACACGAAGTACACGGCCCCCACCACAAACAACGCCATGACCACGCCCACGATGGAGCCGATGGTGGTGTTGGGAGGAGGAGGAGGCTCTTCTGTCGGATCTGAAACCGCAAAGGAAGAAGAAGAAGAGCTTCGTTAAACAGATGTTTGTTGTCCTCGCTGAAGTTTAAAACCTTCTCAGGTGACGGCGACTCGTGTTTTAATATTCGGACTCACAGCAGCCGATCTCGTCTGAGTTGTCCGTACAGTCCATGTTGTGGTCGCACTTCTTGTGTTTGCCGATGCACTGACCGTTGGAGCAGGTGAACTGATCCGGAGGACAGCGCACTGAGAGAGAGAGAGAGGAAACAGAAAATCCTGAACTTTGAACCTGCGGCGTCTTTTCTTCTGAATCGAAGAGATCTGGAGCGTTCTGGTTCTTGATACTCAGACCCCGTACTCATCAGGCGAGCCCTCACCTGCCTCACCTTCACACTTGTTCTCGTCGGAGCGGTCCTGACAGTTGACCTCCCCGTTGCAGCGCAGACTCAGGTCGATGCACTGCCGGCTGTCGCACTGGAACTCGGACTCGGAGCAGACCGGACAGTCCTCCTCGTCGCTGCTGTCGTCGCACTCCGGATACCCGTCGCACCTCCACGCCTGCGGGATGCAGTCCACCTCCCCTGACGTGCAGGAAAACTGGTCTGGGGAGCAGGTGGGGGGCTCTGAAGGGAGGGGGAACAAGATGAGACTCAGATTTTTTCAAACCAGTGAGAGGACCTGGACTTGGACTTGGAGGAGCAGGACTCACCTCCACAGGAGAGCTCGTCCTGCAGCAGAACCAGGTGGACGGGACACGAGCAGCGAGTCGTCCCATCGCCCTTCACGATGCAGATGTGGGAGCAGCCGCCGTTATCCCACGTACACGGGTGTTTACCTGCGAAGAGAGAGAGGACAGGTGAGACCTGACACACGACTCCGACTGAGAGATCCGAGCAGAAACTCAGACTCACTGTAGTCCCTCATGTCGAGCTCGTGGACGGCGTGGATGTCGCTCAGGTAGGCGATGCGGGCCTGGATCTTTGTTCGCCCCTCCCTCGTGGTCTTGTCGATGCGTTCGATCATCTGCTGCTGCTTGTCGATCCAGTACAGGTGATCCCCGAACACGGTCAGACCCACCGGCTGCAGGATGTTGGAGTCGGCGATCACGATCCGGTTGGCTCCTGGTTTTTTTGTTTTTTTTTTCAAAAAAGGCACCGAGGGGGAAGAAACAAAACAAGGTTGTCGGGACAAAAACTTCAGGAGGAGAGGGAACTGAACGGGTGAGAAACTGAGGGGTGAGGAGGCGGGAGGAGGAGGGGAGGCAGGAGGAGGGGACAGCGATACAGCGGAGTCAGCGGCAAGTTAACACACGAGAAACTAAACAGCAGATTGAAACAGACATGCATCAAAGTTATAATCTGATAACGCAGATTAAAACTCTTCAAGTCGAAGTCCGACTGACTCTTTTCTTTATCAGATACCTCTGCACACAAATCTTAAAGAAGAGCAGATCTGGACCAAAAACACGCGAGAGATAAAATTCAAAACTTTCTAAAATCCTCTAATCCTCTGTCCCTTCTATCTTTATCAACATATTTTGGTTTAGTGGTGATAAAAATGTTTATTCTCATTAAAATTATAAACAAATTTGTCTTTTAAACTCTTAAAATTTTGATCCAAACGTCGAGATTTTTAAATTAACTTTTGTGGCAAAATCTTTCTTGTCTTTAAGTTTTCTTGGCGGCAAAATGTCGAAAAACGCAGACAAATTTAACGCTAATTAAAGATTCTTAAAGACACTGATTAGGTTGTGTTTTCCTGTATAAATGTTGTAAGATTTTGGGTTTTATTCATGTCCAAAAACCTGCAATTTCATGCTGCAAAAGCCACTTATCGACTAGCTGTTATTAGCCAGACTGGCCTGCAGGGGGCACCAGAAGCCTCTGCAGTGTCGAGTTCTGCACCCACTGAGGAGGACTCGGTCTGCATCTAAAGAAGAGGACAGAGTTTCCCTGCAGAGGAGGATTCCTGCAGTTCTGCGTAAAAAAGGGGGGCCTAAAAGGACGAGGACTCGGTCTGGGACTCTCTCGATCTGTGACTCTCTCTCTCAGGGACTGGGACTCGGGGAAGTGACTCGTCTGCGCTCACAGATGGTTTACATTCCTGTCGGCCTGCGTGGGGCTCTGGAGAATCACAGGAATGTGCTGAGCTCGAGGCTCGCAGCCAACTTCAACTTTCAAGGAAAAAAAAATACTCCCCAAAGAAGAGTCCGGAGTCTCGTGTTCACACATTCGCTCCCTGTTACCCCGCCGCCACACACACACACACACACACACACACACACGCAAATATATATACGCACAGTGTTACAGAGCAGAAACAGACAGATGAATTGAACACAGACTGAACTATTAGTAGGGCCTGATCGATATGGATTTTTGGGGCCAATACCGATAATTTATTTGGGGGGGGGTCTAATTACAGATTAATGTGCCTTTTTCTTTTATTAAGTTATAAAAAATATAAATATACTGTAGATCTACTGTAGGCTACTGCTCTTTATGCCGACAGGAAAACCGACTGATCAAACTCGAAGTGAAACCGAATCTTATTCTCCGCATTTTATTTCTGAAAATATCGGCGTAAATCGGCGAGTTTTGGCCGATTACTGATTACACTCAAACAGGCTAAAATTGGCCGATTTAATCAGCTCGCCGATAAATCGGTCGGGCCCTAACTTGAAGTACAAAATTTAAAGTCATCTCTACCTGAAAAGGACTCCTTTAGTTTTCATTTGAAGATGTCGGTCAGAGTGAGAGGATAAACTAAATTTTCAATAAACTTTCCGTCTGACGTCAGGATTCATATTTGTCTCATTCTCACTAAAACAGCCAACTCAAAACTTCTCTATTTGCTCAGGCATTTGTTTAATTGTTTTTGGGGCTAATTGACGGTTTAAATGTTGTTGTCTTGGCCTTTTAATTTTTATGTACATCTTTTTATTTCTGTCTATGTGAAGCACTTTGTGACTCTTTTGTCTGTGAAAAGTGCGATACAAATAAAGTTTACGTACTTCCTTTTTTGACAGAAAACATCAGAGGAATAAATATCCTATTAATTTGTTTCATGTAAAAACAACAATCAAACCTCTTCACCTTCACTGATCGGCACCAGTCGACTGGTGAGCGCGGAAACGTCAAAGCTGAGGATGGAGAGTCAGCTGTGATGCTCTACTACCTGGACCTTTTATGCATATTTTGTGTTGTATATAGTGTACATACTTGTTGTAAAACTGTATATATTGCACATTTGTTTATCTCTTTATTTGTACTAATTTTATCTATTATTTATCTCCTTTATTTGCACTGGATTCTGATTCTAACCTTATGAAACACCGGCGCCCTGATGATGATCTCGCTCTGACTGCTCAATCTTGGAACCTTCAGGGCCGTACGGCGGGTTGTGTAACTTATCAGTTGAGCGTTTTAGTGAGGAAACCACAGGACAGATCTCATCATTGAGCACAAATGTCCGAACAGCGTCAGACACTCACTGTCTGCTCTGCATCCGTCACACAAACCTCATTCTAATCAGTAAATGAGATGTTTGACATGTTTGACCATGTTTAAACTTCACGGCGAAAACAGGACGACCCCTGACGTTAACACAAGCAGATGAGCGTCACGTATGAGAGGGGGTGTGACTGATGCAGGCCAAACACAAGGGAGTAAAAACACACACAGCGAGAAGTAACATTTATAGGTAGAAGTAGCAGCAAAGCAGCGTCAAAGGCAGCTGAGAGTTAGCAGGATCTGTTTTTATCCATAAACCGACATCAGAAAATCTGATCCTCGTTTCAGCAACATCTCACGACCCAACAACGAAAAGTGATTTGATTACGGGGAACTCTTAAAGCCGAAACACCAAGCAGAAAGAACTTGTGACGAAACGCTGTCCCTCTCTCAGACTCACCTGACAGGTCGCTGCTCTCGATGCGCCTCAGGTCCGAGTCCACCCAGAACAGCTTCCCCACCTCGTTATCGATGGCCAATGCGACGGGTTTCCCCAGGCCGCTGAAGAACAGGACCTCCCGCTCCGTCCCGTCAAGCGCCGCCCGCTCGATCTTCGGGGAACGCTCCAGCAGGTTGGTGAAGTACATGTACCTGCGAGACAACGCAGAGGGAAACGCTCAGGCTCAGAGGCTGCTGGTGTGTTTGGAGATGTTTGTTTGTTTCCTTCCGCAGACTCCGACTCGGAGCCGCATGATGACTCGGACATCACTGCAGAAGGGAAACCTGCAATTATGGCAGAAAACGAGCGCCGCTGCACCGCGAGGCGACCCGGGATACCCCAGAGAGAAACGACGACAACCAGCGAGTGTGTGAAGATATTTACTCTCTCATGAAGCAAATTAAACACGTCTCTGAAGGATGTTCGATAAATAAAGATACCTGCGAGGAACTCTTTGATGAATCCTGGAGCTGATTTACAGGAAATTAAACGTCTGAAATGACGGAGGAATCTGGCGCACGAGGAGGAAACTGATGGCAGAGTCCCAGATCGTTCAGAAGGACAACATTTCACCGAGGAGTCTCTCTCTGTTTCCGTGTATTTACACATCCGTGATCATGTGACCTCACTCACCCTCTCTCCGGGTTGACCACGATGGCTCTGGGTTTGTCGTGCTCGCCCCTCAGCACCACGCCCACCCTGCTGCCGTCGGTGCGGGTCACGTTGATGACGTTGGTGACTTCGCTCGTCCAGTAGATGAAGCGGCTGTAGATGTCGATGCTCAGGTCGTACAGCTGCAGGCCCTGACTAGCTCCGCCCATCGAGCCCGACACCACCGTCATACTCTGCGGGGAGAAGAGACGCGTTAGATACGGCTTTTATTTTGAAATGTCTCAGACAGGAAAACAGCTCGGGAGCGTCCTCACCTGGTTGCCGTCCTCCTGAGCGCGGCGGATGACGTTCTGCTTGGAGTCGATCCAGTACAGGTGTTTGTCCAGCGGGTCGTAGTCGATGGCGCGGACGTTCCTCAGGCTGTGGATGGGCAGGATGATGTCAGGACTCTGCTGCTCGTCGATCACCATCCGATTGATCGCTGTTTTCTGACTGAAGAGGAGGAAGGAGGTCGGAGCTGAGGGAGAGAAAAAAAGAGGAGGAGGAGGAAATGTTTAAAAGTCAGATTTTCACTTTGGTCGGGAGCGTCAGGAGTATCAGCATCTGTAGACGTAATATTAAGAGAATTGAATCTGAAATTTATGATAGAAAGATCGGATCAGAAAAGCAACCAGCCGACCGAACAACCGCTGTTCTACTTCAGCTGTTGAGTCATAAATTTACAACTTTAGGATCATAAATATTTGACTTTAAACTCGCTGAAGAACATCTTTAATCTCCAAAATTTACAACTTTATCTCTTCATCATATTCTTTTATCTCGAAAACTTCTGACTTCATCCTTTAAACTCACATTTCTATTGTCGTAATATGGTTATCATCATGATTTTTTTATTCCCATTTTTTTCTTGTAAATTAACATTCAACTTAATAAAAATAATGACTTATTTACTCAATTGAGAACTTTTTATACTTTTTAGACTTGTGACTCTATTCATGTACATTTTTGACTCATTCTCATTCATTTAAGATCAAATCTTAAAATTTTGATCTTTAAAGTTTGTTGTAATTCATCCTGAATCTCATTGCTACTTTATTTCTATAATTTGCTGTTTTTTCTAGTCAATTCTTAGATATTATTTCATAAACAAATTCTGATAAAATTATAACTTCTCTTTAAACAAAGTCCTAAACTCCTGAATTTGTGATTTTTTGGCATTTACAACTTTTATTTTAAAAACTTTTTTTCAGATTATTTGTTTTCTTTCATCATGTGTACTTCACCCTTTGTCATATTGTTGTGTCAGTAAAAGCAGAAAACATCACGGTGAACTCTAAACCCGACAGGATTCTTGTTTTTAAGTTTCTTTCTTCAGATTAATCGGCTGAAGTGAATATTTTAAACATTAATGAGGTCAAACTTCGTTCTTTCTGTCAAGCCAAATTAAGAAATCAAAAGTCTGAAGAGTTAATCAGTTTTATGACGTCTCACCGCTGCAGGTCTTGTTGTCATAGTTGAGGGAAAAGTGGGCGGGGCATCCGCAGACGAAGCTGCTGACAGGCACCGCGAGGCAGAGGTGGGAGCAGTGTCCGTTGGTAGAGGCGCAGGCGTTCCAGCCGCCCTGACGTGACGAGTGGAACACCAGGATGTCCATGACGTAGTCCAGGTGGCCCTGGATCAGCGTCCGGTTCTGCCCGCTGGTCTTATTGGCGCGTTCGATACTGCGCTGGCTCCAGTCCGTCCAGTAGATGTAGTCCTGGTACTGAGTGAGACCGAACGGGTGAGGAAGGTCGTCAGCTATCACCTCCCGGTCCAGACCTGGAGAGGAGGACGCAAGAGAAAGGAGACGATGAAGGAAGGATCAAAGGTTATAAAAATATCAGACTGGGACTGATCCTCTCAGGACTACAACCAGATTCTTGGGTTTAAAGGGATATTCCGGAGTATAATTAATTTAGAATTAGACAAGTTAGACACCCCCTCAAGAGATAAATGTTGCCGACCACTTGCTTCTCTAGTTAAACCAACTTTAGTAACTCAGGAAGTTCGGGAAGGAATCAAGAAGAGGAGCCAAAAAACACAAACATTGAAGGACTCAGAGAGTGAATTAGCTCTTGTGACTGAAGAGCAAAGAAATCCAAGAAATAGAATCATTTTAAAAAATCATGTGATGAATAATTAAGAATTTAGACGCATCAGTCAAAGCAAGTGAAAATAAGTCTTTTTATGGCCTGAAATTTAAAAATCTAATTCAAGATGTTCTGAGGATCGACAGGAGAAGAGGGTTAAAAAGAGAGAACTGGACGAAGACGAAAAAGTAAAAGTCGATTTCTCCCACCTAGCATGTTGGAGGACTCGATCAGCGTGGTGTCCAGGTCGGTCCAGTACAGACGTCTCTCTGCGTAGTCGATGGTCAGCCCGTTCGCTCGCCCCACGTCGGCCACCAGAGTGATCCTCCCCGTCCCGTCCATCGCTGCGCGGTCAATCTTCGGCTTCCCGCCCCACTCGGTCCAGTACATGTATCTGAAACAGGAAACCGGAAACAGCGTCAGAGACGGAGGAGACATTTGGTCCTCTATGATCCCTCTTCTTCTATTCCCGAGTCCTCACCCCTCAGCCGGGTCCAGAGCCAGAGCTCGGGGACTGTCCAGGTCCTTCCAGACCAGGACCTGCCGGTGCTGCCCGTCGAGTTTGGCCACCTCGATGCGGTTGGTCCCAGTATCGGCCCAGTACAGGTTCTTCCCCAGCCAGTCCACCGCCATCCCCTCAGGATAGTCCAGACCGAACTCCACCACGTGTTCAAGAGCGCTGCCGTTCATGAAGGCCCGGCTGATGGTCTGCAGAGAGGGGAGGGGGACGGAGACGGTTAAATCAGAGGAGTTCAAATCAGCAAGAGTGAAGAAAGAAAGGAAGAAAGAGAAGATGAAAAAGAAGGGAAAAGAAGGTGGAGGTCTGACTCTTCCTCACGCTCACCTTCAGAGTGATGTCGGTCCAGTAGATCCTGTTGTCGGTGACGTCGAAGTCCAGCGCTGACGCCTCCTTGACGCCGGTGAGCGGGATGGCCACATTGTTGTTGTTGGTCTCCAAGGAGATGCGGCGGATGTCGGTGTGGCGGGAGAAGAGCAGAAAGGCCTCAGGGACGATGCACGTCTTCATGTCTGCGATGAGTTCAAGGCCGATGGGACATCCGCACTGCACGCCCTGAGGCTTATACAGACACAGGTGACTGCAGCCGCCGTTACCGTCCGCGCACGGGTTCGTACCTGAGGAGGCGGAGTCAGGGGGTCAGCGTACAGGATGCAGACTCTGCGATTACCTGGTTTGAAGCGGACTTTGACTCACCTGTGGCGCGGTGCACGTATGTGGCTTTGAGGCCCATGAGGTCAGGCAGCTGGTCGATGATGAACTCTCGCTCGGCGGTGCGTTTGTGGACGCGCTCGATGCTGCGGCGCTGCCAGTCCGTCCAGTAGATGAAGTCTCCGAGGAGAGTGAAGCCGAAGATGTGAGGAAGTTTGTCCTCCACCAGCACCCGTCGGCCCGTCCCGTCCATATTCATCACCTGAGGAGGAGAGAGGAGGAAGAGGCTGAAGGTTACACTCCCGCTCAACTTTATTTGTGTGACCTTAAACTTAAAACCTTCAACTTTTAATCCTAAATTCAATCCTAATCCCTGAAGTACTTCAACAAAAAAAAGTCTGAATTAAAGAATAAATCTAAAACTCTAAATAACTCGGCGCTCTGTATCCTCCTGTGACTCTAACATTAAACATTTTCTAACGTCCTCTTTTCCCATCATACCCGGCGGCTGGACAGATGGGGGCTGGGCACACATTGTGTTTCTCTCTACTGAGCGCGCTCAGAGGAGCTCAGGCGACCTGGCAGCACATCGCAGCGCCGCTAATTAGAAGCAACAGCCGAGCAAACAAACAGCGGCAGCATATGGCCGCCACATTTCCTCCTCTTCCTCCTCTTCTTCTCTCACTCAAACTTTGACATCTCACTTCCTCCAGCAGCAGCAGGCAGACGGGTTTTCTAAAAACCCAGAACTGAGACGGCTCAGGAGCCGCGCCACAAAACCTGGAACTGAGTTTAAACGGCGACGAGGATGAGAAGAAACTGTGAAGCCCACTACAAAGTTCTGCTGAACAAAGACGAGGCATGAAGCGCGCTGGACGGGTTTTATTAACCCTTTAACTGCCAGAGAGCTGAAATACTTTCACTCAGTTAAAGGCTGTTTAAATCCTCCGTCAGGCTGTTATCACGACTTTAATACTGTGGATTAATTCTATGGTTCACCGACGGAAAAGACACAAGCGATAATTTTATGAAAAATATCTGCTTATTTTAAATTTGATGTCGGCAAAAGTTGTTTTTTTTTTACCTTTGACACTTATTTTACCTCCACATAGTTTGTGCTTCTTGTGTCCGTTAATAAAAAACAAAAGTTCTTAAATTTATTCATGACAAACATAATTGCACGATTTTGACCAGTATCTCAAGTCAAAACATAATAATGTCGTCACATAACAAATACGGATGTCCTGATACGATATTGATATCGGATATAGGTTTGATATCAGCACAAAACGAATATCGGATTATATCGGCCTGCATCTAAAATCTTCATCAGCACTCCAACACAAGCAGGTTGTACCTTAGTACACACTGTTGTTGTGATCACATGGGCTCTGTGTACTAGATCTGAGCGCTGCTAGATAGAGGTGCCGGAGCGGAGTCTGGAATGGACTGCTTGTATCAGAAAGTCTGAGGAGTAAATGAGTTTCAGTCCGATATCAGCAAAAAAAAGACAAAAACAAATATTGGATTATATCGGCCTGCATCTAAAATCTCCGATATCAGTACTCCGATACAAGCAGTCCATTCCAGATTCCGCACTGGCACCTCTAGCTAGTAGCGCCCGGATCCAGCATGTAGAGCCCACACAATCACAACAAAAGTGTGTACTAAGGTACTAACAAAGGAGCAAGAAGCAGGAGTGATGTCGGCCGTGTGGCAGAATTTTTTGTTTAAGTCCGAAAAAGATGTTGCAGCTGTGTGCAAAACTTGTTATGCACAAGTATGTGCCAATATCAGATCAATATCGGTATTGGCTGATACTGAAGGTTTCAATATTGGTATGGTATCGGTAGTAAAAAAAGATGTATTGGGAGACTCGTAATATCAAAGTACCAATAAGTGCTTATAAGTATTATATGTTTTCAAGTCAAAGAAATAACTGACTGAATTTAAAAACAAATTTTCTGTGTTTTTCTCGTGGCTTTTGGACGACGAGAGGTCATCACAAATATTTTTATGTTTCCAGTCAACATTATGTCGGCAGAATTACAAAAAAAAGGCATATATCCTGACACGTAGAAGTCATTTGAAAACTGTTCGGCTCTGTATTTTGGAATAAGAGGAGAGTTTTCTACGTTTATCAAAGACTTTGCCAGTGTTTCAGGTGGCCGCTTAGACACGTTGTTTCTATCAGGAGGGGTTTGGGTGAGCGCTTGTGAGGAGATGCACAGGTCGTGCCTTCTCCTCATGATGAAAGCATTACAACAGCATGGCTCTGTAGTAGAAGAGTCCTGCTGAATAAAAGACCTGATGCAGTCCTGACATGTCACCTGTAGCAAACATCTAGCACAAGAATGGGACCACACTTCACTTTCAAGACTCCAAAAACTGGTCTCCTGGGTTCACTAATGTTTACAGAGTGTTGGTAAAAGAAGAGGTGATGGCACATAATGAGAAACATGACCCTGAAACAACTCTTTAGAAACATGTCGCTGCATCAAATCTAAAATAATCAAATATTTTTATTATCATTTTTAACTAAACTGGTTCTCTGTGTCAGATATGATCAATTCTTGGTATCAGGAAGTAGAAACGTTATCTGTGAAAGTCATAAAGCGGAGTGACGTTTGAGATGAGATTATTCTGAAACATGCAGAGAGACGAGAAGTGTCAACAGAGGAGAAATGTCAGGAATCTACAGCCGGCCTGTAATCTGTGCAGCTCTCACTAATCTGACGCCACGCTGCTCACTGCTCCAAGAACAGCCCAGCGTGGCCCGCTGCCACCTCCAAACACACACACACACACACACACATATACAGGGTCAGAGCGGTGTGTATAAATATAAAGTCAAGTTTCCACTCCGGGCTCGTGGCCTCAGCCCAGAGGTCTCCTCTGGTTTGTGACCGCAGTGCGGAGACGGTTTCAGATTCGGCCTCGATTCTAAACAGAGCGACCGCAGCTGGAGCGAGCCGCAATCGAAACCAGATGTGGGCTCTCGCTGCAGAAACTGGGTCCTCTGAGAAACCTGAAGGGGGGCTAACAGAGACCCCGCAGCCCCTCCCTCATCGAGCAGGACCAGAACCAGTACGAAAACCACCTTCAGAGAGCTGGAGGAGGAGGACTCTGAGAGGGGGGATCACACCACCCCAAGAGAGGAAAACCATAAAAATAAAAAACCAGAGAACATGGCGAGATGGCGTGAGGAAACAAACCGCAGAGAGAGAAAAAAAAGTTTTATTTTCAACATATCTGGACCGTCGACTCCCTCAGAGCTCCACGGCTGCAGTCAGGTCGGATCTTTATGTTCTACAGCAGACTGAGAGGATCACCGAGTCCAAAACAGCAGAAGTCTCAAAGTCTGGGGGTCAAATCCTCCTGATTAATGTGACCACACAGAAACATCCATCCTGTCTCCTGCTGGAGTTTAGTGAACGGTCCGCTTGATGTTGATTCATTTCATTTAAAGATAAGGTTTTCCAAATATCAGATTTTTTTCATAGTGTTCAAAGATTAAGTTTAGTTTCCTCCAATGTATTTTCTCTGAGAGTCTGCAGATACATAATCACACAAAAACTATAACTCAGGATTCACCGTTTAATGGAGGTCTGTCAAACTCAGAAGACGAGCTCTTTATCTTAGTCTGGCAAATCTTGTTTCAGCGCGTTTTAGCTTTTCCCCTGATAGAAAGTCAGACACAGCTTAGGGTGTTACTTTACACACAGCTGTATGACTTATAAACAGTTTGATAAAGTTTGTGGTGGGGTTACTTTGTACACAACCTTTACAGAAAACGTGTGAGGTAAGACGTTAGCGCCCCAATAGCTCCCTGTTATACGTTAGCTGTTGTTTTATTAGCTGTTGTGATCATGTTATTTCCATCTTGCGTCTCGGAGTTTCAAGAAGGTCTTTCAAGATGAACAGCTTCAGGTTTCAGAAGCAGCTGAGACTCAAAAATCAGCCTTTATTTACAAAATAGTCATCAGTAAGGCGGCGAGCACAAGTGGCTACATTTTGGCGTCCAAATTCCCTCTGTTTTCTGAAGACTTCGTCTTTAAGGAGAGGAAATAGGCAAGACTTTCCTTCACAACCAAAAGAAGACTTAGAGAAACTTTAGAGATAGATTGAACCAACAAAAAGGAATTAAAAGATGCTTAAAGTGTCAGAGTTTGGAAAATAAAACCACTATGATAAAGCTGAAAATGTTCAGCTCAGTGATATCTGTAAGAAATAACCAAATATTGACTTAGTTTTCTTTCACCTGACTGAACCATACATAGAAAATATCTATTCTGGTATCATAATAAAAAACAAACTAAGGGATTTGAAGTAAAAATACTTTATCTTGCTTAAACAAAATGTTCTAAAAACTGTGAACATGAAGGTAAATGACACTTTCGTTTTATTTTGAAGGTGGACAGGAAGTGTCATGTGCTTCTCTGGCCTGCCCAGTGGGAAGTCGTGTTGAGCAGTTAACCTTCACAGCGAGGAGCAGCTGAAACAGCAGGAGACGACTTTCCAGATCAAAAACCCACACACAGCTGATCTTCACGGGGGGAAGACACACACACACACACACACACACACACACACACACACACACACACACATATATGATGGACTGACACACACCTCGATCTTGTCGGTCCTGGCGTCCCCCCAGTAGATCTTCCTCTCCTCGTAGTCGAGGGCGAGGCCGTTGGGCCAGCCGAGCGACGTGTTCACCATCACCACACGCTCCATCCCGTCCAGATCTGCACGCTCAATCTTTGGTACCTCGCCCCAGTCTGTCCAGTACATGTACCTGAGAAAATACACACACACAATTTAATGAATACATGTACCTGACAGGACAAGTATCAAAACAACAGTTCCTTGATGCTGTTTCTTACACTGCACTTTGTTGACTGACCTTTGTTTACAACTTGTTTACCACCATCTGAATTGTTTGATTTCTACTTTATATCATAAATCTTTGTTCCTCCTGTCATTGAGCTCTTTGTAAAACTGTATCCTCTGTCTTTTAACAGTTGTTTATTTTACACTCCCTCCTCTGGACACTCCTCTCTGCGGCACAAACACGCACACCTACACGCCTCGGTTTCTTCTGATTGTCTTTGCCGATAATAAAATCAGTTCTTGTCTTTACACGCGATGCCTTGTTATTTTAGCAGCGTGATGATGGAGGAGGCTTTAAATAGTGACTGTTATTGTTGTTTCGGGTGTGTTTACAGGTGAGGTTCATAAAAATGAAACTAAGGGTGAGTTTTAAGATCATGAGAATCACTTCTCTGACTTCTGAGTGTCTTAATGATGACATTTGGCGAGACTGTAAAACTCCAACAGAGTGAGGACGTCTTTAAAATGTTGATAAAAAAAGACTGAGATGGTTTGCTAATTATGTAAAGCCGATAATTATAACCAGTCATGTGACTACCCTGTGGGAAATAAACTGATTATTTGGAGATGTTGTCATGACAGATAACTTAAAAGTTGACTTTCAGCTCACCCGGCAACAGGATCCAGTACGATCGCTCTTGGCTCATCCAGATCTTCAGAGATCAGGATCTTGCGCATGGTCCCGTTGAGCCGGGTCACCTCGATGCGATCTGTCCCCGTGTCGGTCCAGTACAAGTTCCTGGCGATCCAGTCCACCGCGATGCCGTCCGGGTGGTTCACCTGCGACGTGACGACAAACTGTGCGTCGCTGCCGTCGAGCAGCGAGCGGCGGATGGCTTTGACGTCATCGTCCGTCCAGTATATGTATCCCTCCACTGGGTCGTAGTCGATGGCGATGGCGTGTCGGATGTCATCCACCTGCAGGATGATATCCGTGAAGTCCGGTGTATCCAAGGATATCCGCCGCAAGTCTGTCCGCCGCGCTAACAGCAGCATCTGAGTGGCACCTGGAGGGTCAGAGAGGTCACAGATTTACACATAGTTTGTCCACAAAACACAAAACAAACAGTTCCCAATCCTGTTTATGGAGTCAGAGACGTATTATGGATGGAAAATTTTAAACCAAGGGACTTTCGAGAATGTAGAGATGCCCTGAAAATGCATTTATTCACTTATTTTGCAGTACATCTGCAAAGGCGTCCCTCAGGGTTCAATGCTTGGTCCCCTCTAATTCCTCCTCTACATGCCCTTTGTACACAAATACAGTCTTCGTTTCCACTGCTACGCTACGCTGATGACATCCAGATCTCTAATTCAACCAAATCTACCCTCACAGCAATCTGATCCACTTCTTCAAACCGTCACCGCGCAATGCAAACATGGACGTAAGCCAACTTCCTCCAGCTCAACTGTGACAGATCAGGTACGATTATCAGCAGTCCCGAATCTCTCACTGAAAACATCCAAAACTTCTGCCTCAAAATCAACGACTCGATCTGCTCCCACAACCTCGAAGTCAGGACAGCAGTTTTTCATTTGAGCACCGAACTTTGTTACACATCCATCCGAGCTCTTAATGATGATATAAAAGTGAGAGTCGTTTGAGGGGAAGGGTAAACACTCTGTTTTTACAGAAGAAAGGGAGGGTGCATTTGTGTTCAATTAAAAAAGCTGCTGTTTTTTCACCCAGAGTAAGAAAATAACACATTTTTAAACTGTTATTAACAATATCATGATCTTGTGAAACTGTGATACTGCTGCTTCATCATCACACCGTCAGAATCTCACACTTGCCCAGGCGTCCTGACCACAGTATCCCTGTCTGCCGGCTTCCTGTTTCTCAGTGTATCCAGTTTAAAATCCTCCACCTGACCGAGACTTTTCTACTCCTGCCTGCAAACTCAACCTCCTCCCTCCAGCACCAAAAACCTGGGGCGGCAAAGTCTTTTCCATGAAACTCTCGAAACATAATCATCTAATAAATGAACTGATTACAGGATAATCCATCCAAGAATAAAAGCTCCGGTTGTAACAGGATTTTCTCTTTTTGAATTATTTATGCAGGATTATGCAAAGAGCGATTTCTTAGAGTCTGTTTTGAAGTTAAAAGTGACTAAAAATGATGAGATTGATCATATTTAAAATGCAAGCTACTTGATTTCTAAAGCTTCTATCTCGATACCCAAAAAACACAGAAAGAAAAAGATTAACGATAACCGAATTAAGTCAAACAAACTTCATCAAAAGTGTTTCTCTCAAAAGTTCTGCTGTCAGATTTACTCTGCAAAGAGTCAAATATACTTTACTTTCTTCTACTCGTCTTGATAAAAACTGCTGATGTTACCTTACAACTCATAACTTTTATACTTTTTCAGCACTAAATCATTAAATTAAACATGTTTACAGGGGAAATTCTTCATGTATCACGGAGAAAAAAGTGCACATAACACTGTTTAAGTCTTTTAACGTCTAACAGAAAGAAGCAGAAAAATGTCAGACTAAAGAGGTTTTTCTTTTACTTTTTTGCCTTAAATGACCGCCTGATAATCAGCACATTGGCCCTCTAAATTGATTTCTTGTTCTCTATTCATTTTCTTTTTTGTATTCCTGTTGCAGATTGAACCTTTCACTCCCATCATCCAAATCATCTATTCTCAAAAACCAAACCAAACTGTTGCTCTGTGTTTTTTTTCGTAACAAAAGCAACAAATGAGCAAGTTTCATCATCCCAACATGAACTTTTTGAGGTTTTTGTGCTGCAGTCAAACAATAAACTTCAGCCTTAAGGTCAGACTGCGACCACGTTTCCCTCCCGGGTTTAAGAAGCAGAAAAAAAAAAGAGAGAAAAAAAAAAAAACTCTGGTGAAATAGTTAAACCCCGGCAGTGAAAGGGGACATTGTCTGCGGGGGGAACATGTGATCCCGTCCCTCACAAAAGCCTCCTCGCCTTTACTCCTCCGCCGCTCCGCAGGCCGGGGTACTGAACCAAAAAATGTAAATAAAAGAGGCTGAGAGGAGGGAGGAAAGGGAGGGGGGGGCTGCCATTCAAACACTGGTGATGGAGTGGGGTTACCACGGCAACTGCAGGTCAGCCCAACACAACCTTTAGCTCAGAGACGAGGAAGAGCACGGGGCAGAGCAGCAAAGCATGGCGGGTTTAAAATCAGGGAAAAAGTGAATGAGGTTTGGTGCTGCCCTGAGAATACATATCTACAACGGGACCTGAATGATGCATAGACCAATTAATGTTTGTAAACCTTTAACGCAAATGTTTTAATGGTGTATTTTACTTGTACATTAAATCTAAACCTCAAAGTTGTTAAATCGAAGAAAAAGTGAATGAGGTTTGGTGCTGCCCTGAGAATACATGTCTACAATGGGACCTGAAATGATGCATAGTTGAAGTTAACATTTGTAAACCTTAAACACAAATGTTTTAATGGTGTATTTTACTTGTACATTAAATCTAAACCTTAAAGTTTTTAATTTGGAGAAACAGTGAATGAGGTTTTGTGAAAATTTGAATCAACACTAACAATTTTCACATATTTGAAGGAAAGATTAAAGTAGAGATTAAATGGCCCCACTATAAGAGGCATGTTTTTAAACCAAAGAAAAGCTGGGCAAGGATTTAAAAAGTCTAAATCAGAAGCTTGCCTGTTTTCAGATTAGTAACAATAACAAATTAGTTTTTCTGTTTTTGTTTTTCTTGCCAGATATTAAAAAAAAAATCCATCTCTAAATCTAAAGGCACAAAAATCTTTGAATCAGCAAAAAAAAAGACCTGGTAGAAACCGAAACCGAAATCTAAAAGCATCCAAACTTTTCAAATGATAGGAAAAGAGTAAGTTTGATTTAAATTGAATCAAAAGTGAATGAGGTTTTGTGCTGTACTTTAAATAAAGAAATCAAGAGGTCCTACCAGAGATTAGAGATGAGAGGGAGCAGAAGACAGAGCAGCAAAGTGTGCATTTTTTATAATAAAGGACAAAGTATTAAGGGTTTGATGTTGGACTAAAACTATATCTTTATCAAGACCATGAAATGAGAAATTCTATAAATCAGAGGAAAAATGAATGAGGTTTGGTGCAGGACCCAAAGAAAACTAAATCAGGAAAAAACAGTTTTCTTCACAGGTCAAGAACAGTATGATGATGATGAAGAGTGCCGTCCTCACCATCTCTGCAGGTCTTTCCATCCTCAAGCAGCTGGACTCCGGTGGGACAGGCGCACTGATAGAACGGCTTCCTCGGGGAGAGGAGACACAGGTGGGAACATCCTCCGTTCTTTACCAAGCACGGGCTGGTCGCCACTGTAAACACACACACAAAACAAACGCACACTATGTTTAACAGAAGAGTTTTTACGTTTTATCCACACAGGTCTGAGTTCTCCTCTGAATGATCCGGAAATTATAAATCTATTCAAAGGTTTGTTGATGTGAGGTTGGTTTTCTGCTGTCAGGATTAGAGTGCACAGAGCAGCTCTGAGCAGCAGAGAGCGGAGACGCTAACAGTAATCTTAGTCAAAAAACTGCACAGGGACGGTTTGTGGTGTAGTTACAAATCTACAGTGTTATAGTTGAGCAGGACCTCTGGCCGGTGTGTGACAAAATTGGATTAAAAAGTGATAAATTATGATGTTATTGTTTCAGAGGATTATTTTGAGGGCATTTTACGTTTAACTGGAAAGACCTTTAGGAGATTAAAGATAACACGCATCTAAAACAGCAGAACCAGGAAACAAACCCGTGACTGACTGAGCGAAAGCAGCACCCCTGAAGTAACTTTACATGTTAATATATTACAGTTTAACCTTTCATTATGATTTAAGAAATATTCAACAATTGTACTGAAATATCTAACTTTACCTCGGTTTGACTTTAATTCTCTCTCAGGTTTTTGTGGCTGATGTTCAAAATTTGACAGATTTTGTTTGACTCATGGAGCTTAAACGCTGTTTTGCAATCACCATGATTACCACAGAGAGGAGAGGGAGGAGGAGGTGTAAAACATGCTTGTGCCGATCTCAGTTCACATAAGTTCAGTTTTCTGTTCTGAGAAACCTTCTTTATAGTGATGAATCAGACTCTCTGAGTTTTGTCATTTCAAACTAAATATTTTTACTTTTTACAAACAAATCTGATTTCCAAACCGGCGATGAAGATCAGGACTCGGGTTTTGGACTCGTTCTCTGTGGCTCTGAGTCAGAACACGGTTTTGTTGACATAGAAACATTAAGAAATATCAGCAGGCTCAGTGTCAGAGTTAACAAACGAGACCACAAACTCTGAGGCGATGTTAACGGGAAGGTTACTCCAGTTCGCTCTGAGATCAGGTCAGATTGATTAAAGAGTGTAAACTGCTGTCAGAGATCGGACTCTGAGGACGTTTGGACTCACAGCTATTCTGTCTCTTGGCGCTGAAGACGTGGATGTCCATAGGCGAGAAGATGTCGGAGTGGACGATGCGTTGGTCCGCCCCCGTCTGTTTCCTACACGAGTGTATGGAGTGTGTGTTCCAGTCCGTCCAGAACAGCGTTTCCTCGTACAGGGTGAGAGCGAACGGGTGAGGCAGGTCCCCCTTCACCACCACCTCCCTGAGAACACACAAACACACACAGCATATCAATATGATTCAAAGTGATGGTACTTTTGGGGGGTTTTCCATTTCATTTCATTTGATTTATTCTTTTTCGGACTGTGAATCCCCGAGTGTAGGTGGTCCCTCTGCTCATTTAAGCGTACCTGTTGGATCCGTCCAGGTTGCAGCGGTGGATGAAGTTGTGTTTGGCATCGGCCCAGTAGAGTTTCTGCTGGCTGTAGTCCAACGTCAGACCGTTGGGCCAGTAGATCTCTCTGTCAATAATCATTGAACGATTCGTCCCGTCCATCCCCGCTCGCTCGATCTTCGGCACCTCGCCCCAATCCGTCCAGTACATGTACCTGAAAATGAAGACGACGAGTTTTTAATCAGGACATGAACCTCAAAAACACACAAAATATAATTAGCTCATCCACATGGAAGATTAAAAAAACCCAGTATGTTACAGTTAGAGGTGTCCCAATACAACTTTCTTACTTCTGATACGATACTGATATTGTAGCCTTCAGTATCGGCAGATACCGATATTGACACAAACTGTGCACTCAGCTGCAACATCTTTTTTCAAATGTTTTTCACACAGCCAACATATGACAGTGGAGCTTTTGATTCATATTGGAAGATATTCATGATTCATAACAATAAAAATTCACCAAAATGATAAAAAGGCACATTTTCCTAAAACAGCTGTTGTAGTATGAAGAGTCCCTTGGTGTGTGTGTGTGTGGTGATTTTGGGATCTCTACTGTATAACAGTGGAGATTTTGACTTTTGTTTGCAGCGTCTTGCTCTTGTATCGTCATTTGCAGACGATCCCTGCGCACTCGCCCGGCTACCAGCTGCTGTTTTTGTAAAATAAATCGGTTTTTGATTCTTGTAGCTAGTAGTCTGTACTATTACGACATTGGCACCAGCTAATGTGAGGCTTTCCATCTTTTCCTGCCTCTTCCGCCAAAGCCCAGCTTCCAATATCGCTGTTTCTTCTCCATGACTGATGTACCTGGCATCCATCATTTGAAATTTGCCGTTTACCTGTCTTTGTCCTCTGCCGGTCATAATCAGATCTAACTAACTAGGTTTTTTTTTTTTTGACATTATTTAGAAAAAAAAAAATCCCGAGCTAGATTTCCGGCACCATGCCCGAGGTCTTCAAGCCCTGTAGGACCTTAGTACGCACTGTTTTTGTGATCACATGGGCTCTGCATGCTGGATCCGGGTGCTGCTAGCCAGAGGTGCCGCAGTGGGATCTGGAATGGACTGGGTGTATCAGAGTGTTGATATCGGAAATTTTAGATGCAGCCCGATATAATCTGATATTTGTTTTTTGGCTGATTTTGGACCTCACCACACCTGAGAGACTTGAACCCCTAAAAGATCCTGGAGTTTCAGTGTGAGGTGGTTACGGGGAGAATTTTCAGGATTTATACTCAGATATTTTTCCTGTCAGCCCTGGAAAAATCTTTGAAAATCAGGACAAAACTGTGCAGAAACGCAGCAGGTGAGTCAGAAAAATCCAGCGGGCTCTGTAAACTTAAAGTTCCTGGTACCAGAACCTGCTGTCCACGGGGGTGTTTGTTGTTTAAAGGAGGGCAGAGGGGGTGAGTGTGTGAGCGGTGTTTTGATGGGGGTGGGGAGTGTGGGGGTGCTTCCTGCTGTGCAGCTCGTTCTCCTCTTTGTTTGCCTTAATTACCATCACAGCTGGACGGCCCCTCACCCCTCCACACCAGCAGCACTCATCTGCATCAGACCCTCCCCCCCTCCGCCCTCTGAACCTGAACCCTCACGGACCACCAGAGACCCTCGGACTAAAACGACCTCAGCTGTTTGTGCAACTGATCAGCTTGGTCTTCGATCCTATTAGAGGTTTGTAAACTGCGAACTGCCGAGAGGATATCAATAAATACGAGAAGGAGGAGGCTTTCCTGGTCTCAGATTAGGGTTGGTGGAAAACAGCCCCACCTTTGAAACCAGAAACACAGATAGAGTCAATATCAGAGACGACTTCAGACCCCTGTTTGCATTGCTTTCTGTTACATTACACCCTCAGGAACGTCTACAGACCACCTCTCATCCCACTGCGTTTATTTTGAGGTAAATCTGGAACATGCACCGTGTGAAAAGAACAAAAAACAAGCAGAAAACCTCAATAGAGTTTAGGTTGGAGTCTTTTCTGGACTTGTTCCACTGTCAAACTTTCAATCAACCAGTGTTCAATTCAAATAATCAGCCTGAAAAGGTCAAAGGCTGCAAGAAAACAATCAAATACTCTTTTTTATGAGCTGGAACCATTCAGCGGGGAGGAAACGTTGCTCTCTGAGCTGTGAGAATAAAGTAGAGCTACCATAAATCCCACTTTATTGTGTAAATCTTGATTATTTTCCGTTCTTTGTGTCTGCATGTTACACAACCTGAGGGGCTGCAGCAGTCATGACATCAGGCAGGTTTTAAAGCCGTGTAATTGGACTCATTAAACGGCTCATTTTGGACAGCAGCAAACTTCACCCCCCTTCTTTTCCTGGATCAGTCTTTTGTCCCGCTCTGTTCGCTTCTTCCTGCAGACCACTGCAGACTTTTTCCCACCAGATACAGAAAAAAACGTCAGAGTCTGACTGACAGTCTGAGTCTGTCTTTACCAAACAAACTGAATCACCTGTGTGAATGTGAAGGAGTTGTTTCATTGAAAGCAGAAGCGACAGAGGCAGAGAGGTAGATCATCAACTGCTGTTTCAGTGAGTCGAAGCCAAACTGACAGTTTTTATCAGCTCACTGACAAAAAAACTAGATTTAATTGAGCAGAAGACAGGAAATGTTCAAGTGTGACCCTCATTGTCAGAGGTCCTCAAACTCTCAGAATCAAACACAACATGTCTGACACAGCTTAACTCAGGATCATGGAGTCTGAAAGTTGACGGTGTAAACGGGTTTGCAGATCGTGGCTAACTCTATACCTGTGCACACAAACTCTGGTTAAGTAGCTCTATACCAATTTAATTGAGAAGGGTGTTTTATATGCGTCTATTCTAGTCATTACGGTATTCAAATGCATCCATCGTGGCCTCTCCTACTGCTGCAGGATGAATAAATCCACTGAGACAGATCTATCAGCCAATCTGACCAACAAACATGGCTGGGCGATATGGCCTCAAATCAGTATCACGATATATTGAGCAGTTCACCTCGATAACCATTAATGGACGATAACTACTCCACAAGCTGCTCACCCCCTCCCACATTAACTTCGTCTACTTCAGCAGCTACAACTTTTGAACCGTCCTCCATCTCCTCACCTGTCTTTCCCTCTTTGTTACAGACTGGATAAGATGGAGTCACGTCTCTGATGTAGGACAGAGTCTTAAAGGGACATGAGACCATAGCCTACCTACACACATCCAAAACCAACTTGTATTTATTTATTTTTTTGACACCAAATTAACCGACATGAGCAAAACGACGTTGGTTGTTGTCATAAATTTCAGTATCTGTAAATTTTCGGTTTATCGCCCAGCCCTACTCTGTATCCTTGGACATCCAGGAGCTTTACAGACCGTCTGAATCTAACCACTTAAAATAAAGTGAATCTCTGAGGATTTATGTGTTAATTTATGCAAATGCTCTTATATTTATGGACTGTCTTTGTTAATGGGAGGATAAGATCTGTATTTGTATCTGTATAAGATATTTGTTATCTGTATCTGTATATCGGTGGCTCCCAAATAATTGAACAAATTGCCACTTGAGATTAAAACATCCCCACATTTTCCACCTTTAAATCACATTTTAAAACTCATTTTTATTCCTTGGCTTTTTGTTCAGCATGAGAGTCGTGTGATCTCTGTCCTTTTAGGTCCTTTAAGGCCCTTTTGTCACTTTTATTTCTTTTATGCTTTTGTGGTTTTATGTTTTTTACCTGCATTTATTTATTTCATCTTGATGTTTTCTTCAGTGTCTGTTCCTCTAGTTTTATTGTGCAGCACTTTTGTAGACTTGAATGTTTTTCGAAAATGTGCTATATAAATAAAGCGGATTTGATTGAATTGAATATATCATACCTGGAATAAACATTTTTCTGCTTTGAATTAGTGGAACTAAAAGTCCTGTGTGGTCTTTACTGACATGTTTCATACTCGCTAACAGGCTGCTGCTCCTCTCTGTGTAATCCCAGAGATAAAGACGAAAAGTCTCACTGATACTCGGTCCATGAGTCCAGCCAGCACAGGACCAAACAGCTCTAAAACTCACTATGTTCAAACTACACCTTGATGCATGTCTGAGGTACAGGAGGACAGATGGAGGAGGAGGTTCAGGTGTGTGTGTGTGTGTGTGTGTGTGTGTGTGTGTGTGTGTGTGTGTGTGTGTGTGTGTGTGTGTGTGTGTGTGTGTGTGTGAGGCGGGCAGAAGCAGCAGAGGGGGTTAAATGTGCAGTGAAATGTGGAGCACACAAACACACGGTCCCCTCACCACAAGAGCTCTTTGTGTTTGGTACCTGATGCATTAATCATCCACGTTGAACCGAGTCCAGCTCTGCGTTCCAGCGTGGATTTAGAGAACCAGTTTTCTCCTCAGACAGAGAGCAGAGTGACTACAGAGCGATCCTGACTCAAAACTGAAACACATGCGGGAGGAGAAATCGATCCTTCTCTGCTTTAAGACCGAAATAAACCTGAAATATCAGCTTCTGTGGCAGATCGGAGTCATTTCTCAGACTCGGAAACAAAGTCTGTTAGTGAAGACGAACTCTGACATAGGGCTGCTCAATGACCGCAAAAATCATAATGAGGATTATTGATACTGAGATGACGATTATTAAACATAATCACCCAAGAACAAACCTCTCTGTTATGTTTATTCATGAAACTCTATAACTAAAACACTCTGAGCTCTTCAGATAGCTCTTACTGATTTCTGATGATGCCCCGATAAAGTAAAAGTCTGACTTTCACTCGTAGTAGAGCAGGAATTTTATCCTGTGTTATCAAAAACTCAAGGACCAGAACTTTTCAGGCTCACAGCTGCCTGCTTCTCTCCCTGCTCTCCTCTCTCCACCTGACAGTTTGTACCATCGTTGACCAACATGCTCCCAAACTTTGTTGCATACACATAATAAACCAAACTGCAGCAAAATCCACTCGCTCTGTGAGCCCGACAGCTTTCCACACTCTGTATCCATGGACTGTCTGAATCCAACCACTTAAAATAAAGATAATATTTAAGGGTTTATGAGTTAATTTAAGCAAATATTCTCATATTTGTGAACTGTCTATGCTAATAAGGGGTTGAGATTAGGGCTGGGCGATATGGGAAAAAGTTAATCAGGATATATTTTTTAATACCAGTCGATATCGAAACATATCATGATATAAAAGTTGATATTTAACAGTGCTTATCGGTAGCTTGTCTTTTGCAAAACAATAAGCTACTGCATCTGTGAGGTCTTAGTGTCTCTTTGACATGTTGTCATAAGACATTGCGCTAGAGACATGGCAGAATGCCTGTTAGAAAGCCCATGTTGTTTAGGTGTTTTCAGTGAACACCGTTCACATATATTGTGTTTTACAATGAGTTTTCATTTGTCCTACACTCATGAACGCACCGTACCTGTGTGTGAGGTGCCGGAGCTGCGAAAGTTTAGTTTTCCTCCTCTTGCAGCAGAGGATAGTTTGTAAATTTCCTCTTACCTGTTTTTGTCCAGTATTCACCTTCACATCCTGGGTTTATTGTGTAAATGCCAGAAGTGAGTTTTATAATGTTTCACTGTCCAAGCTGGATGCTGTATTGTGTGAATGCATTGTTTACCATAAATATGGCTAATGCTATCTCATGCTACTGGATGTTCATGTTATCTATGGTGTGAGCTGTGCTGATTGTTGCTCTTTATCTTTATCCGCAGACCCACAGTCAAATAAATCCACCACTAAACTGGACATCTGTATCTATGTCCTTTAACGGGGACACACACCATACACCTTGGTGCTCTAAACTCAGCTGAATCCTAGAGAACAGATTTTTGTCCTTTTTAATGCAGACTATCGAAAAAGCATATCGACTGTTTTATATTGATGGAGGGAAATTAATTTGCGATAAATATCGTTTTTGTTTTATCACCCAGCAGTAGTTGAGATCTTTGTTTTAGTCTGTCAACCAAACAAGCAGTATTGATAATGGCATCAGAATCAATAATATCAATAGTATCTTAATTCCCATCCTTAGCAAGGATTAAAGATATTTGGAATTAAGAGGCGTGGCTTCTTTGACTGACAGGTGGGAGCAGCTAGCTGTCTGTCTCTCCTCTCTCCTAAGACTCGACACATGAATGGAAATACTTACAACTACCCCCCAACACACACACACATACACACCAACACACACTAACACACACTTACACACACACAAACACCACCAGCGCTCTCCGGTGTGTTAGTTTGAAACAGATGCTGTCGACAGAGAGACTTTGTCAAACAAGAAAACAACAACCAAACATCTTCATCTCATTATAGGCAGCCATCAGAGCCTGTTGCATGCTAACACACACACACACACACACACACACACACACACACACACACACACACACACACACACACACACACACACACACACACACACTCAGGTTAGTGCTAGTGTGGTTGTTTGTACAGGAGCGTAAATCAGAGCCGCATTCAACACGTCACATTCAAACATCACAAAACATCACACACACACTCCTCTCCGATTTATATTGATGAACACCTGAGGAGTTTTTCTGTCATGTCTCTCTCTCACACACATACACACTCACACACACACAAACACACTCACAGGATAAACACTTGATTCCCCGGGGCATCACTTTCATGTAGCAGCGGCGGAGAACGAACAAACCACACGGAGAATAAAAAGTCAGTAACAAAATGTCAAACGCAAGTTCTGACAGTACAGTGAACCCTGAGAGGCGCACAGGTGTGCACAGGTGAGCCCACAGAGGGGAAACAAGAGAGGTTATCTTTGGACAGGAGGCTCAGATACAGATCTGGGTCAGTCAGGTGGATTTACAGGGTCTGGTTCCATCCTCAGTGATGGTGTTACAGCGGGACATCTGTCTGCATGTGACGAACATCTGCTCACACTTCATCTTTCTGAGACTATCGATCAATAACTGATATCTGTTTTGAGTCGCAGGTCAAAGTGAAGGTCACAGTTGTGTTTCTATCAGGCAAACAAACCAGAAAACATCAACAACGACAACAAGTGTGCGATCAGAGTGAGGCGGCACAGAGCGCCACGTCGTCCCCGTGTGTCAGCGAGCGGCTCGCTCTGACTTTTATCTCCGACGCCGAGCGGCATCAAACACGGAGGAGGAAGAGTTTCCATGAATAGAAACCCAAGAGAGGAGAGGAAGAAAGACGACAACACACATTTAAATAAAACTAATGAATACATTACACAGGCTTTTATCTGAGTCCTAATGGACCCCAGGCCTCATGCTAAACCTCTACAGAGAGGGGGAGGAGAGGGGGAGGAGAGGGAGTGGATACAGTTTCATTCATACTGATTCTATCCTTCATTTCCTGTTTGAAAAAATCTACCTGAGCTCAAATTTCACTACAGGTCCTGACACCTTTACAACTCTGCAGACACAAGGAAATCTGGCTTCTGATTGGACCAGACAATCACAGCCTCCACAGACCATGACTGACATGTCACCCTCTCATTCGCATACTTAGCGAACAACAAAAATTAAACCATGTCACTGAATTAAATCCAGAGATTACCTTTATATTGGGTAAATTAGATCTACATAATCTCATTTAAACATGTAAATCTTTTCCTGGATGTCCCAGAAACACGTAACCCCCAATTTCCACCGCATCCAGAACGGCTACAAAAAGGCCTTTTCCGCTGATCGCAGCTATTTCCACCAGCTTCTTTTCGTACGGCTGCGAATCGCCGGACTCCACAGCTGATCGCAAGAGTTCTAATTTTTCTGGACGCCGGAGCATGCCGGATAAATTCATGATAGATTAACCCATGCTAGAAAGGAAGTCAGGCACAGACACACTACATGTTTCAGGCAGATCTTATTTCACATCATGCAAACGGGCGGGGACGAACAAGTGAAAAGTTTCTAAACACATTTAACCCCGACGACACCATGGATGAGAGGATGCTGATTTTATAAGTCTAGAAGTGGATTTCCTTCTCTGGAGGGACACAAGCCACTGCTTATATGGTTATGTGGCTTTAGAGACAACTCGTTATCGTGTAATTGCACATGAATCCAAGGGTTCTTGTGAGTTCCCGCGATTCCTGCTGTCCGTAGTCCGCCACGAAATTCGCCTCTCAAATGGATCTGGTAAGAATTGGAGAACGGCAAAAATCGCCATTGGAGCCGTTCCGGAGTAAACGCACCTGGAAGCTGTCGGTCTCACAAAGCGAGTGGATTTTACTGCAAGTTGGTTTGTTGTACTGGTTCTTTTTTTAAAGCTGATACTGCCAAATATGGTGGCAGGATCCAGGAAGTCTATACTTTAAGTCATATATGACCTCTACGCTCCAAAGATCTGTATGACAACAACAAAACTTATGTCCACCTTCATAAAAATCAAGAAGAAGCGAGAAGACGACTCGACCTGAACATTTCCAGGAGTGTTACAGACATGAAAAGTGCAAAAGCAGGAGGGACTTTTAGTTTCTACTTTGGATAAATTAAAAAACATGATTTCTACAAAGATAAGAGGACAAGAGATCTTTGACTGCTACTACAGTTATGGTGGATATTTAAGTGATTTTAACCAGTACAGCATGATTTTTCAATGTGTCTGTTTTCAGCAAAAGAAACAAAACACAAGAGTTAGTCAGGTAAGGTTAAACAAAATCCATCCACCCTTTAACCAACGCGACGTCTCCTCATGAACGGGGACATTTCTGTGAATCTGTACTCCCGTCCGTCGTGACGTGCCGATCTCTCAGACTTTCTCTGATTCAAACATTCCTGAGCTGCCGACAGCGAGCCGCTCGCCCTCACAACACTGACGCCGTTGTTCTGCTTCCAGGAGGACTCACTCAGAGGACGGAGGAGACGCTAAGACCTCCTGAAACCAGATCTGATCCAGGACCAGCTGAAGACAAAGCAGCAGAGACACAGACACCCTCCTCCCTCTCTACTGCAGGGGAAGATCCAGCTGCAGAGATTTGACTAATGTCTGCTCTGACAGGAAGGAACTCCGAAAGCTTTCTCTTATTTTACAGATTTCTGATCTAGTTTCTGCACCACAGCTGCTATAAAAACACCAACTTCACCTTTAATTTATCAGCTGATTAGTTTCTTGTCTGAAATATGTCGAAAAAGAGTTCAAGCATTCAGGAGTCCAGAGTGACTCTAACCTCATGTCTGTGTCCAGCCCGACCAATATGGATTTTTAGGAGCTGATGCCGATACCGATTATTGGGGGGTGGGGTCTGATTATCAATTAATCGGATGATTTTTATTTTTATTTTTATGAAGTTATAAAAAATATATATTGTAGATATCTACCGTATACTATATACTGTATGCTATATGATTTTTTTTTATATACTGTAGTACTGTACCACTTTTCATGCCGACAGGAAGACCGACTGATCAAACTCGGACCAGAAAAGCGTTTCCAACTTTTCAAATGGCGGAACATTTTCGAAGTGAAACCGAATCTTATTCTCTGCATTTTATTTCTGTAAATATCGGCGAAAATCAGCGAGTTTTGGCCGATTACCGATTAGTATCAAATGGGCTAAAATTGGCCGATTTAATTGGCTCACCGATAAATTAGTCTGGCCCTAATGGCAACAATAGCAAACCTAAAGTCCAAGCATCCTGATAGATGTGATGTTGCTCATGAAGCTCAGAAGTATCGGGTTCATCTGGTTTCATCACAACTGAAAACATATCGCTGATCGTGAAAAGGCAAAATCGTAACCAGGGCTCAGCAGTGCAACTGTTTCACTCGCATTTGCGAAAAATCAGCAGAGGCAACTTATGTTTTTTCACGTTAATACCTCAGTGAAGTTAGTTTTAGGTTGGCTATACGACAGACATTCACTGCGGATCTACCGGTGTCTTCTCACTCTCCATAACCAGGAATGGCAACAGCAGCGCGGTTAAATCGACTCGACACCATCACTGTTAACGTTGGGTGTTGAACAAGGGACCATCAATAAATTACCAGTTGATGTTCTCAGAAAAAGGCTGTTTTCCTTCAATAGCTTCCATGTAACGTGACCAATTGACCTAAAATTGATTTCATATAATAGTATTTATGTTGACCAATATGACACACATTATTTGATCAATTTTTATTGTGCCCCTAAAGTTCCTTTTGTGTTCCTTACTTTTCCAACTTAGAAGCACATGTGAAAAAAGTTAGTGTCAAGCCCTGGTAACTGAACTCGAGATCGGATTAATCGCCCAGCTCAAACCAGAGTAAACTGAACCGGCTGAGGTGATAGACTCACTCTTAAACAGGACTCCAGGGCTCAGTATGTCGAGAACAGAGCTGATGAAAACAACAAAGTGTCAAAAACAACCAGAACCACATCCCCTGATCGCCTCCATCAGGTCTGCTGATGGAAGCTTTGGTAGAAACCCACTACAGGTGCTGCGCAGAAACCTCAAAGCAGAAACCAAAAACTATCAATCCTTCACCAGCTGGAGTACTGACCCACCACAGCCGTCCCCGACCCTCAGACTCACCCTCGTTCTGGATCCAGAGCGATGGCCCTCGGCTGGTCCAGCTCCTGCCAGAACAGAACTTTCCTCAGAGTCCCGTCCAGCTCGGCCACCTCGATCCGGTTCGTCTCTGAGTCTGTCCAATAAAGTTTATTCCCTAACCAGTCACAGGCCAGCCCGTCCGGGGAGGCCAGCCCCGGGACCACCGTCTGGATGGCGCTGGCCCCTGATTGGTTGAAGACGGTGCGTTTTATGGCCTCCTCGCTCACGTCGCTCCAGTATATGAGACCCTGCGAGTATACAAAGTCCACGGCAGCGGCGTCCTCCAGCCCCCCCACCACCACTGTGGCGTTGGCCTTCTCATGTGCTGCGTCCACAAGCCGAAGGTCCCGCCGGTTCGCATAGAGGAGCAGCGGTACGCCTGAAACACACGAGAAATACGACATTCAGAAAGATGTAGTAAAAAACATACGAAAACTGTTTAATCTGCGATAATAACTCACAAAAACCAACAACATGTGTCTGCAGAGACCACAAACCTTAGACTGCATCTCTGGGACCCCTGTGTCAACCTTTAGTCTTTTTTCTTTATCTTTTGATGTTTTCATTTGAGTTTATTTTGGTTCATTTTTGTCCTTTTATTATTTATTCAAAGGTGTTGTAAATAGACAGAAATACACCTTTAAACAAGTTTTAAATATGAGAATTTAACTCTTAAAAGTCTGTTTAAACACAATCTTTAAACTTCTTAATTGTGTGCGAGGATCTGACTTTGACTCTGGAAACTGCAGCTCACAGAACCGTCACCATTAACTCTAAAAAAAACACTTTTAGAACAATATTTTAAGTATTTTTAGACTCTTGTTGATTCCAGCTGTAAGTTATGTTATAAAACTGATTTAAAAACGTCCTGGAGTAATAAAAGAGTTCAAGCCGCAGCAGATAAATGTCTCCAGACTGACGGTTTGGGGTTTTTCAGTTACCTGTGTCAGTTCTGACCCCCTCTGAGTGAACTTTCTGAATAATAAACCCTCCGCTCGTCGTGTTAACTCGACATGTCGACGAGCTGCCGAGGAGGCGAGTGGCAGCGGGGACTCTGGACTTCCTCTCTGCGGGATCCTGGCTCTGAGCCGAACCCACAACCTGACACATCCAGACCCAGAGAGCAGGTCAGAGAGACCCCTGCCGCTCCCCCGCCCGTCCGTCCTCACCTCACACAGGGGGGAGTTTCCCTCTGCAAATATTTACTACATCCAAACCTCCTCAGACGAACGAACCTCCGCGAGCTGAACTCCGCAGGAGGACGCATCAGGACGGTTTTCACACCACCAGGAGAACTCTTTCAAATCAGAACATATTTCAGCAACTTCTCACATCATCACCCACTGATTTCTGCTTCATTTTCACTCTTAAAACATAAACATTTCTCATTTTTAATCCATTTACATCAAAGTAGGGTGAGCGCCTTTCGTTTTTAAACTGAGAAAATATAATCTGTAAAATAAAAAGTTGCGTGAGTATTTCTAGACAGTTTGAGTTGTTTTGAATCGGCTGGCTTTCCAGAAACTCCTGCGTAAACCACAAAAAGCAGAAGTGTATATTTCACAGATTTGTCTCTGTTTATATTACATGTCTTTCCTTGTACACTTCAGTACTAAACTTGGATATTCGACCTGAAATAAACTTGAAAAATATAAACTTGAAATTGAATATTTTAAAACTAGAGTGACAAATTTCCCAATTAAACAGAAAACAACTACATGTATTTTATTAATTATAAAGCAGAATATCAAAAATCTAATGGGGAGGATAAAACTCTTACTGCCCATAAATCAAAAAATCTGACACACAGAAATATCATCATCCTTCCTTTTTTACACCGTCTCAATCAGACAGAAACGTCAGATAACATGCAGCCAAGTTGGTCAAATGTAAATGTAATTGATTAGTTTAGCCAAAAGGTCCTTTTTCTCTTTAAGTTGGAAGATGCATTTGCTAAAAGAAAGTCAAATTCTAATTAGCCAAACCACTTGATCACTTAAATTTGGACTCTAAATAACTTGCATTCATCAAAATTTGTTTTTATTCAGATTTAAAGCATTTCGACTTAAGGTCCTTACACACCGGGAGTGTTTTTTTTGTGCGATTATTTTGGACGTCAATATTTCTTTTCGAACCCGTATCCTGTCAATTGAAGCGTTCATATCAGCGACATTTTCCCATCCTGCGATGTTGCGGCATTTATTTTTTCGGATCACGGTCGATTTTTCTAAAGTTTCGCATACTGTGTGTCCACTTCTGACCAATCAGATTGCGTGTTGTTGCGATGTCAGATTCATATCCAACATGGCTGACCGGCTGATTGTTTACGTGTCTGAGAACAGAGTACTTTTTGATAAAAGACACAAATATTACAAAGATAACGACCTGAAGGACAACTTGTGGAGAGTCATAGCATCGGATTTCTCATATGACGATGTTTTGTTTAACAGTTTGCTAAACGTCTTTGTTTTAACGTTGCTGTCACAGCACCATTAGGTCTTGGTTGTTACCTTACGTTTATGGATTATAGTTTAATGTGCTTATCTGGTACTGGCCCAGACTCAGTACATGCTATCATGACAGACAGACAACTCAACACTAGAGTCTAATCAGAACTGAAAAACACTCAGTCTGCTGTTGTGTCAGTCTTCTCACTTCCACCTGGGACGCGTCTTTTTCCCCCAGGAAAGTCGCAAAATCGCATCGCAAGCGCGTCAAAATTCGCCTCAGAATATTTCGTAATTTCGCATTCTATATTTGCGTCAGCCCCGGTGTGTAAGGACCTTTAGTTGTACAAGAATAATTTGAACTTCTAGAGAGCTTTCTGAAATATTTCACAACAACTGATATGTTTTTTTCAGAATAACCAAAACCCTGTGGACCCTAAACCATCAGGGCTGCTGGCTCGGAACTGTGCACTCACAACAAGCCAGATTAACCCTCTCCTATGAAAGTGGAGAATGAAGCATCCATGATTTCCAAGAGGAATGTCATGTTTACATCGATCAGACCACAGAGCGTTTTTCCACCTAGTCTCAGTCCATCTTGAATGGAGCTCAGAAAAGTTCCTTACATTTCTGGATGATGTCCATGTATGAATTTGTCTTCACATTTTTTGACATTACAGAACTTTTTTCAGCGTTTTGTTTTCCCTTTCCCAACTTTTGTGAAAGATGAAGCTGGAATCAAATCCAAAATAAAATCCAATACAATAAATGTTTTGAGTTTTAACATTTGATAACTTTTCTTTGCAGTTTTTTCAGTTTAATGACGCTTGTTCATTGACTTTTTAAACAGTATCTCAACTTTTTGGAACTGAAAGTAGTCAAAAAGGATTTGCGGACTTCTTTCTCTTTGTATTTTTAAAGGAAACCCATTTTATTGAAGTTCACTTTTGTTTTTTTGTTGTTTCAAATACAGTTTTGAAGTTTTTCTTAGGCTCAAGAGACTGAAAACTACACGAGACAACCTGTCCGGTTATTATTGCCACATAACTGTTGATTTTTACACTTGTAAGAGAATTATTTTTAACCCAAAGAAAGTTTAACTCTAAGTCACAATAAGTTTGATGCTAACTGGCTGTAAACAGTTAGCGCGTCGACATAACATCACAACATATCAGATTTAGATCAGTTTAGGTTGGACTGAAATTGAAGATGTGACTTAAATAGTAATAAGACGCAGTAAGTGTCATTTTTTAAATAATATATACAAAGGTTTTATCTTTTTCCAGCTACATTTCGCCTCTTAGCTGCTAGCATGTTGAATGACTTGCTAACGTAGCATTTGTTGTGCTAAATGTTTCCCCGAGTCCAACGTCTCCACTGACCGATCAACCCTCTGTGTAAGTTACTAAATCAGGAGTTAGTGGACCAACGGCCGCTGAAAACTAAGTTAACATAATAAATCTACTCTGAATACATGGACTGGTGGGGGTGGAGATGATTTCTGGGGTATTTTTCCAGCTAAACACAGGCTGTTTGTGGTTTCTTTCTCCTCTGCTCCCAGCAGCAAACAGGCAGAGAGGCACAGCACGTATAGCAGCCTGGCTAACCGTGCGTTCACGTGCTGGAGAAATAATCGGAAGAAATAATTCCAATCGGGAATTTTAACGTAAATGCTGACTACAACCGAAAGCTTTTGAAAAGTCTCTGAAAATTGGTACCTGACTTGCCCAGTTGAGATACTTGTTGACGAAACACAGCAAACTTCGGTCAGTTCTAATAAACTGCCAACACACATAGTTGATATACTAACTACATGTCAACATTCGGCTTATTTTGGAGTTTCTCTAAAGTGTCCGGTCATTTTACTAGTTACTGTCATCATATTTAATTCAACGCAAAAGAGATTGGTCACATTTAATTGGTGGTTTTCAGCTGTTTTTGAGTGGAAACAACGAAGTGGGATAGTCGAACACCGAAGTATGGGAACTCCGAGCATCCGAATTGCACGTGAATGCTCCTCGGATGCAACGTTAGCTCCGCTCGGGAGAAATCTACCCCAGGAGTGAGGGCCCTGGCCTGGACACAGCAACAAAAATCACCCTTTAAACTGATTTTAACAACTCTCAACTACACTTTTATACACCTGCAGACACCATGCGAACGAAAGGAGCGGCGAAAATGAAGATTTTAGAGAAACTCACCTCGTATGAGCAAACAAAAACTACACAACAACAGGCTCCGCAGCACGACACCCATCTTTCTCCCGTTTCTTGGCCCTGCCGCCGCGCTCCGGTCAGCGCAGGACTCCCATCGTTGCGGCCGCTTCCTCTGCAGAACGAAATTTATATTTCCAACAATATTCAGGCTGAGACTGGGCTGCAAAACGCGCTAAATTATCCCGAGTCCATCCTGGCTGCGGCTAACTGCGTTGGATCAACTCTCCGTGCCTCACATTGTCCTGCTGGAGATCCGTCGTCTCCTTCCGCTGTGAGGAAGCTGCTGCTGCCCCCCTCCCTCCTCCTCCTCCTCCTCCTGCTCCTGCTCCACCGTAGTGATGGGCTGTTCGGCTCCGTACAGTGATCAGATCATTTAAATCGGGTAACAAAGCGGATCTTTAGCTCCAAATGGTTCATCAAAAACATAGACTATTTTATGATCCAATACTTTTAGTTCTTCACATATGACTTTGATTAGTTTCCAATATATATGAATATAATAATAATAAAATGAATATAACTGTTTTGAATGTTTGGTTTAAATAAAGTAGGGTTTGGCTTAAATTCTTACTTTAAAAATAAGATTAGATGTGCTATAATTGGTAACTTTTCTATTTGTTTTAAGAAATCAATCTGCAGTATCCTTTATTTCATATCAGTAAAATAAATAATAATAATAAAAAATATATATATTTATGACGCACTCTTACAGGTGCTCAAAAACGCCTTACAAAGAAAAAGAAGAAAAGAAAAGAAAATCAAAATTTAAAATACAGAATCTGTTGAGAAATAAAACCAACAATGTTAAAGGTTTAAAAAAAACACACAATATGAGAAGACAATAAAAGAACAGTTCACAAAGGCCAATTTAAAAAGGTGTGTTTTTAGGAGTGATTTAAAAGTATGGAGGTCTGTACAATCTTGGATGGGTTTAGGGAGTGAATACCAGAGGGTGGGGGCGGGTTCCCAAGTTCAAAATATCTCGTCAAATTGATCATTCATGTATGTAAGGACCATTCTCATAGCTAAACACAAGTTACAGCCTCCTTTATCAGTCAGATGATTAATTATGACATGCCTTTGCACTGACATATAGCCTACTAAATTAACTTTTTGTGATTAAATGTAAAACATAAAATATTTTGGCACCATTAACTTTTTGTTGTTTCCTTTGTACAGGATCGGTAATGCGCATCAATGGAAATTTCTGGCTCAAAAAGTTACAAACACCAGTGTTTTTAAATAAGATTAAAACATTTGAGGTGTAACTTTTTTAACTTTAGGTGTAAAAAAAACACATTTTTTAAAATCAGAGAACGAATAGATGGAGTGCCTATAAATAATGCATCAATATTATTATCATTATTATTATTAGTAGTATCATTATCAACCATTAATGATTTCGTTCTTTTCCTTTATCTTAAGGAGTCAGTTCAAAGTTTCGTCTCGTCCATGAACAGCCCTTCACTATTCCAGCGCCACCTCGCTCCTCCTCGGCTCCTCTGCTTTCTATTGTTGTTCTGATTTCATGCTCTCGAGCCAAAGATAATGTTACAACATGGAAAACGCCCCGCCGCCTGCACGTTAAAGTGCTGCTGCTAAAAACGAAGAAACACAACACAGAGAGACGAGCTGCTGAGTGCAGACACACACACATTCCTGCGGGACTAGTTTATCACACACACTCACAGTTTACTCACACAACAGAGCTGGAGGAAGTACTCTGAGCCTCTACTGCAGTAAAAGTACCAGTAGTTCAGTATACTACCTTACCGCAGTGCAGAGAGAAGAGTGATTCGTGTAAAACAGTTACGTGTAGTTTAACAACTTTAAACGCTATAATGTGGTGTAAACCGTGAGGCTGTAATCCCTAAGACCTTAAACAGCACAGGAGTCACCTGTGAAATAAAGAAAAAAGTAGCAGAACAAGACAAAAGTCAAGTTCTGGTGTCTGTTGAGAACTGTGAAAATGTTCAAATGTCTTTTTTTCTTAATTTTACTTTCTGTCCGTTATAGATCTATGAGTTTAACAAAAAAATAATGCAAAAGGAGTCTAAGTGCAGTAAAATAAAAACAAAAAAAGAAATTTCTCCTGTAGAAAAATGTTTCATGATAAGGTTTTTGAAATATAATCCAAAAGAAGTTTGAAAATAGAAAATAAAGTCAAAGAGACAAAAACAATCAAGGCAAAAATATGAAAAGAAATCCAAGAATATTTGGACAAAAAAAAATCTAAAAATAATAAGAAATGCAAAAATTTTCTCTAAACACTAAAATATTTGAGCAGACAATATTGAGAGAAATATTGAGACATTTTTATTTCTCAACACATGAGCGTTTTTGGTGAATTTCTTTACAAAATCCAAAAAGATTCTGGAGGAAAAACGTAAGGATGCGTAATATTTATGCAAAATACATTTTTTTTCATTGAACTTTAAAAAGTTGCTCAACTCCTCAAATTCTATGGAAACGGAAAAATGCTTCAACATCACAACTATGTTCCTTAGACCTTAAAAATGTTTCTTTTATCAAATATATTTAATTGAAAACATTTTGTTAAAAATTTACAATTTCAAAATTAGTCCTGTAAATTCAAAATGTAAAACAGGTCAACGTTTCACAACAGACAAATTTTTTTTCTTATCCTATTTATTTAGTCAAATGTTTGTTGGGTTTGGTATTTTGTAAAATGTTTTAGGATCTACAAATTCTTTTTTTGTTATGTGAAATGTTTTTGTTTCATGAAACAAATAAATTGGTATCAATTGTAATGAATGTTTTTGTGTTCAGTGAAATGTTTGCCGTGCTTTTTAGACCACCATATTTCTGAAAGTTTTGAGCATAAAGAGGACTTTAAAAAAAATTGTAGAACTTTAGAATAAAATCTGACCAGTTGTGGAAAAGACGATTTTCATCATGGTTTTCATGTCCAAAAGAAAAAATTGAGATAAAATGTGACATTATTCTGCTGAAACTCCAGAGGAAAAGTCAGAATTGTAGCTCATAGTCCAGGTTAACAGTCTTGAAAACAACACCAAAGTCACGTCTGAGTTGATCTATTTATAAAACAGAAAAAGAAGATAATGAAGTTTATTTATGATTCTGGACTGTTAGTCTCCAATTTGATCATCAAAACAAAATAACAGAAAATATTTGAATTATATAAAACATTTTGAGGCTGCAGTAAAAACAGTGAATGAAAACCTCATGTGTTTTCTCTGCTCCTTCACTTATTTTCTCATTTTCATTCGTTGTGGTTTTGTGAACTGTCTTGAAATGAGTTAAAGAGAATTGATATTGAAAGTGTTTGTTCTATACTTGGTGTTCTGTTATGAAGCCAAAGCTGTTGGCTTACATTCTGCAGTAAAAGCATGAATTCACCTCTGATCTTTGAACTGATAGGTACAGGATAAAACCTGATAATAAACATTAATCTGCTGCAGCGTGAAGTCAGTGAACCAACACCACATTCAAAAATCACATTTTTAATCCTTATAAGAACAAAACATCAAATTGAAAACTTATGCAAAAGCATCACTTCACAAAACGAGACCAAACTTTTACTATCCATGAAGTTCATCAGACACTGTAATCAAAGTTTAAAGCAAGAGAAAGAAGTGAAAATCAGTCAAACTGTGCAGCTTCAGGCATCCGTCAAGCTGCTGCTGCCCCCTGGTGGTGGACCCACACTGCAGCAGCCTCAGCCTGCCCCTTAAACACTGACATCCAATACAAAGATAGTTATTATAGGAAAATAGTGCGCGGCCAGTGTACTCTTACCTATGAAAAACAATCTAATATTCAAAAAGAAGCATATCATAGTTATCAAAAAACACAGGATACAATAGTGCATCGATTCTCAGAGAATTGCATCCATCGATTCGATTTTCATCCACGTGTGAGAGAAGAAAACTGTGGACAAAGTACAAACCCGACACAGTGAGAGAGTGAGAGTGTTGAAGCAGTCACAGGCTTGTATGGCTGAAGCAGGTGGAAGTAAAAAGACATGCAGGTGTACGTCTTATACACAAAGGGTTAATTCACCCCATGGCGAGAGAGGGGCCTCGAACCTCGAAGGCCAAAAAAGTCCAAATCAGAGTCCGCCTGACTATCCAGAGTCTCTCTGCATTAGCTCCCCTTCAGAGGCTTCCTGAGATTCACGGGTAAAAATATTGCTGTTAGTTCTTCCTTTCCAATCGGCAGCGTGCGTTCATGTAAAATTGATCAGACAAAGGTAAACAAAAGAGGAAAAAATAATCACTCTCTGGCAAAGATTCATATTTAAAGCAACAGAAATGAAAGTCAGAGTAAAACAATTTCCAAAATGTCACAGAAATATAAAAGAAGCCTAACGTTCACTTGTACGGAGGCCTAAAGGTGCCATAAGTAAAACTAAATGTCTGAAACCATCCTTACACTGATATTCACATCTTATTACGCTGTTTCCTCAAAGTGAAAACGTCCTCTCTGGCATAAAGTTTAAATCATAAAAAAATGAATATCATCAGTTTATTCTCCTTATTTCAGTGTTGATCATTCGTCTCACTTAAAAACGAGCATAATTTTAACAAAAATTTAAAAGCTTAAAACTAGATTTGTAATTAAAACAGATCCTGAAATAACTTAACAAACAAATGACAAATACTTTTTTCTTCTTTAGACACAAGTCAAAATTAAAACAGGAGAATTGTAGGAAAAAAATCAGAATAATCAATGATCAATAATCATGAGTCCTGAATTTACCCCGACACAAACTTCGATTAGTGGATAAAAATGTCTGATGTCTGGACAGATTTAGGGCAAAATTTATGCTGAAAATTTAGGCTGATTTGTCACTTGATTCATTTTTTGGGGTACCACAAACAAATAGATCATCTTTAAATTTTATTCATCACTACATCAGTGTCTCAATATAAACGATCTGCCATGAAAAATGATCAATCTGAGAATATTCAAAGCTCTGTAATGACACATTTTTGGATTATCTGATCAGTTTTAAGTTCTGTTGTAACTAAAATAGTGAGAGAGTGCATTGCTGTTAAATACATGTAAAACACAGAGGAGTGAGAAGGTTTAACTGCACAGGACTGAGTCCATTTTCGTCTTTACACCACTACCAATTTACAATCAGAGCTGAAAATATGGCTCAGTGTAAATTTTTTTAAACCTCTTAAAAATGAAAGGCAAATCTGGGTCACAATTTAATTTCAAACTTAAGTCTGTTTGTCAATGAAAATGGGAATAATGTGGAAAAATAACATCCACTGCAGATACTAGAATTGCAGAAACTGTCAAATACTTAGAAACAGATATTTTGAAGGTCCCAGATAACGTTTTAGTTGTTAAGACACTGTGGGGAGTTTTTAACAGCTTGAAACCGATATTAATGTCTCGCCATGACCTTTCAAACCAAACAAGATCATCAGCAACAAAACTTGATGTTTTCTCTCTTGTAGTTTCTGCCGCCTGAAACCTCGGAGGGGGGCGAGGCGTCGAAGAAAACAGCCTTTTTAAACATTTCCACGGTTAATACTCTCAGTGAGTGATACATCTCGCTGTTTCAAAGCAGCAGGATGAGGTTTTGGCCTGAAAACACAACGTTCACATGTGCAGGACAAGAGAAAAGAGGTTTCACTTTGTCCACAGGAGACACCAGAGTCAACACAAACCGAAAACCCCCCACAGAAAAATAAAGCGTTTTCATCATATGGGACCTCAGTGAGACAGAGGTTGTGTTTACGCATACATGATATGGTGTAAATAACTCTTTGCAAGAGCTGTGTGGTTATTGCGAAGTAATGCACTCCCTCTGGCCAATCAGAATGAAGTATTCTTGTTAGTCACGCCCCTTTGATGTTGCAACGTAGACATTCCATAATTGTGTAACTCTGTGCGGCAAAGAAATCAAAATGTTATAAAAAAGCAAACATGAACAATCTTCACCCATTATGAGTCCTGCTTTTTGTCCTTCTGAGCTCCCGTCACCAAACTCAAAGAGGCTTTTTGTCCCTCCTCACACCTCGTAGTGCAGGTCGTTCAACTCCAGTCTCGTGTAATGGCGTCTGTCGAAGGACTCCATCGCTTTCCGCCCACCTACGGCCAGAGCCAGCGTGAGCACAGCGAGCCCGAGCACCATGAACGCTACCACGCCGCTCTTCAAAGCCCCCCGCGTGGCCACCGCCTTCCCCCGGCTGATGCTTGAGTTCTGGAGGGCGGGGTCAGTCTGAAGGGCGTGGTCAGCACCTTTAGGGACGATGATTAAACTTGCTGCTTGAGTTGTCCTCGTCGTGGGCGGATCAGTGGTAGTTGTTGTCGTTGTTGGTTGAGCTGTTGTCGTCGTCGTGGTTGTAGTAGCCGTGGTTGTAGTCGTAGTGGGATGGGTGGTAGTTGTAGTAGTCGCAGGAGTAGTCGTAGTAGTGGTGGTGGTCGTAGCTGGAGTCGTGGTTGTAGTAGTGGTGGTAGTTCTAGGTGTAGTTTGAGTGCTTGGCTGTAGTTTCTCAGTAGTTCTTGGTGCAGCCGTCACCACTGAAGGTGGTGGTGTGGGTGTGTGATGGAGTGGGGCGGAGGTGTTGGTGGCGGCAGGATGTGGTTTCACCTTCTTAGGGGGTTTGTTCTGTTTTCTGCTGGGTTTGGATGGTTTCCTCACTGCGGCAGTAGTGGTGGTTGCAGTTGTAGTTGTTGTTGTTGTAGTTGTTGTTGTTGTTGCGTCGGGGTGTCGTCGATTGGTGGCAGAGTGACTGGAGCCATGGTGGCGATGATGATGATGGGTGGGGGTTCTGTGGTTGTGGTGGTGGGGGCCTGTGTGGTGGTGGTGGTTGTTGTTGGGGTTGGGGTTGTTGTTGTTGTTGTTGTGGTTGTTGGTGTTGTCGTACTCTGTGTGGTGGTCGTGGTTGTGGTTGTCGTGGTGGTGGTCGTGGTTGTGGGTGTGGTTGGAGCTGGTGTGGTGGTGCTGGTGGTGGTTGTTGCAGGTCTCACTGTGGTTGGATGAATCAAACCTGAGGAGTAAAGAAGACGAGATTCATTTTATGGATCCAGCAGGGGGCAGTGTAACCCCTAATATCTGACATGTTCCCAGTCAAAGGGATATTCCGGCGTAAAATTAAGTTAGGGTCAAACACACCGTAACACTGAGTTAGATAGAGTTAGATAAATGTTGCAGACTGCTTCCATCTCTAGTTATACCAACTTTAGTAACAACCGCAGATAGCAGTACAGAGTGCCAGGCGCTCAACCAAAACGCCGCTCTATAGCCACAAATAATGCTCAGAACAGCACCTAACTTCATCAACAGGACATATAGGGTCCCAGCCACCAAACATCTTTTTAATTTTGCCTAATTTCTTTAGCAAAGAGACTAAACACAACTCACCTACTCTCTTCCAGCAGTTGCTTGTTTGTAGCTAGACCTAGGGCCAGTTCATTATGGACTACAGTGGGGTGATGCAGCTCAAGGAAGAACACTTATGATCATTTCTTCATGGAAATGCAGTCAGACTGAGACGCTGAGGCAGAAGTCTGCAGTGCAAAATGATTAATATGATGATCATTAGTAATGGTCACAAATGTTCTTCCTTGAGCTGCGTCCCCCTGCTGCAGTCGATAGACTCACCCAGAGGTCTCGCCATACAAACAAGCGGCTGCTGGAAGAGAGTAGGTGTGCTGTGTTTAGTCTCTTTGCTAAAGAAATCAGGCAAAGTTAAAAAGATGTTTGGTGGCTTGAACTATGACTAGGACCCTATATGTACTGTTGATTAAGTTAGGTGCTGTTCTGAGCATTATTTGTGGATATAGAGTGGCGTTTTGGTTGAGCACGTGGCTCTCTGTATTGCTATCTGCGGTTGTGACTAAAGTTGGTATAACTAGAGAAGCAAGCGATCGGCAACATTCATCCCTCGATGGGGTGTCTAACTCTGTGTTAGGGTGTCTTTGATCCTAACTTAAATTTACGCCGGAATATCCCTTTAATCAAAGACTTGGCTTACGCCTTATTGTCAAACTCTCAGCTGCCTGACACCTTAAAGACATCCCCATGTGAACAGTCTGATGGATTTACCTTTGTAGATGTCGTACGTGTTGATGCCGTCCTGAGCCTTCATCAGAGGACAGTCCTGCTCCGTCTGACAGTGAAACAGGAAGCAGTTATCTTCACCTGGATGTTTGTTGGAGTTGAACACGGCCATGCTGCACTTTGCACCTTTAAATCAAATCAAGTTTATCATTAAAAAAACACAAAAACATGAAGTCATGTATGTTACACATGGTTCTTTCTGTGTTTCCTTCATCACACAGCAGTTATGCAAATGAGCTGTTATATCAGGTGTTTTATTCCTCTGTGTAAAGACACCATGATGTCTGATCTGATTTTCTCTTTAGTCAGATATTTTCTATTTTTGTTACGTGACCGAGCTCTAACAGACGAGATCTGCAGCTTTTTAAATATCTGTGTGCTGTTTTTAAAGATGAAAGCAGGTTTCTGAGTAAAGCTGTCACGTCTCTGCCTGAGCAGCTTCATACAGCCTGTCAGCGAGTCTCACTTTGACCTGATGAGTGTTTTTGAAGTCTAGACCGGATCCTGAAACGAACCCAGAGACTCAGCTTCTCCTGTGGATGTTTAAAGACATCTAAAGTCGTCATTTTTTCGACACTCTGAGTGTTTTTATGAATCATTTACCAAACGGAGGACAAAAAAATATTAGAGTAAAAGATGCATCATCAGTCTGAAGCAAGCAGTGCGACGAGAATCTGGGCATGTCTAACGGCATGTTGCTAGTTAAGCAGCGCACAAACTAGGGCCTATTATAGCAAATTTTAGCCTTTATTATACCTTCCCTACTCTGCCCCACAATGCACTCGAACCACACACAAGTCATTACTGAGTTATGCTGGTTGATGTATTCATGTTAAATTCTCACCTGGTTTGACTTCCTCGGAGCAGCAGGCGAGCACGCAGTCCCTCTCCGAGCGGACGGCGCGGGCGTCCATCACCGTGGACGGTCTGTTTAAGGCCAGTCTGACATTCACGATCACGCCCTGATGCTGTCTGGAGAAACACGTCTCCGCCTCCACAGCCGATACGGGAAGCGATGTCATCATGGTCAGCATCAGCAGAGCGGTGAGGAGCAGCCTGAGCGTCCAGGAGCGAGGACGGGACGCTGGAGGAGACATGTCTACAGGTCTACGGTCTTAGATCAGGATCAGATCAGAGTCCGACACGGAAGGGAAGAGGTCCACACGAAATCTCTGCTACACAAAAACACAAGCATAACCATGAATTCAAATTTTGGTTTGGAGCAGAAATGTGTGACATGAAGTAAATATCTCAACTGTGCTGTGACCAGATAGCATTCATGATTGACACACAACTTTTTGGACTTATCAGTAAGAACAAGCATGAAGAAACCTGGACACTGAGTCTGAAATAGTCCCCCATTCCACATTTAGTAGTTTGAGTCTCACTCTGTTTGTCTGCAGAGATTGTCATGAGCCTGATTGATATCTAGCATGTCCAACAGTCTGTACGCCTCTACAATGTGTAATTTCACTGCGTCTGTCTTGAATAACATTTGTACGGCTCACAACTGAGATAAAACCGAATAGTATAATTTATCAGTGTATTACTCAGCACTTTGAGAGCCTGCTATCTCCGCACGCAAAAAATCACGGGATAAGTGAGGCCATGAAGGATGCACCTGATGCAGTCTCCACAGCCCGGAAAAGTAGGACACATTTGGAGGAGCCTTTGAAATGGGACAGCCTTTGACGCGCTGCTGTGACGCATTTGGCCTCCAAATATGGCCTCTTCAGGCTGCGGGCCTTGAATTAGCTTTGATGTTCTGTAGGTTTGCAATACTTTTAGTTAAATCCGTTATGTTGCTGTAGAAAAAACATAATTTAGGGGGAAACACGTATGGCGTTGCTTTTGTCGCAAGAAAAATCAGTATTGTTCAAAAAAGTTTGAAACAGTCTCCGCAACTTCTTTTCACAAACCAAAGTGGATAATTTCTACAGACATGAACGTGGCATCACTGCTGTTAGTTTGGAAGAAGTTTGTCTGCAGATTTAAGAAGAGATGGAAAAAATCCTTCAATTGTAGAAACAGAAAAACATGTGCTAGAGATGAGAGGTTGTTTTCAGGACTTGAACTTTTACATAAGCATGTTGCATCAAAGGTGGTGCCACTAGTTTGTCTGTCCCTCAGTGGGATACGCTTCAACCTCCCTCCTGATTCGTTACAGCTGTACAAAACTAAGAGAGGCCTCAAAAACACGACAGATGTAAGAGGGAGACACAAAATGGAAACTCAGTTTAATTATGAAGAATATCTGACGATTTCTGGCCAAGTCACTGCACTAAAAGCAGATTCGTCTTATTACGTAACACCAGATCAGGAAGTGTTCTTTACCTCCATACTCCAGATCGCCAAATTTCGTGTCGTTTTTAAAGTTTTAAAACCAAACATCACTAAAGACAGATACTTTCTTTGGACTTTCTGAGTCTTCAAATTCTCATCAAAGCGTCTCAGTGACAGCCTGGACTCTGCGACACTAAAACTTCCTCTCCTTGTCATCTCTGAGCTCCAGATCTGTCTCACTTTTCAACAACAACAAAAGAGAACCAAATTAGAAAGTATCTGGGAGAGAAAATAGAAATCTAAAAATGGAAAGTCCTCCTAAAGGAGGCGGCCGAGTTGCTTCCATTTTTAAATTTCTGCTCAGAGTGAACAAGGTCACTCGGGATGATGTTGACGGACACATTAGTGAGTCTTCAGATTTCAGGCTAAAACTAAAAATATGTTGAATTCAGAGCAGAAACTTACCAAGTCGACGGTGTGAACAGTCCTCCATCAGATTCTTGCTGGGTCTCTGGGTCCACAGTCCACCCCTGCAGGACTTTACTCCGTCTCCTGAAAGGACAGGTGGAATTAGTTCACTTTATCTCCTTTACGGCCACAGCTATCTGACTCACAATCAGCCAGGTTGGAACAAGACATACAGACACATGAGGTCATAAGTTTGAAATCAGGACAATATGTCCTGATTTCTTTAAGATGATAAACAAGAAAATAATTTTTAAGGAGTGCTTTTTATAAGCAAACAAAACAGCTCTGTTGTACAGTTGCATAAAATTTGGCACATAGTTAAGGCAGAATGAACTTCAAAATAAAAACAAAACTACAAAAAAAGAGTCTTAGAGAAGTATTTTAAATAGTTTAAAATATCCTCTAGTATTACGGTGTTATTAATCCAAAAAAGAAATTAACGTAATATAAAAATTAAATAATGTATTATTATGATGCTAATTCAGACAAAGGCTGGCGTTATTGAACTCTATTCACTGCATAACTGCGTTGTATACTCAAATCTGATTGGTTGATTACAGCATTCTAAGATCTGTTAATTCTGCATAACACCGTTGCCATGGAGACAACCCTTGTAACAGATTCTGAGAGGCAAACTGTAACATGAAATGTCTGTTAAAACGTCTTTATTTTGACAAAAAAAGACAGAAAAAGAGACCTTTAAAGACAGAAAGTTCTGGATGATAGAAATTGTCTTTAAAAAGGGCACATTCTGAAAGATAGGATGGTGTTTAAAACAGCTTTCTGCGAATTATCCTTAACTTAAAGCTCTGGCAGGGTTTTTTTTTATGCTTATATAATAAGGAGAAATTCATTTTAATGCTTTGTTACAACAAACAAAAGCAAACGAGACTAGCAGCAACAGGACTGACAATATTATATTCCTATTTTTACTGCTGAAACCACTATGAGAGGGCAGGTGTCAGCCTAGCAGCTGAAAAAACAGCCCTGTTTCTTCAGCGGCAAAAAACAAAGAATTATGGAAAAATTACAAGCGAACTGACATAGAGGAGGGTCTACATAAGTTTTTTACATCACGTTTTACACTATGCCACATTTACATCATGTTTTTTGTAGTAGCATAAATAAAATGTGCCATTTGTGAGACCATACATTGTTTTGTAAATAGCTGTACAAAAAACACCTGAGGCATTGCCTGTATTTTAATGTAAAAGTGGTAAATTATTGTGTTTTTTGCAAAAATTGTATAAACGTTTTGGAGTTTACAATATATATTTGCAGTCTAAGTTATAAAATGTTTTGTTATACATATTTGTGGTTTTTACAGTAAATTTTTTTACTTTTTTCCACTTGGATTTTGTGTTTTGTGTGTGAATTTAGGTCTCCTGCGTTAACACAGTATGTCAAAATAAAAAAATAACTGTAAATTCACACAGGTGAGGTTGTGCTGAAAAAAATGATACCAAGCAAGGCAAACCGTTTTAAATGGGAAATATAAAGGTTAAATCAAAAGTGGCTAAAAACGGCTAACTATACCCCAAACTACAGAGGGTTAAATAAATATTGTTCATCTCATCATAAACCATAACAGCTTACCTTTAAATACTAAAGATTAGCAGACGGACGTCAACTTAAAATATTTAAATTTGACTTGTTTAACTGAAATTTTCATCGAGAAATTAAGGGCTATGTAAAGTGTCACAACCTTCCCCAGTCTCCCCTAAATTAAGTACGAGGATGTGGGTTGCTAGCAGAAGCCTGTTTACTGGTGTTAATGGGATAGTAGTTACATAAACACGGATAAAATCCCCTCTGTAGTCCCCATAGGAGAGCTAATATGTGTGTAACGGTTAGCTTTTAGGTAATTCTATGAACCACCTGCCGTACCAGCACGGAGCTCAACTGGTTTTAATGGTGCTGATGTTACCGGGTAACTGGGACATAATGTAACACGGTGTAACGTTTGTGAAATCCGTTTTTTGAGATTCCCTCAAGAGTCACGGTTGTACCTGTATTTCCCCCGAGGACACTGATTAACTCTGCCCGGCGTCCATCACCCTCCGTCGGTCGTTCAACAGTATGATGTGTCGGTGTTTGACTGGAAACCGGAGCTCCACCATCAGCAGGAATCCCAATCAAACCAGTTCAGTCCCAGTGTGCTGCTTCACCCATCCCGAGAGGACATGTTGGTAAAAAAAAACCGGATTCCCCCAAAATCAAACCGTGTTTTTCAGCCGTTAAATGTCCGTGAAGAACCGAGTCCACGGCGTCATCACCGGCCGTTAGATGTGAGGGGAAAAGCGGAGTCCGCGGGCGACATGTTGGATGGAGCGCTTTAAAAACGCCATGAATCTCGTCGTTAGCATCTTGTTTCTGTCTCCAGCAGGATGAACTACATTACATGATGGCTGGTGCTGCTCTCCGGAGTCTGACCCATTTTAGTCTTTGTCCTCTGGAAGGGGGAGGGATGGAGGCTGCGTCCCAAAAATATGCCCGCAAACACACACGGATTTACTACCAACACCAACAGGCTGAAAAATAACACATTTAAATTCCGAGAAAAAGATAAAAAATTTCTTTAAAAAAAAACAACTAAAAGTAATAATCAAGAAAATCCGGTTTGCATAAATACTTTAAAGGCAGCAGCTTCATTAATAATTAAAAAAGAAGAATATACACAATGCATGTGTAATAAAGGCACTTTAACAACATAAATGTAGATTAAATTACAGTTTGCTCAAGATATTTCCACTATGAAATACATGGAAGATCATTACTGCTGAAAATGGGTCATCAAATTAGTCAAACTGGCTCCTATTGCAAATATTTTTAAAAAGATAACATACTTTAGTTCATTTAATTAGGATAATACACATTGATCATTTTAGGCTGTATGCACTGATTTTAAGGGATATTCCAGCGTAAAATGAAGTTAGGGTCAAACACACCCTAACACCGAGTTAGACACTCAGTCTAGAGATGAATGTTGCCGACCGCTTGCTTCTCTAGTTATACCAACTTATGTAACAACCGCAGATAGCAATACAGAGAGCCACACGCTCAACCAAAACACTACTCTATAGCCACAAATAATGCTCAGAACAGCACCTAACTTCGTCAATAGAACATATAGGGTCCCAGCCATAGAACTAGCCACCAAACATCCTTTTAACTTTGCCTGGTTTCTTTAGCAAAGAGACTAAACACAACTCACCTACTCTCTTCCAGCAGCTGCTTGTTTGTACGGAGACCTCCAGGCGAGTCCATCGACTGCAGCGGGGTGCCACAGCTCAAGGAAGAACATTTATGATCGTTTTTTTTTATCATGTCCTTGAAGAAATAATCACTATATTAATCATTTTGCACTGCAGACGTGGTAGTTCTTCTGCCTTGGCATCTCTGTCTGATAAAGTAATAATCCTAAGTGTTCTTCCTTGAGCTGTGTCCCCCCGCTGCAGTTGATGGACTCGCCCAGAGGTCTCCATACAAACAAGCGGCTGCTGGAAGAGAGTAGGTGAGTTGTGTTTAGTCTTTTTGCTAAAGAAATCAGGCAAAGCTAAAATATATTTGGTGGCTAGTACTATGGTTGGGACCCTATATGTACTGTTGATGAAGTTAGGGCTATAGAGTGGCGTTTTGGTTGAGCACATGGCTCTCTGTATTGCTATGTGTGGTTGTTACTAAAGTTGGTATAACTAGAGAAGTAAGCGGTTGGCAACATTCATCTCCCGATGGGGTGTCTAACTTGGTGTTACAGTGTGTTTGACCCTAACTTTATTCTACGCCGGAACATCCCTTTAAAAACCCCAGAATAAGCGGGGTAGCTAAATTTAATCCTAATCCTAAAGCAGGTTCTTAAAGCTCCCGTTAGTTTCTGTTAATTTTTATAAAAGAAACTGGTATAGTTCAAAAGGTGCCCTCTTATGATGGTAGCATACTACTATTTTACATACACACAAAGAAACTGTTATTTGTGATAACTGATAAACTGTTTAATAAGTATTCTAATGTGGTAATGTCATGTTATCAGTTTTCACTGTTAATTCTACATTTTTTAAGAGTTTGCGGGTCTTGTGGCATAAGGAACACATTTGAAACAGAAATGAGATACACACAGACAGTTCAAGTCTGACCTAAAAATTCAAGTTTTAAATCAAGATCATGAAATAAAGCAAAACTGAGTCCTCACATCAAAATTACAAGCAAGACATTAATCACTTTTTCTGCAGTAGCTTTGACTAAAAGGACATGTACTATTAAACAGTGAATTATATTCACGGTTTCTACATTTTGAGGGAGTGGGACACAATGTAATGTTTTTGACTTTGACTGAATTAAGTTACCTATCAGATATGTTATATTTGCACTGAAACAACAACTCTGACAGAATTTTTATATTTTCACTGAACACTGTGCTTGACTGAAACAATGATCAGAATATTTGGTTTATCTTTACGTTCCTTTCGATAAACATCTGCCTCACTTTTCTGAATATTTGAAGCAAACAGACAAAAACCAGAGAACAGGTCAGTATCTCAGAGTCCACATATAATTGAGTCTCTCAAAACTCATCAGAGGAACAAGAGAGACAGAGTCACCCCGTCATTCAGCGTCCCCCATCTCTACATCCTCCTGCGCTCCAGCTGAACCGCCCTTCTTCTTCTTCTTGTTCTTCTTCTTCTTTGTCTTGGTTGGGGCGGTTGATGTTTCCTGTTTTATCTGTTGTGGTGCAGCTGGTGCTTCAACTGAAGAGCGAGGCAACAACAGGGGGTGTTAGAGGTTTTTAGGGAAGGGACAGAACATCAACAACCGCTTACTCTGACAGAACACAAAAGATTTAATCTCTCCGATTTTTCATTTAACTATCAGCACCAGAAATGAGGACTGTTAGTTTTCATCATAGGTGTAGTATGATTCTAATTAGGCTGAGCTTAATTTTGCATCTGCTCTCAGTCTGCTTAGTATTTGAGATAACTATCAAAGCAGCAGCAGCAGTAGTGTGCGTGGTTTTGAAGAAATCTATCATCCAATGACTTCTTTTAAGTTTATGACTTCACATACATGTTTACAACTGTTTGAGATGTTCTAAAAGTGATTAGAAAATACAACAGAGTGTATATAACAGTGCTTTTCTTACATAGAGTCACAGTTCAGAATAACACATTTTCAGAGTTTGCAAAATTTTTTAATGATGGTTATCTTTCTACCAGACTCTCATGGCGGCTCATGCCCAATTCCATTTTAAAAAACCTTATTATTTTTCAGACCGAGAGGTGCTGCTTCATTAAATAAGGCAGTTTTAGGGGCAGATTTATCCTGTAAAATTGAATTTTCAGCCACAGCAGTGTTTCCTCTCTCTTTCTTCCTTCTCTGACAAAACTTTCTGACTCTTCAGTAAAATGTGTGTGCTGATTTTACCGTCCATCCCGGCTTTCTCCTGCTGCATGTGCTGCAGCTGTTTTAGCAGCTTCCTCCTCTTCTTCCCGGACAGAGTGATGTTCGCCCGAGGACTCGACCTGAAACAGAAAGACAGCATAAAACAAACACTTGAGCTGTGATGTGAAATTAAATCAGATCAGAATTATCTGAGAGACAAAGACTGACTTCCTCTTCTTCAAGTGATGGATTGTGATCAAACCCTGATCCACCACCGCTCCCACGATCTGATTTTTCTTCCTCTTTTCTCTGCCCAGGACACGCCGCCGCTTAAACAGCTTCTTTCCCAACTCCTGATACACAAAAAGAAACAAAAAACTGTTATAACAGGAGCTTAAACTACATGTTCACGTTCTCAATGTAGTGCTGAACATGGAACTTTAGACTAACTCTGTAATTAAGTGGTCCAACGTTAAATTCTGCTGCACTAAATTAATACATGTTAATGATGGAATTTAATTATTTTGTACGGTGGCCGAGGACCACCACTGCTGCAAATAAAAAAAGAAAGCAAAAAATGAAAAAGAAGTCAGAACGGAGGTTACTGATGCAAAAAAAAAAGAAAAAAGAAAAAAGAAACCGAAGCACGCAGCAAATAAAAAAAAGAAATGGTGCAGATATATATATGTATATATAAAAAGCTTTTCAGTTGTCTGAACTAGTCACAGGCTGATCCCAAACTCAAGACATAAAAAGCACTACAAAAATCACGGGAAGTTAAATTTAGGTGAACATTCAAGAAATATCCTAAAAACGATCAAGAAATATCAAGGTTTCAGTGTTGACATTTTTAATGACATACATGGCAATATACTTGCCATGTATCATACGATAACTCCTTAAACAGAATAAAGGATTAAAATATAAACAACATTGAAAAGAGACAAACTTCAGCTGACTGTCGAAGTGTTTACGTTAGCTCTGTATGCTAACTGCTTGCTTCCGCTTATAGAACAGCCGAAATTAAACATAGTGTTTTTTCTCTGTGGTAATAAAATGCTACACTTTATCATAAATCATATTTACTCACAGTTTTTGGTCTGTTTATCTTCCCACTCGGTGGCGACATGCTGCTCGTTCTCACGTGGAAGAGTGAGGGTCTTCTTCTTCTAAGCAGTAAACTCTCGCAGTTCTCAGATGCCCATGCTCTCTACCGCCCCCCTTCGTTCTGCATACGTACTACATCAACAGGAAAACTGGCAGTAATAGAAGAGGTTTACTCAGTCAAAGGAGGATGCAATTTAGAAAATTACTTATTCCCCCTCACGTTCATTAAGGTCATCAGACCACAAACTCTTGATGGTCTCTTGCACCTGTTTTAAAACACAAGGTGACCGCTCTTTCCAGGCCAGTGCCCCTCGCCTCTGGAATGCAATACTATTGACCCTATGCAGCATAGAGTCTACTGAAAGTTTTAAGAAAGAACTTAAAACCCATCTTTTTCGACAGGCTTTTAACTGATGTTAACGTTGTGGGGCCTCCGGGAAATACTTGTATCTATGCCATTTTATCTGTTGTGTTTCTCTGTATTCTAATGCATTTTATCTTTATTGTAAAGCACTTTGTGATTTTAGCTATGAAAAGTGCTATGTATATAAAATTTACTTACTTACTTAGGAGGTCTCTTCTAATACAACTGACAAATGCTGACATCTAGTGGCCACATGTGTACTTAAATATTTTCTGCATGACTGTAATTATTGCTACTTATGTCTGTTGTTTTTATGTGTATTAATCAGCAGTTATTTGCATTATTTTACTCTGGTATTTGATTTGATTTATATTTACACACTTGGAATGGAAAAGGAGCTAAAGACATAGACTAAAAATACTAAAACTACTAAATCAGCAGTGTAATGTTCAATAGCAGCTTTCATTGATTTACAAGGACAAAGTACAGATAAACATTTTGAAAGAGTGAATAGATCATTTTAATGAATAAAAGAAAGATCTCAAAGTCTACAGCACACCACCCTGTTTTACACACAGAGAGCTGTTTCACTGTTTTAGGATCAGCTGATCTATAAATGAAGCTGAAGTTTCTCACGCTGCTGCTGCTCTCAGAGGCTCTCAGAGGGAATATCTTTGACTTTCAACAATGCGGGATCAGAAGTGAGCTGATTAAATCATAAAAACCTGCAGAGTGTCAGTCTGAGCACATCTGGAGCTCTGCAGATTTAGTCATAACAGTGAGAGGGATGGACGGACCCACGGCTCAGTTTTCCTCCCTGAAGATGAAAATAATCTGGACCGAGAGAGCTGACCCTGATCTACTGATCCGAAAAACTCAAAACGACAGAGTTGATGAAGTCTGACTACATGAATGAAGCTCCTCTGAGGGATCATGTGTGGTTTTGGTCGGGGGCTTACTATTACCGTAATGACACGAATACTCGCGGGGTATTACGGTAACCATGAACGGGACTCTTTTCACCTCTAAAACACCTGAAAAAGCTGATTAATATCATATTTATGGGTTAGGTAAAACTCAGTGCGGTCAGTGCTGGTGGTTGCATAATATTGTTGTGTTTTGCACAATAAGAGATATAAAGAAGATACTTACTGTAAAAGTTCGACGATACACTGTTTATTTCTGTAACATCCATGAGCTTTTCTATCTCAAAGCCAAGACGTGTATTTTCAGAGATTTCAGGGAACTAATCCTTCAAAAATTAGAATAACGTTTAATAATTTTCTGACTAATTTGAGTAAAAACCTTTATTAGCCGAATTAGCTTGACGGAGACTACCATTGTTGTTTTGGTGCGTCGACCAATCAGAGACTTTACCTGTAATCAGCTGACTTCCAATCAGAACCACAGGTAGCCTGAGACATTTGATAAGAGCTGTTAGCCTCTGAACAAGTACTAGAAACTTAAGCAACCAAAACCACCAAATTCGAAATTCAAACATATTAATCTCAAATTGAACATTTTCAAGATGTTTTCTGGGGGAAAATGAGCTGCTGGCATCGGGACAGCAGCTTAATCCTCCTGTGTTTTTAATTTTAAATGCTGAAAAGAACCACTTAAATAAGTTTTTTTTTTTTGTATCAAGACTTTTTGACTTTGTCAGAACCTCTATTTCAACAAAATAAAAATAAAAAAATTAAATTGACTAATTTATAAAATGCTCTTATTACAATTATGGCACTTGTCATGTTAGGGTCTCTGTTGACCTGGTTAGATCAATATCTAATAATCAGAGCAAAAACTGAAATCATAAGTGCACTGTCAGGCACCACACTGACAGTCAGGTCCTCTTCCAATCATGTGAGATTTAGGAAATTCTCATTCTGCCATGTTTTTCCCTGCACAAAAAACAGCCTCAGGTATGTCCAGACATGTGAGGTCAGTTCAGTATGGATGTCTGTGTGAGCGGTATACAGACAAAGAAAGACCCAAAGGACCACAACAAAAAATATTATAAGAATATTTTCATGAATAATGAAGCCTAACAAGGTAACCTAGAGATGAGAACCAAAATGGATGAAAGAGAAATGTTTTTAGTGTAATTTACAGCTGATTTAAGACACAGGTCAAAACCGACCCTCAACATGGTGGGTGCGTAGTAAAAGCTAACTCAGAAGGAAGGTCCACTGGATCTGACCAGTGGATTTTAACATTCACCTCTGGATTCTGCCTCTAGTGGAGACTCTAGGAACTGTGGTTTTTGGCACTTCAGCATTTCTTTGTTTTTCACTGTTTAAGTTTGTCTCTAGTTTTAATCCTGGTCCTTCTCTCTGACTCTGACCCTCTTTTGTTTTTGTTGGTTAGATGTTTAAAGAATTGTCACTGTGCTGCTGCTGCTGCTGCTGCCTTCACTCTGAGCTCTTCTCTTTCTGCTCCATGTCTCTTCAGCCTCAAGCCAAACTAAACTCATCATGTTGTGAAGCTTCATCTGAGGGAATTATTCTAACCACTCTGGTCTCAAAGCCAAATCCCTCTGGCCTCTTTACTGCAGCCCGGAGCTGTTGATCATCCCTAATTGAATCCTGGATGGAATTTATGATGAGGGTCGGCAATTTGTTGACACTTCTGCTCCATTGAGTGGAAAGTTGTGATTCTCTCTCCTGCTGTTCGTGCAGACGCTTTAAAAAGCTGCAGCAGGGTTCGGATAGATTCCTGCTGGGCTGCTGACGGTGATCAGACTCTAACCGGGCAGAATAAAGAAGTGATGACAAGAAATACAGCAGCAGATGAAGAAATTCATGGTGGGCTGAAAGGGCTTCAAAAACATTTGTTTTACCAGATTTAGCTGAAAAAGGTCAACCTCGTTAGTGTGGTGATGTCTCACAGCTGGGAGTTTCTCTGATGACCTCCAGAATCAGCAAGAAACATCACATTTTCAAGATTTTATTCAGTCATATGTCATTTTTTGTTAGTTTTAAACAAAAAGTACATTCCAGAATGCCAACTACAGTGATTTAATGTAAAACCTGAACTTTGCCATGTTGTATTTTATGTAAACTACACACAGCCACCAAAAAAACAACAACAACACGGTAACGTTTTTATGGCTGGAGGACTGATAGTCTTTGGAAAAAAAAGTGTTGAGCTGAGTAATACAATGACACTTAAGTGTGAGGGGATTATTAGATTTGTTCAAAGGCAGCAGAGAGATGAAGAAATGATTCAGTGGCATGAATAAAACCTGCTGAGTGAAATGTTTCAGTCCGTGTTGGAAACATGATTCGGTCCAGATTTTATTTCAGCTTCACTGGAAACTTTGATGTGTTGAGTTTTTTGTTTCTGAAGCTTCGTGAGTCAGTGTGATGAACCCGAACTGACTCCCAGAGTCTGATGTGATGAAGAGGCTGCTTCAGTGTTCAAACCCACAGAGGAGCTGAGAGAGATCAACATGCACGCATGGGTTTATTTATAATTTCTGTTTCTGTTGGTGTTTACAGTTTCAACAGAGACTCTTATTACTCTTATTCGACTGTTTTATAGTTGTCATGTCACGTATGCAACAGAGTCTTGAATCTGAAATAGTAGGATGTACAATGCAAACTCTGGAGGATCCGGAACAGTGCCAAGTGGGACACCATGAGTCAATATTGATGGAATAAAAGGTAGAAACAAGAAGACGAGGCAGTGGTAGTTACTTTTCATGATGTTATGAAAAAAGAAAGTGATTAAAGATTTAATTACTGCGTACTTTTCAAAGATTATTTACTTATTTTTTAAAGAAATCAAAAGTTATACTATTTAATTGTGGACATGTTTTTGTTTTCCCTCTTGAATGGACACCAAGGGATGTAATTTTCAAAGTGCCAAAGTAACAATGGTCAAAAATGTGTTTGCATATGTTTTTGTTTTATATAATGTTTACCTTCATATTTTTCAGTCTTTGTATTTAGTGAACGCTTCTTGTTTCATTCTTTTATCGTTTATATTTTTACAAAGTTGATATTAGGAGAAGCTTAACAAATTCTGCTATATATCAGAACTCTCTTGTACCTGTAGAAAATGGCAATCAACATTTTCTTTTATTCTGTTGTCTTAAAATCAATGAAATTACAAGTGAATTCATTATAAATTCTATTTCAGTTTCTGGAAACTTTAGAGGACCGTGGACAGAACCTTGGGCGACACCATCAATCTGGTTTCTTCTACAAAAATGACCTTAATGACCTTAAAGTATTGATCTTTGTTTACCAATAACAGATACACAGATGTTAAAAACACAAGAGACTGCAGGGAGGATACTGTCAAATGTTTAATCTGTTCAGTACAGGCGTTTATCTCAGTGCAAGTGCCAAAAACAACACTATCGAGCCGTGTGTGATGTATGTACACAGATGAACTTTGGCATTGAGAAGCAGAGCGGGACGTGAAGGATGCAGAGACAACGAAGGCATCAGGAGAGTCCGACACAAAAGTGAGACAAACAGCTTCAATGAAACATCCGAAAAACAGCAGCAAAGAAACAAAAACTGGACGAGTGAACAGCCAAGGGTCAAAAAAACAAACGGGAAAATAACACAGAATGACGACTGTCGTTTTTTCTTCATTTCAGTAAACCACGAAAACAAATCAATGAACAAATTAATGGTATATATATTTATATTTATATATCTAAAGTGCAATATGGTACAAAAATATAGAAGGTCAGCAGCACCTCGATACATTTACAAAATAAATACACCATTCAGACAAAATAAATTACTGCAAAAAATCTGACATAATCAGAATAAAAAAGAAAAAAGCAAGGATTCACAAAGATGAAAATCTGTCGCCTCACAGAGCATCAAATAAGTTTTTTTAATCATATTCTGCTATTTCTGCTATATTTAGAATATTTACAGACAATAAATATTTTCCAATTTCTTTCCAAACAATCACGTTTACAGAAAACTGTAATGCGAGTATTTAGGAGTCCACCCCAACTGTCCGAAGGTTTCTGAAACACACAGAGAGAAAAGAAACAGGTTAGATCTGTGAACTGATCTGTGTGGTTTATGGAGGAGCACCCCACCAACACCACTTTTATGGTTTTCAATTGAACTCTGAATTGAACCTTTGAGCTCACCTGTGTCAGAGACTGACAGCGTTTTAGAGCAGCGCCCTCTGCAGACCGAGCAGAGACCTCCACTCCAGGTGGAGTCCACTTCCCTGTTCCTCCTCCTGTCTCCACCCGAGCGAGCGCGCCCTCCTCTTTCTCTTTTCGCCCTCCCTCCTCTTCCCAGACCTCGCTTTCTTCTTCTTCTTGGGCGTTTTCAGCACGCCGTCTTTGTACGTCTGAGACTTGTTGGTCTCCTGTGGAAGGTTGGTGCCCTCCTCTTCCTCCAGCTTGAAGCTGATTGGGAGGTTTTTAGTTCCTCCGGGAGGTTTGGAGTGCAGAGTGCTGCCGGTGGTGCTCAGGTGGATTCCTAGGCCGGCCCCTGGCAGCCCGACGCCAGCGCCGCTGCTGCTCCCTCCTCCCACTGTGGTCCGTACCGCGAGGTCTCTTATCTCAGCTGTGTGGACCTCGTCCAGAAGCTCCTGCAGCCACATGCGCCGCTTAAAGTCCTGCAGCGCCCGGCCTTTGTCGTGCATCAGCTGAGCATGAGTCACTGTCCGCTTTCTGCAAGAAATAAGACAGAGGATTTCATTAAAATGAGAGAGAAGAAAAGTACATTTCTTATTCTGTTCTGTTTTAAACGAGAGATTTTGAGGAGATATAAGCTGCATTTAAACATTTTCCAAAACCTTTAATGAAACCTTGGGGAACTCAGCTGAGCGGTTCTGACTCAAACCGTCAAACTCTCCATCATTGTGTTTACTAATGATGGACAAAGAGATGTTAGAAACACCAGAGACTGCAGGAAGGAGGAAACTTAGAGGATATATCCTCCAAGACCAGCTCAGGGAAAGAGGAACATTTCTGTTGAACTGAAGAATAATGACTGCTAAGTTTGTACTTGGACTCATGGCTCACCTTTAAATTCTACTCTTCCTTAACTTTTAAAGGATTATATCACTCTGTTGACCAGCAGAGGGCAACACGTTAAATTCAATCTGGGATACATCAGCAGTTTTCCAATAACTCTGTGTTGCATCAGTGCAGCGACTCGTCATGATTCATCAAACCGCAGGAGCTGAGTGATTTCCAGGGTGTTAAAACTGATACCAGAGACCTCCACCCTGCTCCAGGAGGTCCTCATCAGTCTGCCAGTTTTCCTTTCGATTAATCATTGATACGATCATGGCATGAAATCTTTGGCTTTTCACTTTTCATTAACATGAACGCTAACTGACAGATTCATGGCGCTCAGAGCCCGAGGGATGAAACTCTGCAGCTCGAAACGCTCCAGACTTAGAAAATCAGAAACAGTTTGGGCTGAACTCTGGCTGCACCGATTTCTGACATTATGGAAATCCTATCAGGTGGTTTCTGGGCTGCGGGAATAAATATTGATCATTTTGACTCATCGTGATTCTGCAGGGCACCCCGCTGCTGAAACGCGGCTTTTATTTAATTTCTGCGAAAATCAGCAGCATCAAGTCTCATGAATTCACCCAGAAAAAACAGAAAATTCAGAGTAAAATAACTCTTCAGCCTCCTGAGACAGAGAAATACTCTGTGTTTGAAATCTCTGCACGCTCAGCTCTTAATAAATCATAAAATTTAAATCAATGTGTCTAAAAAGAGCAGATGAACTCACGCCACAGCGGCTGGTTTATTCATCGGCAGGTTATTAATATCACACCTGTATGTCCAGATCAAGTATTTCAGGTTTCTTTGGAGGCCAGGATCCGATCAGGGTTCAGGGTTTCACAGGGTGGTGGCTCGGGAAACCATGACCTTTGACCTTCCTGTATACCTTACAGAAAAGAGTTCAAGGCCCCAGCGAGATTTGAACTCGCGACCCCTGGTTTACAAGACCAGTGCTCTAACCCCTGAGCTATGGAGCCCTGTGACACACACCTGAGTGAGCCACACCTTTAATCATGACAACAGCTGCTCCCTGTCACTCACACAGTCCTCAGGATCTGTGAGGACATTCAGACCAGAGTGGAAATGGAGTTTTTTTCAAAGTCACACTAACACTGTGACATCTTTACCAGACATCACCTAAATCATTCTTATAATTAAGATGCAATATCTGAAACATGTTTTAATTCTCTTTTTCGGCCTTTATTACTCAAAAAAATCCACCAAACTTTTATCTGGTCACTCAAAGTTCGCATTTTCGTGTTTAAAGATGAGAAACTCAATCAGCATCTCCAACATCTTCAAGAGTCAAACTCTTAACCTCTGCTTTAACAAACAGGACTCTCACATCCTGATCATGCTCTCACTCAAAGGCACCACAAGAGGGCGCTGTCCGCACAGAGGGAATAGAGGAAACCCTCAACAGCTGGCTGAACTTTTACACCAAACTCAATCATAATGATACACTTTTAAGACGTCATATGAATGACTCTTTTTTCCTCTTTTGCAGGTAAAATGATACTTAATTTGATCACAGTGCACAGACTAGAAATACTCTAATCTGAATGTTAATCTGCAAATAAACAAGCAACATATAGTTCCCCTGCTGTGTCCACAACATACCACTTTTAATGCTAAACTGAGTGTCTCACTCGACTCTTTCAGTCATCAGAATATGATTTTCATCAAGATGTTGCAGTCAGGATAAGATGTTTACATGGCTCAGTCAGATTACTGCCGTTATTCCAATGAAAACAGGAATATTTTGCATGTAAACAAGATGATTGAGGCAAATTTCTAGGGAAACATCTGAAGTTCTGTGTAGGACTCAAACTCACAACCTCAGGATTATAAAACCGACACTCAATGATGCAACAGGGTAAAGTTATCTGCTCAGAAAACCTGCACCAAACTCACATCACTAAATTTTGACTGAATATTTGCAGCAAAAAACAGTGAAAGATTTCAAATATCTGATCACTGCATGTTTATGTCGATTCAGTCCAGGTAGATTTTTTAGCTGGTGTACTCTTTGTGTATTTAAAGCTTTTTATTTTTATTCTATTTAATGTCAGACTAGATGTCACGAGTTTGGTGAAAGTGAATCCATCCACAGGTGCAAATAAAGTCACCTGAACCTGAAACTCGAAAGGAAATCTCTGAGTAATCAGATGAACATTGAGCAAAACTCTTGAATGATTAACTGGACTGCAGAGACTGAGATGTGTGCTCAGTGTACCCCTCATTAAACGGGTTTCTAGAAAAGTTTGACCAGCTCAGGGCTATCGAATGTGGTCACTGCAAGGTTTGAACTTGATTCTAGTTTTTTGATTACAATTTCTCCTCTCTAAAACACACAAATATCAACACAAATCACAACAAAACACACGCAAGGATGCAAATTATTAAGAGATAACACGTGCATATATAGTGTGCACAAAAATATGAGTAAATACTCAAAATTTTGCACAAAACTTGGATTATTTTAGCTCCTATAAGCGACAAACCGTCCCTGAAGTTATCCTGCAGACTTAGATTTCATATTTAAACTTGTTTAAGGTGAAATTTTTTCACTTTTGTATAAAAACTTCTCAACCATCTCTGCAGGAATCAGACTCTTAACCTGTGGTGTCCAAACAATCTGGACCAAACCTGGTTTCCTCACATCAATTTGCTTCTTCTCCAAGTGTCACATGCATGGATTCATCCTGCAAACTCAGGCTTATGACACAAGCACGCCACATGGGGGCGCTGTCTGCTCAGAAACACAGAGTGGACTCTCAGCACTTGGCTGAACCTCCAAAGCAAACCTGCCTGACATTTGTTTCATCTCTGAGAGGTCATGACTTCAGAGTGAAAACAAGCGCCGAGTTCAAAACAAATCGATAAAGTTTGATCAAACAGCAGAAGAAGAAGAGGAAGAGGAGCTGCGTCTCTATCGGCTCTGATTCTGTCCAGATGGACGGGCTGTTGTCTTTGCAGGTAGAGTCAGAGCAGCAGAAGGATCGCAGCTTTGCTTTGCCGCGGTGTCTCCTTACTCAGAGTCTTAACTCTTACACAAACAGAGCGGCAGAGCCAAGCCTGGGAACCGCCGAGCTGCACCGCCGCACAAACACTTTCAGGTGTCTGAGCACACAAACACAACGCCTTCAATGGGAGAGACCGGCGGCTGATTACAGCACCGCCACAGCTGTCAGGGTTTCCCATCATGCACTCCTCCTCAGTCATAATCTGCAGGACATACAGCTCCAAAACAGATGCAGAAGAGAAAGAGTCGATGCAGCCACAGCAGACGTGTTCCTGCTGAATAATAAAAACCTGCTGCACAAAACGTGGCCTCAGAGAGCAGCTCCTGTTTATACGCATACAGATATTTCCTGCAAATCTCAGCCTGAAGAGAAAAAACACACACTCCCAGCTCTTTGAAAAGTGATCCAGCTCTGTTTTACCTTTAATAACGCTCACATCAAACAGGCCGAAGAGGACGAAGAGGAGGAGCAGGACCTGGAACATCCTGAGGAGCTCCAGTGTTACCTGATGTTAATTGCCTCTCTCTGCAGGAGGTGGATGAAGTAAGAGGAGCGTTTCCTCACCTCCCACAGCGACCCCCAAAACTCCAGAAATCCAAACTCGGCCTCCTCTAAGAGCGAGTTCATCTTTAATATCTGTCTGTCAGGGTCACATCGACACCAACTCAAACAGAATCAAGAAAAACTTTTTCTCAGTCGTTTCTCTCGTCTGATTCTGAGTCAGGGAGATTTATGCAACATTTCAAAACCACGAGGAACCGAAAAATACTTTAAATAAACCTCCAAGAGGAAAAATAAACACAGACCTGAGCGAGCTGTGATAACTGCGACTCTCAGGAGCGAGAGAGAGAGAGCGAGAAATGAAGCAAACACCGCTGCAAAAACCCGACAGGACTCAGAGTCACATCAGGACTTTTTGAGTTTAAGACACAAGATTTACGAGTTTCTTGCAAAATCGAGTCAATTTCTTAGAGTTTTTCTCGATTGACAATCATTTAAATCCTTTTTTTTTAAATAATCAAAAATAATAATAATTTAGACCGTTAAATGATTTATTTTGGAGCTTTTTTAGTCTCAGCTCGTCTCTCTTTTCTGCAGAATTTCAGCTCAATCTGATTCCCAAAAACTTCAAATCTAGCAGAGTAGAAGAAAAGGTCAGAGGTCACCAGCTTCCTCTCTAAAGCTTTTCACCGCGCTCCTGTTTTCAATCGTCGTATCACACCCCGGCTGTCGCTCCGTTTCTCGGTCATCAGACCTCACGGAGACGAGAAACTACCGCTGACTTTAACTCAGACTCTAAACTTTAAACTGGAGCCTCTAAAATTCATTTCAGATGTGATCTCGCTCCCCGGAGACTCGATTCAGTCAGCGAGTTCAGAGGGAAAATCTCGCTGAGAGCATCTTCCCACTGAGTCATTAAAAGCTGATCACATCCAGCGCCTCTCCAAAAGCTCTGAGTGTGTTTAACTTTCTCTCTGAGAGGAACATTGACTCTCTTTGGCATGGGACGCCTCGGCAGGAGCAGCAGGTTTGGTTTGGTGCCGAGCCGAGGCGAACATCAGCATTATTCATCTCCCTGCAGAGTCTAAACACAAAGACGGACGGCGTTAGAAAGTCTGACAGGCCCCTGAACGCGTCTGATGGAGCGAGTTTATCACAGCGAGACGCTTTCTGCTTTAGGTAAACACACAGGTGGGCGAGCGCTAACCAAACATCTGCCGGCACGATCCACAAATGAGCACATTTTCCAGCCTCTGCTCGCCCACCTCGCAGGGCGGGGGGGGAGGTGGAACGACATGAAAATACACGAAAATAAATGAAGGAATATCAACTGGAGTCAGGTCCACTTTTCCGCCTGATAAAGAGGGTGAATAAAAGAGGTAAAAGGTGAAAAAGTGAGACTTACATCCTGCTGCTGAGGGCATCAATAGGCCGTCCAAAGTGTGGCACAGGAGAGCAGAGCAGGAACAGAGCGAAGCACCACTGCTGCAGGACCCTCCTGGAGCAGAACATCTTCCTGAAAACAAGCACAAATCACACTCATCAGATGAAAATGCATCTTTTCCCCACAGCTTCACCTCCACTTGAGAGGAAACAGACCATTAGACCTGCAGACAAGTCTCTGCAGAAACCAGCCCTGCATGTTTCCCTGATAATTAAACCACAACAAAGCTCAAACTCAACAAAACAGAAGGCAGAAGAAGAAGAAAAAGTGGAAGTTAGTGGGAAACTCACTCTCCCACAGCAGCGTCTGTCCCACACGGAAAACGATAAAAAAAATAATTCACTGAAGTCCCGTCTCAAACTTTCCAGTCTGACTTTAAACCACAAATAAAACACCTCTCAGGAGACAAAATCCAGGTGATGACACCTTCAGGAGAGAGAGAGGGAAAAAAATCCCCACGAGCCCAAACACATCCAGGAGCCCGACCCTCTTCAAGCTGTATTTATGTTCCTCTTAAAGAGCAGAAGAAGAAGAAGTCCAGCTGTGAGTCCAGCAGACGTCCAGGTGTCCCGCGGCGAGAGGTGAGAGTGATGTCAGGGCAGCTGCTGCAGGTCGGTCTGATGGGAGCGAGTGCTGCATGCTGCCCGAGTGTCTGAGCAGGTCAGAGGAGAGGAGAGGGGAGGACTTATGAACAAAGAGGAGGGCCTCCTCACCCTGTCTCTGCCCACGGGAGGAGCAGGAGTCAGATAAAGGAAAAAAAAGGGAGGAAGAGGAGGAGGAGGAGGAGGAACGGCAGGAAGGTGGCACTCGAGACGCACAGAGAGAGAGACAACCTGAGACCTCTACAGGAGCTGACGGGGTCACAAAACACCCCCCAAAAAACAGAAGTTATTTTATCCTGGTGACAAAACTCTGGATTATTATTTAAGACCTTGAAACATGATGACAAGAAGAATAAAAGAAGATAATGACTGATCTGCTTTTTGAATCTAAATGGAGTTATGAGTGTTTAATCTGATTTTAAAGCTGCTTTGATTCAATTTGATGTTTGTAAAACTAGACAACTAAAGACAAGGGAAAAAAGGACAACGAAAAGTCGTCCACAGAAGTATAAAATCTGAAAAAAGTTGAGATATGATGACAATGATGTTGTAACGCTACGAAAATGAAGTCATTATTTCACAAGAATTGCATCAGTGGGTTACGATGAATAAAGGCAGTAGGAGTTTAAAGCTGTTACGTTACAAGAATTAAGTAATTTTAAAGATTAAGTTATGTCATGAATTCAAAGATGTGATATAACGAGATAAAGGGCATCAAGTCGAAGAGAAACTTCTCATGTTTTGACATAAAAAGTTGTTTTATTATATAATTTGTCATCCCCTAAAACGAGTAAAATGGTGCATCTGATGTTTAAACTTTACTAAAATAACTTTGACTCTGCTTTTCTGGTGTCACATCCTCTTCAAACAACTTTAATCTTAATATTAATGATTTTAAAAGCAAACTCAAAACGAACCTTTTTAGTCTTGCTTTTAACTAAATCTTATATCATTAACTTTAAGTGTTTTAGCATTTATCTCTTCTAGTTTTAATGACAGGATCGTCTTTTATTGAGCTATTTTGGTGCTCTTATTTTAGTATCTTTTACTGCTGATTTTATTTCATTTTATTTATTATTTCTTAAATTTCATTCCATGTTACTTTGTTTTTAGATTTTAAGCTTAACCTCTTGTGTTTCTTGAATTTTAAAACAGCGTTTCCTCAGGTCACACATTCCTGTTTCTATGACTCTGAGCTCTTTTCAAGTTCATGCATTTTAATACATGTTTTTATTGAGCTTCGATCGTGGGATGGGAATGAGGGGTTGTGTTGGGGTGGATTAGGTTATTCTTTGTTTCTTTTATTCCTCTGCTATGTGAAGCACTTTGTGATTGATTGATTGATTGATTAATCTTTTCAAATACCAACTCTATTCTTATAAAATTACAACCTTAATGTGACTCTTATACGTTGTTGTTTTTCATGTATTCAGTTTGTTCTCATACTCAACAGTATGGGGGTCATTTAGTGCCACAAATGTTTAATCTTTTTTTGTTAAAATGACGTTTTAATAGCTGAGAAAACTGGTTTATACTTAGAAAGTAGAAACAGAACAGAAACTCTAGATTGATTTACATATAGATGTCCGATACCGTACCCTCAAACATACACACTAGCGGCTCTGTTTCAGGAGGATCGTCATGTCAGACTTGGATTTGGATTTTAACTCGACTCCCTCAGCGCCCCGAGTCTGGGAGGTATGTTGTGTTTTTGTCATGTGATGCACCGTGACAGCCGGCCTGAGTTGAAGTCACAGCTCTGACTCGAGGCCATCACTGGCCTTTAGTCTGCTGAACAGTCAGGTGGCATTTCACAGGTGTAACTCTGAGCCGCCGGACAGAAACATGAGTCTGAACGAAGGCGATGAAATCCAGCAGGCTGAACTCAGGGATGTCAGGACGAACTGCGTGGAAATATCCGTCTGCATGTTCTGTCTTCAAATAACGACCGTCTAAAGAGCAGCCTCCTCTGAACACTCAAATTAATTATTCCAGATTACCGTTAATACGTTTCCACCATCAGATAATGTGCTGTGATAAACATTTACACGCCAGCCTCGTCTTCATCGGCAGACACGCCGCTCTCAGTCTGTCCTCTTATGGTGATTAACTGTAATCATCTTTAACTCCACACTCTGTCCTTTAACACATATTTCCGTCTTCAGCAGCAGATCATTACAGTCGATTACAGGATCTGATTTAATCTGATTTAATCTTTGGTTTCGTGTGACTGTGGGTGGAAACCGTCTCTACGTTTGTGGATCAAACAGCTTCGCACTCAGAAGTCTCAGACCACCAACACTGTCGCAGCCCTCTCTGCTCTTATGTAACCCCATCGCTGGGCTGGATTTATTCACCTCGAGCTATAAAAAGAACTCAGTACAGCTGAACTTACATTTATCATTACTATCCTTATTGAATCATTTTCCTCCAACCTTTTCATAACTGAGATTCAGATCTAGACGTGATGTGTGTCACATATTCTTTCTCATTTTAACGTCTTAACGTCTCTTAAATTGAATAAATAACTAAGAGCGAATAATACAACTGGAAGAAGGTGCGGTCTCCTTTAAATACTTACTGGCAACTAGCTGCACCACTTCACAATAATCTGGTTCAGTCGTCTGCGAACTCCACGAGATCGAACAAGGGTAGAACACGAAATATTCTTGTAGCGTATGTATTTTTGATTTTGACTTATATGACATGCCTTTTCAAGACCAGGACTGATCTAAGGTGGTCTTTTCCTTAGCGTGGCCATGAAATCAAACATAATCTTGTCTTACTGTCTCCACACACCAAGCGCAGGTAAAATCATTCTCGCCAATGAATTACATGTTAAGTCAATGCAAAGACGCGATTTGACTCTCCTTCTACTCCGGCGGCGCGAATGACGCGAATTGAGGGTGAACTGGAAATGTCTCAACTTGAGCAGATATTCGCGCCGGGTGACGCATGAAAACGGACGGTTGTTCACTGGTATCTAAAATGGAGGACAAGCTAATCGTGTCGGTGTCTGGGTGCCCCGAATTATTAAACACCTTTTCTTTCAATTACCGGAACTGGAATAAATAGGAGCTCACCTGGAGGCAAGTAAGTGAGGAGGTCGGATTACCTGGTCAGTTGTAAAAAACTTTGTCTATCACTTGATCCCACCAGTTGAATTGGCAGGGATTACCGTTAAAATTACCGTTGACGCGCGAATGGAGGCGAGTAAATACTATTCATTCAGGCGTCTAGATTCGCGCGAATTAAGCGAGTAGATGATTTTACTCATGCTTGGTGTGATCGCCCCATTACAGGTATCAGGCTGGCCAATGAAGTCAATATTCTCAACAAGCAGTGATTTGCCAGTCTCTAACAGGAAGTAAAACAAAGATGACTGGGAGGCAAACAAATGCAAAGTTCAAAACCCCATTTACAGATAAGCCATTAGCTAGCAAACTACAGCATAAATACAATCCCTATATGTAATGTTTGTCGACATAAATGTGGGCTTTCGTCCTCGGTGTCTCACTCAATAAATGTCGATTTAATTTTGTGCAAAATTTGAAAAATTTGGTTAACTTTCTCTGAACTTTAAAGTTTTTTCACTGTCATGTCATTTCTACAACAATCACTTGCTTATATAAATAATGTATGAATTCTCTGTAGCACTTTCTTTTCCAATAAATGACTTAAGATGTAAAACTTTGGACTTAAGTGACTCTGACTGGCTGAATCAAACAGAGACTTGAGTTTGCACTTCACGCTTAAATGTCAAGGCTGCAGAAAGTCTTGTTTTCAATAAAAGAAAATACAATCGACCATTGAAACAGAGAACACTTATATTGTATTGATTGAATTGATGTAAAGCGCATGAGTTTCCTGAGTTAACCTCCTCACAGCCGGTCCTAAAGAGCAAACACCAGTAAGTCAGACAAACACTGCGGGCAGCAGCGCCGTTCCCCTCCTGCTCTGACTGACACGTGTTGAAATATCAGAAATGTGTTCCAGCTGTCGCCTCCTCCATTAAAACCAGATCTACGAGAGAAAACCGGCGCAGCACACTCTCACAGGCTCTTATCTCTGAGTCAGGACCACAGAAAAATATCGGTGTGGAAATCATCTGTGGGAAAATGTTGACACAAGCGTGTGGTATCGCCATTTCACATGTTTGAGGATTTATGGGGGATCGAACATGTTTTTTAAATCCTAGTCTGCTGTAAAGTTCTGGGTTTGTAGCCTGTTTACAAACAAGAAACATGATGGATGTTACTCACATTTACGCCAGCTTACTTCAGTATGATTGTCTGGAAAATATTTCATTAGATCAGATTGAAATCAAGTGATAATTAACCTTTTTATGGTCAAGGAGGAATCTGCTTCCTTAGATAACAACAAATCAGCAAACATACAAATATTAACATTTCCCGGATTTATAAGCCTGCTTTAGGAGGTTTAATAACTTTTGAAATGTGGCGAGTAAACTGTGCAACAAAACGCCGAGGTTTAAATTAATAATTGAAGTATATATGAATTGTTTTGTCTTTTCCAGCTCCGTTCTTAGGCTCCAACGCCTCCCATCTTCAGCTGCTTAACTTTTCACCCACTCGTCAAGAATGAAATCAGAAATAAGAGCATTAAAGACACAGTACAGAAGTCACTATAATGTATATGTTTTGAGTTGGAAACTGCGTCTTGATCGTCTATTTATTTCTTATCGTATAATTTCTGCATCATAAAAATTGCTCTTATCGGGGTCCATGTATAAGGTAACGTTTGTGAGTCACCTACGATTCCTACTTCTGCTCTAAAATGAGTAAAAATATTGGGGTCGAGTCCCTCACCACCTTTGCTCTCTAAAAAAACCTGAACCTGGATTTGTTTTGGGACAACTTTAATCAGAGTCCAATCTAAACCTGACCTCTCTTACTGAGCACAAAGAGCAGCATGAGGGTTAGCCCACCGTGCACTTCTAAAATGTTTAGCTAACATAACAGCGGGTCTCCAGGGGTCTCAGACGGGTAGTGCTGCTCAAACATCTTAAAAACAAAAACCCTTTAAGAGTGACAACTCCTCTCCTTTGGGGGGAAACCCTAAACGTAAAGTGCGGATACAGATATTTATCAGGACTTCCCTACAGTTTCTGCTCCGACTCCACAGTAAGTGAACCGGCGAAGTTTCGCCAAACTGTGTTTTCAATTTACTCTATTATCTCAAACATTCAGTCCTGGCGACTGCGGTCTATTGATGCGTCCTTGATTTTTGCCCAGAAATAGCAGCTCCACTGTAAAGGTCACTGTATGAACATGAAACACACACAATGAACACATTATTTGTTAAACCTGCGGGCTGCCAACATGCGCTGATGCAAGAAACCTTCCTACTGCTCCTTTCACTCATTAGGGATTATAAACAGGATCCATTGTTCCTTTCCAACCTATCATCATCATCATCATCATCGTCGTCGTCGTCCGCGGCGTATAAAAAAAACCTGCATTTTGATGGTGAGTGATTGGTGCCAAGGAGAATCATGGGAGTACTTTTCCCCCAGTTTGTCTGAAAATTAGTCGAGCTCCTTCCAGTTTATGAGCTCCTCTGGTTGGAGAGGATTCAGGAACACAAAGTCCAGGCTGCTTTTTAAACACTGGAACAAAAGGAGGAGTGTCAGCGGGGGGAAACACTACCTGTCGTCGCCCCTCCCACCTCCTCGAACGCCCACCTTGTTGGCTGGAAACTTAACTCTTATGTCCCCCTGCCCCCTGAAAGCTACTTTACCTGCACATAAACAGGTAGAAGAGGGAAAAAAAAAAGTGTTTTCCTGGCAGTGGGCAGCCTGTGGGGTCCGCGCCAGGAAAGCTGTTTTAGATTCATAGAAAATTGCAGCGTCTTGGCAGAGCTCGACATACACAAAACAAATGTCCGCTTTTAATCTTTGCGACCGCACCCCCCGCCTCTCCTGCCTCTCTGCTTTTAAAAACAATTCTCCTCACAAAGACTTGTACTGTTTAAAACCCCCCCAGCAGAGGTTCGGACTGTACCGCCAGCTTCGTCCAGAGGCCCCCACGCCATCCTCAACGAGATAGGAGGTCAACCCCACCGGGTCACAGATTTCTATATCTAATCAACTCTTTTTTTTTGACAGACATCAATCAGGCTTTGACAACAAATGGGCTCCAACGCCACATTTTTCAGACTCAAGCTGAACGCGTACCATCACTGTAGAAAAGGTTCATTCCTCGTTCTTGAAGGAAAGCAGGCGTGTCTCTACATCCGTGCCCTCATTTTTATGAAACCGCAACCACAGACTACAAATCAGCGTGCTCAGACTTTCAAAAACCAGGGAACTGATCATGACCCGCGTCCACATTTTTAGAGAACCAGTGTCCAGACTGAAGCGCATTAGCTCATTTTGTAGGTGTGCCCACATTTGACAAATCTGAGACCGACTTCCAAACTGTGCCTGTATTTTCTGAATGTATTCCCACCTTTAGCAAAAACCCTGTCGATGGCGCCCACGTTTCAAATCATTGCACAACTTTTCGAAAGTGGTGAACTGGATGTCTTTGAATGCATGTGGCTCATGTGCAGGTTTTTCACCTGAACTCGACATAAATTCTCAGCTAGATTAACTAAAGGGAGTAAATCTGATGCGTCTCGTGTCCCAAAGCTGTGGTGCTACACTTGAGCATGGTTTGTGACTCTCAGTGAATCACGGAGGAGTTCCCTGTGAGGAATGGAGGGCTGACGGAGGAATGATGGAAAAGTGGGAGCACGGGGGGGAGGGCAGGATGATGGATGATGATGATTGAGGGATGATGAAGAGACCGTGAGACGTCTCGCTCATTCCCCCCTCTCAGGGGTGGCCTTCCTCTCGTTCATGTCAACCTCTGGCTTACCTTCCATCCTCCTCCTCCTCTTCTTCCTCCTCTTCATTCAGCGGTGACATATTTTATAAAAAAAAAAAATCAGGAATGCCTTTTTTTTTTGTCAGATCGGTCAGAAACTCTCAGCTCCGTAGTGAAAAACTCCCCTCTCTCTCCCTCCTCTGTGGTGTTTTACACTCGTTCAGATTATACAACTCACGCCCACCACAGAAACACATGCTCACCACCGCGGTGCAACCACTAATAGTTATTCTGAGGAGTCGAGCGCTGCACTGAAAACTGCACCAGACATATTTTCGCTCCCCAGCCTGACCTTGTGACCATTTGACATATTATGAAAAGAGAAAGCCACAAAAACAGAGTCCCGGGCTTTTCGGCCTGGGCTCCGAGTTGGATCGCATTGTGAAGTCATCAGATCATGTGATAATTCCAGCTCTTGATCTTCTGTCTCACCGTGTCATTCTAGAATCTCACCATGTCATTCTAGAACCTAACTGTGTCCATTCTAAAATGTAACTATGTCCGTTGTAGAATCTCACTGTCTGTTCTTGAATCTCACTGTGTCCATTCTAGAATCGTACCGTGCCTGTTCTAAAATGTAACTATGTTCGTTCTAGAATCTCACTGTATCCATTCTAGAATCTCGCCGAGTCCATTCTAAAATCTAACTATGTCTGTTCTAGAATCTATATAAGTTCTGTTTTTTTTCTCTCTTTTTCACGTCAAACACCGTAGGCGAATATTGTGCGGAATCGTGATCGTAGACAGTCTTTTTTGAACCGTGTATGAAGTGGCGAATGGAGAAAAAAAAAGGCAGAATAACGTAACTCAAAATCAAGATGTGTCGTAACCTCATAAGCATTGCCACAAATGATCAAAACAGTCTGTTCGCCAAATCGCAGCCTGTTATCTGAGCAAGATAAGGACAGTGTACTTGAAAAGCAAATTTCGGCATAAAGGCAATTTGAACAGGTTCCCCGTAATTACTAGTATTTTATTAATTTTTCTGATGTACTGAAACTGGAGCTGTAAAATTGACCATTTTTATGAAACAAACTTACTGGACGATGCAGATACTTGAAAATGTCACTGGCAGCTGTTGAGATTTCGGTTCTAGAATCCCTCTGTGTCTGTTCTAGAATCTATGTAAGTTCTTTTTTCATTCTCTCTGTCTTTGTCACATCAAACACCGTAGACGAATATTGTGCAGAACCATGATCGTAAACCACCTAATTTAAACTGTGCACGAAGTGGTGAATAGAAAAAAAATTAAATTTGTAGAGTAACGTAACTGAAACTCAAGATGTGTTGTAACTTCATAACTTCATAGGCATTGCTGCAAATGGTCAGAACAGTCTGTTTGCCAAATTGCAGCCTGTTAGCCAAGCAAGACAAGAAAAGTTTACTTGAACAGCAAATTTTGGCATAAAGGTGATTTGAACAGGAGTATTTTAGCAGTTTTATGAAACAAACTTATTGGACAATGCAGATACTTGAAAATGTCACCAGCAGCAGTTGAGATGTAACATCTCAATTGATGTGTCAAAGTTACTTCATTCGGCGAGTAATAAACAGGACTGTAAATGTAAACTTAAGCGACTAAAATAAGACAGCAGTGGGTGTTTTTTTTTTTTTTTCCATTTTGAAGTTTCGCACTTCACTGTATATTGAGAGAAAAGTAAAAGGCGCCTCCAGTCTGCCTCTGACTGAGCCTCTCTGGGTGACTTTTGCAGATGTCACCAGATGGTTGTATATAATCTGCTGGTTTGTCACTCTTGGATCCCGCTAAGGCAATCAAGTCCCCGCGCTCAATTACATCTGATTATGGTTAACGCGACCCTGCCAGCAGAGCGGATTAGAAAATATAGAGAGACAGAAAGTGGTTTTAAGCTGTATTGACTTTCTGAACAGGCTTCAGGTTCAGGAGTTGATTAAGTGTTAAAGAGAGGCTCAGAAAATATTTAGAGACGACTTTTTACACAAGTTTTCCAGCGAATCACAACACTTAGCCACCCGCTGAGTGTTTGATTTGTTAGCGAGGACATGCTGAAAAGTGAAAAACCACAGTTTGGCTAGACTTTGATTTAAGGGAGAAGAAAAATCAAGCTAAAACAAAAACCTATAAATCCCAGAGAAAAGACAACATCCTGCCAACTCTGAGTTTTAAAGATAAGCTGTTCTGAATTATGCTAGCAGAAGCAAATTTCTGTTTACTTGCTGGTTAAACGTTTTTCTCAGAATTCAACAATCAGAGTCTGAATTTTGACCTCACAGGTGAAAGTTGCTTTAATTAAACCTACGAAGATATAAGATAATCACACTTATAATAAGATATTTTGGTTTTCTTAGTGTAAAACTGTTCAACATGTTCTGAGGATATCAAAACCTTTGCAGCCCGGCTTAGCAGTATACCTAAAATGCATGTTTAGTTATTGAGACAGCTCCAAGGGTTCAAAAACTTTTCTTTTTTGGCATTTAGTGTTAATATCTGATGGATAAAGAAAAAAAAAGCGCTGTGACAATGCAAAGGAAAACCCAAGATCTACAGAGAAAAGTGAGTTTTGGAGTTGGAGCAAAAGAAAAGTTAAGGAGAAAAATTGTAAAAGTTTTAAAAAGTTTAGTTCACAGTTAAAATAAGTCTTTAAAGCTGAAGGAAGTTTTATAACTCGCCCCTCTTTAATGTTTGCACACACAAATCTCTGCAGGATGTACTCACCTGAATCTGAGTCCGTGCTTCCTCCGAGTGTTAAGAATCCACTGGAGAGTCAAAAATCTAAATCCTGCGTCTGCTTTAATCTGAAGTCTTGTTTCCTCCCAAAGAGAAGAAGCTCCTCTGGTTGGTCTGAGAGTCTCTGAACCCTCTGTGCTCTGCTGCGGAGCCTCGAAAACCTTTTTAAAAGAAGCAGAGCCCTCCTGCTGACATCACACCGTGGTCATCAGCATCATCACGGTAGAAGAAGAGTCCACGGAGCTGCTCGGTAATTAGGTGGACGGACTTACTCACTCTATCTGTTCCTCCCTCCCTCCTTTCCTCCCACATCCCCTTTCCTTTCGCCCTTTCCTACCCTCAGAAAAACACTCAAACGCGCCACAAGTTCACTTTATAATCCTGCGTCTAAACTAATGACACGTGTGCTCCTTGTTGTGTCTGGATGGCAGGATTCGTGTCGTGGTTTCGGTGGTTTCTTTTCTCATATTTTGTGACAGATCGGTCTTTTTCTCAGTGTTTTTAACTTTTCTTCACGTCACTGAGGCATGGCAGTAAAACCTACAACCTTAGCACTGTTGTTTCTGCACCTACTTAAACTTTTCTTGGGCAGATTAATGTAATCATTTAAAGCCAGTTTTAAAAACAGTCTTGTCTCTGTTTTCGTCTGTGTTTCTGTCTCATCAAATAATGACCCCCTGCTGACAGACGGGCTGCTGTTTGACTGACCGGAGGCAGGGTTCAAAAAAAGAGAAACTCTCCAAAACATGGTAGTAGCGGTTTTGTTCATCACGCCTCCTCCTTGCTTGCGTAGCATCCCCGCTAATCTCCAACACGAAAGCAAAGCGCTCCACTTTCCAGCCGTGCCATGTGGTCTGAGGTTGTCTATGTTTAGCAGAGGGTCGTGGTTTTGGGGGTTGTGAACGGCGGGTCAAACACTCCTTCGTAGGAGAGGATTGAGTCGCAGCCAGAAGCTGTTTTCACTCTGTCAGAGTTGGCAGGTTTTACTCTACCGCTACTGAAGCTCCCAAAGACATTTGAGCAGAATAAAGACGACCTGAGAACTTTAAGACGCTGGTTTGAAATCTGTAAAAACTGGAGCAGAACCAACAACACCAACAGCAACGAGTTTGGACGAAACTTTGACCCAACTTTTTAATACTGTAGAAAAACAGGGAAAAAAATGTAAACAAGAACATATATCCACTGGAGCTGGTTTTGATCTCTTTGAACAAGTTGTAAACGTACTGACTGTCTGAAGATAATGTCTTCCCATTTAGCCTTCATATATCAGAGTACTGTGATGACGACCCTGATTATAATGTAGCCTTCACACCGGTAAATCAGATGTAAAGTCATTGTGAAGATGCGATCGCTCGAGTTCTTGTCAGGCAGCACAATTAGCAGGAATGTATCGCGCCAATCGGGTAAGTTGCACTCACTATGGACAACTTGGTTCCACCTTCCGCCAGTGTACAGATTTGAAGCCAAAAAGCGTTTTTTTTCTCCACTTCCTGAGACCAACATTGCGCAGTAGCGTTGTACACATTCGGCGGGAGAGTCGCCGAGAGTCAGTGTGATGAGGCTCGGCTCAAACAGCGTATCCCCCAGGTGAGCTATGCAATCTTCGTACGCCCATAGGCTGTATCAAGTGTCAATCAAAGAAAACATGAACCCCCTGATAACTTTTAAAAATGGAGCTGTACAGAAAAAAAGAGGACTTGAGCACAAACCAGTCTTACAATAACTACATGTCAACATCACAAGCAGGGGGGAGAAAAATTTACGTTCTGTGTAATTAATTTCTAAAGTTTGTCAACAGCTCCATAAGCTTTGCTGGAGGAGGCAGGATTTATGACCTATACTGCAGCCCGTCACCAGAGGGTGCTGTTCTCGGAGTGGCTTCACCCAGTGAGGAGGCAGACAGAGTCCATTCTATACACAGTCTATGGTTGCAACTTGTTCAACGCGCTTCACTCGCTTTTATTTGCAAGAGTCAAAAACTCTGAACTACACGATTTACTCGCGCCACGACAGCCAATCAGCATTGAGATTCCCCGTTGACGTATGTAAATAAAATGTAAGTGAACACAATAACGGTGTTGTTGTTTGGCTACCCTGAGCTTTACGATACAACTTGTTTCTATGGAAACAGGAAATAAAAGGAGTTTGCTGTGAGTGTGCGAGTGAGGAGGTGGGATTACCTGGTAAATCGTGAAAACAACAGTCTTCACAGTATCGTTAATCTCAACCATGTTTGATGTAAACAAACCTAAACTATGTGAAGCAAGCCCCTCTGCTTGTTTTAGTTTGCATGTCAATCATGTTTCTGATGGTTTTGGAGAACATAAAAAGGCTTTAATAGAAACTTTAGCCTGTTTCTAAGAGGCCAAAAAAACTCCTTACAGGAGCTTTAAAGTGATGAAAAGATAAAAAATTGTTGATAACTCTCAGCGATCCGCAGAATTAACCGGATGTGGTTTGAATGAACGCTTATGCAATAACTAAGGATGCGACTGCGACTGCTTCACTGTGATAACATGCCTTCATTATCAGAGGGAAGCATGAGTCATCATTGAAGCTGAATTAAGTGATCGCTGCTAATTAAACGTCCGGCTGATGTCTGATACTGTTAATATCAAAGCGGAGGCTAAAGATAGAAGCTAACGTCGCTAATGAGCGAACGTGGATGAAGACAGTTATTAGAAAGATCTTCTGCTCTGCTTCCCCGGGCTCAGCGTGGCTTTCATTAAGTGTCTCTCTTCTTTATAAAGACTCTGAGATGAAAATAGAGCTGTAAAATGTTTCCACATGTGTAAACAGTTGAGTTTATTGTGCAGACGTGAAAAGACGGTATATGAACACAGATACGACTGTCTTCTTCTTCTTCTTCTAATAACTCTGTATGTGATGTCGCTCCAGGATTCATTCATTAACATCAGACGCTCGGGATTAATTGAAAGTGTGTGAATCTTCACAGCAAATAAAAAACAAAGAGCATCAAAGACACATGTAAGAAGAAAGTGGTTTATTTACACACGAACTCTTAAAAGGTGGGGGAGACCACACAGGAGTTAAAACGAGCTGCGAATGACGTGAATTAAGTTAACGTCAAACGGAGATGAACTGGAGATCTAATAAAAGGAGGTTAATTTGTGCACCTTCAACTTCCTGTGAATTAAGTTTTCAAAAAGCTGCATAGAAATCCCTCATATTTAGGCCGTTGAACAGAAAATTTTATGTAAATGAAGTATCTGTAATTGCACGTTTTTGAAGGTCCGGATGTTTCTGTATGTTTCGTGAAATAGTCTCAGAGGGTCACGGGCAAAATTCATATTCATATTCAAGTAAGCTCAAAATTTGACTGAGTCACGTAAAAAATACCATGCCAATTGTGTTGTGTTGTTCGCGAACGATTCGTTCAAAAGAACCGAATCTTTTAAGTGACCCTATTGAACTGAATCGCTTCCTCAAGTGATTCGTTCATTTCTCACTTCAGTTGAGCTGTCAGCAGTGCAGATGCTATAGCACGCAGCATTGTCAGGCGAGCAGCCGGTGAACGAGGGACCATATGCACCGACACCTGAATCACTTGGTGAATGAAACACGCCTTGAACTACACTCTCTGGAATCATTTTTATTATTTTTTTTACTGCTAAATTGCCTCCACAACAACTCACATACAATAGGACACAGCATGTAACAAGTAGTGCATAAAACCTGCAGCATCCTATCATTGCAGCGGTTTGAGAGGGATGTTTGCGATGTTCAGTGTGAATTCTCCTAAATGTTCACTGAACGAATCACTTAGTAACCCCAATTTACCAAGCAGACCTGATAAATAGCATACCATTGGACAGTACACTTAAAACATCATGACTTATAAACAAGTTCATTTTTATAAACCTGTTTGCCAAAGCAACACAGACAAACACTCGTCTCCTGGTCCGGGAAGCGATGAATTGAACTGAATCCTGAACCGTTAAGTTGTGTATCAGTTCAGGAGGTCGGAGTCACAGGCTTCTCCCGCCAAGCACTGAATGATTCAGTGATTCAATGAATGAATCTTTTTTAGTGAACTGATTCTAGTGATTCAGTACATCTAAAAGAACTGCCGTGCCCATCACTACCTGCCAAACAGTTTATATAAAACTGTAAGAACGCTTTTAGTTAAAAGGATATTCAACTTTTTCCAAAGTGGGGTTTAAATCCACTTTTAATGTTTTTTATTCTTGATCAGGTCTTGGTGTTTGATGGATGTCACCTGTGTCTGATCATGAGAATGTCTTCCTTTTCTGCTTCTCACCCGTTACCAGTGAACATGTTTATTTTTGTGTGGTAAAGTCGGACACTTTCACGTGGGTCTCTACGGGGACTGAATCATCGGCTTCATTTTTCCATACATCATTTTGCTGCTTGCTTCTCAAGGGCCGTGTGAAAAACAGCATTCTGTCTTCTTAATAGTGTGATACTTCATCCCTTGGCTGTTGTCTAAAAGAAGAGACACCTCATAAACACAAAGTTTAGCTTGAAGCATGACCTCCGGTTTAACTAAACTAACTGTTTTGTACATTAAAGGCCTTAAAAAATCTATTTGTACAATCTGAGGATAAAGACTGTTGTGGTATTTTTCCATCCAAACCAAAGTACCAGAGATTTTTCCTCATGTGACAAATGGCTACATAAACCTCCTTATGAGACTCTTGAAGGCCGAGAATTCAAATATAATCTCTCGTTTTTATCTCCTTGACAATAAAAACATGTTTATCCATAGAAGTGGTCGTGAGTGGGTGTGTGGTATTAAACAGCTCTTCTGTTTCTGCTGCCAGAATCCATTTTCCCCCCCTGACTCAGTGAGCATATATTACTGTCCTGATCCCCGCTGTCAGCCCGCACATCTCCCCCAATATGGTTCCACTTTACAGCCGTAATTTAATTCAGTGACATTTCATGCAAAGTATAGTCCGGGAGGGAACAGAAGAAAAAAGTTCCACGAGTTTCATCCTGCAGAATCACAACAAAGTTTAAATGAGTATCATGTGACGTCTCCTCATCATCCACCAACATCTCGATGACAGAGAGTCTTTTTTATCCCGCTGTTACGTTCAGGATTACTGCAGTACGTGGGGTCTGAATGCAAATCAGAGAACACCCCGAAAACAAAAGCTTTAAGTCTGTTTTAAACCGCAGACGGAAAGATTCAGATATTTTCACAAACTTTTTTCCAACAAAAAACAAAACACTCGTCTTTTAACAGACCTGTGTTCACTCTCTGATCCTATCGCTAAGCATTCGCTCTTTCCTCTGGCCAATCACAGAGCAACAAACTCAAA